GAAAGGAAAAGAAAAAAGAAAGGAAAGAAAGGGAAGGAAAGGAAAGAAAAGGAGAGGAAAGAAATAAAAGAAAAGTTAAGTAAAGGAAAGGATGAATGTCAAGGAAAGGAAAGGAAAGAAGGAGTCAGAGTAAGTAAATGGAAAACAGGAAAGAAATAAAAGAAAAGAAAAGTTAAGTAAAGGAAAGGATGAATGTCAAGGAAAGGAAAGGAAAGAAAGAAGGAGTCAGAGTAAGTAAATGGAAAAGAGGAAAGAAAGAAAAGAAAAGTTAAGGAAAGGAAAGGAAAGGATGAATGACAAGGAAAGGAAAGAAAAGAAAAGAAAAGAAAAGGATAGAAAAGGAAAGGAAAGAAGGAGTCAGAGGAGGTAAATGGAAAGGACAGAGGAGTAAAATAAGTGAATCTTTATTTGGTCGTTTGTCAAAGTCAGAGCAGGAGGAAGAAGAAAAGATCAAAATCAGGAGAAAGGACAAAAGAACGAATCATGACAGAGTTTTTGGACATTTTCAAAACAAGTTTCCAGAAAAGAGGACGAGTCAAAACAGATAAAATACCACTGTTTCAAAATGTAAGAGGAGGTGAGGAAAGGTCGGGTACGAGAGGGAAGGAAAAACAAGAAGAAAAAAAACACTTAAAGGACAAAAGAAAGGAGTGACAGAAGGACAAAGAAAATCTGCAGAGGAGGACGAGGAGAGAGAGAGAGAGAGAGAGAGAGAGAGAGAGAGAGAGAGAGAGAGAGAGAGAGAGAGAGAGAGATGATTTATAATCGGCTCTTCAGACTCGGAGTATTAAACTCTCACCCCTCTCTGTGCCTCTCAGAGACGGAGCAGCGAGGTCAAGGATCAGCACCTTCCTCCTCAACCCTGCAGCTTCCTGACGGAGAGAGAGAGCGATGGAGTCAGACAGCACGAGAGGAGGAAGAAATTAAATATTGAAACAGGTTAAGCATTTGTCCTCCTCCAGCACAAAATCTGGTTTCAACTGCAGAGCTGCTCCCAGATCAGCTCATTAGCATAAAGCCCATTAATATGATAATGATCGGAGCCGCGCTGAAGTCGGCGTTTGTTGACCAGATTAACAGCAATTATGAGGAAGAGTCGGCGGATCGTCCGATAACAACTGAGAGTCGGAGCGGGAGACACAAACAGGAACATCAACCTATCTATCTATCTATCTATCTATCTATCTATCTATCTATCTATCTATCAATCAATCTATCCATCTATCTAGATAATTACTTTATTCATCTCTGAATGTCAGTGGAGGAGTGTTAAATACACAGAGAGGAGATGATTTGTTCTGCAGAGATCAGTAAATAAACTCGATTTAAACTTTTCCTGTGACTCCTCTTTTTTATATTTTACTCTTTTGTCTTCACTTTTCTTTAATCAGCCCTTATCTCTCTTCCTCTCGGGTTTATTATAACGTTGTTATTCTGCTCTCTGACCGCCTGTTTCTCTCACATTGTTTATTCCGTCTGTTTTCTCCCGACAGTGATGATTTCTTCTTTATTTTCTGTACAGCTCAGCCCAGAACAACGTCTTTTTTTTAAATTCTCATTTATTCATCAGCGATTTCTCTCTGTGGATTGATTGTTTATTTCTGTAAAATGTCACCCACTTAATTAAAGTGCCGATCAGGATGACAAACGCAGCTAATGGTGGACTTGTTTGATTGTTTTAGCTCTGAGGGACAAACAAACATCGCCGCGGTGAATGTGAAGCTGCTGTGGAGTTTAGCTGTTTGTATATTTGATCTTATATGATGTCTGTTTGTTGTTTCGAGCTTGTTCGAGGTCTGACTGATCAAAAGGTTGCTGCAGGAGGATAGATCAGTCATCTGATCCCACTTTCACCTTGTTCATATCGTTGTTTGAAGTCAGATCGCATGTGAAAGTGTGAAATAAAACATGGATTCATTCATTTTTTACGACCCTGCTTTCTGTCATGTTTCTCTGAGTTTCAAGGGTTCAAACTAAGACTGAACAAAGAGAGAAGAGAGAGCTCGAATATGTGAAGACAAACCACAGCGTTATTATTCTGTGACTGAGTGGAGTGTGGAGTGATATTCAGCTGACCTTCGCCACAGCCAGGCCTCCCGACCCCCCTCCAATGACCAGCAGGTCGTAGTCATACGGCCCCGCTGAGGGCCCCACAGGCGGCTCCATGTTTCACTCCTGCAGGTCCAGACACAGTGAGGGTTCCTCTGTCAGTCCTGAAGGGCAGACCTGCAAAATAAAAGCAGCAAACAGTCAGTAAAGAGGGACTTTAACCCCTGAGCTCCTGACGGCAGGATCAGGAGTCGTAAATGTTTGAAGGACTGAATCCAGACTGGACTGCTTCATGACTTTACTGCTGCACTAAAACAGTCAGGACAGAGAAACTGGATCAATCAGTGTTTAGACTTTATGATAGAAGAGACTGACAAACATTTTAGAAGATGTAGTTTTGTGTCATTGTGAGGAATTCATCGTTACTAACCTTTAGAACGCTCTTATTTTGAAATTTTCTCCAGGCTGTTGTGTAAATTTGCATATTTAGTTTCAGCATGACTGACATTTACCTTTGAGATTTATATTTGACATTTTAACTCACTATACCTGTTCAACATTTAACACTTTGGGATCTTTAAGCAGTTTAAGCATCAAAAAGATGAATTAATTCAGTTACTGTCGTTTAAAAACACAAATACACCAGTAAAGATATCAAAAATGGTGAAAAGGACGTTTTTATACAACTGTGCATGACTAAAACTCAAAGAAATGTTTGTTTGTTACAAACTTTGGCGGTAAGAAGGTGACATCTTGTGGTCAAACCTGAAGCTTTCTGCTGACTCTGCTGCTGCGAAAATCAATCATTTTAACACAAGTTTCTCATCAAATCCGCAGAAAACAAACAAACAAACAAACAAACAAACAAACAAACAAACAAACAAACAAACCCTACACATCTCATTTAATTGCTGAATTCACACAAACAAACATAAAGTGTGCAGGAAAGCACTCTCTCCGCAGTTTCGTCAAACTAACGCTTTGGTGAAATGTTTGTACTTGCGTAAAAACACGTTTGTTCAACTCAAAAACTCGCCTCGGTAACATTGACTCGACACCGAACAGGTTTTCTGGAGCAAAGATCCTTCAGATGCCTGTAAGGGTTTATTTTTCCACAGAAACATTGAAGGAAGGAGACAGATCTCTGCGAAGCAAACATTTGAAATGTGGAGCAGAAGAGAGGCGTTCACGGGAAACCAATAATGTAGGAATTCTGGGATTCAGCTACTGTCTCAGGCTGTGTCTCATTTCAGAGACCGCATCGAGCTAAGTGCACTCCTGGAACGTCGAACGGTGCATTTGAAGCGTGCATAACGTCACGCCGGCGCGAACGGTGTCCCATTTGGCACGACATGCTAAAAAATGCTAAGCGCGCTTAGCATTTTTTCAAGCGTGCATTTCGTGCCGTCGGTATCCCAGAATGCTTTGCGTGCCGCTGCACAGCTGCGCATTTCAGGTGAGAGGCTGGACTCGCTTGGAGACGCAGCGCGTCTTCAATGAAAATACAAGAAATCCAAAAACAGCAGACAGTCAGCTCAGGCTGTATGAGAGCATGATCTCTGAACTCACTAAAATCTGTAAACCAAACATTATACATTTAGAGACGAACTGATCCGCTCTGCTACAACTATAAAAAACATTAGAAATAAGAAAGCTGACACAACTACAGCAGAGGATCAGGACAACATAGAGGTTTTTTTTTCTTTTAAGATTTAGAGAGTAAAGTTGTAAATTTAGGAGAATAAAGTCATAAAGTAAATAAAGTCATTAAGCTGCTTTTGTGGAGGGGGAAATGACTGAAGCTGGTCATCTGCAGGGTTATCTGTGGATGCAATTACATTGGGCACATTTATATGATGCGTTCATACCTTGTCATTCTTTCTTGTGACACAGAATCACATTGAAAAGTGCTTTTGTTCCATTCATTGAGTGTATTTTATTAACATGCAAAGGACCAGATGTTACTCGACTGTTAAGCTGCACATTAAAAAACCCATCAGAGTTGTTATTAATACCACAGGCCTGAATATTATGCACATCAAGGCTTGGCACAGGCCTTCAGACAACCTGCAGCTGGGTTATACTCTAACAGGTCCTCGTACTGTTTGATCAAGTGTTAACTACGCGGCTACTGAAGAAGGATTTACTGTATCTGCAGAGTTTGGGTGGCTATAGGTATTGTGTGTGTTTGGGATATAAATGGAGTGTTTATAAGTTTTTTAAACATAGATTTTCATTTTAGCGTCACTTGAAATGAATTGCAATTGAAAGTTGGAGCTTGTGTTTGTTTTTATTTTAAGAAAAAAGCTGCTGATGTTAACTCCCTAATCTTTTTGATTATTTGTGCTTTTGGTTTCTTCATTATTATTATTATTATTATTATTATTAACTGAGAAGTACTATGAATGTACTAAAGGGATAAAGTGATTTTACTCCAGAATTGAATTAGCAATAATATATTTAAAGCCTCTGTCTGGAGTTTGGGTCATGGATTCAAACCTTATTCAGGATGAATTTTAAAGTCCAGGAGCAAAAGTACCAAGATAAAACCACGCAGAGCTCATCCCCAACTGTGGATGGTCTCCGGTGGCGCAGTGCGGTAGACATCTAACGCCTTAATGTGAGCCATGTGTTCTGGTTGAAGACCGGCTCCTGGTTCGAAACCCCCCCCCCCCCCCCCCCCGGTGTTTCCAGAGAGATAAAATAGTGGGGTTATGCTACAGGAAGTCAGAGCAGGCTGAACTTTAGAGTAAGGATGGGGAGAAGTGTTGGGGGGGATCATAGGGGGCGGCGGATGGCGCGCGGCTGAGCAAGAGGACGTCCCCAATAAGGGTTCGCGGTCCAATTCCGGACCGGGAAAGAGCCTACCGCAGAATAATGTATGTTTTTTTTTCTATCTTGCAGGCCTGCACGATATACGTGTGTGCGATAGTCACACCGCAGAGCCTGCGATGTCGGAGGTGAATGAACTCAGTTAATTTCAAGGGTAGCTGACTGAGATACACTGCATGTGACTCTGCATGTGCTTTGCAGCGATCCACCAATCACCTTTGTCCTTTACTCAGTTGCCAATCAGACTACCCTGCCAGCTGTCAATCAAAATCAGAGAGGAGGAAACCATAGACTGTACAGTCTATGGAGGAAACCCACCCCTGCACATGTTCTGCACATGGAGGGAGACGCGTGTCCGCTGAGAATTACTTTCGGAACTCCACTGACTGTTAAGCCCAACAAATAAGAACTGTATGGGTTTTTAAATGTATATTTCCGTGGACCACTCTACTATAAGCGGTGCGCGTTTTGCAAGGTGCATGCAATTCTCGGAGGACATGCGTTTCTCGGCACAACACCGCTAACAACAACAACAACAACAACGATCGCAAAATGAGCAACGAACAAGAGAAAACCACCGAGAGAATGAGAACAGGGTGTTTTATGGCGAGTCACTTATTTTACCTGCAGGAAGCACACAGCCAATTGAAAGTAGGCAGTTATTGGCAATACAAATGAAGTGAATATTTCAAAAGAGTAATGCACTGTAAAAATAAATAAATAAATAAAAATCCCTGGATCCAGGCCTGCAGGCATTTCATTCAGGTGGACCCACTGAAAATTTATATGGAGACCCCTGCTCTAGACCTTCAAAATTCACCAAGAAGTGGGCAAGGTAGGACTCGAACCTATGACCTCAGGAGTCACAGTCTGTGTTCTTATCCTCTGAGCCACTTAGATACACAGGATTATACCATTTGTTTCCTCTTTCAGTTTCCTGTCTAGACACTAGACTTCAAAATTCACCTTGTCCCGAAAAAGGCTCGAACACACCACCTCAGGAGTCCCGGGCAGTCTCCTTATCCTGTGAGCCATGTGGACACACAAGAGAAATGGGTTCTTTTTTCACATATCGCTGTCCTTTGTGGACTCGAGACTTTAAAATTCTCCTAGAACTGGACAGGGAAAGACTTGAACCCACGATCTCAGGAGTACCAGTCAGTCTCCTTATCCCCTGAGCCATGTGGACACAGAAGACCATCATGTTTTTTTTTATATATATCACTGTACTTTGTGGACACTAGATTTCAAAATTCACTTAGAACTGGGCAAGGTTGGACTCGAACCTATGATCTCAGGAATCCCAGTCAGTGTTCTTATCCTCTGAGCCACTTGGAGACACAGGATTACACCATTTGTTTACTCTGTCAAATTCCTGTCTAGACACTAGACTTCAAAATTCACCTTGTCCCGAAAAAGGCTTGAACACACCACCTCATAGTAGGGTCTGTTAACTTGAAAAAATGGCCAAATTGTTATGCGGTGGATAAAAGCACCAAATTTGGTACACACATTCTTTAGGGTGTATCTCATCATCTCAGAAGGGGTGCCCAAAAATGCATGAGTGAAAATGGCTCAAATGGAGGTCGTATACCTGACCCAGTCGATCTCTGCTGCTCTGAAACCACATCTGAGTCCAAAAACAAAGGCAAAGAATAACTTCATACTGCAAAACCAAGTGTGACGCCTGTCAGGAAACCTTATAAATCACAGCATGAAGATGGCGGGGGGTTTTAGTGTCGGACATCCTGAATCGGCTCGTCCCCGGTCTGCCATGAAATTGGTTGAATATTCAGAGATTTCTGAGTTTATGTCGAAATTAAATCAGATCAAATTGCTGCAAAAGCTTTGTAGTAACAACTAAACTTTTACGACCAGCAGAACTCACTTATTTTTCCTTATAAGATAAATAATTTGGTTGTGCTCGTTTTTGACATGATATGGCCTTGTTGGAAATCAGATACCCCGTCATTTCTCTGCTGAAAAGCTGCCGTTTCCATCTTTTAAAGTGCGTCTTAAATGCAGGTTCTTTAACATACTGAATAAACTCTTTTTCTTTTCCTTCCCAGCCGCCTGCGGTCTGTGAGGACAAGCAGCAGCAGCAGCAGCAGCAGGAGAGTGCCATGGAGGAACTGAAAGGCATCCTGGTAAAAGGATCTAACATCAGCTTTGATAGAGAGGTGTGGTCTGAGGGGACGGTCTGCTTCCAGATGAGTTTAAAACTCCATACAGGAGCTTTAATAAGTTAATATTATTGCCTTTTAGCTCTTTAAACACCAAAACAGCGCTGTCAGGATATTACTGTATCCACAGAAACCATCTTTCCTTTACACTGGCGACATGAAACTGCATTCGCCACATTTCAGAAGTAACGCGCTTCAAAATAAAAGCTCATATCACAGGACAGAATAAAATACCAAAATAAAAGCATGACAAACAAATGTTAAATAATGTCTTCAGTCAGAGAGCTGATGATGGATCATAAATCTGAATATTTTTAGACATAAATAAAAACATGCTCCACTCTCGGTTTTACTGATGGAGATGTTTTATTTATCGTCAAGTTTTCCATGACAGGAAAATCTGATATTATGTCAGCCCTACCAGGGGTCTCACCTCCATCGATAAATCCAGCTGCAGGTGCAAGAACAAGTAAATTCATTAGTTAAGATAGGTCAGATTATCCAGGTTTACACAACCTTTAACATGTGGATAATAAATAATCTTAATCTTAATCTGTGTTGGCGGACAGTCAAGTCTCTGCAGTGACGGTTGTGTTTTCCTGCAGGAGACGGTGAAGCGCAGTCCCAGCCGAGGATCTCAGGAGTCAGGGCCGTCACCGCCCGGGAAGAAGGACAGCGAGCTGGAGGTCATCCTGAGACGCCGGCGTAACAAGGCGGGAGAGGCTGGCTCCGGAGGTAAACACAGAGACGGAGGACGATAAAAGCCTCATGGTCTCATCTTTTTTTCTTTTTGTTCTAAACTAAATCTGGTTTTTATCTTTACAACAACGAAAACTAAAGTGGGTTCATGAACATTTTTGGAGTTTTAATGTACCTCTTAAAGTTGTAAAAATGTGTTGTCAAATCACTGATTCAGTTAAAATTAAGACAATATTCCTTTACAGAAACAAGACTGGCATTTGGAGACCTTCGGAGGACTTCCTGGTGGAGTCACCAAATGTCCCCGCCCTCAGGCTCGCGTCACGACTGACTTAAAGAAAACCCGCGGAGCGCAGCATTTGTTTTTTAATTGTGCGACCTTGCACAGACACAAAATAGTAGATACATACAAGAACAATTCATCCAATGATTGAATGACCGGCTGATACATCCACAGATAACCCTGCAGATGACCAGCTTCAGTCATTTCCCCCTCCACAAAAGCAGCTTTATGACTTTATTTACTTTATGACTTTATTCTCCTAAATTTACAACTTTAATCTCTAAATCTTAAAAGAAAAAAAAAACCTCAATGTTGTCCTGATCCTCTGCTGTAGTTTTGTCAGCTTTCTTATTTCTAATGTTTTTGATAGTTGAACAGAGCGGATCAGTTCGTCTCTAAATCTATAATGTTTGGTTTACAGATTTTGGTGAGTTCAGAGATCATGCTCTCATACAGCCTGAGCTGACTGTCTGCTGGTTTTGGATTTCTTGTATTTTCTTTGAAGACGCGCTGCGTCTCCAAGCGAGTCCAAAACGGCAGTGCACTCAGCTAAGCGCCGTTAAGCGCGCTTATCCTGATGCGGTCTCTGAAATGAGACACAGCCTCAGAATTCTAGAGACACTAGATTGAATGGAATAATTGAATGGATGGATAATACATGGACTCATTGCATTAGTGTTCCTAAAAGCCTTTTTGTTGTTTTTTTCTACAGAAAATGCCACGTTCACCATCTGATGTGTGGAAGCATTTAACACAAGCTCATGTTGAAGGAAAAATATTTACATTTATGTTTGGATATGATACAGTTTGTTTAAATTGCCCCCAATTTCTAGTTAATTCCCATGAAAAGTTTCCAATTTGGAATATTTCCAAAATTCCCAAAGCTTAACTTCTCATGGAAAGCTTTTGGAAATGTACCTGAAATTTTCTGCCCTTTTGCAGCCCTACTTTCCCAAATCCATACGCAGTAAAGCTGAAATGTCGGAGCTCACGAGTAAACCCTGAACGCACCGCAGCCCCCTCCCGGTCAGCGTTGGCACTGCAGCCGTGGCTCCGCGCTGGGACTGGTCCTTTCGCAGCCATTTTCTGTCCAACCAAACAGCCGTCTGAGGAAGGGAACCAACCAGGGCTTCATTGCAGGTTTGTGGCTGGCTCCGGCCAATGATTGCTAACCGATTTCTCGTTAGCTCGAATGGAAATGTCCGTCTCTGTCTGATTTTTTATTTGTTGTCTGAGTGAATGAGGGCTGCTCATCAGGAAGTATGCAGAGGGTGAAACTTTAAAACATCGATGTTTAACATTTCGGCCCACCGGCCACGTCCTGATCCGCTCCTCGGTACGACAAAGAAAGAGCAGGCCGGTGGGCTCTCTGTGGGCGCGGGTTACTCTGGATTTACAATGAAAATGAGCTCATGGGACATTATGTGCCTGAGTAGTTTAACTCCAGAAGGTAAAAACGCCTCTGTTTATCCTCCTCAAATCATTAGTTTGGTGTTTTCAGGCGAACTAACGTCAGCCGGAGAAAAGGCGCCTCAGATCGGCTCTTAGCTTCTGCTAGCTCGGTACACATCAGTGTGTTCAGCTTATGGAGGGAGAGACTGACCTCTCCGTGGGTTCACATCTGTGAAATCAGTATATCATCCACGCCAGCATTATGTATCCACCTATTAAACTGTTATGAATGCCCACGAGTGGATTTACAGACACGTTTCACCGTAAAATGCGTGTATTTCGAAGGAGATAGGGGTCATAACGATAATACAGCTGTCTTTGTTCACATATTATAATCGAATTAAATAGTAACACGACCTGTCACAGCCAGTGGGTTAATGTTAAGATGAAAAACGTGAAGCCTGAGTGTACTTTTGAGAGAATAACGTGAACAAACCCGCCAAACCGGAGCACGGAGAGGTAATGAGGTCAGCTGTGGTTGCCAGGTGGCGAAAAACAAAGTAAAACACAGTCTGTATCGGTCCTGTCAAAACACTCTCTGTTTACGATACAGCATTAATGCACGATACGATAATTTCCCGATATTCGATATTTCATTTTTTTGCAGATACTATTCATCATCAAATACTGTATTTTCGTTTTACTCTTTTTTTAACATGAAAGGAACAATAGAGAAGAGTAATACAGTAGGAGAGTAACAGTAACAGTACAACCATAACACCGTGTAGACACCCCCTCCAGGGATGAATGTTGCTGACCGCTTGGTTCTGTAGTTTTACTAACTTTAGTATCGACCGCAGGATAGCAATACAGAGAGCCACGCGCTCAACCAAAACACCACTCTGTAACCACAAATAATGCTCAGAACAGCACCTAACTTCATCAACAGGACATAAAGGGTCACAGACATAGTACTAGACACCAAACATCTTTTTAAATTTGACTCATTTCCTTAGCAGAGAGACTAAACACAACTCACCTACTCTCTTCCAGCAGCAGCTTGTTTGTAGCGAGACCTCAGGCCAGTCCATTACGGACTACAGCGGGGTGCCGCACTCAAGGAAGAACATTTATGATCATTTCTTCATGGAAATACAATCAGACCGAGACGCTAAGACAGTCTGCAGGGAAAAATGATTAATATGATGATTATTACTTCAAAGAAATGATCATAAATGTTCTTCCTTGAGCTGTGTCACCCCGCTGTAGTCTGTAATGGACGTGCATCCTGAATCATTCAAAGAGGAGTATCAGCTCCATGGATGTAAAATGATTCTGCTGTTTATATTGAACTCTGACATAAAAGTGATGTAAACAGAGGGCCTTAAATGCACCATCAGGAGACCATTATATAAGCAGTGCATGTATTACCTCATATTATTACATTTCTGTACCCATATTATTCTGATCACGACGTGCATTATGAATCATTTAAAGAGGAATATCAGCTCCATGTATGTTCTGTTTGTTAAATTTTTAGTCCTAAAGTTGATATGATTATTATTTCCTTGGTTTTAGTGGTTTTAAAAATCTAAACAAACATTTACTTTAGTCTGAAGAAATCTGGATCACAAGTGGATCAAATAACTTCTTTAGTACTTTGTGAACTAACGTCAAACAAGTCATCCTGGTTAGTGAAGCAGTTTTTAATCTAACTCTGGACTCCGAATGCTGAAGCTCCAAAGTGATGATTGATGAGATGATTGATGAGATATTTGTGCGTGTTTGTGTCACAGATGGACGGAGACAGCTCAACCACCGATGCTTCCCAGCTCGGCATCACTGGAGAGTACATGGCCTCTGGTCACTACGTTCTCCAGTCTCAAGATGGTGAGGAGCGGCCGCACTCACGATCTCCACGTCAGCCGTCTGAGCGGCGTTAAGCTAATTAGTGTGTGTGTGTGTTTGTAGATGATGCGGATGAGAGTCTGAACGACCACGACGACGGCAGCGTGAAGGAGAACTTCAGGGAGCAGGACATCTACCTTCCTATCGCCAACGTGGCTCGCATCATGAAGAACGCCGTTCCTCAGACTGGAAAGGTTAGACGGCGAGGAGGAGCGGGGGGTGTTTCATTTGTATATTCAGTATCTTCTCTCGTCTCCTGATGAAGTCGCTGCATCAGATTCATCATTTTAGCCAATTAAGTCCCAGAGTCAGACGGGCAGACTCATGGACGGAGGCAGCAGAGGTTACCAGCTCCAAAATTTCTGCCCGCAGGGATTTTGTTTCAGCCTTTTGCGGCCTGTTGCGTCAGCCGCAGCTGCTGGCTGATGAAACCAAAACGCAGAACTTTTTTCACCTAAAACTCGATTAAACGTGTAAAAAGACTCAAAAACAAAGGGTCAAAGGTTAAAAAGTATCAGAGCTCCACTCGTCAACGTCAGGCCGAGTCGTTCCTCAACATGAATGAACTGAATGTTTCCTGTTTCTTAGATCGCTAAAGACGCCAAGGAGTGTGTGCAGGAGTGTGTGAGCGAGTTCATCAGCTTCATCACGTCGGAGGCGAGCGAGCGCTGCCACCAGGAAAAGAGGAAGACCATCAACGGGGAGGACATCCTGTTCGCCATGTCCACGCTGGGCTTCGACATGTACGTGGAGCCGCTGAAGCTCTACCTGCAGAAGTTCAGAGAGGTGAGACACGAGCTGGCGTCCGACGGCGTGCTCTTCTCACTGAGTTCTACGAGTTTAAAAATGATCTGTTTTTATTTTCAGGCCATGAAGGGAGAGAAAGGGATCCCGGGGGTGTCGGTGGGAGAAGGCCTGGGAGAGGACCTCACAGACGACAGCTTCAGTACGTAGAAATCAGACACGTCACAGGACTCCACAGTAAAATGTATTCAGGGTCATGTGTGCATCAAAAAATCAGCCGAGGCAACAAATGTTTTTTTTCCTGTAAACACTGCAGTGAAGTTAGTTTTAGGTTGTGTTCGAGCCGTTTGTGCACGACTGATAATTTGACAGATAATTAATAATTTTTGATATTTATCCTGATCAGAATCCGGAGAGACTGAACAGTTTTATAGTTTGACTTTAAAGTTGTAATTGAAGCCGATTACTAATGCCGCTCTCCTATTGGAGGAGACCTGTGTGTTTTTTTATTGGGTAATTCGTTCAGCTGTGGGTCTCTGAGAGCACAACAGTTTTTGACCGTGTTTACATCGGGTCTCGATTTCGTCATTATTTGTAAAAAGTATCGTCTTGTCATGCGAAGTAAACCTCCAAGTTAATTCAAGGAAGGAAAGATCGACGACTTTGGTGTTTTATTATGGAAATACGCGTCGACGACATGCTCTGATTCGTCACCTCAGAGTAGGCCTGGGCAATTTGGCAAAAAAAAAAATATTTCGTCGTATCGTCCGATCTCGATTATTATCACGATTTTTTTAGCTGCCTGTTTAAAGCATCTGTACTAAAAACTAAAGAAACTAGCGATTATTTCAACATTTTATTAACATACAAAGTAAATAACAAAACAGATTAAATAAGATAAACTTTAAAAATAACAAAAACAAAGCTAAAAGCTAGTTGCGGCTAAACTGCTAATGCTACTCGTGCCGTCAGCAGTGACAGGCTGTACAGACTCCGCCCACATTTTCATGTTTTCCTCATAATCACTCCGGAAGAACTTCTTTCAATGATTAAACAGATCTGTGGTGTTGCCGGTTTTTGAGGGGACCGATCGTCGACATACCTTACACATCGGCTTCATTACTCGACGTCACTTTAAAGATACCCGAACCATCGCCACACAACCAACTGTGAATAACTTCTCAACAATAAGATCTTTGGAGGATGACTCAAAGTCACGGCTGACATCTATTTTTCTGCCCTCAGCTCTGTGTTTCGCTGCACGTTCGGTCGTTCTGTTGACTTCTCCAGTAACTTACAGAAGTAAGCAGGAAAAGCTCGACTTTGATGTTTGATCAAGTAAATATGCTCACAGCCGATCACCATGATCGAACTGAAAGCTATCACCATCATGTTATCGCCCAGTCCTTCCTCAGAGGGTCTTCAATCATTAGACGGAGCTGCGATCACAGGTTGGATATTTAACGGACATTCCTGCGGTGTCTTCTCACTCTCCATAATCGGGAATAACAACAGCAGCGCGGTTAAATCTACTCGGCATCCTCGCTGTCAACGTCGGTGTAGAATAAGGGACCGTCAATAAATTACCGGTTGATGTTCTTTGTGCGCTCCTTTTGTGAAAAAAGTCCTTATCAAGGCCTGCGTCTGATGTTCACCCTTCAAGCTCATTAAAATTCTGACTTCTCTCCTCATCAGCGAACCCTCTACCAGCCGGGATCATCACTGCAGACGGTCAGCAGCAGAACGTCATGGTGTACACGACCTCATACCAACAGGTAACCCACACGGTCGCCGTGACGATCATTTCAAACCTCACAAATCAATATTCTGCCGCGTTATCAATCTCATTTTCGTCTCAATCTCTTCATTTGTCGTCACGCAGATTCCCACCGTACAGCAGATCCAGTTCTCATGACCAGATCTGAACACAGCGGCTCCTTACCGGGCCCACGCTCTGACACTCGGGTGACCTCTGACCCCACCACAGGGTAGAGGTCATCGGGCAGCGGGGGGAGGAGGGGAGAGAGCGAGAGGGGCGTGTGCAGAAACCCTCATGTACAGAGAAGTCTACCTGTGGAGTAGATGGTGTAGTTCTTAGATGTGAGGTACCAAATGTTTTTGGAGGGAATCCGAAGCAGCTGGGAAACTGAGGCTTTATTTTAAAGGCTAGTCTTATTCTTACTTTCTTTAGTGTTGAATTCTTTTGTGCGTGCTGTTCACGTGTTCGCTTTTATGCTGTCTCTTCCTTTGGGGGCGGGGAAACGTCGGGGTGGGCGGGGTTAAAGGGGAACATCGAGGCTTATTTTGGAGCGTCTTCTCTGTTTGGACCGAGAAGAGAAGCTCTGTTGATATTTCTCATCAGATCATGCAGCTCTTTTTGTAAGTTCACTCATGTACCATGTGCTTTAATGTTATGGAAATCCTTTGAATAAAAATTCAAAAGAGACGTTTGAAACACGAGTTTTTCCACCACATCCAAAATGTAGCAACGGGATTCCTGCACGCTGTCCAACTTAATCAGGCAAAGAGAAGCCATCTTAAATAAGGAGTGGTCGTTCCTCCATGACCAAACACAGAGGGACGAACTCATCATCGGGTCATTTAACCAAAGTGTGACATCAATCTAAAGCAGGAGTGTCAAATTTAACCACAGCAAGGGCCATAATCTGGATTTAGGTCCAACCTGAGGGCCAAACAGGGTCAACATTTCACCAAAACTGTCAGCCTCCTTTTCAAAATAACTATACAAAACAAAAACAGCTATGATAAAAAATCATATGGAAATTAAAGAGATAATAAGATAAGTTTAAAGGCAACCCGAGATAGAAAAAATGATTTTTTTTCAACTTTTTAATTCTATTTTTATTTATTAGTTCAGAAAATCAGAGCATGACATTAAAAATAGAAAAATAATGCTTTTAAAGAGCAAATGAGAAGAACGTTGAAATCTGGTTTAAAAGGTCAAAGTATGACTTAAAATCTAAAATTTGAATCTAAAATTAAAGTCTAAGATTGAAAACATGAAATAAAACACCAAATATTCTTTCCCCCACATTCTTGACTGTTGATCAAATCTTCTTTACTCTTTAACTTCCCAGATTTTCATGGTTTATTAAGGACATTTTAAATAATGGGGCTAAAGTTTACATGATTATACTGGAGGAAATCTGCAGACCTCATACTGGTGGGCCAATAATAATACAAATATGATATGATCTAAAGTAATACCCACATGTCCAGAAGAGAAATCCATAACATATATAATCGATTATCAATAAATCAGTATTTTAAAACATGTTTTAGGAGAGAAGTTTACAGTGTAAGATAAAAACAGACATATTTAATCAACAAATCTCCATATTTAGTACAAAAGGGCACATCGATCATCAAAATACACATCTAATAATAATGATCCAAAGTTCATTTTGTGCATTTTGAACTAAACACACTAACAATGACAGTTAATGACAACAACAGAGAAAGTCATCCAGATACCGACTACATCATGGCTGCGCCTCATTTCTAAAAAATGTAGATTTTGTCGTCACCAAGATTTTTTCACTGATCAGTAGAGGCTCAAAAAAATTGCAGAACATCCAAAAATCCTGAACTTTGACCTCAGCAGTTTCTCTATTTGTCCCCTCAGATTTTCTCTGTCCATCGTCCTGAACTTCTCTGATCTCACAGGAAAATACGAGGTTGAAATCTTGTTAAAAAAGCAGGGTTTTACTTCTCAGTTTAGTCTGAGATCGTTTGAGCAACACTGCCCCCCTGTGGTCGAACATAAACATCACAGATAGACCAAAGCTGAACTAGAGAATGAAAGTCTAACATGAATATTCTGCTGCAGGAGAGAGCTGTTCGAGTTAGAGTGCATAAAAACAATGAAGCCGTATGTACACGCTTATATAAATGCACCTCTCTTTGGTTTCCTCCTCACAGCTGCATGTTTGTGATTGATGGTCCAGTCACAGCCTGAACTCTCCGAGTGTTTACTGTTATGAACGTCTACAAACATCAAACCTGAGGGACGCAGAGAGAGGGTGGAGACATCCTGAGACTCTGCAGGAAGAGCGGCGAGGAAATCAGACGAGGAAACTGCAAAGTTACATAATTAAACATGAAAAACAAAAGACCAGGGAGTACGGGAATATTTTCAGGTGAACAGAATTACACTCACTTTAAATGGAAGTCGAACCGTCGGTCTGTCTGTCTGCTCAGAAAAAGTAAAAAAGTTCTTCATTTAAAATCCACTTAAAGTTCAGAGTGAGAAAAGCTCTAAAACCAGGAGCATAAACAAAGTTTTTCTGTCCGTGTTGGAGTTTGTAGATGATTAATTTACTGTCAGGTCATTTATAAGAGCCAAGATTAAGAGGTTATGAGGAAAAATGGACACAGATGCAACAAGAGAGAGTTCCCCACAGGAGCTTTAAAAAAAAGAAAAACTCAGAAATGTAAAACTTTACAAACGTAACATTAAAGGTAGTCAGGATCTGAGTTAGTCCCAGTTTTTAGGAGAAATCTTGAATGTAAACTCGACCCCTCCAACCATACCATATTGTAGCACGCTAACTTTGTTTGGGCTCCTGAACGACACGGGGGAGCAGCATTTTCTTGTTGACTGTTTTCTTGTTGCCTGTTTTGGTGTGGACTGTTTGTGGTTGACTGTTTTCATGTTGACTGTTTTCTTGCTGACTGTTTTCTTGTTGACTGTTTTCTTGTTGATTGTGGTTGACTGTTTTCTTGTTGACTGTTTTCTTGCTGACTGTTTTCTTGTTGACTGTTATCTTGCTGACTGTTTTCTTGCTGACTGTTTTCTTGTTGACTGTTATCTTGCTGACCGTTTTCTTGTTGACTGTTTTCTTGTTGACTGTTTTCTTGTTGACTGTTTTGGTGTTGACTGTTTTCTTGCTGACTGTTTTCTTGCTAACTGTTTTCTTGCTGACTGTTTATGGTTGACTGTTTTCTTGTTGACTGTTATCTTGTTGACTGTTTTCTTGTTGACTGTTTTGGGGTTGACTGTTATCTTGTTGACTGTTTTCTTGTTGACTGTTTTGGGGTTGACTGTTTTTTGTTGACTGTTTTGGTGTTGACCGTTTTCCTGTTGACTGGTTTGGTGTTGACTGTTTTCTTGCTGACTGTTTATGTTTGAGTGTTTTCTTGCTTGTGTCGGCAGTCGTGGCCAAAGGAGGATTCAGACAATTTTCCGAACTTTCTGGTTGGTTTCTACTGTCCGATATTGTAGCACGCTAACTTTGTTTGGGCTCCTGAACGACACGGGGGAGCAGCGTCTGCCTCACAACCAATCAGGTTAGAGGAGGTGGAGAAAGAGCGGGCTGCTCTGAAATGTTCAAATGTTGACGACACAGACATAAGAGAACACAGAGATATCGTTATATTAGCAAATATCATCAATAACTAATAACTATTGACTGATATTAAAAGATTTTTTTGTATAAACACCACAAAAAAAGATGCTTCTTTAACAGATTCCTGTCTACTCCACCTTTACGACTTTATTCCCACATAAACAAACAAACAAAGAACACGGGACATCATGAACAAAGATCTCAGCGCTAAGAAGGAAACTCTCCGTAAAAGAAGATCGAACTGAGTCAAGATCTCATCAAACTAAAACTTTATTCTCTTTATATTAAAATTTTACACTTTTTATCATGAAATATTTAATCTGCTCTTTATTTAGTGTTTAAACATCAGGCTTTATTGACACTGACTCACTTCTGAACAAGCCTCTAGTGGTCACTTGAAGAACTGCAGACTGTTTTAACATGAACACTGAAAACTTTCCCCCCCTCTTCTCTTGACCCCTTCAGTGAGGTCTGAGTGTGTCCCAGGGTCCCGGGGTCCCAGGGTCCAGTCCAGTCCGGTCAACTCTCTCTCCGCTCCTTATCCTCTCAATCTCTTTGTCACTCTCGATAAGCCAAATACCTCAATGTACATGTAATGTAAATGTAAAATGTCATATTTCCTGTTAGTGGCCGGCCCCACCTAAACCCTGGAAGTGGTCTCCACCAGGCCGACGCCCACCTGGCTCATTTCCTCCTATAGAACGGCGGGGATCGCCCCTCGCCTTGTTCCCGGGAAGCTCCTGTTGGCGGTTTCCTGAAACGCCTCAGACTCTGAATAACGCTCAGTGGTGTCTGCCCGCCCGCCCGCCTGCCGGCTCGTACATCCTTCTGACAGACACACAAAGAGACACGACGTCTCAGAGAGAGACACGCCGAGCTCCTGTTTGAGGACAGAGACACAAACACGGATCCTCCTCCTCCTCCTCCTCCTCTGTGTCTGCTCTTCCTCCTCCTCCTCCATCCTTACATTCATCAGATTTAAAGCTCCTCATACACAACAGAAAATAATCCGATTAGATTATTTACAGCTCCTGATTATCCAGAGAAGCTTCATCCTGGATCTGGATCTTTGTCCACAAAACGACACGTAGACCTGAACCTGCAGGGAGGACTGGAGACCGGGGTGCTAGCTCTGCTGTAGTTAGACACACTCTGCGAACCAACTGGACACCGAGCGAATTCAGGACTGTTTTTCACCTTTAAAGTGAAGGAAAGAAGTGACTTTGGGACATGGTATCAGAGGAAACCACAAGAAAATCAAATCTTACCTGTTTTTGACTCATTTCTACTGTAAATATAAAACAGTTTCAGGCAGAGAAATGTCCTTTTTGACCAAAAATAAGACGCCATTCACTTGAAACGGGTAAAATTAATCTACAGAAAGATTCAGATCACATTTTTCCTGTGAAGTTGTTCCACCTGCAGATCTTTTTTCACCCATTTCTCATTTTGAAGGTGTCTTATCTTGAAATGAGACATTTTCCTGGACCTGTCCGGTGAATGTGGCTCAAACGAACTCGAAAAAGAGAAATAAATTAATCAAAAACTCTGGGAAAGATTTTAGACTTTGTAAACGTTGAAATCAGAAACAAACTGTTATTGTTTTCAGCGTCCTCGGTTGGATATCTTGTTCTATCATGTGTCTAAAGTCACAGGATACGGACAAAATAAGATCTTTAACTGTTTTTATCTAACGGAGAAGATTTGAGGAAAATAGTTTTGGGTCTAAAAGGATCAGATTTTTAACAAAAGAGGTTTTTTTTAACGCAGGAATGTAATAATCTGATCGTGTCAGTCACAGACGGTCGGGTTATTCGTCATAAAACCGGTTTGATTCATGGCGGCGGTGGTCTGCGGTGTCGGTCAGAGATGTTTCCATGTTAGCAGCACCTGGAGATAAACCTCTGACTGAGCGGCGGTAGAGATATCTGTCTGTCAGCTCGACCCTCTCGGAGGCTCCTCCACCCGATAGCTTCCTCTCAGGCAGGAGACATCCTTCCATTCCTTTCTTAGGTTATCCTACGTCACCTCCTTCCTCCCTTTAACCTTTGACCCCTGACACACACACACACACACACACAGACACACACTGTACTTGCGGCTCCAGATGCAGCTCCACTTGGTACCAGGCTTCTGATAACAAGGTGTGGAGTGTTCTGCGTCCCATCATTACTCTCATGTCAGGCGTCCTCCCAGAGCAGTGGAGCGAACACGAGAAACACCTGAGAGGAGATGTTTGAGTCTCAGCGCAGATATTATCCTTAAAGCCGATCATAAATACTCGGATCAGAGTCCGGAGCAGCAGAAGGAGAAATGATGTTTACATGAATTCTGACAGGCCGGTATGTTTCACGCCAAATCTGCCCGAGTTTGTCAGGATCTGAGCGGAGCAAAGGTGACGGAGAAGGAGTTCAAGTCAGGAATTCACACAAATAACCGCCTGAAAATCTCAGCTCAGAGTCCGTCCTCACAGTCAGAGCGACCTTCACTTTTCTGTCGACTTTCAGAGCCGCGTGTTCATCCATCGCTCCAACCGCTCCGGGTTTATCAGAGTCTGAAATACATGAATGAAACCTAATGACACTTTAAGGCTGCCTCTTTAATTTGGATTAAAAACAAAACAGTTGATCAGACCATCTGAAGTAGCTTCCTGTTTGATCCAGCAGAGGGCGCCGTCATCGTTACCCAACCATAACACCGCACTCTTGACCTCAAAGGTTTCAGACATGTTTGAAACGAAGTTACGTTCGTTCAAATTAGATTTTTAAAAAGTGACCTTCCTCTCACCCACAACCATGACGGACCACGTCTACACAGCTGCTTCAGTCCTCGAACGTCTCATCGTGACTCTAAGAACTCCAAAACAAAAGTAGCGGGGTCTTCACCTCTTGGGGGGCCTTTAAAAGAAACTAAAAGCACCGGAGACTTATTCTTTGACGCTTTCGCCGCCAAGGTCGGTGGAGATCGAGAAACTAGTCTGCTGACGTGTGTGAGCGAGCCGGGAGCAGATCGGAGTGACCCTGTCCCGTCCAGAGTCCCTGAAACACGTGACCTGAAAGTCGGTTTATCGTCTAAATCCGAATAAAACTGAACTTTTAAACTGCTCATTTTTGCATCCGTCAATCAGACAAAAACATTAAACCTCGAAGTCTAAAAGCACAAATGCACCGAAGGAAGAAGGAGGAGGAGGAGGAGGAGGAGGAGGAGGAGGAGGAGGAGCTATCATATCATCTGTATGACATGCAACCAATGAGCTTCTTGCTGACTAGTTTTTCGGTTGTTTTGGTAAAAGATGTAACGGATAATTCAGGAAGTTTTCAGGAGTTTAGTGTGAAGTCAACTTTCCTGACAGCCTCTTGGGAAAAATTTCTGCAAGGAGACTAACCCAGAATTTCGTACTGCGATTTTTCGCCATACGCCAATTCCAGAATCCGCGGATTCACGTGCAATCACGCGATAATGAGTCGTCTCTTAGCCACAGAGGGTAACCATAAAAGCAGGGGATTGTGACTTCAGAATCAGCATCTCCTCATCCATGGTGTCATCGGGGTGAAATGTTAGATGACAGAAGCCGGATGTTTTATTTTGTGTCTGTGCCCGACTTCCTTTCCAGCACGGGTTAATCTGTGCTGAATTTATCCGCCATGCTCCGGCGTCCAGAAAAAATAGAACTCTTGTGATCAGCTGAGGAGTCCGGCAATCCGCAGAGGAACGGAAAGAAGCGAGGGAAATTGACACGTTAACTTGAGTGGTTACGATCGGCGGATACGACCTTTTCGTAGACGTTCCGGATGTGGTGGAAATTGCCGGTAAATTAGGCGAAGTGCAAAAACAAAGTCAGGAAAATTCCCCACGAGGAAACGAAGGAGGTTGATATCGTAACCAGTTTGATCTTGAGCTGTTTGGTTTCGTTTCTTCTCTCTCGGTGTGTTCTCTCATTCGCAGCTTTGGTTAAATTCGGGGACAGATGATCCTGAAATTGTCTGGAAATTTCCCGCTGCAGGCTACATGTGTGAAAAGAGCTTTGAATCAAATGTCCCACAGTGTCTACAGAGTTTGTAACCGTCCAGCTGCAGATGATAAATAAAATTGTTCAGTTTCGGTGGTTTTTAAAAACATTTTCAGGTGCATCGTTTGCACTCGACGTTTAAGAAAGACTTTAAAGACTTTAACCAAAATGAGGGACTAAAAGTTCAGATATGATAGTCAGAGCTGCAGGTCAAATCCTGTACGAGAGTTTCATTCATGTTCGGAGCATCAATCAGCTCAGAGCTGAGAGGAAAAATGCGGCACATGGAGGAGGGAGGACCGGGCGCTTATCTCTCTGCGATTGGTACCACGTCTCAGGAGAATTTCAGAGCGCTCTGATGATGGACGAGGAAAACGCAGCGAGGAGCGCCGAGGTGGGAGGTTTGAGGCGGGTGAGGAGGAGGAGGAGGAGATGTGAGATGTGGAGGAGTGAGTGTGAGGAGAAAAGGAGCTGTGGGGGGGACAGTGAGTGTTTGAAGGAGACCCAGAAGGTGCTGAGGAGGTTACTGGAGGGGAGTTTGGGGGTACGAGGAAGAATGCACCCTCACATTCCTGACATGCCCGTCTCATTGTAGCGGGCTAATGAGGCGAGGGGGGGGGAGCGTGGTCAGCCCCCGGCCCGGGGAGAGACCAGAAACCCACCGGAGCGCCGGGCAGCATGGAGGACGAGGAATTCCTCAACTTTGGTGCCAGGAGAAAACAGTCAACACAAAAACACACAAAAGCACCACAACGGAGCCGTGTGAGAGGTGGAGGAGAGTGAACGAGCGTCTGAAATGAAACAAACATGGAGAGAGTCTCAAACACAAGAAACGGCGGGAAAACGGCGCTCAACCAAAACGCCACTCTATAGCCACAAATAATGTTCAGAACAGCACCTAACTTCATCAACAGGACATATAGGGTCACAGACATAGTACTAGACACCAAACATCTTTTTAACTTTGACTCATTTCTTTAGCAAAGAGACTAAACACAACTCACCTACTCTCTTCCAGCAGACGCTTGTTTGTAGCGAGACCTCTGGGCGAGTCCATTGACTGCAGCGGGGTGACGCAGCTCAAGGAAGAACATTTATGTAGTGTAGTGTTAGCTTCAGTTTAACTCCTTATCGACTCAGGCACTCCATGGTCTGACCAAATGACACGTTGAAAAGTTTAAGAAGTGAAATTAAATAAAAAACTTTCCACTTCTCTGCTCGTCGTCTTCTGTGCCTCCATCGTAAAACACCGGCAGCTCACTTCAGTTGTAGCTTTTTTTTTATTTTAATCCTTTTATTTTTGAGTAAGTAACTGTCTTTTTTTTTTCCATTGACACTTTTTTTGCGTCGTTAACTTCCGCTGTGGCTTTTTTTTAAATTTTATTTTTATCTGCACCGTTTCTTTTTTTATTTGCGGTGGGCTTCGGTTTCTTTTTTTTTTGATTTTGCATTGGTAACTTCTGTTGTGGCTTCTTTTTTTTGCATTTTTGCATACTTGCATTTTTTTTATTTGTACGGTGGCGGTTCTCGGCCACCGTACAAATCCACTAACTGCTAAATAAAGTCGGCCTGTTGTTTATTTTGTAAATTCTGACCCTGTTTTGAGCCCAAAATTCACGCCTCCTGTGGTTGAAGTTGTGATCTTCTAAAGAGGTCACAGTGAAGCTTCTCTGCTCCTCATCAGCTTCACTGTTTTATCCAAAATTATCTCCAATCAAAACATGAGAAAATATCATCCTCAGGCTCGTCCATCGATCATAAATATCAGATCTGTGTTTCTATTTAGTGTTTTTAATGTGATTTGTATTAATTTTTGTTCCACTAACGGTCTCTTTAGTTCGGGTCACCTGTGTTTGTACCTGCGCGGTCAGATCAGATCCATGTCTGAGTGCGTCTGTTTGAATGCATGACTGCAGCAGCCGCTCTGCTTCCTGCAGCTGCTCAGAGGAACGCCGTGTTAGCTTTGGTGCTCCTCACACATTTCACCCTCCGTTACCTCCATGTGGCCGGGGTGCCGCTCCTCAGCGGGCCAGCTGGATCCACCACAGACAGGGAGCAGCTAGATCAGCGCTTCGCTGAGCTGAGATCAGTGAGAACATGACAGCTGGAGGGGGAAGGATGTGTCAGCGAGCATCCTGAATGTGACCGAGCGAGTTTGAGCTGTCGCTGGTCGCTCCCGAGGAGGAAGGATGCTCTTCATCCTCTTTGAAGTTTGACGCTTCAGCTGCTGATCTCAGACTTCTCCTCAACGTCGTCATGAGGCCGATGTCTGAACTTGAAAGGAGCGTTGTTCGCATTTGTTGAACCAGAAGTTACAGCTGAATTTGGAAAAAGAGGACTCAGGTTTTCTAAATCTTATCATCCTCATCTTGAAATCTTTTGTCTGAACTTTTAACTGATGATGCAACAAGATTCGTTCGCTTGACTGTGACCATCAGAAAACAGCTGCTTATAAAAGTTCAGCTCAGATTACTGAACATTTTTTATACCTTTTATACAAAACACCAAGAAATGCAAAAACTATCAATGTTCTCCTATACTCCTCCATTTTTTATTTGCAGCGAGCTTCAGTTTCTTTTTTTGCATCAGTAACTTCTGTTGTGACTTCTTTTTACCTCCGCCAAGGAGGTTATGTTTGCGGTAACGTTTGTTTGTTTGTTTGTGAGTTTGTTTGTTTGTTTGTTTGTTTGTGAGTTTGTTTGTTTGTTTGTTTGTTTGTTTGTTTGTGAGTTTGTTTGTTTGTTTGTTTGTGAGTTTGTTTGTTTGTTTGTTTGTTTGTGAGTTTGTTTGTTTGTGAGTTTGTTTGTTTGTTTGTTTGTTTGTGAGTTTGTTTGTTTGTTTGTTTGTTTGTTTGTTTGTTTGTTTGTTTGTGAGTTTGTTTGTTTGTTTGTTTGTGAGTTTGTTTGTTTGTTTGTTTGTTTGTGAGTTTGTTTGTTTGTTTGTTTGTTTGTTTGTTTGTTTGTTTGTTTGTTTGTTTGTTTGTGAGTTTGTTTGTCCGTCTCAGCCCCAGGAGGATCCCATTACATTTTGGTGGTGATCCGGATCACCTTCTGGATCCAGGAACTTTTTGAAGGATTCTTTATCATTGTGAAAATTTTTTTTGCATTTAACTCTATAAAAATGTCCAGAGTCTTTAGTAAAAACTGACACAAAAGGATCTCAATGAGTTTGATGAGGTGTCAAAGGTTGATCCTGATCCAGACAAAATTCTGGATACTGTGATCCAGAACACACAAAAATAAGGGTGTGGTTGGAATTGTCAATGCTGAAAGATAACCAATGGGCGGTACAGTGGTGTAGATGGGTGGTACAGTGGTGTAGTGGTTAGCACTGTCGCCTCACAGTAAGAAGGTCCTGGGTTTGAATCCCGGTCAGGGCATTTCTTGTTTTAGGAACATTATGAACAGTGAACATACCAGTTTAAACACAAATAAACGTTAATAAAAGACACGTAACAGTAAAAGTTTTGCTGTGAATCACAATATAAGGGGGCATGAGCTGCTTGCTTTTCTAGTTTTATTTGCAGCAGTGGCGGTTCTCGGCCCCCGTAGCTTCGCCCCCTGCTGGAGGTTATTAAAAAGGCAGTTTTACGTTGAAATGTCGTGGAAATGACTTCCTCTTACAGCCTCTGGTTACACACGGAGCTCTAAACGTGCAAATGTAAGAAAAAAAAAAGACCCAAACAAAGGGTCAGATAAGCTGCAGGCTAACACAAACACTCTGGTGCTAACAGCAGGACAGACTCCTGCACACACACACACACACACACACACACTCACTCCATGACCATGAAGGATTGTAATCCTCATGTCTACACACTTTAACAGATCAGATGAAGGTCTCTGCAGTCCGAGCGTGACTCCTGGCTCTTTGAAGCTCCGTCTCTAAAGTTTTTATTAATGACTCCTGACTGTTCCAGTGGAAGGAAACACCCCGGAAAACCTCCACACCCCTGATCCTATCACTCCTGTGTTTTTTACCCAGACTTCCTCACTGCAGCCAGGGGAGCTCGCAAACACACAATAGCAGAGAGATGATAAGACAAAAAAAACTGGACGTGCGTCTCGTTGTTGTGTTTTACATTCAGAGGAGGATCTGTCAGTCAGGGGGGGATTTGGAGCAGACTGAATGGAGGCATGGAGTAAAAGTGGCCTGAAAGCCATTCCTGGGACATTTGTGAATATGCGTCGTCATGGTTACAAGCGTCTGAGTCAACCCTCGGCGGTTCCTGCAGGGCGGCAATCCGGCCAAACACCCCGACTTTAATCCAAAGGCCAAACACAACGCCAGCTGGAGCGATGGGACCGTTTATCGAGTAAATTAAAGCGTCATTACCGTCTAATGGGAAGAGGAACAAATGAATATTCATCATTTAGAGAGAGACGAGAACAGACATACGGAGGAGGGGTTCATCTGAGGCGCTCTGAAACATGCAGGAATGTTGCTTTACAGAAATAAAAATACCGCCAATCTTTTGGCTTTTTGGTCAATTTTATCATAAAACAGATAAAAGTTACAAATTTGTTTCTGCTGGATGTTTACAAAAACTGAAAAGGGAAAGACAGAGAGAAAAAAGTGAGAAATAAAGACAGGAAAAAACAGAGACAGAGCAAAAGAAAGAAAGAATTAGAGAAAAAGAAAAAAAATTAGAGGAAAAGAAAAAAAAGAGAAAAAAAAGAAGACAGACACAAATAAACCAGAGGTCTTAAAAACTTCAAATTTACATCTTTATTATTATTATTCACGCTGAAATACCAAAACATGAAAACCTGTCCTTTCACTGCAGTTCCTCAAACGGCCACACGAGGCTCGGCTCAAAAGTGAGTCACTCTCCATAGAGCCCCTTTTAAAATCTTTAACCACAGATATAAACAGGTTTACAGCCACAAACAAAAGCAGAATTTTACCTCTTTAAAAGCTGCGCTCGTCGTCCGACACGAGATTTAGGTGTAGGCGAATGCGGTTAGCTAACGGCTTCACGCTAAGCTAACTATTTCTCGACAGATTAACGGGATAAATGCAGGGCTGCCAAGTTTCAGAAAACGATAAGAGTGAGACTTAAGCGTTATGATGCGTTCGGCCGCTGAAAAATTCGGCCTTTTTTAACGTGGATTTATACCTTCAGACTGATGTCCTCACCTCCTGATGCTAGTCTGCTAGTCTAAAAATACCATCCGTGGGTTTTAAATGATGTTGCTGTTGTGTGTGAAAGATAGTTAGAAACGCCAAGACCCGCCTTACATTGCTTCTGATTGGTTTATATTGCGTGGTGCCTTCAGTGGTTGGTTAAGACTGATGGATTGGTCTGGGATGTCGGTTAGTCGGTCAGAGTCAGAATGGGTCAAATTGTGTGACTGTCGCACTCTAAGTAAATATGTGGAGGTGAACTCAGCGAAGTAACACGACTTCATGATAAAAATCACCTTCTACCTAAAAACCAGAAGTGACAGCGGGAATGTTTGACATTCTCCTGAATTTCAGGGTTAGACGTGAAAACTGGCGACTCCGAATCCAAACAGCCTTTCTCTACGACTTCAAACAACATCGGGGTCGAAGTGACTTCACCCTGAGGCCTTGAGTCATGGACCGTTTTAGCAAAGAATCAGAAACTAAAGGAGGGAACACATTGTCTCACAGCTTCCTTTGTTATTCAAAATGTCCCGGCAGCAGAGAACCTGCGGCTCTGGGATTGGACCGGACTGGGTCTGCCCCTGGTTCCTCATGATAAGGGAGGCAGGGACAGACCAGGGGACTGGGCAGAGCTGTTGGACTGCTGCTTACTCACACATTCACTCCCTGGAGGAGAGAGAGAGAGGACAATACAGCAGCAAGAGAGAGAGAGAGAGAGAGAGAGAGAGGGGGAGGTAGAGAGACACAGAGCAACAACGGTACACCAAGGAGACCACAGAAACACTCTTCCCCCCCAAATCCCCAACTCCGCTGCACAGAGAGACAAACAAAAGCATTCTTGGCTTTCAGTTTAAAAGAAGAAGAAGAAGAAGAAAAAAAAGTGAACAATACTCCGGCCGAGATCATTTACTTCAGATACAAATCCAAGCAGAGAGGCGTGACAGGACGGCGTCCAACTCTGTGCGCAAAAACGTCTCCAAAGCCGGAGAGAGAGGGATCTGTGCGCAGCGCTGCATGAAGGATAAAAACATCTGGGAGAAGAAGAAGAAGAAGAAACAGGATGAGAGCGACTCCGAGGATCACATGGCTGCTGCTGCTGCTGTTTACAACCAGTGAGTACTTTTTATTACCTCCACGACTACAACACCTGTTAGAGTCAGACCTCCAGACTTCATGAGACCAGGTTTCTGTGGAGAAAGAAGTCTGAGATGCAGCTACAGGTGTGAAGAGACAGACTATTCTGAGTGTTCTTCATTCTGTGTTGCAATGCTCCAAAAATCAGGAGAAGAAAAATGTTTTAACCTCCAAAAAATCTGGAGAAATCCAAGTTTGTTAAAGTCTTTGATTGAAAACTTGGAAAAAGAATTTCCATCAAATCCTGCAAAAGTTCATGTGGATTTTCTGCAAAATTTAACCTCAAGTGATGGATTAACTTTTAGAGATATTGATGCAAAAAGGAGTGAAAAGTTTGAGGAGAATAAAATTTGTGAACCTTCATGTTACTTTAGTGAAAGAATAATATAAGGATTCTCTGTAGCTCGGTGACATGTAAAAACATTTTATTTCATTTTTACTTCATGCAACTGAACAGGAAGTGAAGTTTGATCTGAGAGGTTCGGATCAGAGTGACAATATACTTATAAATATCAGTGAATCTCTGTGGAGGTTGGTCTGTGTGCAGAGGGAGAGGAACCACTGAGATAAAGAAGGAAAGCAAAATGTCGAAAGAAAATAAAACACAATTAAAAAAAAACCTCAAAGTGTTCATCATCAGTGAAGTGAAGCTCTGCGAGTCGATGGAGTGTCTCCTCTGCTGTCACTCCCGGACTTTCAGGCGTCCAGCTGTGAGTTTTGATCGGGTCGAGGGTGAACAGCAGCAGCAGCTTCAGAGCTGAGGGGACTTGTTGTCGTGTTGTTGTCGTCTAATCCACTGGATCTGTGAGGTGGAAGACCTGAGATTTAAGACTCAAGAAGAAGGAAAAGTGTAAACAAATCATAAAGGAATAAATCTTTATAAATGGACGCTGTATTTTAATTTAGGATATTAAGTTTTGATCCACAGCGTGAACCTGAGGAGCAGGCTGCAGGTTCAGAAATGATGCAGAAGAAAAATAAGAGAAAATTTGAGTAAATACATAAATATTGTTTGTTTAATTTCAGGTTTTTAGGTTTATTATTAAAAAAGAAAAGTTGGATTTTTGTTCCTGTCTGTGTGACTCGTCATAAATGCTGTGATTTGCATCGTCATAGTAACTTCACAGTCTGCAGAGTGAACCCATGAATTCATCTGAAGGTTTGATCGAACAGACGGGAGCCGCAGGTGCTCAGAGATAGACGCTGTGATTCTGATCTTCAGAGGGTTTGAACATTTTCAGGTTTTTTTTTAATTAATGTCACTGAAAACTCGGTCTGTTGAAATCAGTGAGTGAGGACTTTTTATAGAGTTTATAGAAATAAGTGGGTCAGAAGTTCAAACAAACAAGAATGTAAATAAGTGGAAATAAAAACCACACTTCCAGTTTTAATTCTGACCACTTCAACATTTTCACCGTGACAGCTGTCGTGGTTTAAAGGGTTATTTCAGCAGAATTGATCTGACATCAAATCTTCATTTTGACTCATGAATTTAAAGGTTTTGTCGTGTCTCAGACCTCTGAAAGTTCACTGACGTTTGGTTTAATTTCACGGCTGTTTTAGTGAATTTATGAGCGAAGAGTTTGATCAGGTCAAGTTTGAGTCTTCTGCAGAATTTCATTTCAAACTTCTGAGTTTCGCTGTCGCATTTCCAGAGCTGAACAGCCAAACTGAAAAGTTGAATTTCTTTCACTAAACTCTTGTAAATGTGCAAAAAACCTCTAAAGACGAGGGACAAACTTGAAACTCTCTGTTGCTGCACGTCCAAGTCTCTTTTTTTGTTCTTTTTGGTTAATTTGTGCTCCAATTAAGGAGAGGGAAATCCTCCACAAAGAGCAGCTCGTCTGTTTTTCAGAGCTCAGGAATCTGAAGAGTTTTTCACCAACGTATCAGAGCGAGTGAGAAAAACCGTCTCTGCTTTAAATTTACACTAAAGTGTTAAAAATGATTTAAAGTGAACAGTAGGACTCAGAGCTGAGACATCTGCCCCCTTCTTTAAAATACACACACACACACACACACACACACACACACACACACACACACACACACACACACACACACACACACACACACACACACTCGTAGGCTGAATAATGAAGTGCACCCTGACCCCCTCCCTCCCTCGCGCCTGAGAAGCAGTGAAAGTGTTTTTCTTTAATTATGCACCTGCCGCTCTGTGGATTCAGACGGAGGCTTTTATTTCGTGAGCGTGTGAAAAAAATCGTGTGACACAGCCCCGAAACCTCGGCGAGGGTCTGAGGGCTGTCAGCGCCGCTTTCTCTGAGAGCAACACGTGTTTGTGCTTGTGAACGTGCATCTGTTTCTGTTTGTTATACAGCCCCTTATCATCGTGTTGGAACCCTGGACACGTGCAACAACTTTTAGAGTTTCAGGTGTGAATTCAGGAGATTATTTCTTTTTTCTTTTTAATACATGTTTTCTCTTGGAAAGATAAAAAATCAGATTATTCTGCGTCCGTCAACCGTTTCTGTCCAAAACGAGGATTTTTGTCTTTTACAGTTTAAAGATGAAATCTCACAGATCGGCATAACGAGCTTTTTCGCCGTCTGTTTGAGAGTGAAACGATGAGAAAGAACTCAGTCGACAAATCATGTATGAAAGTTTGATGTAGCTGTGGACTACAGAGCTGAACTCTTAACCAGGATTTCCACCGCATCCGAAAACGGCTCCGATCACGAACGGCGGTGATTTTCGCTGTTCACCACAACAACCTCAGAATAACCTGCGGATTCACGTTCAATCGCGCGATAACAAGTTGTCTTTAGCCACAGAGGCTAACCATATAAGCAGTAGATTGTGTCCTTCCAGAGGAGGAAATCTACTTCTAGACTTCTAGAATCAGCATCTCCTCATCCATGGTGTCATCGGGGTGAAATGACGTCTAAAAACCTTTCACTTGTTCGTCTCAAATACAGAGTGAAACATGTAGTGTTTTATTTTGAAAAGAAGCCGGATGTTTTATTTTGTGTCTGTGCCCGACTTCCTTTCCAGCACGGGTTAATCTGTGCTGAATTTATCCGCCATGCTCCGGCGTCCAGAAAAAATAGAACTCTTGTGATCAGCTGAGGAGTCCGGCGATCCGCAGAGGAACGGAAAGAAGACGGTGTAAATTGACACGTTAACTTGAATGGTTACGATCAGCTACGATCGGAGGATACGACCTTTTCGTAGACGTTCCTGGTGTGGTGGAAATTGGGGGTCACTGTCTCCGCTGTCTCCGCTTGTTTCTGATTGGTCAAAACCCCCACTAACCAGTTCACACACTTCACGTCAAATCAATCCACAAAAATTAGTTCCAACATGTGTCGAACCTCCGATTTTCTCCCAATTTAACTTTAAGTTTTACAGATTTTTAAGGAAACTGCATCAAATAAAAACATTAAAAGTGTTTAAATTAAGTTTTTTTTTCCATTCAGTCGTTTTTGACTGAATTATTGCCGTGTGTGTCTCACACATCAGTGGACAGTTTGGCATTTCCTCGTAAACTCTGCCAAACCGACTCCTGGCATGTTTGAAGTCGATGTCAGCGTTCAAATAAATTTGCCGGATCGTGGTCTGGAGGAAGACGGTCTCATCAGTTATCACCTCTCTGCAGGACTTCCTAACCCCCACGCTGACCCTCTCTCTGTTGCGTTTGCGGGTTCGCGACTTGTCCGTTTCCTACAAGATAACATTCGGCCTTTTCGGCTGCAGCAGCAGCAGCGGTCCAGCTCGACACGTCGGACCGCCGCCGCTGCTGAAGAACATGGAGAGAACAGAGAACAATAGATGGGAAAAAACCTTTATCAACAGTCGGGTGTGGCGTCAGGAGACGGCCTTGAGTTTTCTCCCACTCGGTTTCATGAGGCTTAAAATCAGGAAGATGGAGGAGGAACAGAAACAGAAAGAAGAATATTCCAGAGCCCAAAAACAGGCGTGACTGTTCTCAGGAAAACAGAACTTAACTCGTGATTGAGCGTCTATCAGGGATCGATATTTTAATGTGGAGCAGCTTGACTCTCTGTGCACCAGATCAGGAAAAGTGTCTTTGCCTAAAAGTTTCAATTTTACTCATTTACAGAAAAAAAAATCAACTTCTACTGAAACCAGATACTCTTTTATTTCCGGGGCGCCACTGAGTCAGAAAAAATACTGACTTTATTTTCCCTTGAGGAATTTCTCTGAGAAAGTGTTTGTTGTGTTTAAAATAGAGCAGTCCATCATCACTCATAACGTTAAAATCCACTCGATTCGTGAGACAGACAGCTGGAACTTTTCAGTCCGTGTTTTCAGAGACTGTTTGCGATAAGACTGAAACGATTCCGTGACCTCGATTACAAACAATGATCGAGGAATCTTCTCTGCCTCGTTTATCAGCTCAAATCGTCACTGTTTCACACGGATTCTTTTGAAGGTGACGCAACGCGCTTAAGTCACAATGGTAGAAGGAGGAGTTAGCGCTGTTTGATGATGAGACGGACTTTTCTTGCAGTGTTGCCAACCGAGTGACTTTCCCCATTTAGCTTCAAACAACGTTTAAAAATCTGGTATGAATTTTTGACAGTCACTTTTTTTGCACATTTACAACAATATTTGTCAACTTTGAGATATTTCAAATAGTTAAATCTAAATCTAAATCTAAATGTTTTGGGTGAAACTAAATATTTAGCTTTTATGCAAATTCAAATGCCGGTAACCGGAAATACCAAAATAAAAGCTCGAGGATGTCAATGTGTGTTTATAGCGTCAGATAATGGATAAAACCCATCTCATCCGGGGAAATGGACTCTTGGACATGGATTACCGTGATAATAACTACCTAAAATAATAAACACGTTTGGATAAACTTTATTTGAAGGGTACTTTGAGCTTTTAGTGTCAACCCCTCGTGGCTGGCTATAGTAGCTACATGTCATAAGTCCCGTACCCCTCACAAAAGTGACACTAAAAGCTCAAAGTACCCTTCAAATAAAGTTTATCCAAACGTGTTTATTATTTTAGGTAGTTATTATCACGATAATCCATGTCCAAGAGTCCATTTCCCCAGATGAGATGGGTTTTATCCATTATCTGACGCTATAAACACACATTGACATCCTCGAGCTTTTATTTTGGTATTTCCGGTTACCGGCATTTGAATTTGCATATAAGCTAAATATTTAGTTTCACTCAAAACATTTAGATTTAGATTTAGATCTAACATTTGGATACAACATTTAGATTTAGATTTAACATTTAACATTTAGGCGTTACATTTACTATTTAGATTTAACTATTTAAAATATCTCTAAGTTGACAAATATTGTTGTAAATGTGCAAAAAAAGTGACCGTCAAAAGTTCATACCAGATTTTTAAACGTTGTTTGAAGCTAAATGTGGCAAATTGTTGCCGTTTTTTTCAGCGTGAGCCGCTTTACAAACGGCGCCCCATACTGAGGAGTTGGCAACACTGTTCCAGTCGCTCATTAGCACTTCGCCTCTGAGTCGTGGGCGGAGTCAGCGCTTCTCTTCACGCTAGCTTGTAGCCTAACATTGCCGATGTCGTAGCAGAAGCAGGTAACAGGAGATATTCGGCTCTCGGACACTAACGTCTTTAGGGACGTGATGAAAGTTAATATCATAATTAGCTTTCTTACTAGCATTGCTATCGGCTAACGCACACGCTTGTTCAGCGGTTGTCCTCTATCTCTCAGAGTCTGGCCTTCATTGCGGGGTTTTAGGAAATCTAACTTTACGTGAGTCGGCTGTTTGGGCCCAATTACTCGAGTAATCGTTAGAATACTCGTTAGAATACTCGATTACTAAAATATGCGACAGCTGCAGCTCTAGTTTGCAATGAAGACAACCTGTGAGGATTCATGTTTACGTTTTTGTGAGATTTGATGATTTTTGTCGCTAGCTGACGACGCTACACGGAGGCTGACATCTTTGTTTTGGTCACAGGCCTGTAAAGGTTCAGCTAGGAGGACAGAACTGTTTCAAATAGATTCATCTTTATCAGCAGATCTGTGTTCGGTGTTGTAGTTCTGGATGAAAACATCAACTGTGAGAATATCGTCTGTTGGAAATCGTGAAGGACTGAGGAGCAGCTCAGAGGGAGTTTGAGGAGTGAGTGAGTGAGTGAGGAGGTCTGAGCAGGTGTGGAGCTGAGACAGGTGAAACAGTTTGTGGAGATCAGGACGACGAGGCCGGGTCCAATCGAACATCCTTTTCACTTCACAGCGTTGACTTTAAATCGTACTTTTTACATCGTTTGAAGGGAGGAGTTTGACGTAACTGTGAGGGTTGTTTTTGCAGAAAATAAAGTGAAATAAGAGGCTTTTGTTTGAGATCATAGTTTCATATTTGGTCTTTTGCTCTTTTTCCTCCTCCGATCTTTCCTGAAGGTTAAAACAGCTCGCTCATTTTTTATTGTCTCTTTTTGAACCCAGCTCCTGGATCATGCAGAGGTTTTTTTTTTTTAACCTTCTTCTGCTTGTTAACAGAACTTTGACAAACTCGGTGTTTATAGAAGTTTGTAGATAAGTCTCTGGAGCTGTGATTAATCTTTAGGATTTTGTTTTGGAGAATATTTGGCAACATTTATGATGTAAAGTTGGCTCCGTTTTTAATGGTTTAAAGAGAAATTGTTGCCACAGATGAAGAAGATTTTGTAACTTTGGTTTTAGTTTGATAAATAAATCAGAGTTTCCCAGTTTTCCTCGACCCCTGAAGGTCTCGTTTGACCTTATTTGGTGGTGATCGCGCAGCTTCTTAACGGAGCGTTTCATCTCTGTCTGACACTCTCCTTCACCTCCACTGTAACCCCACACTCCCCTTTTTTACCCAGCATGCCATGCTGCACAACCAGGTGTCCATTAATCACGCCGGAGGCTGGTACCGCCGAGGACCTGCACCCTCCTCCTCGCCTCCTCGTTCATTCCTCTCCTCCCTTCCTCATCTCTCCTCCTCCTCCCTTTCTCAGCGGTCTTTTCACCTGCATCATCACTTTGACTCTGAACTCCCCGCTGAACTCAAGAAAACACAAACAAATGATAACACAAGTCCCGCCCCTGCTTGATCCTGATTGGTTGGAGATGAAAGAGCGACACAAAGGAGTTCAGTCGTTCCAAAAGAGCGAATTCAGCTTCACATCATTGGCAAAATTGGGGTGTGGCCGAGTTGACTGACAGGTGGGCGTGTCTTAGCTGCTTAATGCCTCCAATCGATTTCTTCACTGGTTTTGATGGTTGATGGGGAGCTGGACTGGGTCAGGTGACCTCACTGAGACTACGTCCATGTTTGTAGAGTCTACGGTTATAATGCAACTAACAGAGCAAACAAGAGAAGAAACCTGTGTGTGTGTGTGTGTGTGTGTGTGTGTGTGTGTGTGTGCGCGCTCTTACATTGAACTTTTACCACTCCTGCACCCCACGGCTCGCATAAACACACATACCAGAGCGGTTTCCAAGGACAGGGAGTGTGTGTGTGTGTGTGTGTGTGTGTGTGTGTGTGTGTGTGTGGTCACTTCCATGTGGCCGTTAGATTTACGGCGTCTCAAACCCCTCTTCACTCTCTCCCCCCTCCTGCCTCGCTCCTCCCTTTCACTTGTCTCCCTTTTATTCCTGCCGAGTGTTCTTACATTCACGGCCCCTCTCCTCCTCCCCTCACAATGTAAAGACCCCCACCCTTCCCCTCCTCCCTCCCTCCCTCCCTCCCTCCCTCCCTCCCCCCTCTCTCAGGATGGAAGGCCGGGGCTGCAGCAGGGGTCTGCAGTGAGGGAGTCGCCCGTGCTTGCATGGCTGCACGTGGGGGCCGGAGGGTCTTTGTGTAGGCTGTCAGTAAGCTAACGGGCCGCTTTGTCCCGCAGGAGCTTTGAGGCGACAGCTACATTTATTTATTGACTCTCCGTGGAGCAGGTTCACGCTCAGACGGACATCTGAGCGAGTTAGAGGGTCAGGCAGGCTGGACCGAGAGCTGACACGCTGATATCAGGGTTATGAGCTTTCAACCAATCAGAATCAAGTATGAAACAGACGTCTCTACAGTGTCCTCTTAGTACGACCATCATTTACCAAACTGACTTCATGCTTTATTTACTCCTCAGATCCTGTTAACTTGAAGCTCCATCCAGACGATTTTGTCCCCCAAAAATAATCATTTATTAACCTTTTTTTTTACTCAAACTTCAGCCCTAACTATTAAAAAAAGTAATAAATAAAAAATTCATTGTATTCCCCTTTTTATGTCAGTTTTTGTTCACCATGTCATATTTATTGATCAAGTGTTCTAATCAGCTGAGTCTATTGGAGCGGAAAAACATGTCATTTTCACCTCCTCTTCTCGAGCCTCGTCCTCTAACAAATCAAATGAATCAAATTCATTTGTTCATAATGAATTAATTTTACATATTGGCATATAAAATCTGAAGATATATGTAAGATAGGAATCATTTATAAGTGTTTATCCACCTCTAACCAAAATATGACCGTGATTACTCTGATATAAAAAATAACTGCATATTTGAGACGTGATATCTTCTCATCTAATGATCTGAAGGACCTGTTCATCCTCATGCATGTCCATCCACTCACTCTGAAGTGAGGACAAAGTTGAAATTGTCCAAATGTCCCCCTCTCTTTGTCCCACACTGCAGAACTTGGACGTCAGATTCTCGACTGTAAAAACTCACGTCATGCTCGTTTATAAACATGGACGCAGATTCTCACCCGTGCACACACGCAGGAGCACACACACTTCTCCTTCCACACATATCCCACTCTTAGACATCCATATCTAGTGTCATGTAAAGTTTCCTTCATTTCTGATGATGTTTAGTGGATGAATCTTCAAATTCTCTCAGTCCATGAATGAAGACTTGAAGAATTAAAATGATGTGCGGCTCAGTCTGTTGTCTCACTGTGGGAAAGTCAAATTTAGAGTCCTGCTGATCCACTGACTGCAGAAAAAAGGTTGTAATATGTTGTTATGGAGCCGTAAACACACGCTCAAAAAAACTGTTTTTAATGGAAGTCTATTGGCCGATTTGTGGACTAAGGACCCTCTGAGCATTTTTTGGTCTAACAGATGTCTAAATGTAGTCTAGACCTCGGGTCTAAAATCAGACTACCACAGGTCTAAAAATGAAGGATTTTAGACGTTTAAATTTAGACCAAGTTTAGACTAGCCGGCTAACAGAGGTCTAACTGTATGTTGCGTCTAATAGCCTTCTACTGCTCAGTGGGGAGGGTGGGTGGAGCTAAAATGTGGCGACGGAGAACTACAGGTGACACAGAGTTTTTTAAGAACTTTTGATGCCCCAATCTTTAAAAATGTGACCGTCAGCTCAAAATAAAGACGACAAATGTCCTCAAAACGGACAGAGGAGGAACCGAGGGTTAAAGACGCCCTGAAACTTCTCACTGAGCAACAGACGCTATTAGACATCTAGTTTTTTTTTAGACCTGATTTCAACGTCTAGATTCTGTTTATTTTTAGACGGAATTTAGACGTCGCACTTTAACCCATAATTCAGTAACTGTTTATCTCAAAAAGCAACTGTGAGTTTCATAATTGATCTCCAAGTACTAAACCAAAATAATTCTGATAGTCGTGGAACAAAATACAGTTTAGTAAAGATATAGCTTAGATTTAGACTTGGTCCAAACTTGGTCTAAATTTAGACGTCTGACCTGTGGTAGTCTGATTTTAGACCAGCCGTCTAGACTACATTTAGACGTCTATTCGACCTCTTTTAGACCAAAAATGCTCAGAGGGTTCTGACACTTCTGTTTCTTTTTGAACGTCCGTCTTCACGCTCACGTTCATATCACAGATAATCTTCACGTCTTTGATGCTGAATCTGAAATATTTCAATCATTCGAAGTTCGTTACCTGCAGAAACCGTCCTCTCACTTTAGTCTGGAGGAACTTGAACGCTGGACCTCCCTCATGCTTTCATGTCTGAATGGGAACAAATGAGTGTGTGTGTGTGTGTGTGTGTGTGTGTGTGCGTGTGTGTGTGTTCATTTATTTACAGCATGGCAGTCAGGAAGGAGAGACAATTCGCCGTGTCTCCACCCTCCGGCCTCACTGTCATTCTGTTTTAATGTGAGCGGGTGGTGGTTCTCACACCGGACAGGATGGGGGTTACACCCTCTGGAGACAAACACTTGGACCCCCTGCAGGGAGGGCAAGGAGACAGAGAGGACCCTTTGACCTCCTCTAGACCTCCGCTAAGTCTGAGGGTAAACCCTGTCACAGTCCAGAGGACGACTACAGAGAGGACGGACTAATGTGAGGACAACTTCAGGTCCTGATGGAGTTTTACACTCCAGAACTTTAGATTCTGGGTTTTTAAAGTCCATCAATAAGCTCAGACAATAAAAACTTTCCGGGAGGTCAAGCGCCAGGTACAGAGCGAGTACAGCCCTCCGTTTTTTGTGCATTTTTGGCCGAGATCCACACGGTGAGAAGCTCTGCTGACGCCAGCGGTCTGATTGGCCCAATCTGTTTACAAGCACGCCAAAAATCTGAGGCTGTCATGCAGCCAACACGCTTCCTGCATTTAACACCAGGGCATCTGCAGGCTCAGGGTCTACTGCCTCAAACCTTACCGAGCCGCGCTGAACCAAAGCAGACGCCTGTACGCTTCAATCCAGGTGGACTTTGGCGATCATTCTTGGTTCTTAGGAGAGTTCGGCTCAAATCACAACCTCATGAGGAAGTTTCAGGAACAGACAGGAGGTTAAATCCACAGATCAAACTTCCAGAGGCTTCACAGTCTGACTTCACAGACAAACAAAGTCCCGCTGTAACCTGCTGTATGTTAACGTACACAGAAACTGAGCGGAGAACAATAGAAACAGCTGGCACCGCACCAGAGCGGGTCGATTAAGTCGAGACATTTGACAGAATTAGAATTCAGTCACAGGATCAAATCAACAGAGTGTTTCCTGTTTCTGAGGAAAGCCAAGAAACAGAGGGAAGAGCCAGGGAAAGGACAGCAGGTCGGTTCTCACACCCTCAGCTGTCTGACCCTCACACAGTCGGCCTGAGCGGGACACACCCCGAGACAAACAGAAAAACAACGACGGTATAATACTGTTGGACAAAACAACAAACAACAGAATCATACAGTCAAAAAAACAACGAACAACGGTATAATACAGTCAGAATAACAACAACGGTATAATACTGTTGGACAAAACAACAAACAACAGTATGATACAGTCAGAATAACAACAACAACAGTACAATATAGTCAGAAAAACGACAGTATAACACTGCCAGACAAACAACAAACAACGGAATAATACTGTAGATAAAAAAAAAACAAAAGACAACGGAATAATATAGTCAGCAAAAATACAACAGTATAATATAGTCAGAAAAACAACAACAGTATAATATGGTCAAAAATACAAATGACAGTATAATACAGAGGGAAAAACAAACAACAACGGAATAAAAAAAGAAATAAAAAAAACAACTTAATATTATAGTCAGAAAAAAACAACAGAAAAATATAGTCAGTAAAAACAGAACAGCATAATACTGTAGGAAAAATAACAAACGCTAGTATAATATAGTCAGAAAACCAACAACAAAAGTATAATATAGTAAAAAAAAAAAATACAACAGTATAATAAAGTCACTTAAACAACAATATAATAAAGTCCAAAAATACAACAGTATAATACTGTAGTAAAAACAACATCAGTACAATGACGTCAAAAATACAAATGAAAGTGTAATACAGGCAGAAAATAGACAAAACAGAACAATACAGTCAGAAAAAAAAACAACAGTATGAAACAGTCAGAAATACATATGAGGATATGAAACAGTCTGAAAAACAGCAAAAGTATCAATTCGACAGTATAATACAGTCAGAAAAACAACACAACAGTATGATACAGTTCAAAAAAACTGTAACAGTCAAATACAGTCAGAGAAGACAACAACAACAGTATGGTTCAGTTCACAAAAAAACTGATTAATGCTGGCAAAAAAACAACAACAGTATAATACAGTCGGAAAAACAACAACAGTATAATACAGTCAGAGAAGACAACAACAACAGTATCATACAGTCGGAAAAACAACAACAACAGTATAATACAGTCAGGAAAAATACATACGAGGGTAGGAAACAGTCAGAAACAACAACACCAGTATAATACAGTCAGAGAAGACAACAACAGCAGTATGATACAGTTAAAAAAACAACCAAATAATGCTGTCAAAAAATAACAGTATAACACAATTAGAAAAAATTAATTATTAAAACAGTTTAATACAGTCAGAAATACAACAACTGTATAATACAGTAAGAAAAAATACAACAACAGTATTATACAGTTGGACAAACAACAGTATGTTACACTGCCAAAGATCAAATTTCCAAGTTATAGTCGTATCACCGTATTTTACCTTTATTTATCATTTAATTAAATTCAACCCTTATCAGAGTTTTTTTTAATTAAACTTTGTTTATTATTTCTGGGTGTTAATGCAGATAAAAACATCAGAAACCCACTAAAAAATTATAAAAAACACATAATCTGAATAATATAAACATGAATCACACAATCGTGTTTGTTACTATTAAAATATCCCAGAAGGAGCAGACCGAAAACTTCACGAGCTCGTTTTAATTAGACTGAGGTCAAAGTAAACAAACCAGGTCAAAGGTCAGCTAATGTGTTATAATGAGTGGAAGACAGAGCTGGTCTCTGTGTGTCTGTGTGTGTGTGTGTGTGTGTGAGGAATGTGTGTGTGAGGTAAAAACAGCTCTGGGACTGATAGCAGCGGATCAGCCGGTCCTGTCGCCCACTGAGAACCAGATACGTCGGTGACAGCAGGGGTCAGGGGGTCAGGGCGAACATGACGGCACACCTGAGGGAGAGAGAGCGAGAGGGTTTGAAGAGGTCCTGCAGCTGAAACCCGTCAGAGGAAAGTTCTGCTCACTGTGTCGGACAGGAAAGATGCCTCATCTTGGCAGAACTTTGACTCACGGCCAGCTGAGATTCCTCCCACATGACGTGATCCTGGAAATATTTACAGTCACGCCGATGAAGGAAACGTCCTCCAAACACAGTCTGATTTTACAGATGATTACCGCCGTCATTACTGTTATTTTTAAACTTTAGTTCTGAGATTAAATCTGAGTGTTTCTGAACACGGTTTTCTACTAACAGTTATTTTACACCAGTGTGATCGCAAACTGGGACTCAGAGGAAGGAAACAGCTTTAAGTGTTCATTTAAAGCTGAAACGATAACGTGTTACACTGACAGAAATAAGCAGAAATGCATTTTTTTAAAAAGTACCGGTGTCAATATGATGTGCACAATTTTTGATCACCCGTTTGCCTTCAGGGAAAGTTTTATCTGCAGCTCTGAGGTGATTTTAAGTTTATTTCAGATATACAAACCAAAAATATAAAAAAATAAAACAAGAAAAGTAAGGCAAAACATGGAAACATGAAACATAGAAATACGTATTTGAAAAGGAGTGAGAAGAAGAACTTATGAACTCGCAGCCCTTCACTTTAAATAATAAGTACCCACACTAAGCTTCGATAACACTTTACTTGTCGCCTCTCTCTATAACGTTTAATAAATATATGTATAATGTGTTATAACTGATAACAACTCACTTACAATGCCCACATAGATAATGCTATGTAACAGCTGTTAACAGTTATAACACATTATAAAACCTGACCCTGTAAGTCATGATAAAATGCTTTATAATGTGTTATGATTATTGCTATAAAGCATTATGATCATTTATGAGCGTTTATAACCATAGTTACACGGTTAATTATAATGCGTTATAGAGATATGCGTCAAGTAAAGTGTTACTCAAGCTTCCTTGCAACTTATTTAGAAGAACCTGATTATTATAGATAAATAAAGTACGTTCATGACTTTGTATTACGAAACAAAATCTACGTCCACATAATACAGCACACACATAAAAACAACAAAATGAAATAAAACAAGAAAGAAACAAAAACAAAAGAAACAATAAACTCAGAACATGGACACCTTCCTCATCTCTGTACGTCTACAAAATCACGTCTTTTTACCTCTTTTTAAACTGTGTAAACATGTTTGAACATTTAACTCCATGGAAAACACAAAAACCCTTCCTCCTTGTCCGAATTAAAGAGAATTCTCCCTCTTGAATTATAACTCCCCTCACTCATACTGAATAATTTCTGTATATTTATTGGTAGATGATTATTTTTAGCTTTAAACATTATTTGAGATGTTTGATATTCTACAATGTCTGTGAATTTTAACAACTTAGAAAACTGCAGAAACTGATCGCCAACATGGTGTATAACTCGTGTTGCTGTTCTGAATGGTGGTTAGTGGCTGCAGTGATGTTTTCAGCACAGTGTTGGAAGTTTGGTGAGATTAGGGAACTTTGTTGTTTTGAATATTATTGCAGTGCTTCTTAAAACTTTGATTTGTTCATGTTTGATTTGTGATTTCTAAGTGATTCTGTCGTCTCTGGTTACCTCCATAAAATTTAATATCGTGAACTCTTTCTATTGTAACTCCCTCTAATTTTATTAATACTTCTGTATTTAGTGGACAATTCCCAAACACCGTTAATTTTGTTATGCTCAGATTTAATGATAAACTATTTCTGTCTCTCTGCAGACTTTTGGGACGGTGACGATAATTTCTAAATTCTGCTCAAATCAAAGTGCAGAGTACTTTTTACATGTAGCAGATGACACAAAATAAAAAACTCACTTTGGACCTCAGTGTTTAAAAATATGTGACACTGACATTATCAGTATGAACCAAGTCCATGTTCCAAAACTTACACGCTCTCACCGAGTGTCTACATGCTGATCAGGACGAGCAGACTCGTGTAAATCAAAGTCCTCCTCTGAGCCCAGACCCTGACAGTCTGTCCCTCTTTGTCTCTGCAGGCTGTCAGCTGATAACTCATGTGTGTATGTGTGTGTGTGTGTGTATCGTGTGTTGCGGAGACAGCGCAGGCTCGGCTTGACCACAGCAGACTCTTATCTGATCCCTCCTGACTCGGTCCTAATGCTGCTTTCAAATGCTGTGGGAATTCTGGAGGTTGTTTTTCAGGAAACCTTTGTTTATGTTCTCTGAAGCCCGAGGGGCAATCATCATGGAAATGAACCAAGACCAGGAGCTTCTGATCCTGCAGGCAGGAGGTTTTGGTGGACTTCAGGGGCGGCGCTCTTTACCGTCTCTGATTAAAACAACCGTCTTTAAAAAAGTGGAAAATTGACTAAATTTAGGAAACATGTCGGCAGAAACTCTTACTGAGATGATTCAAAGGTCATTCAGACAGTTGAGGAGGAAAAGAAACCGAAAGCTGCAATCGACAAAGATCCTTTAACATAAAAAGGACTTTTCTGGGGTCGTCTGCATGTTTGAGTTAAAGGGACATTCCGGCGTAGAATTAATTTAGGGTCAAACACACCGTAACACCGAGTTAAACTCTCCGTCGAGAGATGTTGCTGACCGCCTACTTCTCTAGTTATACCAACTTTAGTAACGATTTTCTTAGTAAGACTAAACACAACTCACCTACTCTCTTCCAGCAGCCGCTTGTTTGTAGCGAGTCCATCGACTACAGCGGGGCGCCGCAGCTCAAGGAAGAACATTTATGATCATTTCTTCATGGAAATACAATCAGACCGAGACGCTAAGACAGAAGAACTACAGCGTCTGTAAAATGATTAATATGATGATTATTACTTCACGGAAAGGATAAAGAAATAATCATAAATGTTCTTCCTTGAGCTGCGGCACCCCGCTGTAGTCTGGGGGGTAGTCTCTTTGTGGACTTGTATCGTCACGAGTTGCTGAAGATAAGAAGATAAAAAACAGACCAAAACGAGTCTGAAAGAAGTGAATAAATAAAATGTGGTTCTCAGGAGGTCACTGTGGTCCTGTGAGGATGTTTAACATAATATACATGTTTTTAAAGCGGCTACGTGTGTCTCCACACATGTACGCTGGCTCCTGGTGGATGTGGTGGAGGTGGGTGGAGGTCAGAAAGCGTGGGGGTGCGGGGGATGTGTGCCATTGTTTTCTGGACTTGGAGTCAGGCAAGGATTGTTGGAGGGGCACTCCAAACGGGCCGTGGTCGCGGGTGTGGTGCTTCCAAGTTTATTGTGTTCGGCATCCTGTCCTGAAGACTAAAAATAGAGGAACAGAAGAAGAAGACGGGGCGCTGGGGCTGAAGCTCACAGCTGTCAGACCTGCAGGAAGTCCAGGAGCAGAGGTCAACCAGATCGGACTTCACAGAGACTCTGACGGTTCCTTTAAGTCAGAGCTTATCAATATGTTCACTGATAGATAATTGATCAGCACTGAGATTAATTCATGGATGCAACAACGAACTTTGTTTACCGGCGATGGTTTCTGAAGGTCGCCCCCTGCTGATTTATTTCAAGAAATGCAGGTTTAAAACTCTGATACTTCTCATTTACGATCTTTGGTGCTAATATGTCGGATACGTGAGATCCTCGTCTCTGATTGGTTTCTCCACCTCGTGTGTCTCCCTCCACAGGCTTCCTGTTACACGCCGTCTCTGCGAGCGAGGACAATCAGAACGCCACGTCTGTGTCAAAGGACGATGCTAACGTCACAGCAGCTATGGATGTGGCGACGACTCCTGTAGGCGGCGTCCAGAGCGGGCTGGCTGTTACAACAAAGACGGACGCTCCAACGACTACAATCAGAACCACACATACAAACCCAGCTACTACAGCCACAACACCTGTTACCACGGCTACGACAGCCAAGCCAACAGACAAACCAGCCGCCACCCAACCTCCAACAACCACCGTCCAAAACAACCAACCCGCAGCCCCCGCCACAACCTCAGGTTCTTCTAATCCTCCCTTGAATAAACCACCAAATCCTACGACTACAAATCCCAGCCCGACCATGACTCCGAACCCGACTGCGACCACCGACAGTAGCAGCAGTGGTGGGGGCGGCGGCGGTCAAGTGGCGACCACCAACACTCCTAAAATATCGACGATAAAACCCTCAGATGGAGGTGTGGTTCCCGCGGTGACTGATGCATCTACAACACAGCCGGGAGGTCAAGGCACTGTGGAGACGACAACCATCTCGAAGGTCACCACCTCAGGGCGAATTCCTACCACTCAGACCACCATCAGCTCCGGGACGATCCCTCAGGACGGCAAAGGAGGTGAGAGATCGGACCTGACAGCAGAACCTGAAAACTGATTCGTTACTTTGACGAATCAGTCTCATGAATGTTTCTGTTCATTTTACGTTTTTTTTTTAGTGACACAGAAAACGACGGTGACGGTCACAACCCCCCCGCCAACGACATCCAGAGCCACGCAGTCTTCTGGGACCACCATCAACCCCTTCACCCCGACTAAAGCAGGACCCCCATCAGGAGGCACCACAGGAGGAAAAGTAGAGACCACGGCTCCCCAAACCACCAAGTCCTCCATGACCTCCACAGTGGGCCAGCTGAGGACGTTTCAGGTTCGTTGTTTTTTTTTCTCTCGATTTTGTTCAAATAAAAAGTTCCTCAGTTCGGCCTCTGAGTGACGATGTTTCCTGTTTCTCTCCGCAGTACTCTCTAAACACCGGACAGGAGGTAAGATGGACTTCTTTTCGCTTCTTCTACCTCAAAATCTGCATCAGCCTGTTTCTATCCCATGTGATAATAAACACGGTTCCTGCTCCGACTCTCCTCGAACCCTCGGCTATTGTTCCGATCATGGGAGGCAGACCCGCAGACCCGCACCCTTCCACTCCTTTCTTCTCTGACATTTACTCCCCAACGCTCCGTCTAATTAAAGACGTTGAATTATTGTGCAGCATCCTGCAGGGAGAACAAGAACAATAAGAGCTGTTGTTTTTAATCATCCACCTCCACGCTCGCCCCGCTAACGTTGAACTCGTGTAAATATAAGGTTCGAGCACAGGGAGGTAGAAACGAGACTGTGCATCACACCGATGCAAAAAACGGACGCTTTCAGGGAGCGACGGTCTCTCTGTTCCGCAGAGTTACCCCCAATTTCCAACCAATCCAGAGCGGCTATGAAAAGGTCGTATCCGCCGATCGTAACCATTCAAGTTAACGTGTCAATTTCCACCGTTTCGCAGCTGATCGCAAGAGTTCTATTTTTTCTGGACGCCGGAGCATGGCGGATAAATTCAGCACAGATTAACCCGTGCTGGAAAGGAAGTTGGACACAGACACAAAATAAAACATCCGTCTTCTTTTCAAAATAAAACACTCTGTGTTTCAAGAAGAAAGTCCTTTTTTCCATGTGGATGAAGTCATGGTTTTAGTCAGCGGTAAATTGAGCGCAGTTCTTCACTCTGGAAACTTTCATCATTTTGCACAAATCATTTCAGACAAAATGAAACTAAAGTATGAATAAATAAGACACACACCCTTTCAAAATAAGATCAACACCAACCTTATTTTTGACTGTTTTCCTTTAATACTCAGACTCAGATTTATTTTCTTATAACCTTGTCTCACTAAGAATAAATATTTTTTTATAATAGTTTAATGACTTTCTTCTGATTATTTATCGTTGTAATAGTTCGACTTAAATTTTTCTTCAAAATAAAACGTCTCTCCTTCTAAGAGACTTTGACTGTACCCTCATATTATGATGACGTTATTTGTTAATCTCAGGACTTTCTTCAGTCTTGTGATTCTGAGACTCGATTCTCATAATAAAACTGTGAATTTATTCTCCAAATATTTTGACCTGATTATCGTAAAAATAGAGAAAAAGACCAAAAACAATTCTGATCTTCAGAGCTGCAGACAAAACAGGCACGGCTCTGTAGTGGGAGTCACCGCATCGGCTATAAAAATTTTAAAAAGTGTGATTTGATGTCGATAAATGTTCACAAATGAAATTCCTCCAAATGTAGAAATAACATCCACGTTTCCTGCTCCGCTCCGGTCCCCGGGTGTCTGAGAGGAAACGGTGAAGCTCGCTGTAAAAAAAAAAGATTCCAGTCACAGGGCGGAAAAAGTGGGAACCCTTCCTGCCTTTCACTCGTTTCCTACATTCCCACACCTCCTTCACACACTCACCCTCTCCGTCTGTCTGCTGCGCTCCTCCGTCAGAGAGCAGAAATGATCCCTCCATCTGAACCCCACAGAGAAAACCCTCAAAGACCGTCACTGATGTGTGGTTTGACCTTCCTCCTGCAGAAAGACGAAGAGAAGGAGCTGGTGGAGGTGTGCAGGAGGCTGATGAACAACCTGCAGGATGGAAACTGCACCCTGACGTGGCGGCATCACGGCGGGAAAGTTCAGTTCGACTGCGTGGAGGTCAACGGGAAAGGTGGAGCAGACTGGTCATGTATGTCAACATTGAAGTGTTTCATGACCTGCTGAGCTGACACGTTTACGTTTCTGTTCCAGTGAAAACCAGCGTGGCGACGCAGATCTACGAGGAAATCAACAAGGTGAGAGTTAAAGGCTCATTCAGTGATTTTACCGATCAAACTCCTGAAACAGAAACTGAAACGAAAAATCTCTCTCTTCTCCTGAAAGAAACCGACGGATAATAAAACCCTGATCGCCATCCTGGCGTCCTGCGGAGCTCTGCTGATCATGATCGTCATCCTCGCCGTCTGCGCCTCCCATCACCGCAAACCTTACAACGAGAACCAGGTGAGAGGGCGCGGAGGGTTTCCTCGCGCTCTGTGGTGTTAATGTCGTACGACTGAAACCTTCTCTGACACCTTGTCTTTGAAATGTCCCTGCAGCAACACCTGACGGAGGAGCTGCACACGGTGGAGAACGGTTACCACGACAACCCCACGCTGGAGGTGATGGAGGTGCAGTCGGAGATGCAGGAGAAGAAGATGGCGCTGAACGGAGAGTTCAACGACAGCTGGATCGTCCCCATCGACAACCTGCTGAAGGACGAAATACCCGACGAGGAGGACACGCACCTGTAGAGACGCTGAGAGGAGGAGGAGGAGGAGGAGACGGAGGAAGAGGAGGAAGAGGAGGAGACATCAGGACCTGGCTGGTGGAGATTCTTGAGACTTTGATCACCAAACGAGCCCACGTATCGCTGTCCTTTTGATTTATTTCTTCTGTTTTAGAGTCTGAAGCTCCACTGAAAACTCACTCTGTGGCCTTAACAGTTTTCCTAAAACGTCCACCAAACACCTACACCTGTGTCGAGTCCAGGTCCGAAAAGTCTGACTTCCTGTAGAGAAACTCGCTTTAAAAAAATCCCCAAAAACCTCAAAGAAGACTGTGCCTGCTCTCAGACCGATTTAGACGCTCGAGTGCGAATCTACTCTAAGTATTTTCACCTCATTTCTACTGAAGATGAAGAAAAACTCACTAAAGCTGTGAAGGAAGGAAACAGGTAACAGTAACGTCAGCTGCCTCGGCGGTTTTAGAGTCACTAACGTAGATGAGACGACCTCAGGAGGCTTCAGAGCGTCCTGGTGATTTCACACGGAAACCTGCTGATCGGTGAGACAAACGGAGGAGAAGACGTTTTATTTCTGCGCTTCCAAAATGATCAAACACTAAAGAGAGAGACTTCTGAAACTGCCCGTGTATTCGGAAATCGTGGATTCTGGCGCCCCCTGCAGACAGAACATGGCGCAAGAGTTCCCATTAGGAGAATTTAGTGCAGCTGGAAATCCTGATCCAAAGCGAGCCGTCAAGTCCTGAATCTGGATCATATTTCTGCAGGTTTAACTTCTCAAACCCGACTTAGACGATAAAACAGGAAGTGAACTAAACACCGACTGAGGTTTTAGACCGTTTAAAAGACACGCTGGATTTTGTCAGTGAGACGTAGAGAAGTTCTTTTTTGTCTGTTTGCAAAAAAAGGGAAATTAACATTTGATGCTTTTTGTATCGAGCAGCAGAGAGGAAATATTTCAATCAAGTGAAATCAAGATTTATTCTCCTTTCATTTTACCGTGCCTTTAATTTTCACTAAACACACTTCAGGTAACAAAGTCCACGTTCTTCTCTGTTAGCGTCTCTCTGTATGTCGTAATTTCCCGGTCGAAGCAACAAAAACAACCGAAAATAATGTGGAATTTTACTTTAACTACAAAGAAATAACAGATTTTATCGGCAAATATCAAACCTAGATTTCTCTTGAGTCCGTCAGCGTCATCGGCTGATTTGACTCCACGGTCAGTCGGATCAGAACCAGACGTTCTGGAGGGAACACCTGGAGGGACACACACACACATATTCTCTTTTATTTGGACCTCTCTGATCATTTTCTTCCCTTTGGACACATTAAAAAGTTAATATATATATTTACCTACATCACAGTGACTCCATCAGCTCGGCCACTTTGTGTTTTTTTTATGTGATTGTGTGTTTTTTTTGTGTGTCTATACTTTCACCTTTATTATACCATAGCTGTGCCGTTGTCACCAAAGTCCGTCACCAGTATTTTATGTATTTATGGTTTGTTTGCTGCTGAAGGCGAACAACAGGGGTCTGACACACTGGAAGCTGTAAATGGTCGATCGCCGCGGCGGCGGTCGTGTTATTTTACGTGTTTGGATTTGCAAATAAAGGAAGCTCTTTTTTTTTTTTCCATGTTGGCTCTTTTTTTTTAAGATGTGCACACAAACGGAAACACCACAGAGACAAGGATTAAGAAAACCTGAACAAAATACAATCTTTATTCATTATATACATTACATACAATGCAATACTACAAGGCTTTCTACACATTCACTGTATCCACAGAGTAGTGCTCACTGATCGGAGAGTACCGGCCTTAAAGCTCCCGAGTCCCCTCCAGGGGTCCGGAGAGGGCGAGATGGAAAAAAAAAAAAAGATTACAAAAGAATAATTACACATCATCCAGCAAACTTCGTTATGTGGAGATTTACCCTAAAAGAGCAAAACAAACAAACAAAAAAGTAGTATTTGGCATTGTGTTGTTTTTTCTTTACAAAGGTGCTTTCTTAAGTCTTTTGAACAGTTTTCTTCTGGCACAAAACAAACAAAAAGAAAAAATCTACGGCAAGCGTGATGAGCCTTAAATGTCGCCAAAGTGTCATAAATAATCCCTCACTTCAATATTTTCCTTTTTCTCAGCGACATTTCCCGCCGTGGATCAGAAACACGCAGAAAAACAGACAAACGGGGAAGCCGCCTCCGACGACGACGAAAACGAACAGAAACACGAACAAAACGACAAAACGTTACCTGTACGAGCTCGCCGAGGGCGGGGAAACTTCTGCAGGCGTTCAAACTGAACGAATGAAACAGCGAACAGAAACAGACACTCAAAAGATCGGACTTCTGTCTGTTCGCTCCGTTTTTTAGTGTCTTAAAGGGCCGGCGTGCAAAATTCAGAGGCGTCTACCTGATGAGGAGTGACCCGGCCAGCAGGGGGCGACTCCACCGACGGCAAAAAGATGTCTGAATGTTTAAAAGTGGATTTAGGAAACGGTTTTTAGAATTCATCTCTGACTAAATTTATACTTTACTCTTTTAAGAAGCGTGACGTTCGTTTGTTAATTATGTTCAAGTTTAAATCCAATCAGCTGATTATGATTGACTGACCGACTCTCTACGGTAAAGACGGCGGCTGAAATGACAAATTTCAGACTTTTTGTTTGATTTGGGCCACCGTAGCAATAAATGACATGATCTTTCAGTCGATGGTCAAACATCAGCACCAGAGTTACCTGTCAGTTGAAGTTACGAAGTATTTTTATCGTAGGCCTGAAATGTCGTCATGTTTTGTCTCGGCAGCTGATCCCATAAAGATTAACGCTCCACTACCCGGATGTAAACAATCACAGCTGACGGTAAACAGATTCATTTAACCGACTCCTTTATTTTGAGTCGACTCAGATGTTCGTCACTTTTTAACGAAACACAGACTCAGACTTTCCTGAATCACAGGAGACTAAAACACGAACACTCTTATTTTTAGATGGATGTTTAAAAGTTTTTAAATCGACATTAATTTCTTTAAGTATCCTGCACCTTTAAATCTGAAGTTTGACTCTTGTCGTGCACGCTGAAACGCGGTTAAATCTCACGTTTAAGTAAATTCTCTGTTTTCGATGATCATCCTAAAATTTGTTTGGATCTTAAATGTCCATCATGAGATTCTGATCTCCTCACACCGACATAAAACCCTCACAGAGAACCAGGAACAGAGATGTTAAAATCCACCATCAGGTTATAAAACACAATCTGTCCTCCTCGCTAAAACGGACCCGGCCGGGACGTCGGTGTTCGTTAAGCTCGTTAAGGTAAAAGCTGAACTGATCCTGAATGTTTAAACCAAACTATCAGACGTGCCGCAGACGGAGACGGAGAGTCACGTCGTGTTCAGATGTTTCACAGTTCGTCCGCTCGCAGACACGTTTTTGATCGACTGAAAAACGATTGGTTGGAGTCTGACTGAGCTGTGGAAGACTAAAGGTGGGATGATGAGTGGGCGGTGAGATCTCTTCACGGTTTGTGAGAGGAATCATCAGTTTACGAGCAAGAAGGCGGATCTGAAACCAGACGAAGAGTTTACCGACATGCAGAGCCGAATCACCGAATCTATCTGCGAACAAAAAGACGAATTTACTCAAGAGTAGCTGTGTCTGTTCAGGCCTTTGTCCTCGGGTACTTCGTCTTTATTTCACTAAAGACAGCAGAGCATCAAAGCAGCGGTTTTACTCAGTCTCATGCTTAATAAGGGGACAGGAAGAGTCCTTTAAGAGGACTCGGATAGTCTCAGTCCTGGAGCTGAAGAGCGCTGCAGAAGCGACTTCTTCTATGTTTGCAAAATAAATATGTACCGCGGCCACCGACGGCTTCTGGGTGAACTTCGGAGGATTAAATTGGATTCAGCCAGAATGAGGCTGAATCCAGAGTCAGAAACTTCATCCAAAAGTCGTCCGAATACTAAAATAAAAGTTTGAATTCATCCTCAGGAAACTACGAACGTCGCTGTGAAATCTGACGCCATTTTTTTTAAAAGGATAGTTGACTGAAAGAGTCCAAACTTTAATGTGTCGATGGAGCTGAAGCACAAATCAGAGGGTCACCAGAATGACAGAGATATATCCTCTGAGGAGCAGGAATATAGGAGGCGGATTTCACCTCTACAGCTCTGACGGTCGACGAGATAATTCGGTCTAAATCTACGAGGAGGAACACCTCAAGAATGAATCAACTCATTAAAACTCATCCAAGTGTTTCTGAATTTAAAACACGTCGTCATGGTCGAGATTAAACCTCAGATTAAACCCCAGATTGTGGGTTTTCATTGTTGTGAAGGAGGACATGGAGGCTGGTCTAGTTTACAGATCTGTTCGGCGGCACATTTGGGATCATCGGGAGGCGAAAAAAAGGAAAATTTCACCAACGAATTCATCACAGTGAAGGAAAATCATGTTCACACTCTAACAACAAAAAAAACTCTTATCTTCAAACTTAGTACTGGCACTAGCACTTCATTCACACACCAAGTGTTTTAATTTATTTCCAATAAGTTATCATTAATTATTAAGTTATACTGTAGAGCCGGAAAGTTACGATATGTGGACCCTGACTTTTTTTTTCTTTTTTTAAGAGGAGGGAGGAGAAAGAACGAGATCGGCTCGCTCAAAGACGCCCCCTGTGTGTGTATTTACATTTTCTGTACACCTTTAATGATTCAGTCGACGGACGACCGAGGGAAAAGAAACCAAAACCTGATCAGTCCGACCTCAGCGGGGACATTTACACGGACAGCAACCAAAACCAAAACCTCAAGAGTTTCCATAGATATATATATATATATGTTTATATATTAAACTTTATCTGTTAGAATCAGTCCTCCATAATCACATCTGTACTCTTATAGGCTGTCACATTCATGAGTTAGACCGCCTGATAACGAATCAGGATCAGGGTTTGAAGCTGCGCTGACTGAAACGGTTTCCTGTGTCACGGTCACTCTGCCCTTCCTTCAGACGGATTCAGAACAAACTATTTCATCTCCTCTGTTCTGCTCGAGATGTCGGCGTCTGACTGTGTGGGCGTCCAAAGAACAAATTAAACCACAAGAGAGAGAAAAGAAAAGGGAAAACTCTGAGAAGACGAATGCGAATCCTCTTTTTTGGCCTTAAGTTTCTACGACGGGTTAAAATAAAAAACAGGAGAAGATGAAAAAGAGAAGAAGCGATGTTTGGCAGAGAGAAGAAGAGCTGAGCGAAGTCTGAGAAACAAACTAAAGGAGGTTCGAGGAGAAGGGAAGCACACGCTTCAGGTCGCTGGCATTTCCGTCACATCCAGAACCCGCAGTGTTGTTGGCGTGTGTGTTTACCTCGCCATCAGGAATAGAAAAATAACTGGTCTCTGTGTCCCGGATCCCATCAGGTGCAGAGATGGGCAGGTGTTCAGTCAGTCCAGCAGGTGAGGAGGTGAAGGGGGCGGGGTGGGTGCTGAGAGTGGGAGGGGCTAGAGCGTGATGAGGTCGACTAGATTTCCTTTAGGCGGGGTCATGCTGTCCGGGAAAAAGTTGACGAGCGTGTCGAAGAGCTGTGTCCGCTGAGCGTACGTCTGATCCACGTCTGAGAAACCTGAGAGGGAGAAATTAAAGGGTTAATTCGTCTAAATCCGACACAGACTGATGTAAGGAACCGATAAAAGACGACGACGGCGTGTCCAACGAGAAATTAAAGATTAATTAAAGTTTTAAAAAAGGCTTGTAGGTGGAGTTTGGCGAGCGGATTAAGAAACAAACGTTGTGAAAAAAGTTTGAAACCTTCTTTAAGACGACCAGGTTTTTGTCTGATCCAAATTTTAATCTTAAAGTCATGGTTGACGATTGGAGAGATTGGTAATTATTATGAACCTCGTTTCTATGGCGATCATGGTCCTATAGTGCAATCTCCACGAAGTGAAGAGAAAAAAGAACGGAAACATCTGTTCACCCTATCAGGTGCAGAGCTGCAAAAACATTGACTAATGGGAGCCATCCGTCCCGAAAAGCTCCTATTGGTCAATCTCCTGCTCCGCCACTCCATCCAATCACCTCGCTGTATTCGACACACCCCTCTCTCGTAGTTCTGACTCGTCCCCTCCCACTCTCTCGGCCCTCCTCAGAGCTCTGAGCGGCTAAAAGCAGCGTAGCAGCGGAGAAGGACGCAAAAAAAAAAAAAAACACTTCTGCTCGCCCCACCGCCAGAAGTGGGAAGAAAACGCCGACAGAAGAAAGGGCGGCGACGAAGAGGAAATGTGACCAAGCGAGGAATCTAACTGGAATAACCATCGGGTCATCCTTGGAGCGGTGGAGAAAACAGACGCTGAGACAGCAGAGTTTTAGTTGAACAGGTCATTTTTATCGTCTTTTATCGTGGCTCATGTTACATAAATAACTCTGATTAGTCTCTGACATGTCAACACGGTAGGACGTAGGATCTTCTGCCGGTCGGCTTCTCGCTCTACCAGAGGGGGTGTGTCGAGGAAAGTATCAGTATCATCTGAAGTATCAGAAAGTGTCACATCAAAACCTGATCATGATCGATTATAGATGATAGATCCGTCTTACCTAAAGGGATGAAGTCGGAGCTGGACTTGAAGAGAGCCGAAGGCAGGAGCTGAAACTGAAGCACAACATCAACATCAGACACACACACACAGAGATCATAGTGAAGAAATCCAGAAACATCAAGTCTGTCAAGTTCAGGACAGATCCAGATCCAGATCCAGTACCTCTTTGGTCTCATCAGGGTCTGTGTGGTCCACCGTCAGCGACAGGTCGTTCTGCAGGTATTTGAGCGCGCTCAGTGGTTCTGATTGGGCCTTCTCCTCAAACCTGCAGAATCAAAACACAGCAGGGTTTTACGGATACGCCACATAAACAGTGTGAGGCTGCAGTTACTGTGAACAAACACTAGATGGTGACAGTCGCACAGCAGAGATGATACCGAGCCGGTACATCAGCAGAACTTCAGCAGAACAGTTTTCTCTCAGGATGTTTTTACAGAAATAAATTCACTCCTTACTTTAATATTGACTAATCATTGTAATTAGATGATAATCATGATTAATGACCTCATGAGTGTCGTCTCACTGCAGAACTGTCTGTTTGTTTTTGATGCTCCACACCTCTCCTCTTATTATCATGTGAGATTTTTTGAGGTCATGTAAAAATGACTCTATAGTGCCCGCCTCTTTATGACCATAAATGGTCGATGATTCTCGTTAAGTTATGTGAAATCTTTATAACGAGGTTTTTCTGACTCCTGGTTTCTCCTGCTGAGCTGAAACTTTTGCTTCAGAGTCTTCGAGTTTCATCCAAATCCACAACTAGAGGCTCAAGACTCACCTTTTTAATCAGGTCATTCACTAACTGCCTTTTTATATTAATCTTACTGCAAATGTCCATTTTAATCAGATTTCTTCATGTTTATTTTATGTCATTTTATAATTATCTCTGTTCTTAGTCTTTTTCTTAACTCCCGTCTTCGAGGTTTTTACTTCTTTTACTCCTTTTACCGGGTAAAGAGCTCTTACTTCTCTGTTCATTTAATATTATTTTCTTCTTTTAGTCCATCAGGTTTTAGTGTTTCTACCATTTTTATTTGTATCTCTGTGTGTGTTTCCCAGAGGTCGCTCTTTCCTCACGTAATGTCTCGGTGTCAGGCCATGTCTCTTTAACAATACATCCTAAACTGTCACTCTGTGTGCACTTGTGTGTGTGTATGTGTGGGTGAGTGAGGGTGGGTATGTGTCTGTGTTTGAACTCCATTTTTTTAGTCTGAAAAGTGCCATAAAAATAAAGCTGAATTTGAACTATGCGGGTTTATTCTCACGCATGTGTGGTGATATTAAGAGATCACTTCTTACAGATAAAGAGGACACACCCTGATGTAAAAACTCCGCTCTGACATGTTTATTACAGTCGTGTTTGATGTCACAGCTGAGAGAAATCCTTCAGTATGTCACATTAATGCATCGGTTACACGCGCTGACACAGACCTGTACTTCCTGATGAGGTATCTGCAGTGGCGGAGCAGGTACTCCTTCGAGGGCCGACACAGTTTCAGGGACCAGAAGTCATCCAGGCGCATCTTCGGGGAACACGACTTCCCGGGGTTTCCACCAAACAGGTAATGCACCTGCAGAAACACCGAAAAAAAACACACTATAGTTTCAGATCCTTCAGCTACACGACCAAAACATCAAAACTAAAAACTACATTCAGGGAATTACATAAGGCTGGAGAAGGAAAAGCACATTACATAAGGAGTAATGTACAACAAGTAGGGCATTATAGATGAGATAGACCCTGACAGGATGATGACGGTTCGCCTCAAGGTCTTATCTCGACTCGTCTGCCTGAAACTGACAAACACTTTTGGCATTTTCCTTTTAGATTTACTTTAATTTGAAGGAAAACATCGAAGATGCTGCAGGAAACACTCTGATCATATTCAACAAAAACAGGAATTACGAGCTTCGAGCTGTAAAACCCCAAAACCAAATCATCTTTACCATCAAAACCCATAAATAAATACAGACTCAGGAGGTTCAGGTTTGGGGGGTTAACATAAGTCTGTTATTAGTTTGAATTAAGTCGTATTTGCGTCTGAATGTATATTATATTGATTTGATTGTTTTCAAAGAACTGTTGCTGAGTTCAATAGAAAATAACTTCATTGACTCGTTAACATCGATGGTTATTTTTCATTATCTCTCGGGGTTCAGCTTTAACTGGATGTGTGTTATCGTTCATGCTAATGCCAACTCAGGATCATAATTCATTAAATGGTTATACTGGTTCAATGATCGGCACTGAACACATCAGAAGCAGGATGTCTTAAAGGGACGGTCATGTTTGGTTTTTATACGATATTTCAGCCCTGAGACATTCGGAGGCGAGTCTGAAACGTTTTTGTTTTTTTTCCAGGATCCACAAGCAAAGAAAAAAAACATCAATATTGTCTCATAAATGAAATCATCTCAGAAAACTGCTGCTGCATCTCTCTGGTGCACGCCCTGAGTTTTAGCCCCGCCTTCTGAAGATGACTCGCTGTCGTCCTCGGTGGTGGACGTGAATGGACGGAGGCATTGCTTTTCTCTTACTCAGTAAAATACTGTATTTTTCTGCACTATAAGGTGCACTTCAAATCCTTTAATTTTCTCAAAAATCCTCAATGCGCCTTATTATCAGGTGCCCCTTATGTATTAATTCTGGTTGTGCTTACTGACCTCGAACAGATTTTATGTGGTACACAGCGCTAAAAAATCTGCCAAAATGTTTTATTACGACTTCGGTGAGCTACAAAGCTGCACAGCCTGGTGGCGCACAATATAGTGTGAAAAATTCGATACAGCGCGTCTCTCTGAGTCCTGACAGTCTGACATCTTTCCCTGCTGTTGCTGCCACCTTGTGGACAAATGGAGAAAATGCTGCTTTCTGGACCCTCTGAACGTCAGGGATTTCTGACACCACACCGACCCCGTTCTTTGTTAAATTATTCCCTGTCCTCGTCTCCTTCTCGCCGCTCTAACGAGGAAAAACGCTCTTTTGAAGTGTGGCTGTGACAGGAGATGAGCAGCCAGATGTGTGAGCGTTAATTTGATGCAGCTTGAATTAAAATCTGACAGAAACTGAGCTGCAGCTCCGCTCTGATGTGTTGTTTGAGTGTTACTATCTGAGTGTTTGTGATGCAGAGTGTGTGTGAGTGTGTGTGTGTGAGTGTGTGTTACCTTGTGCATCTCATCGTAGACCAGCTGGTGTGCAAAGCGTGGACACGGCTCCTCCTCCTGCAGAGCTTTACTCGGGTTTTCTTTCACCGCCTGATCGTTCTTGTACACGCACGACCTGAGCGTTAAACACGCACAAATAAGGAGGAAGAGTGAAGTTAGAAACGAAGGAGAGAGAGAGAGAGAGAGAGAGAGCTCCTTCACATATTCAGTGTGTTCAGCATGTGCATGCACTCACACACACACGCTCACACGCAGAGAGAAACAAGCACAAGTCACCATAACGCTGCAAGTGTCTCGCTGACTGATTTCACTGGACACCGAGTACGAGAACAGCTACTGGAGTCAATGTACCGGAACAGCGAGGGCTGCAGCTTGTTCTTTCACAATCACTCATCTAAACGTGACATGCGCACACCCGCATGCAGACACACACGGTCGCACTGACACGCTAGGAACACGCTGTTCCCTGGTGGAGGGCTGAGGGGTCAGGAAATGCCTCGAAATGTGACAAATGTTGAAAACTGAATGCGTGTGTCGTCGTTTTTTGCTGTGGTTTGTTGTGATCTCGGCTACAAAGAGATGTTATGTGAAAGGGTTTCCTGTGAGTCTGTGTTTGTGCGAGCGCTCTCTGCTCTTTTGTTGCTGCGCTGCTGCTGCTGCGGTGTGTGTGTGTGTGTGTGTGTGTTTGTTTATTGTACTCAGTCGCACCAGTTGTTGCGTGCGATGTCGTAGATCCAGAAGGAGTTGCGGACGTTCTCCTCTCGTTTGTCCTTGTCCTTGCTGAGGCCTGACAAGACGTGGATCTCGTTGAGTTCCGGGTCGATGGTGGCTCTCTGCGTGAATCCCGTCATGGGTACTGTGGAGGTAAAAACAACAAAACAGAGAGGAGCATAAAAATAAGATTCGTGCAGAATATCAGAGGAAATACACACATTTATAACAACAAACTCCTCTGTAATCCTGCAACACACTGCCATGGCAACAAGGCCCTGCAGACACAGAGTGAGCAGAATGCAAACTCAGCTTGATAGGACAGACAAAAACGCCGACACACTGTTGTTCTTCTGCAGGCTGCTGTGGGCGGAGCACGGCACCAGAAACGACAGATTACACTTCCCTTTGTGGGTCAACGGCGACAGCAACTCACAGACTCCACGGCCGCTATCGGGAGACGGATCAGATCATGTAAACATTATTTATGGTACGGCTGCACGCACAGCTCATGCTGAAGAATGCATTTATTACGTAACCTCGTTATATCTCCGTTAAATATCGCACCAACAGGTCAGCTGATTTCATTTAAAGGTGTGGGAACCGAGCGGCAAGCACTACAGGCGTCCATTACTTCTTTACAGCACACTAACTGTGATCACAGATATGATATCAATCCATCAAAACAAGTCCAGGTCACTTCATTTAAACAGAGGAGGTTAAAGATGTTAAAACTGCAGGTTTTGACGGAGGAGTTTACAAATCTGAAGGAAACAGCGCAGAGAAATCCACCGTTCCTCAGATCAACTGCATGTTTAACCAGAATAACAGCGTGGAAACATGACGACAGCGAAGGCAGAAGTGGTCCAGAGCGAGGACTGATTTCTAGATAGGTACAAGTCCACCTGCAGAGTTAACCCTGCTCCCTCTCTTTATAACACTGACGGATGAGAACGAAGGAGCAGATGCATGTGTATTACTTAAGTACTTGTTTAGTCCAGTTGAGCTGAACCCCGGAGCGTTTACCTCCTTGGTACGGTTCGTTTTTGGTTGGTGGTGTGAACCAGATCAGCACCAACATAAAAATGAGCAGACCATGCTCCACGATGTGTGGCATTCGGCACTCTTAATAAATGAGTCCATGTTTGAGATTGAAGCTCATCTTTTATTGCAGCTCACATGTGTAGCCATCACTTTCATATCATACTATATTTGCCACAGACTGTATTTACTGTATTCAACTTGGTGCCTCCTTCTACCAGTATACAGATTTGAAGCCGAAGAGCTCTCGGTAATTCCGCGTTTTTCTCCACTTCCTAAAACCAACATTGCTCAGTAGCCTTGTGCGCATTCGGCGGGAGAGTCGCTAAAAATTGCAACGATGCATCATCAATGTATCATTTATGTATCTTCCTCGCTCTGGTTCCATTCAGAAAACGGACCTTTTGTGTACATCACAGTGTTGTCAACACTGTCAACTTTGTCACTAGATTTAGCGACTTATGTTCAAAAAAGCGCCAAGCTACAAATGGTGCGACTTTTTCTGGAGTTAAGAGACTCTAACATGAACGCAGGAATCGATGTAACTCTTCTCAATGGGTAGCTGGTGTGCATCAAAAACACAGACATCGACCCTCAGACACCCCGCAGAAGACTCCTCCTCCTCCTCCTCCTCCTCCTCCTCCTCCCGGGGGTTTGGGGTTCCGCGGCTACAGTGGGTTTGACAGAGAAATTATGCAAATTAGGCGATGACGTCATCTAGCGATTTACAGCCACTAGTGACTTTCCTTACTGAGGAGTTGGCAACCCTGGAACACGACGTAAGTCTGTGTTTATAAAATTACAAATATACAAGAGAAGTTAATCTTAGTTTTCTTGTTCAACATAAAGTTTAAAAAGTCTGGATTAATCAGACGCAGATTTACTGACGGCCATTAAAGCAATCGAGCTATAAAATAATGATCAGCTGTTCGAGGCTGAATCAAAGCTGAGATCTCATCCACAGCTGTTTTCTCATATCACAATTAACTACATGTACTTTAAATCTTTTAGATTATCAGAGTTTAAAGTTTGAGATATTCTGCAGACTTCAAACTTCTTTGACTTATAAATAAAGTTTATCACACACAACAAAAGCAGTTTGCAGGAAGGTCGAAACTCTTCGGAGGAATTTTACAACAAGCAACAAAATTTTTACACCACAAATAAAGTTTAAAAAAACATCCAAGAGAAAGTCAGTGTCGACTCAAGCCAGCAGAGTAAATCTTATTGGACTACATCTGAAAACTTAATCCAGATTTGACTTTTGTTCAACAGGTTTATGTAACAAAAGGGACCGAACTCTTCTTGGCAGAACTCTGAGCAGCTTTAGAAAAAATAAAACTCCTATAAAAGCGAGCAAAGCACCGCCACGTCAAAGTAAAACATCCTCACAACAAGATGCAGATTTATCCTCCGAGGTTTCCAGAACCAGAAACAGACGACAAACTGTTATTCATCAACATCCTTCAAGTACGAGCGCTGGTTTTAATTTGGAGGTAAACCAGAAACAAGACGTTAAAGGCTGTACTCAGCTTCTTCTGCAGAACAACAACAACTTCATTTTATTACAAAACCGCAGTTTCCACTTGAAGGAGTTTTATGTGACTCTGTCTTGGCTGGACGGTGATTCAGCAGGTGCACTTTAATAACTTTTATGCAACCAGATAAAGCCGAGCTAACTATCAGGTTCCTTTAGATATTGACTTCATATTATCCTAACAGATGTGACACCACCTCAGCAGATAGTTGAAAATCTGTTGATGTCCTTAAAGACACCTTCAGCACTTCTCCTTTTTAAGAGCTTTGTCTTCATTTTTAGTTAAACACTAAATTTAATGACAGATTTCACTTTTACTGAGTTATTTCCACACTGTGTCATCAAAATGGAGGATTTGAGCTCTTTTACCTTTTTCAATTTATTGAATAAATCCTTCGGTCTTTTTAAGCTTTTATAAAACGTTCTTAATAATAAAGAATTTGGTTTTTATTTGATTATGATTTGGACTGTCACTGTTTATCCAGGCAGTCTGATCAGGCTCCTCCATGGTGATTGTTTCAGCCTCTCTCTGTTAACATGATCATTCTGTCCCTTTGCTTTTCAGACACATGAATCAACTCTCTGCTCTGCTCTCCTTTCCTCTCTCCTCTTCCTCTCCCAGCTCTTCTCTCTCCTCCTGCTCTCCTCTCTCCGCCCACCCCCCTGCTCTTCTTTCTCCTCTACTCTCTCCTCCCTCTCTCCCTGCTCTCCTCTCCTCCCTTTCTTCCTGCTCTTCCCTCTCCCCTTTTTTCTCCCTGCTCTCCTCCTCAACTCCCTTCTCTCCTCACTCCTTCTCCTTTCCCTGCTCTCCTCATTCTGCTCTCCTGTCTTTTTGCTTCTCTCCCTGCTCTCCTCCTTCTCTCTTCTCCTCCTCTTCCTGCTCCTCTCCCTGCTCTTCTCTCTCCTCTCTCCAACTCCTCACCTTCCTGTTCTCCTCTCTTTCCTCTCCCTGCTCTTCTCTCTCTTCCTGTTCCTCTCCCTGCTCTCCTCTTTCTTTTTTTGCTTTTTCCTTCTGCTCCTCTCTTCTCTCTCCTCTCCTCCTTTTCCTGTTCTCCTCTCTCTTTCCTCTTCCTGCTCTCCTTTCTTTTTTTGCTTTTTCTCCCTGCTCTCCTCTTTCCCTCTTCTCCTCTCCCCTTCCCTCTTTCCTCCTGCTCCTTTCCCTGCTTTCCTCTCTTTGCTCTCCTCTCCCTACTCTCCTTTCTTTCTTTGCTTTTTCTCCCTGCTCTTCTCTCTCCTCCTGCTCCTCTCCCTGCTCTCCTCTCTCCTCCTCTTCCTCTCCCTGCTCTCCTTTCTTTCTTTGCTTTTTCTCCCTGCTCTCCTCTCTCCTCCTGCTCCTCTCCCTGCTCTCCTCTCTCCTCCTCTTCCTCTCCCTGCTCTCCTCTCTCCTCCTCCTCCACACGTCCCAGTTAGGTACCACACTCGTTCAGCTGTGTATGCGCTCTGTCACTCTGTCCTGACCTGTTGGAGAGCGAGGCAGCAGCCTGGGTGACCGATATCCGACAGTCTGGTGTTAGAGGTCAGAGCGTGAGGACGAGGAGGACGAGAAGCTGCTGCAGATCTGAGCCGCAGCACTCATCAACATGTGACATTGATTATGAGACAGAGAGAACTGTTTGAGCTTCCTGCTTCCTTCCTGCCAAAACACATTCTGTTCTCTTCTGCTGCTCTGTTTCACTCCATTTCAGATTTCTACTTCTCTCTCTCTCTCTCTCTCTCTCTCGCTCTCTCTCTCGGTCTCTGTCCAGATTTCCTCTCCCTGCTTGTCTCTGGCAGGACAGAGGTGAACACCCGTCAGACGGAGGTTTGTTTATACTGTGTTCAGGCAGTCAGTCAATCTGCGTGTCGGGACAGGAAGTGTGTGACTTTGAAAGAAAAGGATCTGTCGCATCTTCTCCGACGACAGAAGCAGAGACACACACGAGGAACCCATTAGAGGAGTGCCTGTCATGTTCGCAGGTTGTTTATCGAATCTAAAGGAGCCTCAGGTTTGAGTTAAGTAATACCCACGAGGCAACAGGGAGGGTAAACTGGGAGCACTCAGACACAGGGCTCAGGTGGTAACAGATTAAATACGAGTCTGTGAAAGTGGTCAGTTCAGGAGGAGCAGTTCAGCTTCACTTCTGTATCAGGGGTTTGTTATTTTCCGCAGACACAAGCTTGACTGACGTGACGTTTCAGTTTGGGTTTATAATCCTGTGTTTTATCTACGTCATGGGGTCCCGGAGGTCTTGCACATCAGCAGAAATCTGCACACAGGCGCAGACATGAGCCCTGTGATTGATCCGCAAGGTCACAAAGTGTTTCCTGCTTTAATAACATTTATGAGCGGCCATGTATCTGCCGGATATTTCACAGACACACATATATGTACGGGTCACGACTCTGTAGGTACAGCAGAAAAAACTAAACCAGGTTGAATTTGATTAAAAACGCTGACTGTTGTTTTAAATTGGATAAAAAAAAGTCAGTCTGTATCAACAGATCATGGTTATAGGAAAACTTGTACATCTGTTTTAACCTGGAGGAGTGTTCCTGTTTTATACTTTAACATCATCATCATCTAAACAGTCAAAACTGAAAATGTTGTCACTTAAAAGACTTCATAATTTTGGGAAAAAATTAGACTTTCAAATCTTGAAATCTCAGCTTTAAGGTTCAATAAAGAAATCCAGACAGAATAGATAAAGCAGAATTATATTCACTAACCCACACATTTCAGTGTATTAAGCTGTTTTACGGAAGCGTATTATATTTACCAGAAAGAAAAGAATAAGCTCTGTTTTTCAAAGTAATTTTTTTCTGTTTTTTTGAAAAAAAATTTTTTTCTTTTCTGTTTTTCATATTTTTTTTTGTTTTGTTTTTCAGACTAATTGTTTTTCCTCTTCTCTGGGATCATAATTTAAAATCAGACGCTTTCGTCTCCCTCTGCTCGACTTCTTGGAAGCAAACACGGCCACCTTGTTAAGTTTAATCGAGTTTGACTTTCTTTTGGGTTTGAGATGCTGAGAGATCCTCCTTTCTTTTAGTCAGATAGATGGACTCGTCACGAGTTTGTCAACTTCAGGATTTGCATACCCTGATGTTTAACTAATAACATGCTTTACGTTGTCCGTAGTCGAAGTTATCTTGGAGCTGGAGAATCCGCAGATTTGGAGCAGCTGCGATGGTGAACATTATCTGATTATATGAGATTCTTGTAAGATTTTGAAATATTTCAGTCAGGAAAAAAAATAGTACAAAAAAAAGAATTAAAATTTGTCTGAAAACCAGAAAAAAGGGAAACAAATATCAGTACGAAAAAAAAAAAACAGAAGAAAAGAAAAGTGAGAAAAAAATAGTGGAAAAAAAAAAAATCCCCCCCCCAAAAAAAAAAACAGTTCCTTTTTTTGTTTTTTGTAATTAAATGCAACATGCTTCCGAACTATTTGGACTGGACCTCCTTTAATACGTGAACTACCCCCTTGGACTCGGGGTCTGGTGCAGATGGTCTGTGATGTACATAAGGGGTCAATCTTACCCATGCCTGAGTCCTTCTTCGTGCCGTCAGAGATGATTTCTACGTGGTCTCCGTCCACGTCGTAACTGAAGAAGTCATTGAGGTACGTCTTTGACCTCTGACCTCCGAATACGTATAGACAGCGGTTTCTCTGTAAAGACACAAAAATGAGGATTAACATCGGAGCTCATGATGACGTTTACATTAAAAAAAAACAAGGCGGAGCTGGCTCACAGTGTGAAAGAGCATGCAGTGCCCGATACGGGACTGGATGTCCTCTGGCCCAGCGTTACACGAGTCTTCCCTCAGGAGGCTCCAGGTCCCGGCCTGGCAGTGGAAGGCGTAAAGGCCGCTGAACTGAGGCTCTGACGTCCGACTCTCCTCCACGCTGCCGTTACACGTCAGGATACGACCGCCGAACGTGTAGATCATGTGCTTCTCTGAGTCCATGCACATCTGCAGGAAGAAGAGAGGAGAGAGCGAAAGGACAAAAAAGGAAAACAAGAAGGAGGAGAGTTCAGACGGAGGGTAACAGGAAGGTGAGCGGGTCTGTTTTTTTATCTTTACTGTTTTTAAAGAGGAATAAAGACGGAAATCTCAGAATCACTTTAGAATATTTAAGTCCACGTTTTAATCTGCATTAAAACCTGCAAAAAACGATGTTACAGATCATTTCATCCACTTAAATGTTATTCTACATTTTCTATAATCACTGATTTTCACTTTTGGCATCTTCAGGCTGCCGTCCTACAAACATCTTACATAACTGCGACACTGAAAAAGGTGTCACTGTGACCTTAAAGGATATAAATTCACTTTGACGTTGATGTCCGCTCAGTTTTGATGAGTTAATAAAGAATAATGGACCAAACTCACAAAAGTTACGGAGATGTGACTGAAAACGACCACAAAGATTAATAGTCTTTGTAATATATGAGATTTATGTTCTTGGGTTTGAAGTGGGTGTGTGCTGCTCTCCGAGAGCTGCCAAAACAAGCCTGACCTGCACTTCTGACTGTTCCTGAACGCAGCCTACGTCCACCTGCGCTGCTCTGTTGACTGAGCCGCACAGCCATGAATCCACTTTGTGCAGACGGTGTGAGAGACGGCGTCTGAACGGACGTTTCTTTTATATCCGAACAACAATAACCGCAAACGCAGTCAGAGAAGACAGCTTCGAGAAGCTGAGCCAGGAACAGTGTTGGACTCGTGCGTCAGAATGACTCGAGTAATCCGTTTATGAAATTACTACTGGCTCGTTTTCTGCCGACTGGTCATTTTTTAAACTTCTTTGGCTCGGAGAAATTTCCTTTTGTGATGGAACAAAGTTTTTCGACACTTGAATATTAGTCAGACACTTTTTTAATCGAATGAGAAATCACAACACTTTCTGTTTGAATAAATGTCAACATGAGACAAATCTGAGTCCACAGTTCTCAGCCACAAAGAAGTGGAGTGCCCCAGTGGAGGAGTTCAAGTGTCTCGGGGTCTTGTTCATAAGTGAGGGAAAGATGGAGCGGGAGATCGACAGGCAGAGGAAGAGGGAGCGGAGCCAAAAGGCAAAGCTCTCGATATACCGTCCATCTACGTTTCTACCCTCACCTATGGTCAGGAGCTGTGGGAAATGACCGAAAAAACAAGATCACAAGAACGAGGCTGGGTTCTCCCTCAGAGGTCGGGTGAGAAGCTCGGGCATTCAGGAGAGGCTCAGAGAAGAGCCGCTGCTCCCCCGCATTGAGAGGAGGCAGATGAGGTGGCTTGGGCATCCAATCAGGATGCCTCCCGGACGCCTTGCTGGCAAGGCGTTATGGGCACGTCCAATCGGTAGGAAAGCATGGGGAGGGAAGTCTGAGCTTCTCTGCTCAGGCTGCTCCCACAAGATGGATGGATGAGACAAACCATTTAAAGGGATTTCAGGGTACAAACCGCTGAATGAAGCACATCTGCTTTTTTTTTTAATCCTGTTTCAGAGCAAACTTCGTTTTACCATCATTTACCATTTACTGTTAAACGGAGCTGCTTTTTTCAGCAGCCGATGGCTTCGTTTTATCTCATTTGGACCAATTAAGCTCAAGCTCTGCGTGGCTCCAGTTTACAGTTCGGCCCGTTTCCTGCTGCTGTAGAGTAGATATCAAAAAAATTCAAGGTTCAGTCTAACCTGATGGTCAAACACCAACTTGGGCCCTCCGTCGGCTGACGTGTCCTCGCTGAGCAGCGTCCAGGTGTTGGCGTCGATGTCATATCGGTAGAAGTCGCTCTTCAGGGATTTGCTGTTCCGGACGCTGGAGTCCAGGTACCGACCCAGCGTGTAGATCTGCCGTCGCTGAGAGTCGATGCACATCTTGTGACAGGAGCGTGCGCTTGGACCGCTCTGATTGGTTCACAGAAGATAAAATAATATTAATAAGTTGGATTATTTCAGGGTTCATGTGTGACACAGTATTTCCTGAACCCCTCACCTCTTTCTCCGTGTCTCTGGAGATGCAGGCCCACTGGTTTTCCTGAACACTGTACGCCCAGAAGTCAGCCAGGTCCTGTGTGCCGTCCCAGCCCCCAAACAGGTACACGGTCTCTGTAAGAGAAAAATCCATGAACTGCAGCAGCTTCACAACATTCAACATCTGAAAGGTGAACCGGACCGACGTCAATGTGATGATTTTGAGGATGCAGTTTGCAGATAAACTCAGACAGAAGTTGAAGAAAGGTTGAAACAGACGCGGGTTCAGATGACCGTTCGTTTAATCTGTTTGCACAGGTTTGGTGTTTCTCACCTTTCGCTCACCCTCATCTAAAACACGGTATTAGTAATTTTCGACGCCCTGGAATTGTTGCTTTTGCCTTGACATTTTCTACCACCAACAACAAGAGAGTCTGATCTTCAAAAAATAATCCCTCCACACCCTGTGCTGGTTCAGAAAGCGGGCTGCCAAATCATTGTTGAGGTCAGATACAGGCTGCCAAAGCTCGGGCAGATGGGAGTTGTGGGAAGTTGCGATTGTATCAGAATCTTGTGTGGGAGGAAAAAAGTTGTGCCATTACTGCTACGATTCCAAAAACAAGAATACAGGCCAGAAAATGAGAGCTGTGTTCACTGAGTCACTCTTCGAGACAAACAGTGGGTTTGTTTTGTGCTGGGGGATCGGGGAAAAGTTGAAATATTTGCATTTTAAATGTTACATGATAGTTTTCCAGGATTTTCAAAAATGTTTCAGTGCCATGTAAAGTAAACTGGAGCTGCTAAGAGGTCGAGGCTGAACTGGATTAAATAAATATTTCACCGGGAGATTAATGACTCTGCTGTCGTGTCTGGATTGGGAGAAGAGGAGAAGACACAATCAAAAGTCCAGATTTAAAAGAGACAGAATCTCTGACAGTAACACGATAGTTTGCAAAAAGCCCAAAACAATAACAAAGTTTATTTCAGTTTTTCTAACTGTGGCTTTGATGTAGGGCTGGGCGATCAAACAATAATGATAAATATATCAAGAATCAATTTCCCTCGATATCGATATGAAACATTCTGACATGTTTTGGTACATTATGCGAATAACCAATGAAAAGGGGAGTTTCTCCGGGTCCACTTCGTGCTCAACCAACCATGTGCTGAATTAGAACTAAGGCTGTGTTCACACTGCAGGATCTTTTAACCATATATGACTCATATCTGATTTTTTTTTTGATGTTGGTGGTGTGGAGGTATTTTGGTTTTTTGAGGTCGGACATGAAGCAGAATAATGTGGACTGTAAATTATGTCGAATTACGATATTGACTGATATGAAAAAAATATAAAGTCAAAAACTTTTTCCCATATCGCCCAGCCCTACTTCGACGTGAGAAAAAATTTGCAAACTGATAATAAACAAATAAGCGTCTTTGTCTGTCAGTCTACAGTAGACCTTTCTTATGATAGAGACTGAACGGAGGAGATTTTCCACTCGCTGATGAAAAAATTAGTAAAAGTGAAGCAGATGTAACTGAGTCCCCTCCAGGTGTTCCTGAAACTTTACGACAAAGACACAAGGTCACAATGACCCGTGAACTATCCGAGTGGACTCTATCGGGGTCTTATCGTAGGGCGTTTTAATGTCACAGTTAAGTTCACATCTTTGACCTTTCGTGTGCGAAAATCTAATCACTCTGTCCTCTTAATGAGACTCTGATGGGACACCGTTAAAGCGGCCAACTCCAGCAGCTCTGATTCACTCTTGGCATCTCTCACAATCACGTTGCAAATGTATTCTCCAAAGTCACTGGTTCCTAACCTGGAGTCCTTTAGGAGGACTTTAAAATTGGTTTTCACATGTTGACTAAATGTAGATAAATCTGTGCAAAACGTCCTGATCTTTAGCTAAAAACGTTCAAATTGATGTTTATTTTTGACAAACATCCGCCTGCAGGGGTTCCCGAGGAGCTCAGCTTAACGCAGATAAAGAGGAGGGGATCATCAGGAACAGAAGGTCGGAGACCGCCGTCCTAAACTGACAGTTTTCTCAAATCTTCAGGATCTGTGGTTTCTCCCTTCGCTCTGTCTCTACCTGAACTAGCACTGCACTTTAACTTTCAGCCCCATCCTCTCCCAGCATCCACCTGCAGGCTACAGCTTTTAAGATCTCATCTCATCGCTCCTCAGATTTCCGCATGGAGTATAAATCTGTGAGGCGTGATGAGATCGGAGCCGATACGCCGAACACAAAGAATGCTCTGCAGCTGTAAAACCGTCACAAACGTGAGCCGTCGGACAGGAAAACAAAGAAAAAATGAGGAATTCTGAGGTCTGAGCCAAATCAGTCGTTTTTCTCCTGTTACACAATAACGTTTGATCACAGAGATCTCCACTGCAGGAGCAGGAAAAACAGGATTCAGGCATGTGATAAACATCAGAGGAAAAAGCAGGAAAACCTCCCCTCCTTTTAGGGCTGGGCGATATGGCCTCAAATCAATATCACGATATATTGATCAGTTCACCTCGATGACGATAAATGGACGATAACTACTTCATAAGCTGCTCAGCCCCTCCCACATTAACTTCGTCTACTTCAGCCGCTACAACTTTCTCTCCATCCTCCATCTCCTCACCTGTCTGTCCCTCTTTGTTACGGACTGGATGGGGTGGAGTCACATCTCTGATGTAGGACAGAGTCTTAAAGGGACATGAGACCATAGCCTACCTACACACATCCAAAACTAACTTTGATTTATTTATTTTGACACTGAATATACCTTTATGGGCAAAACGACATCAGTTATTGTCATAAATTTCTGTGTCAGTAAATTTTCGATTTATCGCCCAGCCCTAATCCATGCAATAACAGTTTCCAATAAATGTTGAAAGTGTTTTCACATGTTTGATATCACTACTTTTCTCTATAACCTACCACTTAAAATTATGGTGAAGTTTCCTATTTGATTATGCCAACTGGTTTCCTCAAGACAGAGTGAGTCAAAAACATGGACTGGAATAAGAATATTTTTTATCAGGACTTCTATCGTTATCTCCAGAATGGCAAAACTTATCATGATACTTTTTTTCGCCCGTGTCGCCAATCCCTAGCCTCGACACACATCTCAGCGTGAATACTTGGAAGTATGATCCTGCTCTCGTCTTCAGACGTCTTCATCGTCTCATCCGTCTGTCTGTCCGCATGTGTTTTTACTTCTCTGAATGATTCACGGCTCAGCTCTCTGAAAAGTCCAGAAGAAATCCAGAAGAATTGTGTCCCTGATTTATGGACTGTTGCTTCAGGCCATGAAGCAGCAGGCTCCGGTCGGAGTTTGACCCTTTCGTTCTTTCATTCTGCCCATATTTCACACTCGATCCACTGTCCTCTCCAATGACGCAAAAAGACCAAAAACACTATCTTAAAAATCGAAAGAAAAACAGGATTTGGCTGAGACGGGACTGATAAAACAGGAAGGTGAACGTGAAACACAAAGAGAAGGTCGCAGATTTTTAGGGCTGCTCCACAACTATCAGAATGGCGGGAATAAAAAGACTCAAACTGGGGTCAGGATCAGAGCAAGAGACAAAGACATCATTTAAGATCTGCTGCATTAACGACTCCAAACAGCTCCTGCTCAGAAAGGCGGCACACACACACTCACACACACACACTCACACACACTCACACACACACACACACACACACACACAGCAGAGGGATGCCAGACCTTCACTCTGTTCTGACATGAGCTGCAGACACAGCATCACACATATACGCTCAATGCAGCCTTTGTGTTTCAAATATCAGACGGGGAAGTAAACCACCAACACAGTCGCCAAATACCGTACAAAAAAAAAAAAAACACACAACAGTTGTATAGTTGTGTGTCTATGTCAAATAAGAAGTCGTGATTTCTGCACTCTCCGAGGAGAAGGGCCCTCAGGACTGTTATCTTTCAGAGGAGGTGGAGCGGATGAGTAAGGAGGGTTAATTTGATTAAACAGTAATAGAGCTTTGAGTCAGTGTAGGAGGAGATGAGTCACACTGCAAACTAAACAGCAGAGTCAGAACACGGGCTGCGTGGGTCTCACCGGTCTGGACGTCAATGACCATTTGATGTCCTCCCCTCATACCGGGCCTGTTGTCGTCGCCGTCACCTGCAGCAAGGAGGAGAGGAAGGAAGGGACAAGGATGGTGTGTGAGCGTGGGGCATGCGAGATGACGTAGAGGAGGATGGGAGGAGGGAGAGACGGGGGAGGGGACAGATTTAGCTACTAGGCGGCCAAGCTTTCAGAGCGATGTTTGATTGACGGATCTTAAAGAGGAGGTCTCACTGTTCATGTCGTCTCGGTTGATTTCTTGAGCGCTTGTACCTTTGTTACACTTGGGGATGATCTGACTCCACCTGGGCTTGTACTCCTGCTGGCTGATATACTGGTTAAACAAACCGTCTGGATGGGAGAGAAGGGCATCAAATATTTAACAACCAGCAGGAATGAAAATCCAGATTCAAGAGGACGGTTTTGATCCGGGGTGTTTCGGTACTTCACCTCTCACTGCTTTGTCTATGAGCTCCTCACAGGCGTCAAAGTCTCCCTGCAGCACCAGGCGGTCGTGCAGGTGTGTGAGCATCGGGTGCTCCAGCGCTATCCGGGTCTTCTTCTGCAGGGATTCGAAGGCCTCTGTGTAGTTATGCTGTCTGAAGTGCTTGAGGCAAAGGCGGATAGCTTCCTGTTCTCTGTACTGCAACACATCCAATCAAAAAGCCGTTAACTGCACACGCTCAGAAGGTTTGTTTAAAACTCATCCAGGTGAGGGCAGCATTCAATGACTTCACTTTTTTTTTTTTTTGCAGTTTGAAGAAGTTTGTATGAAGCATCTGCAAAAAACACATCCTCAAATTCTAGATATAAGTTTGGTTAAAGTCAGTGAACACAACTTTACTTATTAAAAATGAGGTACCGTGATCATATTTCCTGTACGACGGAGTATTAGGGCCACATTAAGGAAAATTAGGACTTTGAGAAAATTAAGACTACAAGATTAAAGTCACTATTTACGGGAATAAAGTCGTGATAAATTACTTGTGAGAATACAGTCGTAGTAAAATCATTTCTTACAAGAATATAGTCGTAATAAAGTAATTGCAAAAATAAAGTCATAGTAAAATCATTACTCATGAAAATAGAGTCGTAATAAAGCAATTACGTAAATAAAGTCATAATAAAGTAATTACTTACGAGAATAAAGTCGTAATAAAGTATTTACAAACATAAAGTTGTAGTAAAAGCATTACTTGTGAGAATAAAATTGTAAAAAAGTAGTTACGAAAATAAAGTCATAATAAAAAAATGTCTTACGAGAATAAAATCATAATTAAGTAATTACTTACAAAATAAAGTCATAATAAAGTACTTACAAAAATACAGTTGTAGTAAAATCATTACTTGCGAGAATAAATAATCATAAAATCATTTCTTATGAGACTAAAGTCGTAGAAAAGTAATTATGAAAATAAAGTCATAATAAAATAATTTCTTAAGAGAATAAAGTAATAATTAATTAATTACTTACGAGACTTAAGTCATAGTAAAATCTTTACTTACAAGAACAAAGTTTTAAAAATGTAATTACAAAAATAAACTTATAATAAAATCATTTCTTACAAGAATAGAGTCGTAATAAAGTAATTATTTACGAAAAATAAAGTTGTAGTAAAATATTTCCTTATGGGAATGAAGTCAAAGTTTTATTTATGAGACTTAAGTCATAGTAAAATCATTTTTTACGAAAAATAAAGTCATAATAAAGTAATCATTTACGAAAATAAAGTCGTAATCAACTAGTACTACTTCTACACTTATGATAATGTGGTGTTGATGTGCCAAAAGATTAAGAATCTCCTTTTTTGAGAAACATATATTACATTACATTTTCACAAAATTCTTTATGGCTCTAATTTCAACTGTCATTTAAAACAACAGGTTAGAATATAAGGACTTTTTTCAGATTTTGCTCTCGTAATTAATGATTTTAATCTCAAAGTCTTTAATTTTCTGTTTTCTTAATGTAGCTCTAATACTCCGTAGTATTCCTGACATGACAATGAAGAGTAAAGAAGGAACTTTTCAAAAGGTAAAGTTTGTAGTAGACATGTAAAGGATTGCATTAAACTCCACAGGTGGTCGTAATGTAAACCTGTTTGTTTCCATTGAGCTTTTCACACACCAGCTGCTGTTTCACACGAGTGAAGTTTGGTTTATCGGCTCACGGCCCTGACTTTGCTGCGAGGGAGCGTGCGCTCAACAAACATGTAGATCAGGCTGTGACGAGCTTTCGTGTCCCCCTGGGAAACTGCATGGCGAACCACTGGGCTGAAATTGGTCCTGACCTCAAAATCAGTTTTAGGACAACACAAAAACCGTGTGTGTGTGTGTCCTCAGTCTCAGCTAAGAGCTGAATGCTAAAACTTTCAATACTTCTGCTTTTGATGACGTTTTAGTTTCATGTAATAGATCCTTGACTTTTATTTCTCTACTTTAATGAGATATTTTTAAAACCCACTTACATTCAAAATCAAATTAAATAAACCCTCTTGTCCGATTGAGTCAGGCTGATCAAATATAAATATAAAATATACACAAATCTTCACTGAAGCCTCTGCTGTTAGAGTCAGTAAAGCTGCTTGTTAAATTCTGCTCTTAAAAACGAACAAGAATTCAGTTTTCAGACCGCAGGAAGACGGATGTTTGTAATTATCTCGCTTTGAAAGCATGAAAGGCTGCGGTTAAAGATGACACGACCTGACATGTAAAGTTCAGATTAAGTTCATCTTGCGTTAGAAGGAACCGCAGCCTGGACAGTGTGATGATACGTTCATGAAAAGTTCTCACATTAATGTCCGACTGATGCAGCTGTGGCTCAAACTGCAGGTTTGACTGGAACCTGAACCGCTGGGAGGCCTCGGAGCCGGTCTCCTGATAGGACAGAGGTCCCTGTTGAACCTCTGCAGGCTGGTTAATCCACTCTATTACAGATTCAAGCCTCCTAATTGTAATTAGAGCAAATTAGGCCCTCTATCTCTGTAATCCAGTTTCAGGCTGTGTTTCTAAACTCCCAAGGCTCCCCTCAGGTGCTCACCTTGCTGTACCAGTTAAGGCAGGGCTGCACCACGTCAGGATCTTCGATACCGTGCAGCTCGATGTACCAGATGCTGAAGTTAAAACTAGGACCCCACGACATCAGAGGCACTGACACACAGAGAAAAGAAGGTTAAAATCAGGTGAAGAGACAGCGACCTCCACGGCGTACCTTCACTTTCAGACCAGATCGGCTCTCACCTATTTTTACAAATCTGCAGGGAAACATCTGCTCGTCGATCTTGTGCTTTAAGGTGAATGTTTCCTTGTTGTAGTCGTTCTTAAGGCCACTGAAACAAAAAAACAAAAAGCTGTTTTACTGACTGAATCGCTCGCTGAAGATGCCAACTGCAGCCATATGCTGCTGAATTCTGGATAGTCGTCTCAATCTGGCGGTTAACGAAACCTCATTTGTGAGTTTGGCAAATTAGCAGCTATGATCAGCCGTCTTCTTTAACAAACTGCCAGACTGGTAATGAAGTACAGACACTTAATTATGTGGTCCAGCAACAATAGAGACGTCTGAAACTGAACAGTGCTGAGGAAACAAAACATGCTACATCCACAGAAACACAACTACAAAATCTTCTTTGAAAGGCAGCATTTCACTGTTTTTATTTATTACCACCACTGGTTTCTAATTTTTGGATATCATCAAATTTCCCTGACGTAACTTTGAAGCCATGTCACCCACCACTCGTCAAAAAGCAGGAAACAAACAAGCCCCGCTTTAGAGGTCGACACGAGAACCTGAGAGCAAATCCAGGGTCATCACGTCCACAAACACACAGAAGGAAGTGTCGGAGGAACAGAGCGGGAACAGTGCTGATGGTGCATCATCTGCAGGATCATGTCAGTCGACTAAGGCGGCGCGATTTTGGCCAAAAATTAAATCCTGTTTTTTTTTCTCTGAAAACTCGATTTTTTATTTTTTATTCAGTGACGACTTCACCAAACTTCACTTTAAAAATAAAGACTTTTTCTATCATCTCTCAAAACTAAAACACTGAAACCATGTAGTGTGGGGATGCACCGATACGGTATTTGATATCAGTCCCGATACTGAAGAAAATTCTAGATCGGGTACTGTGACAATGAGCCCGACGCAATTCTATCCAATGCGCCGTGAGTGGCATCCACAAGTAAACACGCTGAGCAGGGCGAGCAAAGAAGTCTGCCATCTTGAACTTTATCACACTAACTCAGTCTACAAGGTCAACGGCCACTTATAATACCTGCGCAGTAAACGCTCTGAGGAGCGGTGGTAAAACTTCAATTACAACTAAAGGTAATTCGGCGTAGCTTTTCTGTATCGGAATCGGATGAGTATCGGCCGATGCTAAACTGTAAAAAAAGCAGATCAGATCATCTGTGTGTCACATGATCGTTTCTAGAGATGCGGATAGACATCCACGCTGAGATGAAATGGTCGTCGTTTACAGATTTATTCACTCTCTGACCCGTTTTCAAAAAGTACCGTTTACAGTCACCTGAAACGCTGATATGACAAAAAACTTCAGCGTTTCCTCCTGAATTTGTTTCCGTGGTGACGGGTTGAAACCGCCTTCAGACAGACTTTGCAGCGGGGAGTGGTTTACTCTTCACCAATTCAACACGACTGACTTGCTCTTGTCCGATTTAACCACGAAATTATCACCTTCTTTTGTAAACGCCATGTTTGTTTACACTGGTGTGTGTGGGTACTGGGGAGCGCTTTTAGAGAAAGGGGGAGGAGCCTACGGTGGATTTTTATTAGGATTTAAAATCGCTCAGTCGTGCAGCCCTACAGTCAACAGGTCACAGAGACCATCTCAGCTCATGACAGGGTAACAGTAACCTCCTCCAGAGTCGTCGTGTCGTTGTTAACAGCTGCCTCAGCTTTATGGAGGTGTCCTCTAATACCACACAGACTACAGTCAAGTATATTTACAGTTACACTCATTATGAAGCACAGGAAGTGGATCTGTGGTCCAGACTGATCCATCAGGAGTCACAAAATAACCCTCACTGAGGACTATCACTTCAATCAGCAGCAGCACTCATAACAGATCCTCCTTCAGTGTATTTTAACGACATAATCAATACAGAGTTACTGTTTTCCTCCCACCAGACCGAGTATCACATTAAACAGAACAATCTGATCTTGTTTCATCTTGTTTTATAACTCTCTTATAAACAGACCAAACTTTGCTGCATTCAGACACACATGAGCAGGATCCTTGTATTTGTTCCTCATCGTTCAGGCTGTCTGCGGATCCTCTTCAGTCGAGGAGCGTTTTGACGTCCAATCTAAATTCTGTCACAGCAAACAAAAACTTGAACACGGTTTCATCGACCTCCGTCAGTGCTCGCTGCTGCTCCCGCCATCCTGCTCTCTTCCTTTAAATCATATCTGCTGCTGTTATTTCAGCATCACTTTCAGCAGGTGTGCCATGTTCACACCAGCGTGTGTTTAAGACGGAAATCTCAACTAGATCAATTATGATACTTTGAACTGAGTGATTGGGACTGACCACACCTTGCAGTCTCAGCTGCAAACGAGGTCTTTCCACCAATAGCTGCTGCCTCGCTCCCTCTCTCTCTCTCTGTTGCTGTTTGTTTCATTCACCTCCAAAAAGCTCATAGAGTCCATTTAGGGGCATAAAAGATCCAAAACTCAGTTTATAGGACAGTGAAATCATGAGGTAAAACCTGGAGCCTTTCAGCTACTGTACGGGGAAATTGCTTCTGTGGAAAGTGTTGGCACCGATAACAATCCGGTAGATTCAGAATTAATGCGGAGAGACCGGGTCAAAGAAAATCAGTTCCAGACATCAATAGTCGAGCAGATATCTTATTGCCTCTGAGACATTTTTCCCACCTTAAGTTATCTCTCTCTCTCTCTTAGGTTGTGTCTCACTCCCAATAAGATACAATCAATCCTGTTTTCTTTTACGAGGTGAATCTGCAGACTGTCACATCTCACCTGGACAAAAGCTCTGTCATGTTCTCTTCACTCATCCCACCAAACACTTTAAACTTCTTCAGGTTGCAGACGTGAGTTTTCTCATACTTCCCAAAGGTGATGCTCTGGACCACCGCCGGCCGTTCCAACTTCAAGATTAAAAACTGGAGAAAAAGAGAAAAAGAGAGCAGACATGAAACAGACTGATGTCAAGAGCAGAGTTATTATACGGCTAATATGTGTGAATACGGACAGCAGGAAGCAGCTGGGGCTCACGGCAGACCAGCCACTGTGAAAAGAATTGCTCATTACCTAAACGACTGCAGCATGGTCAATTTACTGCATCAGGTAAGAAGCATTACATACAATCTATGAGCTGCACCCACGTGTCAGTGCTGCTCTAACAAGCCGAGACGCCGACTGACAAATCACCAGCAGCCATTAGGACAGAACGAGAGGAGACCGCAGGCAGGAGCATTGATTAAACGAGCCGCAGGGAAGCAGGCACTTAACAAACCCCAGGCATCAATGTTTTCACATTCACTCATAAAAGACACACACTCTATTCAGCCATGTCCATGCAGCAGGGTCCTCGCTCAATAACCCGGGAACGAGAGGTTTCCAAACTGCTCACATTAAATCATTCCTGCACTGAATCCTTTGGGTACATAGATCGATATTAAAGAGACGGTCTCTGCTGCAGGTGTCTGTCAGCACCTGTAGACATGTGATGAGTTTACTCAAGCAGAATAAGCTTCAGTCAGTGTGCTCTCTATGTGTATGAAGAGCTAGATTATGTGGTTTTTTTCTGTCAAACAACATTAATTTTCTTTATGACCAAACCTCACTGCAAAAAGCATACATTTTCTCTCTTTCTTTAACTTTTTTTTTTTTAATTGTTTTTATTGATTTCACATACCATCAACATTTTACATATCTTGAACAAATTTGCAACTGTATAGAATATAGTATAGTATAATTGCATACTTTATCCTTCATGGAGCAGAGACATAGTTGGACATAAACTTCTTAAATAAAGAAGTTACTCCTGTTGGAGCGTAATGTCATGAATGTCTAGCATGGTTGTTGTTGTTGTTATTTTCAAGGAAGCTGCACATGGCTATGATGTCATAAGCGTGAGCCGACGAGAGCCAGGACGTCACAGGTTTGACTGTTTTCAGCGTTTTTGTACTTTAGACGAAAGCGGGACCAGCAGAGCGTTTCCAACATTTCCACTCTGGAGGAGGTTTTCACTTTGTCACGTTTTCATCTCCTGAAAACGCAGTTGTCGTCTAAACGGACCCCCATATACAAAACTAAGTTTTTCCGTCTTCTATGGAGACTAGGCCTGAACGATATATCGTTTGACTATCGTCATCGCGATGTACGTGTGTGCGATAGTCACATCGCAGAGCCTGCGATATTGGAGGTGAATGAACTCATTTAATTTCAAGGGTAACCGACTGAGATACACTCCATGTGACTCTGCATGTGCTGTGCAGCGATCCACCAATCGCCTTCGTCCTTAACTCAGTTGCCAATCAGACTCACTTCTCAGCTGCCAATCAGACTACCCTGCCAGCTGTCAATCAAAATCAGGGAGGAGAAAACCCACCCCTGCACATGTTCTGCACATGGAGGGAGACGTGTGTCCGCTGAGAATTACTTTCGGAACTTTACTGACTATTAAGCCCAACAAATAAGAACTGTATGGGTTTTAAATTGTACATTTCCGTGGACCACTCTACTATAAGCAGTGCGCGTTTTGTGAGGTGCATGCAATTCTCGGAGGACATGCGTTTCTCGGTACAGCACCGCTAACAACAACAACAACGATCGCAAAATGAACAACGAACAAGCGAAAACCACCGAAAATGAAGATTTGTTGCCAAAAAGAAAAGGAAAGTCAGTTATCTGGAATTATTTCGGTTAAAAAAGGATGATGTCGACCAAAACACGTCTTCTGTGTTCATCTGTTTCCACAATAACGTCCCAGCACAATAAAAGCTAAAAATATATCTGAGACAGACAGAAGCCGTTCTACTAACATTCATAAAAAGAGGTGAGATCAGAGCAGATTAACTGTCCTCAAGATTTCAGCAGTGCAGCATAACATTAAGTGCTATTCAGGTCATCTGGTGAAAATACTGTATTTTTAATATCGCAATATATATCGCAGGGTTGAAAAAATCGCAATATTATTTTTTTCCAATATCGTGCAGCCTTAATGGAGACCGTTTCCGTCTAAAAGTGGCCTTAGTCTAGATGAGAAAGTCAGCTTCTCCACTCTGTATATATCCATCATTACCGCGACACAATCCTCGATTTTCGGTGCATCTGTTATATAAATCCCATATATAAATCTTCAAATCTAAGTGGACGTTGCACTTGATTGGCTTTATTCTCCCCACATAGTCTCCAACATTATGTGTCAAGAGATTTCTGTTGTATCGGTGTAATAAAGTATATTCCAATATTAGATGATGTGGTTTTATCCCCGGAGGAGTGATCAGGTTTTTACTGCAGCCGCTGACATTTAAGCAATTTTAAAACGGATTTAAATAAACGTGTTGTTATAGTTGAATATCAGGAAAACAAAACCGTGGTCACTGATTACTGAAATGATTATCGTTTATTAATTAATTTTTCTTAAAGGTTTAAAAGGATCTAGATCGTGTAAGTTCAAGAGTCTACGCCGGGGAAATAATTCACCTCAAGGCTTTTTAAACTCATGAGGAGGTTTTCGATATCGAAGAAACATGTTTAAATTCACACTGAAACTTCTTATCTTCTTTTATTTCTCTATTCATTTAAAAATCTTTAATTAAATAAAAAAGTAGGAAGAGCACTCCTCCTTTATAATGAAATTTCTAAAAACTTCTCTGTCTACTTTAATTCCATTAAATAATCGCAGGCTGAGATATTACAGATAAAAATGAAGATTCTGTATGAAAATAAAAATAACAGAGGTAACAGAGCCGTCTGTTCCTCCATTATTCGATAATAATCACAGTCCATCTTTTGAAGCGTTAATCTTTTCTTGCTCTGCTTCGTTGTGAGTCAACATGTGGTAAAACGGCGTAATCCTCCCATCAACCTCCTGCGATGACTCATATTTCCGAGGTCATAATTTACACATCCCTGCTGCAGTTGGCGCCCGCTTCACTGTAATTAGTTAATGGAAGAGGAACAAACTACTGGAGCCAATGGAGTCTCCCGTCTTGGTTAGTAACTCTGTGTGTGTGTGTGTACTGTTTGGATAACATCAACAATGATGGGAGTGTCCTTCTGGACGATGAGCTGCATCAGATGTTTTTATGGATTCGGACAGTTTGAAGTTTATGCGAACATCAAACGCTCGTTCTGTCCACGATGCTCCACCTCAAAGTTCTCAAATAAAATCAAATAAAATTCAAGCAGCTGGTTCATCTTTAATCAACTTTTTTATCTATTGATCTGTCCAAATCAAACACAGACGTCGCTTTTTCAAACTGACTGAACTAGATGTCGACTAACCAGACATCCACATCCACTGAGCAGGTAGATTCGGCTAAATCAGTATGTAATGCTTTCAATGAAGGAGAAAAAAAAATCCCATGTTTGTGTTTTCTTACTTCTGTTGATCAGACACAACACCACACAGCTGCTTTCTTAGAAACTTGTGAGTAAGTGGTTAACCATTGTTTTGGAACGCTTCACTTCCTCTTGCCGTGAAACACAAACTTTCAGATTTAACCTCAAACACTTTCTGTCACAGTGCTGCTGCAGCCGGTCGATGGGTTCAAGAGACACGACGAGAAACATCATCTTTTTTTTTTTTTTAAATGAAACACTTTCTTTTTACCGCCTGTTTGGCATTCAGATCACACTGGAGAGGAAGCATGACGGCGAAGCTTTTCCAACACTAACCCTGGTCTGTGTTCAAAACTATTTGATTAAGAAGTTTTTAAACCTCAGTTAATGTTTGACTCAAGTTCGATTAAACCAATGCAAACAAGGCAGACCAAAAGGGTAAGATGGAAATCTTAAAAGTGCAATAACATTGTTCAAAACTGAGATAATGACAGGAGTGGTGTGAATAAAGGAAAAGGCTGAGAGAGCAGAATGCTGCTGCACAAAACTACAAGTTATCACAGTTATGTCTTTCGTCTCTCAGCTGTTGTGCAGGTTTTTTTCCCTACCTTCTGTAACACCTTGCTCCTTTATAAATAGCAGGCTCTCAAGTTTAAACCAGCTATCTCTACATTTAAATTAGGGATGTGTGCAGTTATTCGTGTAAACAGGGCTGTCCTTACTTTCCGTTTCGTAAATAATATTCATTTATTCTATAAAAAAAGAAAAGGGGGAAAAAAGTGAAAAAAGCTTTTTTTTTTTTAATTACATTTTTACTGTCATGTCTTAATAAAAGCGTGCATTAAACAAGCTAAAATGTGTGGATCATTTGCGTGCGACTCTTTCTGCCTGGCTCGCTGCTCTGGGCTCGCAGCGCTGCCCTGCAGCATGCATGGCATCGTGGTTAACTTCCTCAGAGTGAATCAACACATGCGATCAGCCAGAGTGATGTCAGAGAGAAAAAAGAGCAAAGTTGAAGTCTAATTTAGATAATAAACATTGTTGAACGTGATGTTGTCAGACTCTGAAGACTCTTCATTTTGTGCTGATGTCGTGAGACAGGCCGATGACGCAGCAGGCCGCTTGGCTTGAGCACAGCTTAATTGCTTTGATTTTCCACGTACTTTATGTCATTCTCCAGCTAAAAAAAGATTCTGTAACATATTTTCATATTATAAGCTTGGCTTTCATGTACTCTTAATATTTATAACAGATTATATCTGACCATATAGAGCAACATTTGCTCAATTTGGGCTATTTTCTGGAAGTTCGTTAATTTTCGTGTATTTGAATATTCAGTTTCAAAATGGTCGTTTAAACGTCAGTGAAATTAACCGCTGGGAACATCCCTAATTTAAATACAAAGCTTCCAATCTATCGCAGGCAGCTGTATGTGTAAATCCAAAAAGCAGAATTTTTTCATCCAAATTTCATCTGCACTTTTCCCCACAGCCCACAGTAAAAATTCTACCAGACGTCAGGGCAAACAGATGTATCAACATTGTATTATGTTTTCCACTGTTGAGTTTGTGGTTGAGACACATTATTACAAAAACTGAAACTATTCCTGAACGCTGCTCCTCCACCCACTTGCTGCCACGTCGCTACCTCCTCTCACCTAAACCAAACTGAGTGTGCAGAGTTCTAAGCGTACGTCCAAAAGGAGAGAATCTAAACTATCAGGGCTTAAATATCTTGAAATTATCCACTAAGTCTCAGGAGGCTCTTAATGAAGATAGAAATATAATGCAATGACCTGATCTGCAGAAATGAGGAGGAACTTTTACAGGAACTAGACAGATGTGGAGTCCAGCAAACCGTAGACCTCCACAGATGTCACGATTCAGTTCTAGATCCGATCCTCAAACTGACAGCATGTTAAAGCTTGAGTAGAAACAGCTCATGTAGACAGCAGTAAACTTACCTGTGGAGGGTAATTGCTCTCAGAAGACCACCTGGAAGACTGATCATTAGGCTTGTCCACCAAGATATTCCTAAAAAAAAACACAACAGGAAATGTTTAATTTCCGACTGTATATAACTAAATATTATAACTAGTGACAAAAGAGTTACAGTTAGAGCTTTCAAAGTTTTTGATGTACAATTGATGCGAGAATGTTCTGCGTTTATGACCCTCGGCCTGTCCTGTAATTTGCAAAATCGAAGCATCATTTTGGTGTGAATGAAAGCAGAAGCAAACCTCACTGAGCTCTATGATTCTCTCATCAAATCCTGGTTATACTGCATTTACTTTCAATGTGTGGTGGGTCAATAGAGGACAGCAAGTCCAAAAAACCTTTACTGGCCGAGCACACAGCTAACGCAAAGTCCCCCCTCTTCATTAAAGGGATATTCCGGCGTAAAATTAATTTAGGGTCAAACACACTGTAACACTGAGTTTGACACCCCCTTCAGAGATGAATGTTGACGACCGCTTGCTTCTCTAGTTATACCAACTTTTAAACGACCACAGAGAGCAATACACAGCGATCTCAGGTGCCACTCTGTAGCCACAAATAATGCTCAGAACAGCACCTAACTTCATCAACAGGACATATAGGGTCACAGACATAGTACTAAACACCAAACATCTTTTTAACTTTGACTCATTTCTTTAGCAAAGAGACTAAACACAACTCACCTACTCTCTTCCAGCAGACGATTGTTTTTAGGGAGACCTCAACCAGTCCATCATAGACGTAGCTCAAGGAAGAACATTTATGATCATTTCTTTATCATTTCCTTGAGGTCATAATCACCATATTAATCATTTTTCTCTGCAGACGTGGTAGTTCTTCTGCCTTAGCGTCTCGGTCTGATTGTATTTCCATGAAGAAATGATCATAAATGTTCTTCCTTGAGCTGCGGCACCCCGCTGCCGTCCGCAATGGACTGGCCTGAGGTCTCCCTAAAAACAAGCGTCTGCTGGAAGAGAGTAGGTGAGTTGTGTTTAGTCTCTTTGCTAAAGAAATGAGTCAAAGTTACAAAGATGTTAGGTGTCTAGTACTATGGCTGCGACCCTAAATGTCCTGTTGATGAAGTTAGGTGCTGTTCTGAGCATTATTTGTGGCTATAGAGTGGTGTTTTGTTTGAGCACGTGGCTCTCTGTATTGCTATCCTGCGGTCGTTACAAGTTGGTATAACTAAAGAAGCAAGCGGTCGGAAACATTCATCTCTGTGTTTGACTCTGAATTAATTTTACACCGAAATATCCCTTTTAAAAGGTTGAGCAGTTTGCAACCGAGACTCTACAAACAACAAACTTTTAACAGCGATTGCTTAGTGGCTGCAGCTCTCAGGCTGATCCGACACTGTGGAGGACGAGGGTCTGCTCGAAACAATACCAGTACAGCAAACTTTAATTACCTCCATGAGCTACTATTGGAAACTAGAGACACAAGTAGAGGAGGCATCGGGGCAGACAAACATGGAGAGTTTGATAGTGGTCTAGTTTTAGTGTTTACTCTGGCATCTTTCTCATGTGGTCATGTTTGAGTGTGTTGTAATGTCTCTTTTTTTGGTTGTGATCACATAACCTCACAGTTTTTTGACCCGGTGAATGTAGGGCAGTGTGTAGAGGGGTGTGTTTGAACTAAACCAATTGTGATGGCTATCTGAAAACAATGCAGCTGCATTAATAACCCACTTAGACTGTTCTGGAAGGTCAAAGAGTCCGTTTAACAAAAGACAGCAGAGTTAATATCATCCATTATCATGTTGAGTTTAACATTTGCCAGCTAAAATTCTCATTGAAACAGCAACACCAGCGTATTCTTAATCATAGCGTGACCTCGTTTAGACTATACAGTATTTTTAGAGTTTATTTCAACAACATTTTGTTTTATTTAATATAATAGTTTGATAAAAATGAGGATTTTAGCTTCTGCTGGTTAGACAGAGCTACATGTTAGATAACAGCAGCTCTGTTAGCTCAGGGGTGCGTTTGATTTGACATACAATGATGCCAGGCCGAATGTTAGTGAATGATATTTTTATATTATTATCCGCTGCTCTTGCCCTGAATTAAAAACGGACTATCCAATATTATTTCTAAGAAATTCTAGCTGTTATTGATAGTACAAATCTCTACTCAGGATGATTTAAGTACACACTAACGCACACGTAGCGACGACAAGAAAGAGGTGGCGCTCAGACGACGGACTACTTCATGTTTACATTTTTAAAACAGCTCTAAAAATGTCGAAATAATTTTCCAAACATAGTTCCAACTACCTAATATATAAAAACAAACGTTAATATTCAAAAACAGCCCGGTTGACCCGTCCGCATCGTCTCTTTCGCGCGGCTATGTAGCTAAAACAAGCGCACCTTTCGCCGCTGACAAAGCTAACGCTAAGCTAGCTTTGCTATGAGCGCAGACGAGCTAACATCAGGCCAGCCGAAACAAACACAGGAGCGCCGAGGCGATAAAAGCTCCCCCTGTCAGTGTAACAGCTGATGCACGCAGCAGAGAAGCAAACGCGCTCATTACTTACTCAGGTAAATACGTAGAGGAGTAAGAGCTCCATTTAAAAACGCTGAAAGTAAGGACTCTGCTCTCAGGAACGACAGCCATCTTGTTGCTGAAAATAACAGGCAGCAGGAGGCTAACTGGGCGCGAGCGCTGACAGGCCTTAAAGGGACAGTACACCCTGTTTGTTTACACGGTGATAGAGTTCAACGGCCAGACGAGCCCATCTCATATCCTCCATATATCAGGTCTTCAACATTAAATCCTCATATCATTACGCAAATAGAGTAACTAACCTGTGCTGGTAAACTAAAGTATAAAGAGATATTCCGGCATAAAATTAAGTTATGGTCATGAGTTAGACAACCCCTTAAGGGATGAATGTTGCCGACCGCTTTCTTCTCTAGTAATACCAACTTTAGTAACGACCGCAGGAAAGCAATACAGAGAGCCACACGCTCATCCAAAACGCCACTCTATAACCATAAATAATGCTCAGAACAGCACCTAACTTCATCAACAGGACATATATACGGTCCCAGCCATAGCACTAGACACCAAACATCTTTTTAACTTTGACTAATTTGTTGTTTTACACAACTCACCTACTCTCTTCCAGCAGCCGCTTGTTTGTACGGAGACCTCCAGGCGAGTCCATCGACTGCAGCGGAGTGACTCAGCTCAAGGAAGAACATTAATGACCCGCGTCACCCCTGCGTTTTTTCTCCATTTCCTGAAACCAACACTGCGCTGCAGCATTGTGCGCACTCCACGACTTGCGCAGTAGCGTTGGGCGCATTCAGCGGGAGAGTCGCCACGATGACACTCGGCTCAAACAGCATATCCTCTGGGTGAGCTACGCAATCTTTGTTCGCCCATAGACTGTATCAAGTGTCAATCATAGAAAATATTAACCCCCTGATAACTTTTGAAAAAGTTATCGGGGGGCTACATGTCAACATTGCAAGCAGGGGGGAAAAATGATGTTCTGTGTAATAAATTTCTAAAATTTGTCCACAGCTCCATAAGCTCTGCTGGCAGAGGCGGGATTTATGACCTATACTGCAGCCCGTCACCAGAGGGTGCTGTTCTTGGAGTGGCTTCACTGTGCGAGGAGGCAGACGGCATCCATTCTATACAGAGTGGTATGGTTTTGATTTATGGTTCTATTTCATCATGGGAGTTGGAAATTTTGAAGTGCCAGCCAGATATGTCATCCAAAACATTCTCTAATATAGGGCTGGGCGATATGGAAAAAAGTTTATCAAAATATATTCTTTTCATATCAGTCGATATCGATATCTATCACGATATAAAAAATGAAATTTAACAGTGTTTATTGGTAGCATGTCTTTCCAATACAATAATCTACTGCATCTGTGAGGTCTTCATGTCTCTTAGACGTTTTGTCGTAAGGCGTTGCGCTAGAGGTTGGGTGTAGCTGCTGTCTGCCATGACGCAGTTGATTGATACTTGGTTCTGATTCAACACATGATCGGTTCAGGGCGAAGCGGACCCAAAGCAACTTTCCTTTTCATTGGCTATTCATACAGTCTACCAAAACATGTCAGAATGCTGACTACCGAAAGCCATATTGAATCTGTTTAATTTGATATGGAGGTAAATTAATGTTATCGCCCAGCCCTTCTCTACAGAAACACACCAGCTATGGAGCGATGGACCAAAAGTCTGTTGACTTCATGTTAAACGGTCGCCGCCCCTCCCTGCTTTTCCAGGTGTAAGATGTGAAACCAAGCAAAACGTAGTATGTTGTATTGTCTCATATTGTCTAATATCATGCAGAGGTGATACATTTCAATTTTTACAAGTGAATTGTCAACAAACCCACATACAGGCTACAAAAATCTGAGTTTAAACTCGGATTTGGTCGTATGCAGAAAGGGAAACAGTTCATATGGAGAGAAAAGGACAAAACAATGGCTGAAATGCAGCACTCACCTACTGCTGACAGACGGTTAATTGGTATGTCTATTTGGTTTTTAATCAATCTAAATGATCATATAAACACAAAAATGTCCTGATTGGGTCAGATCAGGTTAGCAGGTTGTGAGGAAGTTGATCAGATGAGAGGAAGTCACGGCCGGGAAACTCCAAATAACTATCAAGTCATCACGAAGATACTGATCAGTTAGCTTTGATTACAGTCGTTTCAGACAGCCATGGTATTATTAAAGGCGCTGTAGGGAGTTTTTAACTGGTTTAGAAACAAACTAAAACTGATACTGATACCTCTTAAAGACTTTCAAACCAAGTCTTACACATTTAATTTACAGTTATTCATACATTTCACTGTTAAAAGACAGCAGGGGGAAGTTTTTTGTCTGAAGACATGACTTTCTCATGCAAAGGGAGAGAAGTGAGAGGTATCAGTTTGTCCACAGGAGGGCGCCAGAGTCAAGACAAACTAAAAGTTCCTCATGGTAGCTTTAAAAGAAACCCACAGGCATCAGCTTTATTAATTCAGCCCTGCTAATTAAAGCTGTTCTTTTAAAGTGACAATGCAGTACTGACATCCGCAGATCAAAAAAGAACAATATATGTGTATAAATAGTTTAAACAGAGCATTATTTTTGGGCGTCCGTAGATCTCACTTATGCTCTGCTGTGCCTTTGAGAATTCACCCTGAGAGACCAGAAAAGTGTCCGGCCGTACTCTGACTTGCCTGTTGTGTTTTTTCGTGTCTGCTCATGCCCTTTCATATTCCTCCAAAGAGTCCAGTCTTGTTTTGTGCTCTCTTGCCTGCATCGACTTGTCCTTGTGTTGATTAATAGATCATGTTACCGTACAGTCATTGGACAGTGGATCAATGACCCGTTCAGCTCCTCTCTGAAACAAAGACAGCCTGTCGTCCTGATGTTGTCCTTGTCTTAAGAGCTGATATCTCGATGACCTCAGTGTTTTACTACATGTCGGATCACTGCGAGATCACAGGGAGGATGAATCATCCGGTGAGTAATATCCAAGTAGCTTCCAGTTAACTGGAGCTCTTTTCCTGAAACTTCATGTGAACGACTCTCTCTCTCTCTCATCCTCCATCCCTCCAACTCTTCTTCTTTTACTCCACCCCTCTGCCTGGAGGGATGTGCAACCTCTTCATAAATTAATTTACAGTTCTTGTATCTTAAATTCCCAAACATTTTAATTTAATATAAAGTGCCCTAAAGCCTAATTTCAAGGAGGCTGTGATCAAGGAAAACGCCACTGCATTGATTTAACAAGTATTTCGATGCAGATTTATGCACAAGCTTCTTCAAAAAATGACAGCTTTTCTGAAAAATTCAGAATAAACCATCCTGCATATTATTTAACAATCCATGAGGTTGTGCTGGATGCAGTTATGACACAGATTGCGTTGCCAGATTCTTGCAAGATGTTACAGTCAAAACAAAAGTTATCAAGAAAACTGAAAATCTCAATAATTTAAGAGAAAAACCCGTCAGAGGAAATTTGGTTCCAGCTGCTAAATTCATTCTCTTCACCTCGTGTTATAAATTGCACCTTAATTAAAGCTCTCCACTGAATCACATGATCTAATTAGATCAATAAGATTGTGCTTAAAATCTGAGAGCTGCAGGACAGCCACTAAATCAATCAGGCCAGTTGTTCAATCTGATCTGATTATTGTTTTTACATTTGATCAAATCCCAAAACAGGAAGCTTAAAAGAGAAATCAATGAATATAAAATCAGACTAAATGGATATATTTGTTTTTATCAGACTAAAACTTCCTGTTTGGGTTTAAAAAGTGCTTAAAAAAGTCTAAATACAACTTAAGTGCATTATTATTTTTACATGTGTCATTAATGGTTCCAACACTGAGGCTGTTAAAGATGTGATTAATGTCTGTTTTATTCTGTTTTAATGTGTCGGCAGAACAAAAGCAGGCACTCCTGCTTGTGTCAGAGCAGCAGATAGCACACAGCGGTGGGCGGGGGGGAGCAGGGTTGGTGTCTTTTGTTGGTGAGAGTTGTAATCTGCTCTAATTCAAACCGCAGGGGGTCCGCGAGCCTCGCAGACCCCTGGACCTCTGGTATGTTCACACGGTCCGGACTGCCAACGAGACCCTCCATCAAACTGAGGAGAAAACAAGTTAATTAGTCTTCATGAAAGACTTTATTGATATAATTCTGCACTAATGCGTGTGTTTTCATCCCTATGGTGGCATAAATTAAAATGTCTGTCTCATAAACGCTGATTTTAAATTAAATTAAATTATTATCAAAGATTTTTCTAACTGGCCTGAAATCGAATACAGCCGCTGCCCTGAAATGCATCTTTTACAACCATGTAGGTGGTTTGGCAATTCGCTGTTCCAGTGTGGAAGAAAATAACACCTTTTAAAAATTTGTGTTGGATGAAACTGTTGAAGGAAAATGTGAAAGTGACGATTTGTGGACATAATGCATGAAAAGACCTGTTGGATTAGAGATCAGTGAACCAGAGAGGGGAGTGTGGGAAAAGGCACATTAGCATACTGTTGCTGCAGCATGCGTACGTCTGACTTTGATATTTTTGTGAAGATTCCAGTGGAAGTGTGAGTTTCTGATGAATCATCTGTTAGTGGACGTCTCCCAGGCCTGAAGTCGTGAAGCGGATGATAAATGTGATTCCTCTAAGTGCACGTCTGATTCTTGGCTGAGCATCGGATCCATTTACTCCGAATGAGCGGATCTGTGAGGATGTAAACGCAGACGCTGAGAATTCAAGTGAAGATGGTTTTATTGATGAGTAACACCGGGAAGTATGGCTCCGCCCTATTGGCTGTTTAATGGAGTGGAAGCAGCCATCATGACGTCACTCATTGGTCTTTTGGACTCTTATGTTTTGATGAATGGGTAGAAACCATAAAATCTCCCTGAGAGGCTCATAACTTGTACATTTGAGTGCATCTATAATCAGATTTTAGCAGAATAACATCACTCAGTTCTTATTAAGGTTTTTTTAAATCATAAAAACTTCATATGAGGTGAAAGAAATTACCTCCTGAAGAAGCGAAGGGGTGTTTCACTTCTTTAATCTCTCAGTCTCTCCAGACAATAATCCTGCCAGCCAGGTAGCAGCTTTCAGCCCAGCAAGCACGCTGTCAGATAGTTGAATTTCTTTAAAACTCTCGGGGTAGATTACCGACCGAAACATGACAGAGGCGAGGAGGAGATTTACAGGCATGCTGACTGAATGGATTTACACTTAGTTTAACTAGCTTTCATGAACGGCTGAAATAAAGTGAAGATCTACTCGCTGTGTAGAGAAAAATAACTGTAACCATGCAACAAGTGGAGACGCCCCCTGCTGGACACAGAGAAGAACGCAGAATCAAGGCTCTTTTCTTTGCTAGCTTCCTCTCGTTAACTCTATACGTCTAAAACTTTCTACAAACATTTAAACATTTCCCCGACCTGATTGGTTGTGAGGTGGACAGCCTCGTGTCGTTCAGGAGCCCAAACAAAGTTAGCATGCTACAATATCGGACAGTAGAAACCAACCAGAAAGTTCGGAAAATTGTCTGAATCCTCCTTTGGCCACGACTGCCGACACAAGCAAGAAAACAAAGTAAATACCGGAGACTCTGGAGGAATAACGGGCGCTTAAAACGGAGGTAGACCGGACAAGAGCTAAAAAGCCGGGTCAACATAAACGATGGGGGACGCTTGGGGATCTTGGTGACCCTGTAACCTTTCTGCTGGACAGGTAAACCGCTTTAACAAAGTAAGACAAGTGTCTGTAACAGAAGTGTTTCTTGTCAAACCGACCTGCTGTAGCGTGTTGTAGCGCCATCACTAAACTGTCCTCCCTCGGGTCCTGGACTATGTCACTTTATCCTCGTTGTAGAAGTCCTGCAAACATCGTGTTTGCTGGTAGTCTGTTGGCATCTACAGTAGCACCAATGCTTTTGACTTTCACCTTGACTGGGCCCCATTTGTAATGATCTGAAGTATTGATCTACATTATATCTGAATTTAATTGGAACGATACGAGCGAGCAGGAGCGTCTGTTTGTGGGCGGGGCTTGAGGGGAGAGGAGGAGCTAAGGGGAACTGGAACTACCTCAGATCCTGACTACCCCACATCTAAATCTGACTGATTACTCTTACATTAGAATAGACTTGTGCAAATATTTCTCTTTTTGATCATATCAGAGACTTTATAAAGTAAATATTAACTAGAAAGGGACCGAATCCTGATGTTAGCTAATGAGCTGCTGAACGTATGAACTGACCATAATTTGTCAGGTTAACACGGTTTACTTGATCAAAAAAGAATCAGGGAACCATCATGACAAAAAGAGCCTGAGTGTTTCAGAGTCTGAGATACAATCATACAGAGAAAAGCAGTTTTAGACTCATGATCTAACGAGGAAAATAAACCAAGAAAACGTCTGGATGCATGTCCGCTCACAACATTCAGGAAACTTTGTGATGTCCCAGTACTCTGTTGTGTTCTATTTCTTATGTCTCGGGAGGACGTCACTCTTCTGCTCTAACACTTTTATTTAGTAACACCCCTGACCTTCTCGGCAGGAAGTGTTATATTCACGTATGATAGTCCCTGCAGACCCGGGGCATCTTCTGGTGAAGAAGGTGTGAGTAAAAGATGAGGAAATGGTCAGGGAGGGAAACTCCAGCGTCACCTGAAATACAGAACAGAAACGCACACACGCACACACACACACACACACGCACACACGCACACACACACACACACACACACACACACACACACACACACACGGAAGAGTCTTAGGGCAGATTAAGCTGCGGGGTTTGTGGAGTTATTGTTCTCAGGGGAAAGGCCCACGTCTGTTTGTGTCCGTCTGTCCGTCTCACGTATGACATCAGCTGTTTCCCCACAATGTTAGTCACCTTATGATGATGTCACTCACTGTCTGACCTCATTTTGAAAACAGGAACAAGCCGACAAAGAGGACCAGTCAGCCCATGTTCATGTCTGCCATCATCATAAACAACCTCTCATATACAATATAACAACCCCGTTAAAATCACATGGTTGTGTTTAAAAAAAGAAACAGATTTTATAAATAAAATAATTGAGTATAATAAAAAGACTTTCAGAGAGGTGCAGTCTCTCAGGCTGTGAGGAAATACACAAACTGTTTCAGATGAATTTCCTCCTCAGAGTTAAGTTGCAGATAATTTGGGGTTTTTGTCGACTAAAAGATCATCAGGCAGCCTGGCAAATACTGACACGTCTCTGTAGTGGAAATTACTGCATGAGTTTAAAGAATCCATTGTCCATGAATACAGTTTGACGCAGCTCAAGGAAGAACATTTATGATCATTTCTTCATGGAAATACAATCAGACCGAGACGCTAAGGCAGAAGAACTACCGCGTCTGTAAAATGATTAATATGGTGATTATTACTTCAAGGAAATGATAAAAAAATGATCATAAATGTTCTTCCTTGAGCTGCGGCACCCCGCTGTAGTCCAACAAGCGTCTGCTGGAAGAGAGTAGGTGAGTTGTGTTTAGTCTCTTTGTTAAAGAAATGAGTCAAAGTTAAAAAGATGTTTGGTGTCTAGTACTATGTCTGTGACCCTATATGTCCTGTTGATGAAGTTAGGTGCTGTTCTGAGCATTATTTGTGGCTATAGAGTGGCGTTTTGGTTGAGCGTGTGGCTCTCTGTGGTCGTTACTAAAGTTGGTATAACTGGAGAAGCAAGCGGTCCACAACATTCATATCTGGAGGGGGGGTCTGACTCTGTGTTACGGTGTGTTTGACCCTAAATTAATTTTACACCGGAATATCCCTTTAACTTTTACCAGGCAAGAATAGGACAACTCCAGAAACTATATAATATCATAAAAATCTGCTTTAATATTCAACTGTTTGTCTCTGAATTGTTTTTTAATCAATTTAAAACCACTAAAAAGTGTTTTTTTATCCACATTTTACTCAGAGTCACTATTATGGTCTTTAAAGGGGTTTTAAAATAATCCCACTCAGCCTAAATATTTACGTTATCAGCTCCTTAAAAGGTGTTTTTTCCTCTTCATCATTAATGCCATCCTCCTCATCCTCGTTCTCCCGGTAAAAGCAGCTCGGAGGTGTTTACTCTCTGCTCTTTTACTTTTATTGAGGGCGCAGCATCTTGTTTCTCTGGGACGCGCGCACTGCTGCCACGAGCGCGCACGAAGCGCCATCACGTGGGAGGTCCCTTTAAGTTTCCACTGTCAGAGGCCCGAGCGTGTCACATGGACATGAGATAATGAAAAGGCAGGAACAGAGAGGCAGAGTGCGCGGAGCTCCAGGCTGATGGGAAAAGGGGGCCGAAATGTACGCAGTCATCTCCCGACAGCCTCCAGGGACACGCAGACAACTGGCCCGAGCCGAGCCGAACCCTGCCGATCCTGTCCGGGGCGGGCCGAGCCGGACTCACTGCGCCTCATCGGACGGGACCTCTTCTCTCTATTCGCAGTTGCACCTGCCAGCTATGACACACTTTGGAAAGGAGGAAAATGCGCCTCGGTGCTGAAGAGGAGAGGAGAGGAGAGGAGAGGAGCGCCTTTGACCGTGAGTGAAGTTCTTTCTGATCGCTCAGCTGATGTGGGATCAGCTCTCTGCGTGTGTGCGTGTGTGTGTGAGAGTGTGTCGCAGCCGCAGGTGTGTTTGCGCGCTTGTGTTGTGGACGGTTGTTGAGCTGAGAGTGAGGAGCCACATCTCTCAGCTTTGTGGAAAATAAAAAAGTCTCCTTACTGGGGAAAGAAAGCGCCACATTCCTGCAGCGGAGACTCCGGATCATGAGCCATGTGCGTTTCTGAAGAGGTCTGTGTGTGTTCGCCATGCAGTGTCCGCATTCCAGGTGGTGTTGCGCACATAGAAATTGGAGTTGAAGTAAACAAGTGGGAATAATGAGGCCTCGCTCCGGAGCTCGAACACAGTGTTTTGAAGGTTGAGGACGGCGCTCCAGGCTCTCTGGAAACATCCCGCCCCTCTTTTTACAAGCCCGACCCTCAGGCTCCAGATGCAAGGGGAGAAGTTATTGATGATTTTAAGACAACTGCCGCACGTCCATCATAGTTACGAAGTCGTAAACACCCCCCCCTCCTGTTGTCTTTACAGCAAGTTTGGAGATTACGCACCGCTCCCTCATTTTTCGCGGTGGCGCAAAGTCGAATGAAACCTTAATGAAGTGTGATTGTGTGAAATGTGAGCAGGCCTGGGGCAGTTTTCTGGCTGTGGGGATAATTGATGAGTGTGTGGCTTTAAAGCAGCGGTCCTATTTGTTTAATAAAGCCTTCCACTTGTGCTGCGGGATGTTTGGAAACGTGCCTGTGAGGAGCCGTCAGAAAAACAAGAAAACCACCTGCCCGCTGCTCCGCGATTGCGCAAACACACACACACACACACACACACACACACACACACACACACACACACACACACACACACAAACACAAACAAACTCTCCCTCTCTCTCTCTCTCTCTTTCCCTGGTAACATTTTTTTGCTGATTCACAACAGGGCAGTCACATCTGTGTGTTTATGTGACACACAGAGTTCAAACAGCCTCTAAATTTGGCCGCAGTTTCAGTCTCAAGCAGAGAGGGGAAATCATTCAGTGTGTTAATGCGAGTGTTTCTTCCGGAGATGATTCCCAGCAGCAGAGAGGCTGAGTCAGACTGGGCCAACTGGAGGAGGAGGAGGATCCAGTTAATGTGGCAGATATTTACCCATCAGACCGAGCATCAGAGAGGAAAACCAGTAAACAGGACTCTGAAAATATGAGGAAACGCTTTTAGTCTGATAGTGTTTCCTCATATCATGATCTCAGTGACGCACACAGGTTTATGAAGCTTTTCCTCATCTGTGTGAGTCTGCGCAGGACATTTACCATCGCACAAAAGGCCTCTGAAGTAGACCTGAATCCCCGAGGATAACCAGTAAATGAGTTTGATGACAGGACAGTTACCGACTGAAGGGACTACGAAATTCAAGTTTGGAAACTTCAGCTGCCCCTGTGTTGGACTGTTTTAAAGAATGTTGTCGACCGCTTGCTTCTCTAGTTATACCAACTTGAGTAACGACCACAGAGAGCCACACGCTCATCCAAAACGCCACTCTATAACCATAAATAATGCTTAGAAGAGCACCTAACTTCATCAACAGGACATATAGGGTCCCAGACATAGTACTAGACACCAAACATCTTTTTAACTTTGACAAGAGACTAAACACAACTCACCTACTCTCTTCCAGCAGCCGCTTGTTTGTAGCGAGACCTCAGGCCAGTCCATTACGGACTACAGCGGGGTGCCGCAGCTCAAGGAAGAACATTTATGATAATTTCTTCATGGAAAAACAATCAGACCGAGACGCTAAGACAGAAGAACTACCGCGTCTGTAAAATGATCAATATGGTGATTATTACTTCAAGGAAATGATAAAGAAATGATCATAAATGTTCTTCCTTGAGCTGCGGCACTCCACTGTATTCCAACAAGCGGCTGCTGGAAGAGAGTCGGTGAGTTGTGTTTAGTCTCTTTCTCTTATCAACAGGACATATAGGGTCACAGACATAGTACTAGACACCAAACATCTTTTTAACTTTGACTCATTTCTTTAGCAAAGAGACTAAACACAACTCACCTACTCTCCTCCAGCAGCCGCTTGTTTGCGGGGGAGCCCTGACACGTAAAACTCCACCGTCGCTCAAAACTATCTGAAGAAAAGTTTTTTTTCGATCTTCGTGCCGAAAAACATTTTAGCTTCTTTTGGAAGTGATTTTGAGTCAATGCATAGATTCCCACTACAGAGTAATGTCTATATTTAATGTAGATTCCACCCAGTTTACTCCCAGATACTCTGAATGTTTTCCTCTACATTTAAACTTTAAACACTGAGAAGGCGAACAGGAAACTGCAGCGTCTTAAATCCTGTTTTTACATACGAACGCTTGTTGTTTTGAGAGCAGAAACACGTGCGTGTTTGTTTTGGCTGAGGAGGATCAGACATGTGAAGTGTGCGGTTTCTAGCATGAAACAGAACACACATGAGCCGTCCAACAGAAGTAACAGTCTGTTCTTTTTCTTATTTTTATTTTTGATCGTTTTGATTCGATCCAAAAGAAGCGAGGCGAAATGTTGGCGATGATGGTTGCCGTGGCTGCAGATTCACCATTTCCAGTAAGTTTAAAGAGGATGTGCACGATTTAAGAAAGCATTTTCCTCTTCAACACCGAGCGCAACATGAGGAAATCCATCCTGAAGTGGTTTGTCAGACTGTGCATCACGGAGGTAGTCTCTCAAACATCAAGACAGATAGTATCATGAGGTGGACCTGAGGCCGGTCTGAAGCCTTCAGCTCAGTCCTGCACTTCAGTGAGTTCACATAAAACCGTCATCTACATGTTTGATTCTTCTGACCGTTGTTAGACTGCCAACCTTTGGCCTGGCGTGCACACTCCAGTGTTTTCAGTCACTTCTGCAGATCCGTGTGCACGCAGATTGATTTCACAGTTTTTAATCGGACCACTGAGACTCTTCGTTTACACATTTAAAGACCTCACCGACATAAAGATCCTGATCGTTTCCAGGCAGTTAAAAGTGGCGTCTGTCACCGAATGTTGTTGGAGTGTTTTAAAGGGATATTATTTTGGGTCGAACACATCGTAACGCTGAGTTAGACACTCCTCGAGAGATGAATGTTGCCTAAGTAGAGAAATCAAGACGTTTATAATGATAGTTAATTGTTGTTTTGTTAACAGAAAGACGAACTCAAACTAAGTCCATTTACTGGATTTGAGAATTTCAGATTGTGACCCAGTTTTGATCATTTTAGGAACATGTTTTTCACAGGCGAGCAGAGATCCACATCCCTGTACTCATATAAGAACATCCTGGTTTCTGATTGGTGGATTTTTCTTTGTTTATGTTTCACAACAGGAACCCCTAAAGTGAAGAAATCTGGGGGAAAGAGAAAATCGAACCACTGTGGCACTGTCTTGTTGCTGCCTCCATGTTTGTTTTTGTCGTGCAGGTGGTCGAGGCTGCGCCCGTAATATCCCGCTTTCTGTCCCGGTTCTCTCAAACCCAGAATCATCTTACAGCCACGACTGAAAACCTCCATGTAGATGCATTTACTTCAGTTACAAATGTGAGTCAGAATGAAGAAAGTCTGTGAGAGGTCAGTCGTTAAGCAGCGTTAGCATTAAGAGGAATGTATACATCAAATTGAATCCATATCTGTGCTGCTGAAACATGTGGTTGGAGGGTTATGATTCAGGACAGACGTTACATAACAACCAAACACGGCCGCTCTGAAGCTCTCCTTCTCAGTATGTTTTATCAGAAAAGAAGTCAGCGGGTTCGAGGACTCGGCAGCCCTCAGTCTCGCTTCATGTCGTCCCTGCTGCTCGAGTAGAAACCTACAGATTTGTGTCACCTGTGAATTCACACTTCGCCTCTGCTTCCTGGTTTGTTTGTTGTTGTTGTTTTTTTTTTAATGTTCTGTGGTGAACAAATTCACAACATCGTCCTAACAAGTACAAACGGTGTTAAACACGAGCCCGGCCGTCCTCGACGCTCCCGTATGATAATGAAATTTGCGATAATCCTGCAGCTCGAGCCATTAACAGGCATTAATCCTGCTGCGTTTGGCCTTATTAGCCGTCAAGCTTTTCGAAGCAAACTTTCACGGCTCTGAGCTGTTATTTCCGCCTCTGAGAGTGTCACTTGGCAAACGTATATGCTCAGAATCCCAGCAATGAAGCCTGAACCTCAGATTAGCCGCATGCTTGAAATGGCTGGAGTGTGTCAGAGGAGTGGAGCGGCGATTACCCGGCCCGCCTGTACGCATACGTGTGTGTTCCTGTTTATCTGCCTCTGTTTTTGTGGCTGCATGCATGTGCTTACCAAAGACAGACCATCTGCGTCACAGACTTAGCATGACGTCTGTCAGATGTTTACACACTCTCGTCCTGGCTCAACAAATAGATCGCTTTCTTTCAGATGTAATAAATCCTGTTGTTTTCAGCACCGTCTCGCCGCTGAGAGCGATTTTCATCTTCTTCTCTCAAACACCTTTTTTCCCTCTCAATCTCCGTCCCTGACTCTCTGGTCTATTTGTAGCCTCGACATCAGAGTCTTATCTGAGAAATGAGCCCATTACTTTCTTCTCTGGTGTGCCTTTCCCTGAATTATTCAAGTAAACGGTGTGTGTGTTTTTAGTCGTGCCTCAGTGTGCTCAAACAGCCAGCTGTGAAAGTTGTGTTTCCGCCGAGTTATGTGATCATAATTAGCAGCTCCCTTGTGACTGGGTGGTTGTGTATATGTGTGTGTGTGTGTGTTTGCATGTGAGAGAGAGAGAGAGAGAGAGAGAGGGAGAGAGAGAAGGGGTGTGCTTGTGTTTACATGACAGCCGAGCCGACCAGGAGAGGAAGTGACGCAGGAGGCAGCAAAGGGGCGAGAGCTGCAGATATTACATTGCTGCAGAAAGAACGAGAGAGAGAGAGAGAGAGAGAGAGAGAGAGAGAGAGAGAGAGAGGAGAAACAGAAGAAGAAGAAGAAGAAGAAGAAGAAGGGGGGAGAGGGCAGGAAAACCACAGACAGATGAAAAGAGAGAGAGAGAGAGAGGAACAAAGAAAGTCATGAGCGATCACTTTCTCTCCTCGCAGACTGCAGGATGGACGCCCTGCCTCCTCTGCCGGATCCACCGTAAACAAAGCACGCACTTCAAAATGACTCAGTGTCCGTGTAGGTTGGGCAACTGCGCATTTGATTATGAAATGTGTTTACCTTCTCCGTCCGCTCACTAGAACAGCGGTGACACAGGCTTTTGTTTGTCCCGAGCTTTGCCTGATCCAGATCGGAGCCAACCGCCCTGGTTACGATCCACAGTCATCATCATCATCATCATCATCATCATCATCGTCGTCTTCTTCTCTCTGGCCAGCTGCCGCTCTCAGACCGGAGCAGACTCGAACTTTCTTGGCCGTTAAAAGACTTTCATAACAGCTCTGGTAATGGACACTCCTCAAATATTTCCTCAGCAAACGGCGGGTTTCCTAAGGGATGGAAAGAAGGACATGGGAAGACGGTTCTCAAAGCAGCTCATTAAAGGCCCAACGAGCCGGGGAAGTGGTGGAGGGAAAATCCACCCCAGTCAGATTACTGAACGATCAGATTCAGAGCGTCCTCACCTTCATGTTATTGAAACAGGACTCCTCTGTGGCGACTTAACATCGTCCTGTAAAGCTCCGCCTGCGATACTGAGCGGCTGCAGGTCCGATTTTGATGATTGATAACAGCGAACTGATGATTTTTAAGAGGTCAAACCAAACACAGATTTGACGGATCGTTGTTGCATCTCTGCCTCCTGATAAATCAGCATCTGTACAAACAAACAAAAACAGTCCAGATCTCTCAGGATATCAACCAGATTGCAAAACAAAACAAAACCAGATCGCTTTTCCTCCCTTTTGTAAACCACCAGTGTTGGTATTTAACCGCCTCTTCAGCATTTTTAAAGTTTGATCCTTAAAAGAAGAATTCTGTTATGTTGGACACCAATAAGATGCTCCTGGGTGCAGTTTTGTTTTCCACGACGAAGACGTGACGTTGATGAGCGAAACATAAGTCTTAGATGACTAAAATGTGACGAGACGAAACGTTAGTGGTGGACGACAAACAGAGTTGCAAAATTCATGAGCATTTCTTCAAACACTAAAGGTATATTCTACAGTGTTGTTATCATTCCTGGGTGAGTTTAGAAGGATGCTAAAGGTTTCCAGGGAGCAGAGTCAATATTACATGTCTGCAGAGCCGGAGAGCCAATCAGATCCACAGCCGTGACAGATCCACAGATCCTCTTTTTAACCGCTGTTCCACGTCCCTTTTTGTGCCCAGAAATTATATTTAATTAACAAGTTAATAAATAAATAAGTGACCACAGTCACACATTATTATCGAATCAAAATAAAAAGTCTTTGAAATTTGTGAAGAAAGTTTTCAGTTCTTTGGACTCTCAGTCACATATTTAGGTATTAATCTAGATTTTATTTATCTTACAATTTTTAACTTATCATCTTTTTATGTATTGTCTGTCTACCTAATATTTCAGGTTTATTCAACCAAAATATCAACTCATATTTTCCCAGTATCAGAGGGATTGGCCTCGCTTTTATACTCTTGACTCCTCGGCGATGATTTTGACCCCCTGAATGCAAAAGTCTGCGTCTGCAGAGCCGATGAATCTGATATTTTGTGTGTTTTTATCATATATTTTCATGTGTAATCTCATGCACATTATTTGTCATCACACTTCTGTTTCATTCACTACATCGCTAGTAGCCTACGGGTCAAATAGTACATTTCCGGCCTCTGACAAGCTAATGTTAGCATTAGCTTGACCGAGATTTGACGTTCATTTGAGACGATCATGGAAAAAAGAAAAGTGTCATAAACGGAGCCTGTCACATTGACATTTATTTCTCCATCAAATTCAAGACAACTGTTTTATTAATGCGATTAATACTCGCTCATGGCGTCCCTCCATTCAAGCCAATAACTTTCGAGAAAGAAGCAGCAAGAAGGAGCAGTCACGTGTTTCCAGCTGTGGATCAGTCATGCAATGACCTACTCTGGCCAGCAGGGGCGCAAAGAGGGTTGTGGATCTGTCATGGCTGTGGATCTGCTGCAGACACCCCACCCCCTACTCACCAGAATACTTAAAAACTGCAGTTCTCAATGTGTCCACTAGAGGCTGAGGCTGCTTTTCCAAGATGGCGACCTCCAGTGTTTGGGCTTCAGGTAAAAACAAACACATGAAACCTGGTCTACAGAGCGACCTGAAGCTTTGGAGTGGACAGGTGAAGGCTGGAGTTGTGGAGCTTTACTCTCCTGCATCCAGGTCATCTCCAGGATGAACTTCTTGGAGATGTTTCGACTCTCCTCCTACAAGCTACAAGTGCAGAGGGAATGAAGAGGCTGAACGCCGGAGGAGAGACGAAACATCTTCAACCAAAGTCAGTTTTTCCTTTTGGATCACAGCTCAGATAAGTGGATTTAAAGGTTTGTTTGTTCCTGTGAATCTGTGGGGTTTTATTTGATTGGACAGTTTTGTACAGTTTTTGTTTAGAGCTGTAAAGTCACTCTGAGCAGAAGCTACATTTACTCTCTTCAGGAGGTCCAGGTCTGTCATGTCTGAAACTAGTCAACACTGACACGGGGACAGTCCCTGCAAGAACCTGATCGTACTTTAACCCCTGAATATAACTTTATGGAAATGTTCACACTCTGCTGTGCTGCTTTCAAGAGTCATATCCAGGTATCAGAATTGATTTCCAGCTGATTCACGAGTGACTAAAAACTCCTGATAGCAGCTTTAAGAGCAAAACTAAAGTCAGCATGAGTGTTATTGTGAGTTTTTTGAGCTGTCGGAGTTGTTTTCATGTGTCATTAGCTCTCCAAAATATTTCTGCTCTTGTGATTTATTACAGAGAATGGAGTAAATATCAGCGTCTGATCGTATCTGTCTTTTTCTTGGCTGCTGGAGGTGCTTGGCCAGAAAACCGGACTCAGACGTGATAAATAAAGCGATATATTAAAGATAAGCATCAAGATTGATCTGTTTGATTTATATTCATGCTTTTAACTCTTAATTATTGATCTGATTCATCGGTTGTAGCGTCCCCGCCTCTGAAATGCTGTTTTGGCTGGACGTGGTGGATATCATGGATGGTCTCTTAGGGCAATTTGGTTTGTAACAGAAGATCAAAACAAACAATTCTCACATCACAGAGAGAAAGCATACAGCAGAAATAATGTAAATATCTTGAATGTAAACTCTACCCCTCTCAACCAGTTTTCCCCTCAGCTCCTCCTCTCCCCTCAAGCCCCGCCCACAAACAGACGCTCCTGCTTGCTCGTATCGTTCCAGTTAAATTCAGATATAATGCAGATAAATACTTCAGATCATTACAAATGGGGCCCAGTCAAGGTGAAAGTCAAAAGCATTGGTGCTACTGTAGATGCCAACAGACTACCAGCAAACACAATGTTTGCAGGACTTCTACAACGAGGATAAAGTGACATAGTCCAGGACCCGAGGGAGGACAGTTAAGCGATGGCGCTACAACACGCTACAGCAGGTCCGTTTGACAAGAAACACTTCTGTTACAGACACTTGTCTTACTTTGTTAAAGCGGTTTACCTGTCCAGCAGAAAGGTTACAGGGTCACCAAGATCCCCAAGCGTCCCCCATCGTTTATGTTGACCTGGCTTTTTAGCTCTTGTCCGGTCTACCTCCGTTTTAAGCGCCCGTTATTCCTCCAGAGTCTCCGGTATGTACTTTGTTTTCTTGCTTGTGTCGGCAGTCGTGGCCAAAGGAGGATTCAGACAATTTTCCGAACTTTCTGGTTGGTTTCTACTGTTGTAGCACGCTAACTTTGTTTGGGCTCCTGAACGACACGGGGGAGCAGCATTTTCTTGTTGACTGTTTTCTTGTTGACTGTTTTCTTGCTGACTGTTTTCTTGTTGACTGATTATGGTTGACTGTTTTCCTGCTGACTGTTATCTCGTTGACTGTTTACTTGTTGACTGTTTATGGTTGACTATTTTCTTGCTGACTGTTTTTTTGGTGACTGTTTTCTTGCTGACTGTTTTGGTGTTGACTGTTTATGGTTGACTGTTTTCTTGTTGACTGTTTTCTTGCTGACTGTTTTTTTGGTGACTGTTTTGGTTTTGACTGTTTTCTTGTTGACTGTTTTGGTTTTGACTGTTTTCTTGTTGACTGTTTTGGTGTTGACTGTTTATGGTTGACTGTTTTCTTGTTGACTGTTTTTGCTGACTGTTTTGGTTTTGACTGTTTTCTTGTTGACTGTTTTCTTGTTGACTGTTTTGATTTTGACTGTTTTCTTGTTGACTGTTTTGGTGTTGACTGTTTTTGTTGACTGTTTTCTTGTTGACTGTTTTGGTGTTGACTGTTTTTGTTGACTGTTTTCTTGCTGACTGTTTTCTTGTTGACTGTTTATGTTTGAGTGTTTTCTTGCTTGTGTCGGCAGTCGTGGCCAAAGGAGGATTCAGACAATTTTCCGAACTTTCTGGTTGGTTTCTACTGTCCGATATTGTAGCACGCTAACTTTGTTTGGGCTCCTGAACGACACGGGGGAGCAGCGTCTGCCTCACAACCAATCAGGTTAGAGGAGGTGGAGAACGGCTTTGTTTACAGTCAGAAAGAGCGGACCGCTCAAAAATGTTCAAATGTTGACGACACAGACATAAGAGAACACAGAGATATCGTTATATTACCAAATGTCATCAATAACTAATAACTATTGACTGATATTAAAGCTTATTTTTATAAACACCACAAAAAAAGATTCTTCTTTAACGGATTCCTGCTCCTACACCACCTTTAAAATGGACTCAATAAAATTAGAGTAAAACATTATAAGAAGCTTTTTGTCAATGTTAAAACGCCTCAATTTCCTCAGATAAAATAACCTCTGATTTTTCTTTGAGTTGGTCTCAGAGGACAGTTTGTCATCCAGGATGGTACCTCCGTATTCGTACTGACTGACTACTTCTACGTCTTTCGTTTGGTCTGGATTGCGTGCCCCGTTGAGGCGCTGTGATAAAAGTGTGAATGGAGTCGGTCCGGTCAGAGGTGAGCGGCAGATTGCATCGTTAAGCAGCCTGCAGGACGGAGGCTGAGTTGGCAGGGAGAGTCTGGTCTGGCACCGATCAGCCTGGCATACAACCGGCCTGGGGTGGACGTGAAATGAAACCTCAGCAGGGCGCGAGTAACGGAGGAGAAAACTTCCCACGTCTTTATTAGAGTGGAGATGAAGGAGGAGAAAGAGACGGAGGGTGGCGTGATAATTAGATTTAGGAAGAACTAAGTTAGCATTGCAGCATTTTTCCCCAACTTTCATCCTTATTTTCCTCTATTTGAGCTCATTTGGCAGACTTCTGTAGCAGAGGAACATCAGGTCCGGCTTTAACAGAGATGTAACGTTTCCTGGCAGCAGCTCGCCGCCCATATGTCTGCTGGTCACGGCAATTAAACCATAAGATTGGGAAGGAAAAAAAGGGGCTGCGGGGGCGAGAAGAAGAAGACGCAGAAATGTAACGCAGAAGAGAGGGGGGAAAAAAGGCCAGGCGGGGTTTGTAGATTTGGTTTAGATGAAAGAGACGTCTTTAAAGTCTCGCCGCTTCTTCACGCACACATGAAACGCACTTTGAGTTTGTATCTGCGAGTGAGACCTAGAAAGAGCCGCAACCAGGAAGTGCTCAGAGGAAGAGAGCGAGAGGAGCCGAGCCCAGTGTGTGGGTAGAGACATTAACATGGTGAAGTCTGAAAAGAAGAAGCTGCAGGTGTTTGTTTTTCGGAGACGACGAGTCATAGTAGAAATGATTTACTAGCGCTGGAGTGAAGCCAGGACGAGGGTTTGAGCAGGAGCCAGTCTGGTAGAGAGGGAGAGATTCAGACATGATCTTCAAACAACAAATACGAGCAATTTTCTTCATATCTGAAAATATCTGCTCGGCATTAAATGATCTATTTCATCTCTAACAGCGAGAGGGAGAATATTCTGCTGAGTGATGGACACGAAAAGCTTTTACCTCGTGGTTAAAACAAAACCAAGTGGTTTAAAAATAACGCCAATGTCAGGATTTTGAGTCCAAACCACAGACTGTATATACTGTGGACCACTTGGCTCCGCCTTCCGCCATTAAACAAATTCGAAGCCAAATTGCTCTCAGTATTTACGGGATTTTCTCCACCTCCTGGAACCACCAGTTGCGCAGTGTCACGACCAGAAAATCCGATTTATAAGTGCGAAATGTACATCACTTCCTCTACCAGCCATCTTTGCGACAGCTTCGACGTTTGTTCGACAGCTTCATCATCAGCGAGCTCGCTTCAGTCAGAATGGACGCCTCAGTTTATCACCAGCCACACACTTTTCTGTTCTCCTGAATGGAGTTTTTCCCCCGACTGAAGCAGAGCGCCGGAAGGTCAAGAGAATGGCGCCCAGTCTCACGATTAAAGGTTCCTACGACTAGTTTGATTGTAAAATTGCAACGTAGTTCTAAAAGGCTTGAATGAATGTGAATATATAAGTGTTGAAATTAAAACGCTGTTTAAAAACGATGAAATTCATTGTCCATAATGTGTCGGCTTCATGATTTTGACCGGGTGACGGCGCTCTCTGTGGCCCAAAGCTCTCACCGTGCTTGGCCGAGGCTCTAGCGAATACCTCAGAATTAGCCCTGGAGCCTCCTGCTAGCTAGCCTGTCATATCGCCGGTTTAAATAAAGTTTTTAAGGTGACATAAATTTGCACTTGTGCGGTACGGATCGGCTAGGTAGCGACTCACTGCCGTAAAATACATTGAAAGTCCCGCCTCCTTCGCCTCTGATTGGCTAGAACATTACAGAACATTATCACACTTCTGAATCGACTAACCCTAACCCTAACCCTAACTGGACAGACGATGACATTTCAAAGTCATAAGTAATAACCAATCAGAGCCTAGCACTTACAGCCAATCAGAGGCGAAGGAGGGCGGGACCTTCCCCTACCATTTCACTTCCAGGGCAGATCTGGTAGTGACACGCAGGAGTATTGCTCACATTCGGCAGGAGAGTCGCTGTGATGACGCTCGGCTCAAACAGCGTATCCCCCAGGTGTCAATCATAGAAAACATGAACCCCCTAATAACTTTAAAAAATGGAGCTCAAATCAGTCTGACAGTAACTACATGTCAACATCACAACCAGGGGGGAGAAACATTTATATTCTGTGTCATTAATTTCTAAAGTTTGTCTACAGCTCCATAAGGAGGCGGGGTTTATGACCTATAAACAGTCCACGGTCCGAACTGAAACATTCAGCCTCATATGCAGGAGTTAATTTACAGTTAACTTGTTGCATTCACACGAGAAAACAGACTCAGAGTGGAAGAAACACTGAGAGCAGAGCCAAAGCAGTGCATTAATTTTATCCACCATCTGTGAAGTCAAAGGCAAATATAAGCACCGATAATTGGGCAAGGCTGTCAGGCCGTGGTTATTTTAGCCGCTGACACGTTTTAGTTGGACTTAAATTAACTCATGAAGAAGAAAAATACACGAGGCTCTGCTGCGAACTCCGGGACATGACAGGTTTCTACACCAGACGTGATATTAAACTGAATTTAATACTTGGCACTCACACAGAAAGAGCTAACCTCAGTGTCAACATATCTCCAATCCGCTCATTTTCCTATTCCTGCCTCCAGTCTTCTGTGAAACAAAAACAGGAACTATAAGTGAGAGTAATAAAGTCGTTTAACTAGTCTGACTCTGATCTTCTGGTTCGAGCTCAGGAGGATGAAGATAAAGAGGGGTTAACGCAGCTGGGATGGTTTTCAAAGAGGTGCAGACTGCTACAGCTGGGCTAAGTAGGCCAAAGGCACAGGGGAGTGTCACATGAACCGGAGCTGCTATGTTAGCCATCCTCCAGTGTCCTGTTCAGCCACAGATGGGAAAAGAGACAGAGCGAGGGAAAGAGTGAGCGAGCGAGCGTGCGTCATGTATCCCATGCTGCCTGACGTCTGTGCATGATACCCAAAACCTTCGCGCCGCGGCGAGGAAGAGCTCGTTTCCACTGGCACAGACGCCGCGCCGACCTTTTCTTTAACCACCTGAACCGGGCGCTGAAGGTCGGCAGGGTCGGGGAATTTCTCTGCGGCGGGTGCCAGATCACGGCGCTCATCTGAGTTCATGAGGGTCAGAGGAAGTTCAGCTGGTCCTCGATGTCACAGCGTGAAGCCGAGACAACAAAACCCTGACCAAACTCTTGGCATGCTCTTCCGGCCTCCTCGTCCTCTTCCCGTCTCTGCAGCGGCGGGGATTTGTGAATGGAGGAGCTTCAGGGAGGCCGCTCTGTTTCAGGCCACCACGAATGACTTTTGACTTTTAAGGAGAGTTTCACAAATATGAGTTCATTCTTATAAAAAGGAGGTAAATGTTATTAGACTAGAAGGTATTTAAATTTGCTTATTTTAAATTTACAGATTGATCTCTCTGACTGTTGGCCTGTTTTTCATATTTATTCTTAATTAATTCAAAAGAGAGGAGATTTTTGGGGCGCCAAAAAATGCACCCCGCATATATTACACACCACCACCCACCAGGTGGCAGCAGAGAAGTGCTTTGCATGAACAGCAGAGTGTAACCCGGGAACTCCACTGGATCGAACGACTCGGATGAGAAGCTCTTGCAAGATTACTGATAGTTCTCACAAGACTGGACGAGATCTCACAAGATCTCGCGTGTTTCCCTGTGAGACATTGAATGAGATCTGCCGATCGGTGTATATAAACACCCACATCCCACAACCCTGGCCTCTCCTATCATCAAGCTAAGAACAGTTCAACTTATTGATTTTCTTTTATTTTGAAAATTCACCGGATATTTTACTTTACGCCCGTAAGGTGCAGTACGTCCAATCAGCAGCCTTCACTAATGAAAACCACTTTAAAATCACGGGAAAGTGCAGTTCCTCCTGTGTCCACTCGAGGCTCTCTTTAAAACCGCTCCCATTGTTTGTGGATCAGTTAGGAAATTCCGTCTGCGTCGCTCTTTTACACGTTTTACTCCATCATATGTTAATTTTCCTCTCATGATTACTCCCCGTCACTCTGAGGTCAGACCCTATCCCCACGGCAACAGAGAGGTGAAATCTACGCCGGGGAGGGGAGCGAGGGAGACGGAGGGGAGAAAATGTGAGAAGGCGAAGTTGTGAGGTCAGAGTTGTAGAAGCTAAAATATATTTGTTTAGTTTGTCACTGAGGGGCATGGTTTTAGGATGTTTGGCGGGTTATTTAAATCTCGGGTTTGTTCGGTAAACTTTTCTGTCTTTCATCGTTTTTTCATCCTGTTTTAACCTCATTTCATCTTATCACTTTTTCACTCGGAGGCAAAAGTTTTGGACCTGGATCGGCGTGTTTACTTTCCTTTTTTGAACAATAAACCACTTTTTTAAAACTCAAACCGGACTGATAACTGAACGCGTCACAGATGCAAGAGAACCTAAACCCAGCGGCCATTTTTGTCGAAGGAAAACAGTCGCTACAAGAGCGATGAAAAGATGAGTGTGAGGTCTGGGAAAAGAGAAGGAGGGTCAGAGGGGGTCGTACAGCACCGGTGTCAGAGTTAGTTTTGTAAAAATGAATATATAGAATGTAGTAAGTGTGTATTTTTGCCTCCACACACGCCTGTCGGTCCCTCATCAAGCACATCCCCTCTCACAGGTCTGCATCAGCCGCCTCACTCCGGCAGGGTTTTACGTCACAGTGACTGGCCTAGATTGTTGAAAATGGACCTGGAACACTTGCCGTTTATAGCCTTTCCTCTGCCTCTCCCCGATGTAACGGCAGAGCACGACTTTCCCAGGAAAAAAAAAAAACAAAAAAAGAAGAAGAAGAAGTTCCTCTCCTCTTTTCTTACAGGCAGGAACAGACGGACTCACGTTTTCTCAACATTTCATCCAGATGTGAGACGATTTTCAGATCAGACTTTAGTCAAACTTTCTGATAAAACACTTCCTGTCTGGTTCTGCAGACCGTATCACACACAGGAACAGATAACTTCTCTGTTTGCAGCACACACACACACACACACACACACACACACACACACACACACACACACTGTGCATCAAAATAAATGCAGACATGAACAGAATTATCTCTGCAGTGATCTTTGCATGCTTTTTATAACTGCACGCTTAACTAAGAAATTACATACTACCATTTAAGAAGTGTGTGTGTGTGTGCAGGTGTGTGTGTGTGTGTGTGTGTGTGTGTGTGTGTGTGTAGTAGGAGTGGGCGTCTCTTCATGTTACCAAACTCTTGCTGTGTCATCGTATCGATTCGATTCTCTCTCTCTCTCCCTCACTGACTGTCTGGTCTCTGTCTCCCCTCCCCTCCCTTTACGCCTCCTCTGTTCCCACGGCAACACGTGGCTACCGGTTACATAACAGCGGCTGCTCACGGCGTTTGTGTATGTGTGTGCATGTGTGTACATATCTGTGTGTGTTTTTGTTGCTGCCCCCGGGCCCTGAGAGTCAGACACTAAAAACATGCAGCTTTCAGGCTCATGTGAGTGCATTATTGATGGTGTTAGTGATGATTGCACCCGCGGCTATATGCACCCTGCTGAGCGAGTGTGTGTGTGTGTGTGTGTGTGTGTGTGTGTGTGTTTGGGCTCACCTTTCTGCAGTCTGGGTAATTTCCACTAGATGGGAACAGTGTGCAAGCATCGCCACACCTCACAGCTCATGTCAGAGCGACGCACACTGATCTGCGAGGATCTTATAAACACGCTGGTTTTTATCTGAGGAGTGTTTAAAACAACATCATAACCTCGACTCCGGTCTATTTTACAGACTCACATTAACATTTTATGAGATGTAAAACCAAAGTGATGGAAAGATTCCTGAAAGGTGATTTGTTTTAAAAAGAGAGAGCTGGACTGAAGTTGTTTTTGTCTTTCTTGATAGGTCGGGTCAGCTGTGGAGGGACGTGAAAATCGAGGAGTGCACAGTGGGAGGAGACGGGCAGGACATGGATGTAGGTGGGAGTCGAACCAGCAACTGCTGCAACGAGGACTAATGCCTCTGCTCATGGAGTACGTGCTTAAACCGCCAGGTCGACGACACCGGGTGAGTTTTTATTCTGTCAGTAAAATCACTTCTTACTTACTTACACGCAGGGGATGAAATGTGCAGAGATGAAGCACACTGCTTAGCCACAGGGGGCGCTAAAGCTTACACGAAGATAAAAGTCCCTGTGAGGCACTTTTAAAAGAGGTGAATAAAAGTTTTTTATTTTACACGTATCTGTCGAGTCAGCTGGACCTTTATTTATGCAGAAATTTCTCAGAGCCAATCAGACCAAAGTTATTTTTCACACCTCTAAAGATGGACCTTTTTGAATGAGTGTGTATGTGGCTTCTGGGGCTTTTGCAGCCAGCCTCTAGTGGACACTTAAGGAACTGCAGTTTTTTTTTTTTTAAGTATTTGTTTTTGCCGATTTTTGTCTTTATTGATAGGATAGATTGGAAATACAGGGAGATAGATAGAGATGGTGGAGGACATGCAGAACATGGTCGGAGCCGGACTTGAACCCGCAACCAGAACCATCTGTGTGCCCCGGAACTGCAGCTTTTTATGGATTAATTTGGCTGTTTACTCTTCGTAAAAACTTTAATTATTAAAGGCCAAAGTTTTAAATATCAGCTCATGGAAAAGCAGCGTGACTGCATCATTCACGCCGACAGAAAATCACATTTAAAATTATTTACAGGAACCCTCGATCTCTTCATCCTCCCAAACACCAACAGAGTAGTTAATCCTGCACAGACCATGGAGTAGGGCTGGGCGACATGACCTCAAATCAATATCACGATATATCGAGTAGTTCACCTCGATGACGATAAATGAACTAGGGCTGACCGATATGGGATTTTTTCAAATGGCAGAACATTTTTCAAAGTGAAACCGAATCTTATTCTCCGCATTTTATTTCTGAGAATATCAGTGAAAATCGGCGAGTTTTGGATGATTACCGATTAGTCTCAAGCGGGCTAAAATTGGCCGATTTAATCAGCTCGCCGATAAATCGGTTGGGCCCTAAAATAGACGATAACTACTCCAGAAGCTGCTCACCCCCTCCCACATTAACTTCGTCTACTTCAGCCGCTCCAACTTTTGAACCGTCCTCCATCTCCTCACCTGTCTTTCCCTCTTTGTTATGGACTGGATGGGGCGGAGTCACGTCTCTGACGTAGGACAGCGTCTTAAAGGGACATGAGACCATAGCCTACCTACACACGTCCAAAACCAACTTGATTTATTTGTTTTTTTTTGACACTGAATATACCGATATGAGCAAAATTACGTCAGTAATTGTATCGGTAAATTTCCGGTTTATCGCCCAGCCCTCAGATCGAGTATCTTGTCTTCATGATATCAGGATTATGATCCTCTTCACTGCAGCTGGACTTTTTGTGGTTTGTTCAAAAGTGAAAGGTGAGACTCAGAATCCAGAATATTTCCTCAGAGTCGATATTTAACGGTGAAACTGGAATGTTTTGTTCAGCCGGTCAAAGAAACTGTGGGTGACGTTGGTGCCGACTGAGACGTTCTTCATAGATTTCTGAAGATGCTGAACCAGCCTCCACACTCTGAGACCAAAGTTCATTTTTTAAAGCGGTTCGAACATTTTTGCTGCTTCTCTCAGCCTCTGCTTCATTCAGCGTGTCCTTGCTGTTGTTGGACGTATGAATGGGGATTAATGTTTGATTAAATAGTGCGGTGAATGTGTGTGTGTGTGGGAGAGAGTCAGATAACTCCCCACACACTCTGACACACACACACACAGACACACACAGACACACAGCCCTGCCCTGGCCTCAGATCCCCTCTAATGGCATTAGGCAGGCCTCTCCGGGGGAGGCCGAGCTGCTGTTCATTTCAATTACAACCACGTCAAGGAGCGATCCCACGCAGCGCGCTCCGCTCTAATCGAGCTAATTTCATATTTATGAGGAAGAAATGTTTGTAAAACATAAACACAACACTCAGCTGCACCCTGAGGGGCGCCGTTTCCACTCAAGACGGTCAGAGAGCGTGACTCTCGACTCTGACAGACAGGAAGTGGATCTGTGGATGTGACCTCTTCTGCTCAGGGCCACAGAAAGCTGGATGTACAGTATCAGAGCGTGCAGCGAGGCCATAAAAAGCCGACTGTCTAATCTTTACGACCTGCGCCGTTTCCACGGTGTCGGCAGGTTCTGCTTACGCCACCAAACCGGCCTCGATAAATCCAGAGCGCTCGCTGCACGTCACCTCTGCAGAGACCCCTCCCCCCCCCGGTCTGTCACAGCAGAGGCGGTTTTCTCCTGAAATGAAACGTCTTTCTGTCTGATTTGTGCAGGAAGTGTGTGATCACCTGTAATCAGGGCTGATTTATAATAAAAAAGAAGTGAAACTCTGAGGTTCAACTTTGCATGAATGATAATCAATAATCAATAATCAATCAAGACCCCCAGGGTTTATTAATGTGAGGAGAAGAAGGTCCAGCAGGAAGTAGGGCTGCACGATTCACCGGTTTTAAATCGTGATCGGATTATTTGATGATGACGATGTTAAAAAAGTGAAAATCATCAAATTGATTTTTCTCTCTATCATGTCTCACTCCTCCAGGCCACCGTAGACTCCTCCCCCTTCCTCCTCAGTTAACACACACCAGTGTAAACAAACATGGCGTTTGCAAAAGAAGGCGATAATTTCATGGTTAAATCGGACAAGAGCGAGTCAGTCGTGTTGAATTGGTACGACTTCACAGTTTCAGGTGAAGAGTAAACCACTCCCCGCTGTAAAGTCTGTCTGAAGGCGGTATCAACCCGTCACCTCGGTGTTTCATCCACACGAAAACGGCGTTTTACACTTTCAAAGATGTTGAGATGAGGCTCTATCGAGACGAAACAGTTTTACATCCTCAACACTCAAGACAGCCGCGACCTCACCGTTTTATCGCAGTTTTTGCCGTTACACTTTGCGGTTGATCGAACACTGAGGACCGTGGTCCATCAGGCTTTGATTTCAGGAGGAAACACTAAAGTTTTTTGTCAAATCGGCGTTTCAGGTGACCGTAAACGGTACTTTTTGAAAACGGGTCAGAGAGTGAATAAATCTGTAAACGACGACCATTTCATCTCCGTGTGGATGTCTATCTGCATCTCTGGAAACGATCATGTGACACACAGAGTAACTCTTTTATGGCGCCAAAACAACCTTTATACACATGCTCTGTACTCTTCTTCTGTCTTTTGTGTATTTCCTGTGCAGCGTTACAGCGCCACTTACTGGCTCGGCATATGAACTACATCATTTTCAGAGAGATGATAGAAAACCTTTTATCTTTAAAGTGAAGTTTGGTGAAATTGTCACTGAATAAAAAATCAAAAATCTAGTTTTTAGAGAAACTCGTGTTTTCAAACATGCACCTGAAGTAAGATGGAGCTTGTTGCTGTTGAAGCGACATTAAGAACAAACTTCCCCGATGTTTTAGGTTCAGTTGAATTCTTACTTTCGGTCACAAACAAAAGGGTAAAGCTCGTAGAAGAGTTCTGGCCTCCTTCAGTCGATAACTCATCAGATGAACATCGCTCCTACAACCTGATTTCCACCAGTTTGAGCCGTCCTCTGAGCTGGACGTCACAGTGTTTGCTAAGCTGGAGCATCCGTGAATTATTTCACACATGAACAGTCGGGCAGGACAGAAAAGAGACGCAGCCAAACTGCAAACTGTACTCTTCATCTTTTCGTAATGGTCGCACGCTCTGGAAGCTGCTGGCTGAGTCGGTTTGTTTGAAAACCTCAGAGTTTATTTTAGAAAGTGCTCACACTCTGTTTTCACCGCCTCAGTTTCAGCTCACAGTCAAACATGTGAAGGTTAATGTGCAAACCGGTTGATGTGACATTTCCGAGTCCAGCCGACATGTGACTGTGTGCTTTTTTATTTCTGAATCACTTCCTCATAGCAGAGAAGCAGAGGTGGTGGTGACCTGTGATAACCCGCTGCTGTGACCTGTTCCTCCCGGTCACGGTGACACGGTGTCAGACTTAAAAAAAGAGGGAAAAAGGAAAAGAGGCGCACCCGTCAGATGGAAACCAAAAGTTACGACGTGTTAATTTCTGTCCTCCTGATCTCGCCACATGATTGGATCTCTGGCTCAGCCTTCGGTCCTCCTGGCAGCCTGTGATTGGCCGGGATCCATCGGTTTACTTGGTGACTCACTCCGCTCACACAGTGCAAAAGCACGGCCTCTTATGGCGTGTTTCCATGGCAACCTTTCAAGGGGGGGTCAGGCGCCAGTGAAGCACGGTGGAGCCGTTTCCTAATAAAGCAGGTTTTATTGTCTCTTTGTGTTTTTTTCCTCCTGTGCGAAATGTAAACAGGACCGAAACTCAGGAGAGGAGAGGGAGCAGAGAGGAAGAGGAACTTTTCATCCTCCTCCTCCTCCTCCTCACATGTTGCATTCGCTGTGCTGCTGAAGTTGATCTATAGTTTTACACCTTTAAACTCTTAGTTACTTAAGCCTGTTGTGAGAATGAGGTTCGGGATCATATGAAGGTCTTCCCTGGAAAAGTCTTTGTCTGGATGGACGTAGATGTTGCTCCTAAACCTGGAGATATTGTTTAAAACTGAGGATGCAGCATCTATGATTTCCAGTTCTTCGTTGAAAGGAAAACTGGACTTACTTGGGAGGCGAAAGGCGAAACGTCCCAAGTAAGTCCAGTTGTCCTTTCCAAAAGAGCGTAAGATTTTGATTCATCAGACCTCAGGACAGTTCACGGATGAGTGATTTTAAACTCATGCGGTGACTCCAACTACAGAGTCCTGATGCTCCTGAACCTGAAGATATTGTTCAGCATTAAAGGGATATTCCGGTGTAAAATTAATTTAGGGTCAAACACACCGTAACACCGAGTTAGACACCCCCCGAGAGATGAATGTTGCCGACCGCTTGTTTCTCTAGTTATACCAACTTTGGTAACGACCGCAGGATAGCAATACAGAGAGCCACGCCCTCAACCAAAACGCCACTCTATAACCACAAATAATGTTCAGAACAGCACCTAACTTCATCAACAGGACATATAGGGTCACAGACATAGTACTAGACTCTAGACTCTTTGCCTAATTTCTTGTTTCACACAACTCACCCTCTCTGCCAGTCCATTACGGACAACAGCGGGGTGCCGCAGCTCAACGAAGAACATTTATGATCATTCCTTTATGGAAATACAATCAGACAGAGACGCTTTAGGTTCTTTCACACCGGGAGCGTTTTGTTCGTGCGATTATTTCAGACGTCAATATTTTTTTCGAATCTGTATCCTGTCAATTTCATTTCATTTCATTTATTCTTTATTTCATTCCTTTAAAAATTAAAAGAAACAATTTAATTTAATTACAAACATTCTCCTATCTAGAATGAAAGGGAGCAGAAAGAAGACTAATCCTGTCAATTCAAGCGTTCACATCAGCGACGTTTTCCCGTCCTGCGATATTGCGGCATTTATTTTTTCGGGTCACAGTCGATTTTTCTAAAGTTTCTCATACTGTGTGTCCACTTCTGACCAATCAGATTGCATGTTGTTGTGATTCACCGGTATATCCAACATGGCCGACTGGCTGATTGTTTACGTGTCGGAGAACAGAGTGATTTTTGATAAGAGACACAAACATTACAAAGATAACCTGAAGGACGACTTGTGGAGAGTCTTAGTGTCGGATTTAGAGCAGTTTAAAAATTATAAACATGTTTTTTCCTCTTTTTGTGGTTTTGGACTTTTTGACCAAACTGGGACAAGAAGCAAGTTTTGATCTGATAAATCGTTAAAACTTCAGGGTCGGAGTCCAACTAACGTTAAACTCAAATTAAATTTCCTTCTCTGATCGCACAGATGATTCACTCTAACCGATATCTGTCACACCGGTCATAAAGTTCCCACAAACGATCTCATTTTGCATATTTACTCGAACAACAGCAGCCAAAACCAACCCTACCTGCTGAACCACCTGAAATTTCTCCCAAAAGCGCGGCGATGACGGCCCGCTTCGTTGTCATGGCTGCAGAATGTGAAGATTCAAATAGAGGCAAATATCACACACGGCTCTGACACGCAGGATGAGTCATCCACAGTTATATCACACATCTGTTGACTGACAACAACACTGCAAACTTGTTTTTTCTTTACCTTTAGAGGGCCACATGAAGTTTTTAGATTAAAACAACTTTGATTAAACTTTAGTCAGAACCTACATTTGTTTTTGAGTCTGTTTGTTTGTGAGTTTATCAGGTTCAGACTTCCTGAGACCGAGTTTAATGAGATACTTCACTTCAGTGAGTCTGTTACCGATAATGAAGAAGAACATCAGTCTCAGTCTTCTCCACTATCGTATGGAGAACCACAGGGAACTGTCCTAGAGCCTCTACTTCACCTGTTTTCTTAGAGACGGATCATAAAGAGTTTCAGAGAGACCAGATTATTCATAAAGTTGGGACTTGTCTCTAAAGTGGAAATCACTGCATGGACTCAAACTTACTCCCAGACACTAAAGTATATGAACACAAATCATCACTGCGTTCACAGTCGGAGGCAAAGAGGAAACCGTACATCAACATGATTGGCAGCCTCTCTAGACCTGAGTCCGTTACTGACAGTCCAAATCCAGCATCCCTGATGGTCTGGGGATCATATGTGCCCCTGGAAGGGGGAACTTCCACATCTGTGAAGGCTTCATTAATTAGTGACCATACGTCCTCTTTTACCCGAACATGTCATCTTTTTTGGGGGGCTGTCCAGGTTTTGTACGTAAGTTCAAGTTTGTGTCACATGGACTTATTGAGTTAGAAGTGTGTAAAAGACACTCGATTGGACCTGAAAAAGTTTGTCCACAGCTCCATAAGGATTGCTGGCAGAGGCGGGATTTATGACCTATACTGCAGCCTGTCACCAGAGGGTGCTGTTCTCACGTTGGCCTCACCCAGAGAGGAGGCAGACGGCGTCTATTCTATATACAGCAGGGCCTGACCGATATTAATTCTTTTGGGGCCGATACCGATTATTGGGAAGGGGTGGGTGGGTTCTAATTACTGATTAATCGGTCGGTTTTTTAAATTAAAAAAGTCCTAAAAAATATATATATATTGCAGATATCTACAGTATATAATATGCTGTAGGCTACTGCTCTTCATGCTGACAGGAAGACTGACCAATCAAACTCGGACCAGAAAAGCAATTTCAACAAAACCCCCGCTTTAGCTCGTATATTACATGGTGCTTCACCGATAATTCGGCGTGACTGAGACCAGCACATCAGGAAACAGTGTGAAGTGGGTTGAACTGAAACTTGTTGACTTATGGTGTACTTCACAAACTTATTCTCCGCATTTTTTTTCTGAAAATATCGGCAAAAATCGGCAAGTTTTTGCCGATTATGATTTGTCTCAAACGGGCTAAAATTGGCCGATTTAATGCCCTAATATACAGTCTATGCTCCTATCGGTGGGGCATCCCCCGAACATCTCACCATCAGGGGGGCGTCCTGATTATAAGCCCGAGCCACGTCCTCTGACTCCTCTCAACGAGATAAATCTGAAATAAATCAATTAAACATGATAGGAAAACAAGATCAAGTTTTTAGTGACTCTGATTGATTGAATTTGATTTACTTTGACCTTTTACAGCCTAAATATGCCGCTTAATTTCCTCTTGGATTGTTAATTTATGTTTTTAATCACCTCGGGGAAGAAGGTTTGAGAGATTTATGTCCATTTTTAGATGATGACTTTATCCAGGGATGTTTTCTAATCAGCTGTTGCCTGTTTTGTATTTTCTCCCTCCTCTTGGACACTAAGACAGGTTGCACTGAGCAGGAGTCCGTTCCTGTGATTTTGTTTTCATCCAAACTTATCTTGACTTTTGCAGGATTTCAGCTCGTATCAGTTCACTCAACGTGAGTTTGTAGCACAGGTTGTACTCCACAGCAAACGCTTGGGTTATGTTTTGAAAGGTCAGAGTCTCTCGGCTGGGTTTGCGGATTTCTTTATTCCCTGATGAAATGAGCGAGAGAATAGAAGCTGAATTTTCACACCAGGACTCTGCGTCTCACTGCGACAAAGCGGCGCTCGGCAGAAAAGGCTTGAACACAGAATAAAGCGAGTAGCGAAGGAGAGAGTACTCGGTGTCAAGGCTCCACTCTCAGTGTGAGGGAACACTTTGATACCTGTGTAGGAGTTCTTTTCACCGTTTGTCCTCACCTGGTTCAGTGATTCAGGGTTTTTCATCAATGCACACACTCCTGTTTTCAAACTTTCACAGCGATCAAACTAAAGACCGTTTTCTACATAAATCTCTTGATCCGAGTCCGTTCCTGACGTTCTTGTGCACATGTTTGTGTTTGAAAGAGGATTATTGTCGGGTTCCGTTGTGAGTCATGACGGCGAGCTCGGTCCTCGTTGAATAGAGAGATATTTTGGGATGTCTGGCTCTCAAGTACTGAGCTTCTCTGAGTGGTTTGCTTTTGTTTTTAATTATTGGAAGATAAGTTGATATTCACAAAGTGTCAACTCACTGCTGTTATAGTTTGAGAAATTAATTCAGTAACTTGGTGGCGCCTGTGATGCACGAGTGGTAGTATGACATCGGGCTGCACGAATCTGTTTTTTTTTTCTATAAACTCAGGCAAGACTTGATTTCCCAGTCGATCTACGTGCCGATCCTCACCTATGGTCATGAACTTTGGGTAATGACCGAAAGAACAAGATCGCAGATACAAGCGGCTGAAATGGGTTTCCTTCGCAGGGTGTCCGGGCTCAGCCTTAGAGATAGGGTAAGGAGCTCGGACACTCGGGAGGAGCTCAGAGTAGAACTGCTGCTCCTCCACGTCGAGAGGAGTCAGCTGAGGTGGCTCGGGCATCTGGTTAGGACGCCTTCTGGACGCCTCCCGTTAGAGGTGTTCCTCTAGGAGACCTTGTGGCCGGCCCAGGACCAGGTGGAGGGATTATATCTCTCGCCTGGCCTGGAAGTGGCCGGGGTGAGGGCCGTCCGGGCTTCCCTCCTGAAGCTGCTGCCCCCTCGACCCAGACCCAGATAAGTGAAAGAATATGAAACGCTCCTGCAGGAAGGGGGAGGAGTCTAAGTTGGCCTGGAGACACGAGACATGATAGAGAGAAAAATCGATTTGATGATTTTATTTTTTCAATTTAATCAAATAATCTGATTAGGATTTAAAATCGATGAATCGTGCAGCCCTAGTCTGACCCTCTATCTGTCCTTGGTTTTCTCCACATTTTCAGAGCGTTGACTCATGTCCTTTTTAAAATCGCTTACCCCGGCTTTAAAGGAATCACAATGTCGTCTCCTGTTACAGAGAGTAGAGGAAGTGACTGCGAGAAAAATGGACTGCGGGTGTTTTCATTTCACAGGAACACATGAAGATTTCCTCGTAAAGATACTCTGTTCTGACGAATAATCAGTTTCTGTATTAGCTGTCATGACCTGCACTGAGTGACGTGTGGCCTCTTCAGCAAACAGAACAATACGACAACCATCCAGGAAGAAGGATTGGACAATTTATGCAAGACAGACGCACAAATACAAGCATGGAACCCGATCTGGAGGAGTAAATGTAACACCTCAATGAAATAATTCACGACTAATCAAAGATGAGGAGTTTATCCTGCAGACAAATTCAGGAGGTTTACTCCCGTCCAATAAGATCTGACGTTTTCTCTGCTGAAAGGACTCAGGGCGGGGAAAATGTGGTCACAGTCGGACTTTTGCTGTAAATGCAAAGACACTGTGTCCACCAGGGAGAGGATGGTCGTGTGTCCTGCGCTTGGAAATCCTATTAGTCCTATATGAATGCAAATTAATGCAACAGGCTTTACCTGCAGGACGGGATGCAGCTGTTTATTTCTGCCCCGAGTTTTGCCTCTCAGGATTAAAGGCACAAGAACTCAGAAATAAAAGACCTTTCTACATCCATAACATTAAAAAAAATACTGATATATGAAGTTTGATATTTAAGTTCAAATGTTAAAAGTGAGGATTAATCAAACTCTGACCTGTTGTTTTATAAGTTTTTTATAAATTTGACTTGGCTAAAACTCCTGCAGGTACATTTACTGAGTTTTATTTTGAATTAACTCGGTCTAATAAAAACAGAACCTAACAGACCGTTAATGTCGTTTCCTTCAGTTTCTCCTTTAAAGCTTTATTACTGGTTTCATTATCCAGTAAATGGAAGATGACCGTGAGCATGACTCACTATCAGTTATAAAAGAAACCTGTTACAGTGACCCTGCAGCACACACTGCCTTTATGAAAGAGACAGTTTCTTATCCTTCCTCACTGATGAGACTTTGTTGGAAATACACAATTGTATATTCAATTAAAGTTAGACAGATATGTAAAATTAAAGCTCCTGTGAGGAATTTGTAGCTGGTGAAATAAAATATTTACAGTAGGATGTTTTGATGATTTAACTGGACTAGAGAAAAGAAGTAGGGGTATGGGTTTGTCGGCTGAGAGTGACGCCCACGCCGTGCTGTTTGGAGAGGGAGGGTGCGCTTCATTCAACAAACAGGATGTAACAGGTGCAACACGGGCGTCACAATATCATTCAGTCTCTCTGTTTTTATAATCAGGATAAAAAAGGTCACATAATGAAGTGAAAACCTTCACGTTTCATGAAATCGTTGCAGTACTTCAAGTGTCCACTAGAGGCTGTGTCCGAAAGCGAAGGACTCCTCATTAACACTCATGTTAAAATGTGATTTTTATTTTTTTTACAGCAGAATTAAACATGTTTACAGTTTCAGTCCAACAAGCTCATTTCTTTATTCTTACTACACCAGGGTGAGTTAAATACTCGATTCTCATTGGTCAGAATCACCTTTATTGTCATTGTACACGGAACAACGAAGCGCCACTCCCCTTAGTGCAAAGCAAAAGTAATAAGTACTAAAAAGAAAGCCATTTTAAAACACAAGATAAGGTAAGAATCAGAAGAAACAAAAGTAAAAATGCCGTAATGTAAATATCTGTACATTATAAACGGTTATTGACTTTGAACATCGAAGCAGACGCCGGAGAAAACCTGATCATACAGGTCATATCAGGTCAATCTGAGGTTAGAAGTTTTGGCACATAGTGTACTTTTGTACGATTTCACCTCTTCCTGTTGACAGTCTGACAAAAGCATCCGTTTCCAGCAGCTTCATCAGACGATACAGAGATATATTTACTCTAAATTTACTGTAAAAGCTCAAAAAGTTAAAAATTTAAGTCACTACCAGAGAGAGAATGATGTTAAAAGAGCTGAAGTAAACAAACCTGAGGAGACAGATTTATCAGGTCTATCAATTCTACAGAAACTAAATCCCACAGTCTGTTTTATGATCATTATTTTTATGAAGAGCTTTTTCATTTATTCAGATTCAAAGAAAACACCGCCTTCACAGTTTTACTCCACCCTGGACTGAAACTCAACCTGAACTTTTGATAGTTTCGTTTTGAGTGTGTTTGTGTTTTAAGAAGTGAGCCGGTAACGAACTGAAGTGAGTATTCGTTACTACAAATAACAATTATTGGTCCTAGAGCCTAACAAATTAAATTCTGGATTTGTGATGAGAAATGAATTTTAACTGCTCATTTTTATGTTTTTTACATCTTTGATGGATGGTTAAAATGTGCAGAGTTTGTTTTGAATTAATATCAAGGTCCTTGTAATAAGCATTAATTAACAGTTAATAAACCACTATTATTATTAGCAGCATTTATTCATGGCTAACTTTGCTCCATGCAGCTGAATCTTACTGGATAAATCCTTAAAAGACTTTAATCGTCTTGTTTTTGTCATTTAGTTAAAGTTTAGATCACAGCGAGGGCTTCCTAACAACAATAAATGTTAGTTATGACAGTGCGCTGGGTCTTTAAGGTTACCATGGTTACAGAGGGGCGGTGTTGTTTACCATAGTGAAGCGATGTGTTCCTGTAGGTGAATCCAGGTGAATGAATATCATCAAATCAAACCGCTGCCCCTCTCTCTCAGCCCTGTAGCCGTTGTTTTGGCGCGGCGTCGCTCTGGTTCCTGTAGTCAGTGTGAAACCTGTTTTCAGAACATCGCTAACGTTCGCTTCGGCACGCTGGTGATCACCGGTTAAACCACAGTCATCATAACCTCTCTGTTTTCCTTTCTCACTTTGACTGTGTCCTCATTGTCAACAGTTTTTTTTATATATATATAATTATGAATAAGCGGTTCTGGTTTTGATTCTGTTCGGTCCGAGGCGAGACGGGGAGCGCTGAGGTTGTAAATCTGGTTACATTATGATTGTGAAGTAAAACAGAAACATCATACGAGAGGTTTCAGTCCGAGTCAGTAACGTTTCACTCAAGAGATGAAAAAAAAAAAAAAAAGGAGTGGAAAAAAACCTGCAGTTCCTCAGATGTCCACTAGAGGCTGGCTCCAAACTCAGTGATACCCCTTCAGTACCTGCACTAACTCCGGCATATTCAAGCTGAGGTTCTGGGTCGATGTTGACACACTTCTGTTGAATTTGGAATGAAAACTGGTTTTAGTCTCCATCCTTGTTTTGATTTTCCCCGATGTCCAAAGTGTTTAGATTTCCCAGCTTCTGTGAACGCATTGAAATGATAGACCGAACTTTCACCAAGGAAACAAGAATTTTAAACATTTTGTCTGAGTCTTATAGATTTGAGAGGATCCAGTGATTTCTCCTGGCTTCTTAAATCTGGTTGTTTAACCCTCGATTCCTGTTCATTTGAAGCTCCACCCAGCCTACTTTGTCTCCAAAATAGACATGCAGATAAGTACTCATAAAATCATCATTTTTTCAGCCCTGACCATTACAAAAATAATAAATACAAAATTTGATGTTAGACCCTTTTTATGCCAGTTTATGTGCACCATGTCACTGCTATTTTTAATGATAAAATACTCAAAATTGCCATATTTCCCATATAAAATGACGTAGATGATTATTATTTTTTAATTAAAGAGTCTGGGCCATGTCAGTGATGAGAATTAAAACTGTTTTTGGTGAATTTAAATTCTTTTTGTGGTGCCAATTTTTCGTATCTGAAACTCCATCCAGCCTACTTTGCCCCCAAAATAGACATGCAGATAAGCATTCATAAAATAACAATTTTTCAACATTTTTTCTGACTTTTTTTACTCAAATCTCTCAAATCTACAATTTAGAGCCCTGCTGATCGAGTGACTGCAATAAAAAGGTTGCAATATGTTGTTATGGTACCGTAAAAACACGGTCAAAAAACAGGTTTTTAATGGAAGTCTATTGTCTGATTTGCGGACAAAGGAGGGTGGAGCTAAAATGCAGCAACAGAGAACTACAGGTGACACAGAGTTTTGTTTTTTTGTTTTTTTAATATGAAGAAAAATAAGAACTTTCACCAAATTTGATGCCCCAATCTTTAAAACGTGACTGTCAGCTAAAAATAAAATGGAAAAAATGACAAATGTCCTCAAAACGGACGTGGTACGAACCGAGGGGTTAACAGGTATAGGCTATAAACAGTGTCGCACTCTGAGGTAGACTGATGGATTAGCCGTGTAGGTGTTGACTTCAGCTCCAGAAAACCAACATGAAGGGGACAAATGTCAAACAAGCTTCAGAAAACTGTTGTCCAGTTTGAGACGTCAGGAACAGGAAACGTTTCATCTATTATCAACGTCTCACTTTCTGTCAGTGACCGCCGAGTGACTCAGAGAGAGATCACGATACGACCGCTGCTCTGACGCCAACTGTCGGGTCAGTTAGGACTCTGAACACGCCCCTATCAGCCGTTACACGAGCGGGATGTAAAATCAGTGTTTTCTGCTGCATGGGTCTGCACACCTGAGCTCTCAGTCAGAACCTCCGATCACCACGTAGTCTGCAGAAAGAGTGGTAAACATGCAGATTCAATGAAATGAGCAGAATCAGAAACTGTGGTTTTTTTCTCACAGCGAGGGAATTTTATGAACTTTCAGGGTTCAGCTGTGTGTGTGTGTGTGTGTGTGTTAGTGTGGGTGCAGAAATCTGTTCACTCAGTCACGTTTGGGGGGCTCCCCTCACTTCACTAAATTTTAATCTTCAAGCTGTTTTCTCTCGACTTTAAAGCATAAATATTCATTTTCACGCTTTTGATGTGACTGATTGCTGTTGTCAAAACTGAGTCAAAACACACGTTTCAGAGATAATTATGAAGTCAGAAAAACACTGAAACACCTCTGAGGAAGGTCATATTCAGAAAGAACAAAGATTTATTCTCTACCAGCAAGCAAAGCCGAATTCACAAGAAGGGTTACACAAAATTAGAAGAATAAATATGAGAATAAAGACAAAAATTTACAGCAGAAAAAAAGTCACAAATTTAAAGCAGAAAAGGTTGAAAATCTGTTGGATTAAAGTGAAAAACTCTTAAAAATTCAGTCACAAATCGAGTAGAATTAAGTAAAAACCTAATAATGAGCAAAAGAGTCAGAGTCAAGAGAAAAAGTCCTAAATTTATAAAATAAAGTTAAAATTAATAAGATTTAGTTACAAATTTAGCAAAGTGATAATCACTACCTACAAGAAGTCACTTATTTTTGTGAATAAAAGTCACAAGTTGCAAAATTACCAGAAGAAAGTAACAAAAATAAAACGAACTAAAAGTCAGAAATCTGTGAGATTTATGTTAAAAAAGTCAATATGATTTGGTCACAAATTTATTAAAGCAACAAAATTACAAGAAGCAGTCACAAATATATACGAGAAAAGTCAAAAACTTATTAAAATGAAAAAGCAAAACAAGAAAAATGTCACAAATTTACAGAGAAAGAGTGACAGTTATATGAAAGATTTATGAGACTCACAAATGTAAAAGATTTAAGTAAAAATATAACAAGATTCAGTCACAAACCAATAAAGTTATAAAATGAAAATATAACAAGCGAAGTTGTGAATTTTCTCAGAATAAAGTCAGAAATAAACAGAAACAAGTCTCAAATATGTAAGAAAAAAAAGCCATAAATGTATGGAAGGACACCAATCGGCTGGAATAAGGACAAAAATTTGCAAAATGTAAAGAAAAAGAATTAGAACGTAACTACAAATGATCATGAACAAAGTCACAATTTTCAAAAGAAAGAGTCAAAATTTCAAAGATTTTAGTTACAAATTTATAAGAATGAAAAAAAAAACAAATTAACATAAAAGATTAAAGTTATAAGTAAAGAAGTTACAAATATTTTTAATTTATAAACAATAAGAGGAAAAAGTCACAAATTAACAAAATAAAAAGTCACAATTTTGTAAGAATTGGTCACAAATTAACAAGAAAAAAAATCACAAATTAAAAGAAACAAAGTCACAGATTTACGATTAGAGTCACAATATGTGGGAATAAAGTCTCTTATTTAAAAGACTTATAGTGATAAAGTCACAAATTCTCAGGAGTGAAGTCTCAAATTTAAAAGTTTTTATCAGTTTAAAAGAAAAAATTCACATTTTGTTTTGAATTAGGTCATAAATTTATTGGATTTATAAATTTATATATTTTTTTAATTAATGCAGTCTCAAATTATTGATCCTTGTAATTATTGAACTTTTCTCCAGGGATATTATTTATCCCTGATTTTTTTTTATCCTCAAAGAAGAACATTATTAGTTCTTCTTATCTTATCTTAAATTAAAAAAGGATTAGTCACTTATTTATCAACACAGAGTCACAAATTTAAAGAGGTAAATTAACTAATTAACAGAAAGAGATTGACAGATAATATTTGTATCGGCTTTTTTCTCATCTCTCTAATCTCTTTTTTTCCCTCTAATCTCTAAAATCCGAGTTTCTCTTAAATTTTCGGACCGTCTCTAACCGATCTCATGATGATTCAGTTCGGTCAGAATGTAAGTCGCACACTCAGAAGTCTGCGTTCCTTTCACAGTCGCTGTTACTCATCAGTCCTCTTGGATTCATTCACGACTAAAAACCACCACAGAGCAGTTTGGTATCTCAGTGGTTGCCATGTTGTTTCTGTCGCGCCGAGTAGCGACCATATTTGGGCGTCATTGCGGGTGACATCGCTGAAACTGCACTCTGGTTGACAGATGGTTGTGATACCAACATGTCAACCACCACACCCAATATGCTTACAGAACCGAGCGCCTGTACGCACCTTACTTATTTTTTTTCAACTTTTTGTAAATCATCAAAATCGTCTCATCTCAACATTTTCAAACATTTATTTTATTTTGAAGTTGCAGATGTTTGTGGAATAGTTGGATTATGACCCCGACTGTCAGGACTCGTCACCCCTCATATCAGTATCCTGTGAAGTTTACACCTGAACGACGCAGCAGAGCGCCACAGCAGACCTCGTCTCTTTCACCTTTAGGCTCAAACTGTCTGCGCAGCGTCTTATTTGAGAAATATGATTGACATCTCACTGAGACTCCGCCCCTGCCTGCTGCTCATTGGTCCTGTAGGGCCCCCCAAAAAGTGAGTGTGAAGCAGATCAGTTTCTGAGGATGCTGTCAGTCAGTCAGTCAGTCAGAGGTTGATGAGGAGGAGGAGGAGGAGGAGGGAGTGTTTGGGACTTTCCTCGCGCTCAGACTCCGGGTCCATGAGGTCGGTCGATCTTTTCTTTTTTGATCACAAACTTGATCTCAGTTTTAGATTTTGTTCTGGTTTTAACTCAGATAGTCTAATTTTATTCTCCTCTGCTGCTTCATCTGTCTGTGAATATGTAAATGTGTGTGTCAGCAAGTGTGTGTGTGTGTGTGAGTGAGTGTGTGAGTGTGTGTGTGTGTGTGTGTGTGTGTGTGTGTGTCAGCGAGGGTCAGACCCTGACCTCAGATCTGTCACCATCCTCGTCTTTCTCGCTTTTATGAGTCACACTGTTAGATATGTGAGCGCTGTTATTCATATCTGTACATATACGTGCGCATGTTTCTGAGATCTCTGTGTGTGTGTGTGTGTGTGTGTGTGTGTGTGTGTGTGTGTGTGTGTGTGTGTGTGTGTGTGACTCATGTTCCTCTTTTCCATTCACGATCACACAAAGCCGATGGAGAGCTGCTGTGATCTCAGAGAGCAGAGGAGGAGATTTTTGGGAGGGGGGGGTGAAGCTCCGAGAGCGTCTCCGCACTCTGACGGAGGATTTCGCCCCGCCGTCCGCTGATGCATGCTGGGTAAAGACGGCGCTGTGAGTACTGGGATCACACAGGTTGTTTTGTGTGTCTGCGGGCTGTTGTTCGGGGATCAAAGTGTGTCGTCGCTGCAGGAGTGTGTTTTTGTGTGTTTTTTGAGTGTTTTTGTCCCTTGGCGGCCGAGGTGGGAGCGGGGATTTGAGGTCAAAGGTCACACGTGTTTGTTGAGGCGTTTTTTCTCTCTTTTTACGTGTTTGAAAATAGGGCGATGTGCAATCATGCTGCAGAGTATTTTAATATTATTACAACAAATAACAGAGTCAGGATCAGTATGAGGAGGTTTTTATGGTGGACAGCAGCGAGCCCTGTGATTGGTCAACTTGGCTGCGAACATTTCCGGTATCGTCACTCCTCTTCCTCTTGTCTCGTGTGCAGAAACTCAGCTCACAACATTTATCACCTTCGGTCGCCATGGTTTCCGGTAAACAAACAAGGAGGTTGCAAATCTGGGCCGGACGTGATATTTTTTTTGATTGGCTAGAAAATCTGGAAACGTCATCACACGCATAAGCCAAACGCGGGCTGTCTGTACATCGAACAGAACGTTACAGAACATTATCGAACTTCTGAACCTCCTAACACGACAGACGATGGAGTTTCACAGCCATCAGGAATAACCAATCGGAGCCCAGCACTTCTAGCCAATCAGAGGTAAAGGAGGGCGGGGCCTTCCACTACCATCCCACAAAAAAAGACAATGAGGATTAGGGCTGGGCAAAAAACTGAAAATTTACCGATGCCGAAATTTACGACAATAATCGACGTCATTTTGCTCATATCGGTATATTCAGTGTCAAAAAAATAAATAAATAAAATTTGGTTTTGTTACATTTATTTTAAATTTTTATACCTTTATTTTGATTTTACCTTAGTCTGTACTCTCATACAGTCATAACTATGATCACTCTCAATTTATCATTATTATATTTATTCATATTATTTGTTTCTTTTCAGCACTTTTGGTTTTGTAAAAATTGAGCAAAAATTATTTACATTTTTACTTTTTAATTTAAATGAAAAATATCATTATAAAAAAGAAACAAAAATGCGGTCCTGCGGTCGTTACTAAAGTTGGTATAACTAGAGAAGCAAGCGGTCAACAACATTCATCCATCGGGGGGGATCTAACTCTGTGTTACGGTGGGTTTGACCCTAAATTAATTTTACGCCAGAATATCCCTTTAAGACGCTGTCCTACATCAGAGACGTGACTCCACCCCATCCAGTCCGTAACACAAAGGGAAAGACAGGTGAGGAGATGGAGGACGGTTCAGAAGTTGGAGCGGCTGAAGTAGACGAAGTTAACGTGGGAGGGGGTGAGCAGCTTGTGGAGTAGTTATCGTCTATTTATCGATATCGAGGTGAACTGATCAATATATAATGATATTGATTTGAGGCCATATCGCCCAGCCCTACTGAGGATAACTGTATGGACCAAAATTCGACGTTAGGACTGAGACTAAATGTGAGAGCGAAGGATTTAATCCGTGAATCTTTACCAACAGGGGGCGCCAAAGTCTAGAGAAACGAAAATCTTCACATTTTTAGATGCTAAAACCTTCTTGAACTGATCCAGTAAAGGGCTTGAAGGGCTTGGTTCATTCACAGATGTAGACACATACTGAGTTTAGGGTCTGTTTGTTAGTTTGTTTGTAGAGGATAAGATTCATTTATTAAACCACAGACATCCTGGAACAGCGTCTGCATGAGTCTTTACACTCTTATTCGCTAAAAAATCAACCTTACAGGACTGAAACTCATTTTGTTCCACTCTCTCCTCTCTTCTCATGAAGCAGCGTGAACATTCACAGTCACTCGCACAGCAATAAGAAAACTACTCTAATGAGTGTCACAGATCTGCTCGCTGTTACGTCTGACTCATCTGTCGGGTTTTCTGCATTCTCCACCGTCCAAACGGTCTCCTGGTGTCATAATGAAAACGTCAGCGCTGCAGAGATGAGATAGAGAGCATAGAAGCTGACTGACAAAGAGACTCATCCGTGTCTGGAGCTCGTACATTTAGAACAAAAAAACCTCCCTTTTGACTTCGACTTTTGTGTTTCTGATTCAATTATTAATCAGCCGACTCTATTTTTCAGATAATTCGATTTTGAGTAGATTGAGGGGAAGTATCGTGCTGCATTACCAGAATCTTTTCTCTTGACTGTAATTAGTCGATAATCATCCAGTCATTCAGAAACCTTTTTTTCTTTGAGTCTCAGGACTGATACCCAAGTTTTCATCTGTGCTTCTTACATCCAAGTCGTCGAGTCATTTCAAATGAGAGCAGAAACATTTACCCAGAGCTGCAGCCCGACAGTTTATACATGATAACGGAAACGGTCATCTGGTGCCGATTAGAAAATGTGACGATGTTTAGTTATCAAGTCGCTTAAATGTTGGTTATTTGATGGTATAAAAATGAGTATAACATTATGATTGACAGCGCCGTCGACCAATGAGGCTGCAGCAGAATCAGATACTAAAAAGATTCGTTCATCAAATCACCGAATCATGCCGCGCTTGGCGGGAGAAGCCTGCGACTCCGACCTCCTGAGCTGGTACACGGCCGAACGGTTCAGGATTCGGTTTCTGGGACCGAGAGACGAGAGTGTTTGTTTGTGTTTCTTTGGCAAACAGGTTTGTGAAAATGAACTTGTTTATAAGTCATTTATCAGGTAAACTGCTGCTCGGTAAATTGGGCTCAGTGAGCGCCGTTCCCTCGCAAACCACTGCAATGATCGGATGCTGCGGGTTTTATGCACTACTTGTTTCATGCTGTGTCCTGTTGTGTGCAAGTTTTTGTGGTGGCAATTTAGCAGTAAAAAAAAGGTAGTTTTGTCCGACAAAAACCATTCCAGAGAGTGAAGTTCAATGCGTGATTCGTTCATCACAGGTGTCGCTGCGTGTGGTCCCTCATTCGCCGGCTGCTCGACTAGCGATGCTGTTTCTAACTTCAGCTCAACTCAAGTGAAAAATGAACGAATCACAGGAGGAAGTGATTCGATTCAATACGTTCACTTAAAAGATTTGTTTCTTTTGAACGAATCGTTCGTGAACGACACAACATTAGTTGTTTTGTTATTATTGTAGTCAGATACAACTTCATAAGTAAACTCCGGTACTTTCTCGAAGAACGTCCTTATATTATATGAGTAAAATTTGTTACATGCTGTGTCATTATACACTCTGAGCCACGATTAATAAGTCTGGTCATGTTGGTTATGGCGTCCCCCTGTGGACAAAGCAATAACTTCTAATGCTTTGTTAATCTAGTCCTTCTGTTTTTATTTTGATGGGTTTTTTCGCTCTTTTACGTCACAAAAATGCATCAATTTCAATTTCAGTCTTTTTCATTACAAACTTAAAATTCCTCACAGGAGCTTTAAATGTGTCCTTTTTTTGGCTCCTTCTGTTAAACTTTACAGATTCTGGCCCCAAAAACCATCATCAAGGATTTAATTATCGGACCAGAAGATTTGATGTTGTCTTTGTCGTAGCGCACTTCTCACTTTCATAAATATTCTTCAAGCATTGGAATCAGAATCAGATTACTGAAAACAAAATTTGCTTTGTAAACAGACCGGAAATGTAGGTATCGAACTAGAGCCTCAGCCGGAACGCTAAGAGGAGCAGTGCATTCTGGGAAATGTAGTAAAACCATGAGAGCAGTTGGAGATGCAGGTTTGAGTTCATCTGTTTTGTGCACAAACAGAAACAGACGATGAACATCATGAATGAAATAACAGAGAGCAGCTCTTTGCTTAGGAGTGTGTGTGTGATCATGTCTGTGCTAGAGTGTGTGTGTGTTAGTGTGTGTGTGTGTGTGTGTGTGTGTGTGTAAGTGTGTGTGTGTATCACATACCAAACACCTCTTTATCTCCTGCCAAAACAAATACCTACAAAGGTGAAGCTGCAGGGACGGCAGGAAGATGTCGGTGTGTGTTTTCTGCAGAAGGAAGGAGACCTCTGTGTGTGTGTGTGTGTGTGTGTGTGTGTGTGTGTGTGTGTGTGTGTGTGTGTGTGTGTGTGTGTGTGTGTGTGTGTGTGTGTGTGTGTGTAAGTTCCTGGGGGTGGGGTGGGGGGGTCAGCTGGAGGTGTGGTCCGATGCCAGGAAACACATTCTTTGGCAGCGTGCAGGGCTGCTGTCAGACGGCTCAGGAACACGATGTACGGCGCTCTGGATGCAGAGGAAGCAAACCCTGAGATTCACACACACACTAATACATATATACATATTTATATATATTTACACACACACACAGTGCTGAGGTGGCTGGCAGGAAAGGAGCTTTGTCATAGTGCTGCGGTTACAACATTAAGGAAGCTGTGGCGCCTTATTTGGCGTCAGCTGTGACTGACGTCTCCCTGCAGCCAGTGGGAGCTGACTCTGCCCTCCAGGCATTAACGCTGCAGTTACATTACATTTAAAGTCACTGGAGATGTTACAGTCCCCTCAGCCAATCAGATGCCTTCCCTCCTCCTGGCCGCAGTCCTTGGCTGTCAAACTCGGAGGATAAATGTCTGCGAGTCCAAGGGCAACAGGAACAACGCTCCCACTGTGCCGCTCTGTTTCAGGGCCGCTGAGCTCCCTGCTGGCCTGGTTCTCCTCCGCCGGCTGTCAATCACTCTGCAGGTTCGAGCCTCAGTGTGGGGAAGCAGTGGCCGGCGGCGGCAGGCAGAGATGGGTGGCTTTACATCCGGTCTGTCAGTATCCTGCTGGGTGATTTATACCGGTTATATGTTGGAGAAAATGAAACATCATGTCGTTTTAAAGTTCAGTTTTTTGCTTCTTGAAGCTCCTGTGTGGAACTTTCAATCTGTGTTGACTTTGGCGCCCCCTGTGGACAAAATGGTCATCAATAGATCATTCCTGATCGCTTCATGATTGTGAATATGGTGTTTCTCACTACAACATCTCCTCCTGTTGTCTTTCACAGCCAAACTTACCTCTCACTGTGAATATTTTCCTGCAGCAGATTTTCTCCCCGCACAAATTAAACTCAAGAATTAGTTTTCTACGTTTTGCTCGACCTGCTCCTCTCTGATACTTTGTTTTGCTGCAGCACAACATGTTGAAAATACTCCACACCTTGACTAACTTTTGCTGCATCCTAACTTCTCGTGCCCCCAGACTTTGTTGCACGTTTCCTCGAGCTCGTAATGACGCAGTGAAAGTGAGATCTGTTCGTGTGGAGGGACAGAACATGCTCTGCAGTGAAGGAGGACAAAAACGAGAGCAAAACTCCGAGACATCCAGTCATAATCGTGATTGATCGGTCTGCAGCTCTTATCTGATCCGCTTTGTGAATCCCATAATCAAGTAATTTCTAATCTTTAATCTTTAATTTATGCAAAATTAAAGTCCCGCTGATCTATTTTCAGTCTAATATGACAATGCCAGTAAGTGTTTCACCCCCGAAAGTGATAGATTACACACTTTGGTGGAAATGCAAACAAAAAGCCCGTAAAGTTTTTGCAAAAATTACTCAGCAAGTCGGCACTTTTAGGAAGAAAATGAGTGTAGTGTGATGATAGCAGAGTACGGTGGTGAGTCAGGGGTTTCTGATTGATTCATGGAGGTGAAACTGAAGTGAAAGTGCCGGTTAGTGACACACTTTCAGCTTCATGAGCAGCCTCTAGTGTTCAGAAGAGGTAAGTGCAGTTTGTAATGTTATTCAACGGCAGCTTTAATGCTTTGAGAAAGTTGTGAGGAAGTTCAGGCGTATCTAAAGCAGGAAATTCAGTTTGTCCACAAGGGGGCGATGAGTCTGCAGCTTCATTAAGAGTTAATGGAATTGAATCCATGTAATCCAATGGGTCCTGTGTGTGACTGACATATGAAACAGCGTGATATTGATCGTTCTGCACAAACACAGGCAAACATTAATTAAGGCCATTACAAGCTCATGATCGCGGCTGCAGCGGTGTCATTTCCCATGATGCACTCTTGGGAGGCTCAGCAGCTGTTAGTAATGAAACATGTGTGGATGCTAATTTGTGACACTTCCTGCAGCTCGAGCGGGGAACAGGAGTGTACGGCAGATGTTACAACAGAGAGGAAAGAGAAGACAATAAAAGATGAGAGAGAGTTTTTGGTCGGGCCAGACTCACTGCTGATCAGATCTGAGTGGGTCCTCTGGTGCTCCTGAGTCTGACAGACTCTGATCAGTGTCTGCGGGACTGGAACCCCAACCAGAAGACCAGAAAGCAGGAGACTTAAAGGTGGGGTAGTCAGGATGTGAGGAAGTTCCAGTTTTTAGGAGAAATCTTGAATGTAAACTCTACCCCTCCCAACCAGTTTTCCCCTCAGCTCCTCCTCTCCCCTCCCTCTCTTAAGCCCCGCCCACAAACAGACGCTCCTGCTCGCTCGTATCGTTCCAATTAAATTCAGATATAATGCAGATAAACACTTCAGATCATTACAAATGGGGCCCAGTCAAGGTGAAAGTCAAAAGCATTGGTGCTACTGTAGATGCCAACAGACTACCAGCAAACACAATGTTTGCAGGACTTCTACAACGAGGATAAAGTGACATAGTCCAGGACCCGAGGGAGGACAGTTTAGCGATGGCGCTACAACACGCTACAGCAGGTCCGTTTGACAAGAAACACTTCTGTTATAGACACTTGTCTTACTTTGTTAAAGCGGTTTACCTGTCCAGCAGAAAGGTTACAGGGTCACCAAGATCCCCAAGCGTCCCCCATCGTTTATGTTGAGCCGGCTTTTTAGCTCTTGTCCGGTCTACCTCCGTTTTAAGCGCCCGTTATTCCTCCAGAGTCTCCGGTATTTACTTTGTTTTCTTGCTTGTGTCGGCAGTCGTGGCCAAAGGAGGATTCAGACAATTTTCCGAACTTTCTGGTTGGTTTCTACTGTCCGATATTGTAGCACGCTAACTTTGTTTGGGCTCATGAACGACACGGGGGAGCAGCGTCTGCCTCACAACCAATCAGGTTAGAGGAGGTGGAGAATGGCTTTTTTATATAACACTATTATAAAACGTTTTTATAAATATACCTCAAAAAAGATGCTTCTTTAACAAAATCCTGCCTACTTCACCTTTACCATAGTTAGAGTTGAAGGTTGTTTTCTGTACTCTTCTAGTCCTCTAGAGAGATTTGAGTCACACTTTTACTTCAAACTCCTCAAACTCGTCTTATTATGTGTTTCCTGAAAAGTTCTGCTGGATTCTTGTCATAAAGTTTTCTGGTCAAAAATCATCCTGAGATCCCAACGCCGGCGCTCCAGATGGCTGTGGAGGTCATGAAAGGAGCAGCGAGCCAAATCACACATCAATCTGGCCTGTTGCTGCTGTCAATATTTTGCTTTGGGATGAAGGACTGGCAGGACATTTTTTGGATCTGACGTAGATCTATCTTGGCGAAAAAAAGCACATTACAAAAAAAAATAAATCTATTTAAAGTTGTTCTTTTCTTTTCTGGTCTGAAACGTAGATGCTGTTAAAGCCACCCAAAAGTTAGCAGAGCATTTAGAGCTCCCCCTACTGACCGGCTGCAGTATAGGTCTGAAAGTTCGCCTCCTCCTCATCATGCTGATTCATGTCCAACACTATGATTGACAGCTGTGTTGACCAATGAGGCTACTGCAGGGCTGTGTGCACCAGGTTATCAAGAACAAAAGCAAAAGTATGAAACACAAACACAAGAGTGATTTAACTTTCTATAACTGTGTTTTTATTTAAACTTTTATAAACAATCAATTTTGTTAATTTTTATACTGCCCCCTCTTGGTCATATGGTGACACTGGTATATAAGTTCCCTTATAAATGTTGAATTCAGTCAGACTACTGCTGCTTATTGCTCTGCATGTCATGTGTCAATGTGTTTGTTAGCGTAGCTGCAAGCTAGCGGCTAGCAGTATGACTAAGCATATTTTTGTTTTGCATATTGTGGTCCTATTTGTGCCTTTGCGTTCAGATCACTGCGCTTCATTTAGACGTATGTTTATAATTTTAACATATTTCTGGCCCATATAAAGCCTGTAACGATCACAAACAGGAGTTAGCTTAACGTTAGCTGCTGCCATAAACCAACGTCTTAATAACGTCTTTTTATTGAGAGAATAACGACAAACTTCTTCGACAATGCGGAGTAAATCAGTTAATCGTAGGTATCACTTTAAGGCTAATGGTGCGATCGAGTTACCTCGGAAGTCAGATGTCGGAGCTGTGAATGACGTCACACCCGAGTTAGCATCGTTTCAGTTACAAAGTCGGAGGCGGAAACAATATGGCTACATCTACAAAAGTTATTTTAGCGCTTGTCTTGTCCGAGTATAAGTAACATCTGGACAATAAGCGGTCCTTCTGCGACATGCAACCACGGTGGATGAAGAGGAAACACAAGGAAACACAGGTGCAGAAATTAGCCTATTTTTTTCTTTTTAATTTTTTCATTTTTTACAAAAAGTATCTATTGCCGTTTGATCGGTCATCAGTTATAAACTGGCGAGTGCTCTTCGCAACTCCATACACGCGGTTTGTCAATTATAAGTTGAAATAAACAAAACAAAACAAAGAAAAACACCGGCTGAAATAAACAGGCTACGGTTAGCTGTTGTTAGCCACTGTTAGCACTGTTTGTAGTTTCCATATACACATGAAAAATGTAAATTACACCATGACAGCATTTCCATATATATTCATCTGATAATACTTTTGTAGCCCGAGCCTCAGGCTGACTTACTGCGACAAAAAATAATGAAAAGCGTTAATAAAAAGGATCATAACAGGAGCTTCAACTTACAGTTTACAGCCGGCGCCGCCATCTTTAAATGTCAATTCGAGGGCTGTGTTGATCGTCCGACTTTCCGAGTGGGAAATCCAACCTCGACGTTCGTTCCAGTTGAAAGTTCCGACTCGGAGCTCGTAAATTCCTACCTCTGAGAACAACTGGAACGCACCATACGTGTTTCAAATAGCTAGTGTAGCTGTAAGCTAGCGGCTAACAGTATGACTCAGCGTTTCTGTGAATTTATGGTCCCATTTGGTTTCTGAATGCCTGTCTTTGTTGATTTGTGCGTTATTAGAGTTTAGAAGGTGTAAACTCTTTATTTAATGCTCTATTTAACACAATAGTCGACTTTTTGATTGAATAAAAACATCTCAAATCACTGCAGCTCAGGCCTGAGGCAGGGGTGCGGACTGATGAAAGTGACGACGTTCACTCGTTTATGCGACTGAATGTGAACATCTGTGGTTTAAAGTCACACCGAATAACTGTAAAAACTGTCGGTGGCAGTTGTCACAGGCAGAGATGGATCTGGTATGACAGAGGCATTGTGGGAGTAGAGATCTGAAGAGAAGTGCAGATAGAAATTTCTGTTGATCAGATTGCAGCCAGCTCGCTCGTGTGTGTGTGTGTTTGAGTAATTCATGGCTTCATTTCTCGCCTTGAGAGTGTCTATGGATGCTGAATGGCATTTATGTAACGTCTCTCTCTCCCTTGCTGTGTGAGTTTTTTTATTTTTCTCCTCTGGGACTGCGAGGCTGGCTGGCTGGCTGGCTGGCTGTTGCTCTCCAGGGGCAGGCGGTAGAGAGATGCTGTCCATCTCTCAGGGACTTATGTAACCATGTGCTCTCTCGCTCTCTCTCTCTCTCCTCCTCAGGATTCGGTGGAAGTTAATGTATGCAGCAGATGACTCTGAGCTCCAAATTAGCACGGAGGACTGGGATGACGCACTTCTGACAAAAAGGTCTGAATTTATCTGCTTGTTTTCTTGTGTCGTACTCTTAATACCTCTTTGTGCGGCTCCCCTCCTGACCACATTGTTTACCCCACTACGGCACGAGAAGAATGCATGTGTGGGCGAGCGGCGTGATCCTACCTGTTATAAAAGGTGCCGTGTGTGTGTGTGTGTGTGTGTGTGTGTGTTTTCTGGCCCTTACACACTGTGCCACTCCCTCTCGCTGTGAACTTTGCCTCCTTACAACACTGTGTGGCCTTTACAGCTCTGTCCCCTTGTGTGGTTGTTGTGCGTGTTTTCTGCCTGATTGTGATGAATGAAGGCCGTGCCGGACGTGAAATAAAAAAGGAGGGAGATAAAAAGAAGGAGGACGAGTGAAAGGAGGAAACGAGGAGAATGAGGCTCATTGTGTCTGATTGGAGAGTGTGTTTGCGGAGGTGTTTGTTTGATCGGAGTCTGAATCTTTTCAAATGAACCAACAAGTGTCAAACCTTCATTTTTAACCTTTTAATACAGATCAGAAAAACAGATGAAGCTTCCACTAAAACGACAAGTTTCATTTCCATATTTTATAATATATCCGTTCATTCATATTGTGTATTTGGAGCCCAGATGTTATTAACAAGAACCCTGTCACCCTTACTTCTGCGCTCAGTACATCCCCTGTAGTGGCGCCTGTTCACCTGTTTCAGGTGGGTCTCAGTTTCTCTGTAAAAAGTAACTCCAATACTTACTTTGGTGGTAGAAACCTGCATTATTTTACACGTGTTGTTCTGTTTGTAAAAAAGAAGTTAATCAAACTCTGGTATGAACCAAATGATTGAACTGATGTCTCTGATGAAAAGTTTTTTTAACGCACAAACAAAAAATCTGTTTTCTTCAACTTTACCTTTTTAACGACCTGCTGTAACGAAGAGGTGAGGGCGCTCAGCAGTGATAGAGACTCAGTGAGGATGGGAATTGTTAAGAATTTAGCGATTCTGATTCCATTATCGATACGATTCCTTATCAAATGGACTTGTTTGCATTAACTCTTTAATATTGTCACTTTCTGACAGTAGATATGTCATATATTAACTATTAATTAGTCATGTGACCTACCTTTTGACCACAAATCTGCTCACAGCTCGGTGACATTCGTTTATCTTCACCTTTGTCATTTTACTCTTCCCCGCCTCGATGAACGGGGCCGCCAAAGGTGCGCGAGAGCTACCGGCTGCAGACTCTGGTAGTCATCATCATCTAAATGTCATTTAAGGAAATGGAGAGTATTTGTATCGTGAAAGGGGGTTAATATGGCGCTAACATCTACACAACAGACAGGACCTGGAGGAGTTCAACGTTACCTTGATGACGCCAAGACGTTGGTACCAGTCTCGCCTTCACTAAGTAGCGTATCAAACACGTTACACTTCTGCAAATTAATAGCATGCTGGGTGGACGAATGTTTCCCCCTTCGACGAAGTTAAAGCTTTACAAGAGTGGCAGGTAGCCCCGGTATCATCTTTTTGCGTGAAATACAACCAAACTCTGGAGTGTTTTTGCCGCGACACCATGCTGGAAAGTTCTGAACCGAAACACACTCTTGCGTAGAGACGTAAGAGGAACCGATAAGCAGATAAGTCCACCACTGCATGGGTTTAATGTTATAAATGCTGCTGAAGATGACAAACTGATGCTCCTAGAATACGATGGAAACATCTTTGGAAACTGTCAGGGGTTCGAGGAAGTACAAAATTCGGCGAAGGAGGAAAAGTATTCCTAGATAGAGTTTCAGATCTTGTCCTGGTGTTTTTCGTGATGTGGAAGTTTTTAAATAGGACCTGTATGTTTTGGTTTTAACAAACAATCAGTTTTATTTCCTGTTAAACGTCTGTATGAGTGTTTTTGTGTTGTCAAATGTTGTAACCATGAACCTTGTTGCAGTTATTTCCCAGTTCAGTCTAAAAACCTTGAATTTCAGTGGATTTCTTCAGACTTACATACATCTGTCTTTAAAAACTTTGCGTATTTGTTACTTTAATTTAAAAAAAAAATCATCTGATGACGTGTAAACAGTCGTCCGTGCGTGTGTGCTCAGCAGAGACGTGTTGTCTACTAACTGAGTTTGTCGTTGGACTGATCCAGTGACAGCTGTTCGCCACTTCCTCAACATGCAGAGAGAGAGAGAGTACCTGGCAGGGTGCGTTTGATTTATCATTCCTGGTCGGCCTTGTTTGTTTAATAGCTGCTCCAGATCCTGTCTATGTGCTGTTTGTCAAACAACAGGAGGATTAGTGGAATAACTGTAGAGGGGGAACGTCTGGGTCCTGGTGGTCTTATTTGTGTCTGTAGTCTGAGCTCATCAGGATTTAGTGACACTAAGTTACTCTGAAACTGATTTTCTTTGACTTGACCACAGAAGTTGCAGTCGGTGACTTAGACAGACGATAGATGATGCAGAAGTAGGTGAAGGTTCAGAGGGGTGGTCACACAAACACACACCCACACACACACACACACACACACACACACACACACAGAGGGCCAGTGTTGACGCATAATGATTAATATGCTCAGAGTGTGTGTGGGCGTGTGTGTGTGTACAAATTGCCCCATGGTGGTTTTTCCCGCCATCGAAACTGAAGGTACTTCTCTGAATTCTTAAAATCTAACTCACTTCCTGTTTTGAACCAGCACCTGTCACACACACACACACACACACATAGACACACACAAACACACACACAGTGCTAAACCACAGGCATGGTTTTTCTGTCTTGTGTGTTTTTCTTCATGAAGTGTTTCGTGGTTTGGGTGGGGGACGGGTTAGGGGGGCTTTCTACTCGGTTTTCTGCTGGTTGTGAGTCAGGGCTGGTATGATGACACTTTTAATAGAGTTACAGGATGAATGACGGTGCAAACTCACACACGTGGCCATGAACTGTGCGCTGGACTCGGTCATAAACAGTCTGACGGGGAAGAGGACGGACTGGAAGAGCCTGGAGTTCGGCTTCTTTCCCCCGTTTTCGCTCTCTTGAGTGAACAGCAGATGAAGTGGGCACCTTACGAGCTTTCTTATGTAAGTTGTTGACGTGTTTGTTTGATTTATTACTTTAGTAGTTCTTCTGTTTCACCGTTAGCTTTAGTTAAAGTGAAATCTGTAACCCAAATTAGCTTTATTTGCTCTCTCCTCATTTGTGGATGCTGCATTTGGGATTTGCGCCGCCTTTATTTAACCCTCGGTTCCTCCTCTGTCCGTTTTGAGGACGTTTGTCGTCTTTATTTTGAGCTGACGGTCACATTTTTAAAGATTGGGGCATCAAATTTGGTGAGCGTTCTTAAAAAACTCTGTGTCACCTCTAGTTCTCCGTCGCCACATTTTAGCTCCACCCACCCTCCTTAGTCCACAAATCAGCCAATAGACTTCCATTAAAAACAGGTTTTTTGACCATGTGTTTACGTCACCATAACAACATATTACAACCTTCTTTCTGCAGTCAGTCGATCAGCAGGGCTCTAAATTTGACAACAGACTGAGCCGCACATCATTTTAATTCTTCAAGTCTTCATTCATGGACTGAGAGAGTTTGAAGATTCATCCACTAAACATCATCAGAAATGAAGGAAACTTTACATGACACTAGATATGGATGTCTAAGAGTGGGACATGTGTGGAAGGAGAAGGCTGTGTGTCACTTTAGAGTGAGTGGATGGACATGCATGAGGATGAACAGGTCCTTCAGATCATTAGATGAGAAGATATCACATCTCAAATATGCAGTTATTTTTTATATGTGCACAGTCACAGTAATCACGGTCATATTTTGGTTAGAGGAGGATAAACACTTATAAATGATTCCTGTCTTACATATATCTTCTGATTTTATATGACTATATGTAAAATTAATTTAATATGAAAAAATTAATTTGATCGTATTTGATTTGGTAGAGAACGAGGCTCGAGAAAAGGAGGTGAAGTTGGCGTGTTTTTCCGCTCCAATAGACTCGGCTGTTCAGAACAAACACTTTATCAATAAATATGTCACGGTGAACAAAAACCGACATAAAAAGAGTAATACATCAAATTTTTTGTTCATTATTTATTTAATGATCAGGGCTAAAGTTGCTTAAGACATTTGAGTAAAAAAAAAAGTATAAAAATGATTATTTTATCAACACTTATCTGCATGTCCGTTTTGGGGACAAAGTCAGCTGGATGGAGCTTCAAATTAACATGAACCGAGGGTTTAGAGTCATTAACAAAATCTGTAGATATGTTTTTGGTGCTGTAAAGTAGTAGAAAGGCTCTACATGCTCCTCAGTTTGAAAAAAATATGATATCATGTACATGTAACAGTCAACGATCCTTGAGTCTTCAACCTTAGACACCCTCAATCAAACACACACCTCAGCACATTTACCTGTGATTTAAACCAGGAATCAAAACAGGTTCAGTATCTGTCTAATTTTAAAGGAAGACACAGTTTATAAAGTTATAAAAAATAATTAAAGATTTTTGTATTTTAACTTGAGTTGATCTAAAACAGTGCGCCTGACAACATTAACTTCATAGTCCCTGTTGCAAACTCCTCTTTCTTCTTGCTCTCTAACTTACACACACACACACACACACACACACACACACACACATCTTGCTCTCTTCATTCCTTTGCCTCGCTCTCCTTCAAACACCGTGTCGTTGACTCAGCACTTTCCCTCCTGTGTTTCTCGACCGTTCCTGGAATCCGACCAGGTTTTGTGAACGGCTGTAAGGGGAGGGCGTGGCACTGCTGTACCTTTGCCCTGCACTGCAACACGTTTATAAGTGCCAATGTGCACACACACTTACACACACACACACACACACACACACACACACACAAATCTCACAGCGTCATTCAGCAGGTAGGGACCTCTGCATTGCTGTTCTGCTCCACTTTGTTGTAGCTGTACTTTGTGTGTTTACATGCTCTCATTTAACCTACTTTCACTCTTTAACAAATGAATGCGCATCTACGTCATGACCCCGAAACTGACGTAGAAAGACACGCACATGCAGGTGTGTGTGTGCGGGTATTGTCCTCTGGTTTAGCCTACTTTCTAGGACACTTAATCAGGAAACCAGTAAATTGAGAACCATTGTCGAATGAAGAAAAAAACACCTTTCATAGATGAATCCGCTTTAATATCATGTACCCAGAAATGATGCAAGGAAACACGTGTGTATGATGGATCCTGATTTAATATGGGACATTAAGTATTGGGGACAAAAGCTGCATTAAGGTTTGTGTAAAAGCCAAGTCAACAAATGTATGTCTATGTAACGTCCCCCCAAAATAATGTTATTAGGGTTTTTGTGTGTTTGTGTTCTGGTTTATCTCACTTTCAGGGACGCCACATCAAATGTGCAGCTAATTTCGTGGGGACTGTGGCCCAGTTTGTGGCAAAGCTGTTAGAAGAGGGTCAGTCTCCAAGAAACAAAAGTGCTGCGATGTAATGTCCTTAAATGTTTTGTAGGAAGATGCGTGTGCAGATGTTTGTGTGTGCGCTTGCATTCTGATATAGCCTTCATTTAGGGACGCTGCGACTCGAAACAGGCCAGTTACTTACTAGCGGTAAAGCTATTTGAAGGGCAGGATAAGTGTTTTGAAACTAATTTACATATTCATTCTGTCTCCAAAATTGGAAAATAAAAACAAAAACTGTGTGTGCATGTGTATGGGTAAGTGTTCTAATTTAGCCTACTTATAGGGACACTTGAGGGGAAAAAAGGGCAGTTAATTGGGGACCGCAACTTAGGACAGGATATTTGGCGGGGTAACTTTCTAGCAAAGTAATGTAAGTAATGTTCCCTGGATATGATGTAAGAGTGCATGTGTGTTTTTGTGTGAGTATGTGTGTGTGTTTTTGTGTGAGTATGTGTGTAAACAGGGGGCCCCATTCTGTCAGAAGGTGAATCTCTGCAGGGGGTTAAAAAGAGTTCAGCCTCATTAGCGAGAAACCTGCTCATCGCTCAGGTCACACGTGTGCACTCTCCCTCTCTGTTTTACACACACACACTCATAAAGGTTGGACCAAGGTGTGTGTGTGTGTGTGTGTGTGTGTGTGTGTGTGTGTGTGTGTGTGTGTGTGTGAGAGTTTGCCACCATGGATCACGCTCTCTAATTGGAGGCACTGCTCCTGTTCTGCCCTCACCTTCTCAGAGCAGCTGTATTTATGTTTACTGCTGTGACCCAGATACTTCCGCTGCACATCAGAGATTGATCACTGTGGTCCCTTTAAAGGGGTAGTTCGCCCAAAACTGCAATGACACATATCCTACCTTGCTGTTGAATCTACCTACAAATGGCTGACAGTGAATGAGCAGGTTAGCCGATAAATGGTCATGTTGTTGGTTAATTTTTTTAGTATTTGATACAGAACAACAATTTAACAACACTGACAAGTTAGAAACAGGATTGCTGAACTTGAAAAAGCATTTTTTAATAAATGGAGACTGTAAAACAAAAATACTCAGCTCAATGAGGGACTTTTAGATCTCAGAAATAATATTAAACTGCTTTCTTAACACTTAGAACTCCGCTGGATTGCCAGCGATCCCACGTGATGCCATTAATATTGTTTACAGTTTCTCGGGGACTATACCGTGTATGTCTATGGGATGAAAAGTGTTCAAAAGCTTACCCTTTTGGCGATCTATCGAGGGTTTCCAGACAGACAAAGATTTACAATCCAGCCACAAAAACAGGTGTTTGATCAGAGACGTTTGATAGTAAATCCGCAGTGATACACCAGTGAAAACAGGATTATTTATGCCGCTAATGTCTTCCAGGTTTGACGAGCTGTTTTAGAGCAAAGTACTGTAGGTATTTTGTTTTTTGGTTGACTTTGATGATTTTGAATCTACTGTCACATTTATTTTACATAATTTTTGCTCCATAAACTGAGAGCTGAGGTTGTCCTGAAAAAAAAAAGATGTGTTTATATTTGCTGTGCTTGAAAGGATCAAGTTGAAACATAGATTGCAGACCAAAAATAGCAAACTATAGCTGGGAGTTTTAAGGGTTAAACTTCATGACACTTTTTACATCCAATATAAGCCGGTAGCTGTTTTAGAGTTGTGACGTTGGCCTTTACTGATCTGATTCTGCTTTTTTCCAAATCAGTCAGCCGATTTATTGGTCTGTCTCTAACCATTTGTATTAAAGACTTTTTAAGTTTTCCTCTCTCACTGTCATGCCTGCGAAGGCTACAAAGACTCTTCAGTGGCTGTCGGTGTAAACAAGTATACCGTCCTTGACCTCTGACCTGTCAGAGCTGGGGGGAATAAGGGTTCAAAGTCAAGAGAGAAAATTCTCCTTATTGTTGTGACACTCAGCAGTTGAGTGTGACGTTGATAAAGTCTGAGACCCCGCAGGGAGGCCATGTGAACGGCGTTTGCTTTCCCACAATGCTGTGTGTGTACAGAGAGAGGGTGGCAGCGATGGGTGTGTGTTCGGGGGGGAGGTGGGGGGGTTATTGCAGCCACTCGAACAGAACTGCTCTTTGCCGCTGGCATCGCCATGGAGACCAGGCCCTTTTTATAGAGTCCCTCTGCTGCTCTCATTCTTCGGCTGTTTACCATTCAGTTCATATGTTGGAGGCTGACAGAGCAATTTACAGCCAGAGGAAATGTGACTTTTTTTTCTTCTTATTTGACTACAGAGTGAAAACAGTTTGTGTGTGATCCTGCAGAGCAGAGGCGAGACATGAACACTGCCAGGTTTGTCAGTTCAATTCCAAAGAAACAGCCACGAGAAGTTTATCTTTTCCAGGCCCAGCAGCTGTAAACTCATTTAATCAGATTAAGATAATCAGATTAGATCGAATCTCCACAGCAGGTTGTTGAAGTAGAAAAAGAAAGATAAGAAAACTTGTGTGGTTGGAAACTTGTGAAGGATTTGGATGACTTAAAGATGAAAACAAAGAGTGAGTTCATGAGAGACAGAAGACAGGAGTGCCACAAAGTGTTGTTCACAACAAAATACTGTTGTGTTTACAATCATCTGTTTAAAAAAGAACAATATGATGTTTTTATCACAGTAAAATCCACTCGCTTCGTGAGACAGGGGGCTATAAAACTGTCAGTTTCTGGATCCAGTCCATCAAAAACAAAGATCATCTGTAGCGGTTTATGTATAAAGGTCCTTACACACCGGGAACGATGCAAATATACGAAGCAAAATTACGAATTTTGACGTGCCTGAGTATACACATCAAGCCCGATGCGATTTTGCTACTGTTCGGGGGGAAAAAAGACACGTCCCGGGTGGAAGCGAGAAGACTGACCCAACAGCAGACTGAGTGTTTTTCAGTTCACATGAAACTATAATCCATAAACGTAAGGTAACAACCGAGACCTAATGGTGCTGTGACAGCATTGCTGTGATTGAGTTTGAGTTTACGGTGAAAATACATATGGTATCTTGTATCTGAACAGGTTAGCTTACGAGCTAAAGTTACTTAGCACAGATGAAAGTGAAAACAAAGACGTTTATCAAACTGTTAAAGCTCACAAACCATCGTCATATGAGAAATCTGACACTATGACTCTCCACAAGTCGTCCTTCAGGTCGTTATCTTTGTAATGTTTGTGTCTTTTATCAAAAATCACTCTGTTCTCCGACACGTAAACAATCAGCCGGTCGGCCATGTTGGATATACCGGTGAATCAGATGTCGCAACAACACAAAATCTGATTGGTCAGAGGTGGACACACAGTATGCAAAACTTTAGAAAATTTAACCATGATACCAAAAACTAAATGCCGCAATATCGCAGGACGGGAAAACGTCGCTGATGTGAACGCTTGTATTGACAGGATACGGGTTCTAAAAAAATTATTGAAGTCCGAAATAATCGCACGAAAAAACGCTCCCGGTTTGAAAGGACCTTAAGAGTGTCATCCAAGCTTGTAAGATTATGTGCGTGTATTATAATGCAGATCAAGATGATCAGGGTGTGTTTTTTGAAACTTTGCCTCCCTTCACAGTTGTTCCTACCCCAATCCTGCTTTAGAAATCAAGTCAGGTTTTCATATGCGGCTCTAAACGTGTTTAATCCTGCTGTAAAGTTGGAGATTTTAACATGAGGCTCTATGGCCATGAATTCACTTTTGAGCCAGCCCCAAGTGGCCAAGTGAGGAACTGCAGTTTCTTAAAACTCCTCATCTTTCAGCCTTGGAGGTCGCTGCGTGGTTCATCCTGGAGTCACAGACATGATAATATAGAAACAGAAAGAGGGAAAGCTTTGCCAAACGCACACACACACACACACACACACACACACACTGGGGATGACGCACACACACATGCACAGTCACACCCACTGTGTGCGTACACATGTAAAAGATCCAGAGTCTGCTCGCACGTGGGTGTGTGCTTCCTCCTCTGCTCACATTTTTTGACTTGTTACAGAGACACACCCACCTGGTTTTGTAGGACAGGACACACAGAAGAGGAGGGAGAGACGAGTGTTACTCTGTCACTGTCAGGACACACGAGAAGCAGGAACTCACGGCTCAGCTGATGGATGATTTAAGATTTAAGCTGAAAGTCAGATCAGAGGAGCAGGAAACACTGTTTGATGGTGCTGTGATTGTTCACAGACTCTGAGGGAGAAAGGAGGATTTTCTTGTAAATGTTAGTCATGGAGGAAAACTTGGAAGAGCAGAAGGAGAAAAGGAGAACACGCTGATCTACACACACGACACAGGAGACGGTGAGTAATAGAACAAATCTCTGATGGTATATATTTATATAGAGGTGGCTTTTGGCTTATGAACAGGACTGTATATGTAAGTGGGTGTGTGAAAGTGGGTGTGTGTATCACGACTGCGCCATGCAGCACCCGCCTGGGTTTGTTTACCTGCCTGTGTGCTTTCCCACATGAACTCACGTCAGAGGAAGGTAACCCGATCCGCTGGGCTCGGCGTGATCCGCCCCTCCTGCCAGGTGGACAATTACCGAGCTACGGCTCTATAATGCTGCGCTGCCACCGGACAAACAGCAGCGAGACAGGCAGAGAGGAGGCGTCAGACAGGCGGAGGTGGTGTGTACGAGTGAGAGTGTGGAGGTTGAGTGGAAAGGTGAAAGTCTCTGAGATTTGATGAGGTGCCAAATACAGATAGAGCCGAACATCATGTGGTGTTTTCACACTCCAAGATAAAGGTGGAGGACAGGAGGCGGGGAGGTTGTTTAAATAGACCCTGACAGTCTGACACAAAGCGTTTTCAGACTTCTATGTGGTCCCTGCCCAAAAATATAACTTAAAAAGAAGTGCACCTGCCTAAAAAACTGCAGTACCTAAAGTGTCCACTCGAGGCTGGCTACAAAAGTGAGTCATTCCTCATTAGGCCCCATTTTAAAAATGTCTGACTGCACAGAAGGAACGATTATGTCTGTAAAATGTGCATACCTGCTTTCTGTAATCACAACAGCAGAACAGGGTGGAGTTTTTACGTAACTCAGCTGTTTACGTTACACAAAGACTCAAATTTATACCTAATTAGAGGTGTGGTAGAACAGTTGGTTCCTCCTGGTCTGAGCCTTAGCCTGGTTTTGGTCATGTTGGGGATACGACGTTAGCATGCACACAGAGAAACCTGGTTATTCATATCCCTGCATGCATGAAACATACTTGTATCCTGCTTTCTGATTAATGCATCTTATTTATGTTAATGTGGTTTTGAAATGTGAAAAACGTTTAGCAGATATTGTTTATTCACTCTGTAACTCCATCACAAGTTCAGTGTTTGTTGCTTACATGTTCCTGTTGCTGATACGTCACTCGGCTGAGGTTACGTCTGTCAGTAATCGGGGTAAGGCGAACATGAATTCAATTTACTTTCTGAGTAAAATCAGGTTTCTCAAAACCGGGATAATTTTTTAATGTGATGTGTTCATGCACGAACACGAAAACAGGATACTTGAAAAACCTGATCAAAACCAGGATACTTAGAACAGTCATTGTGGACTCATTTTATCCCACAATGCATTGCGACAGGTGGTGTTTAACTAAGCAACATGCATTGTAGGGTGAAGTAAAATGATCATTTGTTAGAAATTCAGCATTTTCATATTTAAAGGGATATTCCGGCGTAAAATTAATTTAGGGTCAAACACACGGCAACACCGAGTTAGACACAAACATCAAAGAGACAAAACACAACTCACCTACTCTCTTCCAGCAGCCACTTGTTTATAGCGAGACCTCGGGCCAGTCCATTACAGACTGCAGTGGGGTGCCGCAGCTCAAGGAAGAACATTTATGATCATTTCTTCATGGAAATACAATCAGACCGAGACGCTAAGTCAGAAGAACTACCGTGTCTGCAAAATGATTAATATGATGATTATTACTTCAAGGAAATGATAAAGAAATGATCATAAATGTTCTTCCTTGAGCTGCGTCACCCCACTGCAGTCGATGAACTTGCCCGGAGGTCTTGCTACAAACAAGCGGCTGCTGGAAGAGAGTAGGTGAGTAGTGTTACCGTGTGTTTGACCCTAAAGTAATTTTACGCCAGAATATCCCTTTAATTATCATGTGTTAAAAAAAAACGCTCACTGTGATGTCATTTCTCTCTGAAACTCTCATCATTAAATCTGGTCCTTGCCACGAGTTCGGCCGCGTGTATTAAACGTGCGACAGCAGTGACATCATCATCACCGTGGGGTGTGTGTCGTCCGACAGGGTTTCTTTAATTGTGTCAATGAGCTCACTGCATAGTTGACTCCCTGTGTAGGAAGCCGTGAATGAGTGTGACGTTAACACTGAGATTTGGTCTTTGGCATTTGGTCGTGATATTTCCATCGGTTGTACTTGTTTAGTTTTGGTTGTTTCTCTTCAGGTAGGAACTGTTGCTGATAAAGACGACATTCGGACCCTCGTGAGTATAACCTCATCAGCAGTATAAAAATACTAACGTAACTATAAATACCTCCAAGTCCTCCGGTCTCAGTCCAGGACTCGGGTCAGACTAGAGTCTTGTTCTCAGAAACTGGTCCTCTTGTCTGTTAGTTCGTTGGCAGGGGTATGCACTCCTATATTTTTCTTATTTGGCATTAAATCCGTCAGACAGGATACGTTAGACTTCAGAGTGGACGTTTTATCTCTCTGAGTTGATTGGATCTTGGACCAGAACGCCGTCATTGTCCTTCGTTTATCAAACAATCAAAAAATGGGAATTTCCACCGACCGCTGATTCAGCTCATCTCTGAATCTCTAATCCTTGATGCGTTCGAGTGATCGCCCAACCCTCATTCCTTTCCCCTACCTGCTCAGCCTGAAACATGTTTTATCCAACCTTATCCGCATTTGACACCTGACCATTATTAGGCGTCAGTACATCGCCCTCAGACCGGAGCCAGAGCCGTGACGCGAGCCAAACTTACATCATTTCCTGCCGGGCTGGGAGTTCAGGCTGTGACCACGCCAAGAGATTTGTTTGGGTTGGATGAAGTGTCGGAGAACCCGTGTCACAGCGGGGTGTGTTTATATGCTGTGGTGGGCGTAAACGCGCTGCGAGAGCCTGTGACTCTGAAGTGCAAACGCCGCAGAGGAGCTGTGATCTCACTCTGCTGTTTGATGATTCTCTGTGTGGTCTTAGCAGCCGTTCGGATCAAAACCCTTTCTGATGAGGTTTTTAAATGTAAGTCAGCCATGGTGGCTTGAAAACATCCTGTTCAAACAACATCAGTGAGTCTAATTCTCAAGCTTGTTCATAAATCTTGTGTGAGGAGACTTCCTGAGACGTGGAGAGTCCTGACAAGTGCGTGTTTTTTTTACACCCCGGACATCCTCTTCGGTAAAATGAAATTCAAAGGTAAATACAGCGGTACGAGCAAAGTGATTTACAGCCTAACATTTTATTTTCTAATTTATCCACCTATTAATGAATATGTGGGCGCTACCAAGAAGTGAAATCATGATCGTAAAAGACAGAGGAGCAAATCACTCTTGTTTACAATATGTTGTTGTTGTTTACACGATCGGCTTTAAAAATACAGTAATATGGTGTATAAAGTAACAGTAAAATCCACTGTCTTTGTGAGACCGGCAGCTTTCAGGTGAGGAACTTTATTGTTTCTGCGGCACCCCTACATAATTAAATAGGTTAAATTAGATAGATCGATATTTTTTATTGTGAAGCAAATTCTGTCTTTTTTGAAAATTAAAAATATTGTTATTAAAAATACATAAAAATGGCAAATAACTGGTGTTCTGTATTAAATATGAATTAATAAAAAAAACTATAAAATGAACTATAGTATTGCTTAGTCCACAAACATTGTATATTTATGAAATCTAATTGAAAATATGTTTTAATTTTGGGTTTATATTGTCATTTTTGTTCTTAGCTGTCTACCCTTATTGAACACTGTCATCTTTGGTTTGATCTTTTGACCAATCAGAGGCTGTATCTGTGATCCAATCAGAAGCCAGGCTGCTAAGGCCAACTTTAATCCACTTATTTATAAGGAAGTTAAATAGAATTGGATCAATGAGCAGAATTGATAATGAAATCTATCCATAAAAGGTCTTTAATCCCTGATCTATTAAATCTATTTCTATCTGCCTATCAAGTGAGCTAACCCTCTGAGGCCCTGTAAGGTTAGCATCACTGCTGCGCTGAACCCAAACTTTAACTCGATGTTATCTTTAACGATATTTTCAAACTTCATGTCAACAAAGTCGTGGGCCTGATGGACGATTAAGCTTCATAACACACCCTGCTTACTCACTCAGCAACACTCGGTAGATGAGGAAAAAACCCGGTTCTGGAGAACTGCTGTCCCACTTTTAATGAAGGGTCTTCAAGCTTCAAACCCGGTAACATGAATAACAAATGATTGGACTCCAGTGACCTTTTACACCGGACAGCACCGCACCGCTGCTGTCACTTTTGGCATCTCGTTTGACTTATTATTATTTTCATGATTTTAACGACCCCTTTTACATCCTGGTCTGGACTCGGTCCACAGAGCAGGCATGTTGACACCATATGAGCTGGTCTAATGATCCAAAAGACTGGGCTCTTCAGGTCTAAAGAGGGTTGAGGTTTGGCTGTACAGGTCTCTCGGATTGAAAGGATGTGAATCATTCGTTTCTTTCCAGTCACTCTATAAAAAGCAGTTTTATTGAGTAATATTCGTCTTTATTTTCATTCATTTTAACATGAATGTGTCTCTGAAAACAACATCTGCGTATCTTTGTCCTCTCTTGTTTGGGTTTGTGTTGATGCGTTGCCACCTGAGTCTTGTGCCTCTGTTTTGTTAGTCAAAGCACTTTGTGAACTCTGAAAGTTAAAGTTGCTAAATAAATGAACTACTATCACAGATTCATTGTTAACAGGCCGGTCCAGCGAGGGTGAGGCTGGGTGTCCACCTAACCCTAACCCTGAATTCAGCTGCGATTATCGATTATTCCTGCGTTGTTTTGCACATTGACCAACAGGACAAACAAGATTTACTGTAAACTGTGGTATGCAGGATAACTTTACGCTCTATCACAATCAAAGAAGATTAAAAAAAAAAAACAATACTTTCTTGTTCTCAGTCTTTGAATGACAGGAAACAAACACCTTCTTCTTCTTCTTCTAATAGGAATGAGCAGCGTACACTGAAATCCTGATTGTGATTAATGTCGTTAAGGCGGTGCCAACTAACCGGGCTGTTTTCTGTTTCCTCCACCCATTCAGAACAAAGAGGAGACCGAAGCAGAGCGGCTGTGGATTTAGCTGTGCTGGCAGGTCTGGAGTGAAAACCAGTAAGTGACACGATTGAACATTTTCATATTTTAACATGTTGAAGGCGCGTTGGCACGTGTTTCATACAACCCCAGTCTCCTTTAAATTTGGTTATTGTGTGAAACGACCACAAAACGGTTTATTTTTTCACTTCATTTATCGTCTATATTTGGTTAAAAATGGTACAGAGACACTTCATGATCTTTGCTCAACGTTTTCCTTGTTGTCGTGATGCTTTAAATGTTTTCAATGGGGGACAAGTCAGGACTACATCAGGCCGGTTTCTCAGCAGGACTCTTCTACTTCAGAGCCATGCTGTTGTAATCCCTGTTGTCATTGTCTTGCTGAAATAAAAAGGTTGTCTGGATGGCAGCAGATGTTGCTCCTAAACCTACAGAGTTAGTTTGTCTTCATCAGGGTCTGGATCAGAGTTTCAGGTATTTCTGGGTCATGTTTACGTTTTCCTCTTTACATTATGCACTTCGAACCTGGATGCAGCTACAAACTGTGATCACAGATGATGTTTTTTTTTGGAAGTGATTTTGAACCCATGCAGTGATTTCCACTCCAGAGTCATGACTGTTTATAATATCAGATTCCTTCAGATCTTCTGGATCTTTTTCATTATATTATTTACTGTAGAAATGTTATAATGTTACATGTCGGGTAGGGCTGGGCGATAAAATGATAACGTTTTTTATCGAAAATTAATTTCCCTCAATATTAATATAAAATATGGTCGATATCCTTTTCGATAGTCGGCACTCTGCCATGTTTTGGTAGACTTTGGTAGCCGATGAAAAGGGGAGTTGCTCCGGGTTGAACTAGAACCAAGTAAACAACTGTGTCGTAGCAGACAGCAGCTACACCCAACCATAGCTCTTTAACAGGTGAAGCCGACAGCACTGTTGGTGAGAAAAAAAGAAAATGAGTGCTACCCCTGACAGAAATGACGATGATGAAGACTCAACAGATGACGACATCGTTGACAAAACTGGCATGAGAACGTCGGTGGTGTGGAGGTATTTTGTTTTTTTAAGGTCGGTCATGAAGCAGAGTAATGTGGACTGTAAATTATGTCGAGTACATGTTCTCTTAAAGTCGGGGAATACCTCAAATCTTTTTCACCACCTGAAGCAGCGCCACGCCGCAGAGCACGCACATCTAAAAGGTTATAAAATTTTATGTTCTGATATATATTGATATCGACTGATATGAAAAAAACTATCATGATAAACTTTTTCCCATATCGCCCAGCCCTAATGTCGGGCCTGTTTTTCATACCTTGATTTGAATCATCATGATCATTCATAACTCTGTGTAGTTCCCACAGCTCAGCCCCTCCTCCACAGTTTACAGTGAATTAGAGAGCCATGTCCCTGCTGTCTGAACTTATGTGTGTCAGTGACGTCCCTCAGCGACCATAACTCCGTCAGCAGCGTCCATTGTTGTCTCCAGCAGAGTCAGGGGGTCAATAACACGGCTCAGAAAAACCCGCAGTTCCTGTTTCCATGCAATGAGAGAAAGCCTTTTGTTTGGTAACACACCCTCGTGTCTCGATTTAGACTCGGCTGTGACGTTTGCTTCGGGTGCAGGCTGACAGTTCCTCCAATACAAGACAAGTCGAGGAAAGTTGATATCGACTGACAGCCCAGAGTGACATCAGTGTGTCAGGCCTCGGTGGGCGTGTAGCTTCGTGTAGGTTGAATGACTCAGCGGGACAGATACACTGTATGTTTTCTGCTGGTACAACACCTACGATGGCTTCTTAAAAGAGCTTCAGTTCCCGTTTTTGGATTCTTCTGGGGTTTTTTCGGAGGGCTACAAACTTAAAGTCGGTACTCTGAGATCACGAGGATTAATCGGCTAAAGCTGCTATTCCACTGAAGGCCTCCTGGACGTTAAACCCTCGGGATTACTTTTCAAGAGTTTAGAGTATGTGCGTACAAAAGTGACGAATTTCCAAGTCCAAACAAGCCGACTACTCCGAAGGTAAGAAAAAAGTCTCAAAGTAAACCATGCAAAATGAGTCCAGAGTCAAAGCAAGGCATGCTGGGAGATGTCACGCCATCTGTGCTGTGTTATATCCAGGCAATAGAGCATTAAAGCATTGTGGCATTGACCGGCATTTCAGTCCTAAAGTAATAAAAATATGAATCGTTTCTCTAACCATCAGGCGTCGGCTTGTAAAGGTGATAAAGTTTGTTAATTCGGTCCCCTGAATGTGCGCATCTTTAGTCTAAAGGGTTCTGTGTGCGTCTGCGATATCATGGAGGTCAAGATGAGACAAACAGGTCCTTTTTATAGAGTCATCTCAGTGATTCACGTACTCAACCAGCCAGATCTGTGCAGACCTCTTCGTCTCCGCCCTTTCTTCTGTCGGCTTGCGTTTACTTCCCACTTTTAGCGGTGGGGCGAGCAGAAGTGTTTTGTTTTTTTTGCGCCCTTCTCCACTGCTATGCTTCTTTTAGCCGCTCGGTGATTGGATGGAAAGGTGGAGCAGGAGATTGACCAATAGTAGCTGTCCGGGACGGATGGCTCCCATTGTTTTTGCAGCCCTGCACCTGATAGGCTGAACAGATTTTTTCCGAATTCTTGTTTCTCTTCACTTCGTGGAGATCGCACTATAGGACAATGATCGCCATAGAAACGAGGTTCATAATAATTACCGATCTCTCCAATCGTAAACCATGACTTTAAATGGTCACTCGTGGTCTCCTCTGAAATGCCTTCATTTTTGGAGACTGGAGGTTTCCTCTCGGTCGCAACGCACCGGTGCTAACAGCGACCGAATATTGACTGTTAATATCCTGCAGCTGCTAGTGAGCTAGCTGTAGCATCACTCTGAGCGATGATTCAGCATTTTAAAAAGCAGTTAGCTGTATGTCTGTGTGTTAGCTGTATTTTTATATTAATTGGTTTAATGATACACTTGTGAGCTACTCACAGTACAGTGGGTGTTGATATTCGACTCACAGCCACATGCTTTTACAAATCTGCCTCCTGCCTGTTGGAGATGCTGGAGTAGATTAGCTGTGCTGCTGCTTTTAGATCCCACAAACATAAGGCAGCTTTGCAGTGGATCATGGTTTTCCTGAGGCCTGCAAAAAAAACCAACCACTTCCATGTGAAGGAGGAGCCTCTTTGGGGACAAACTCCTCACTCTTATTTTACCCCGTGGCATCATTTCTCCTTGTGTTTGATCAGAGCGCTGATGATTTCAACTCCTGAAGAAGCAGCAGCTCTTCATACTGTAGTTAATAAGTAAAGAGTTTGACGTCATCGCTGAATAATTGATGGTACTGATGGATTTATTGCCCAGCTTTGTTCACAGGGAAGTCTCGAAAATCTGGATCAGTGCTCCACCTGCAACAAAACGTGGCAGCTGATTCGTACTCAAAGTGAAATGTTTGTTGGATTTAATGTTCCTAATCTTTACAAACAGATTTGACATGAAAGTGAGCGTGAGATTGTAATCTGGGTTTATCCTCTAAGTCCAGTACCAGCAGGCTTTGTTGTATGGAGAGCAAAAACATGCAGAACATCATCGACTGTGTTGAAATCCTCCTGGCTCCCATCAGCAGTTTTAATCATGTCTGTAAATAAACGGTTTTATAAAGTTGCAGCTAAACATCAAACATTTACACTTTGTATGACTCAGACTCCCTCAGCCAATCAGCATTTGGCCTGATCAACTTCCTGGAACGCATCAGAAACGGTTGATCCGACCTCTGTTCATTAAAGGAACGATTTTAACGTTGTTTCATCTCCTCCTGAAGGCAGACCTTGTTTTTAGGACGCCTTTATTTCAGGGAGTGCAGAACTCGACTGTTAGAGCATCCCAACAAATCTCAAGTCCAATCCCAAAACTTTCCAAAACAGAACCAAACCTTCAAAAGCAAAACCTCAGATGAGAAATAAACTAAACCACTGATCTAAAAAGTCCTCTTGTCTTTAAAACGTGCTTTCCTCTCTCGAACATGTTAGCGAGGACATGCCCCCAGATGTTGACTGAAAGCTCAGTTTTACTCCGTGTTTGCTCGGTTATTTATGTCCTTAAACAAAACTGCGAGTACGAACATTTCTGTCTCTCAGCTGGTGAGCACTGAACCGTTTGTAGGTCATGTTTGTCTTGGCTTTTTTCCCCCCTGACAGTAAAGAGAAGCTCCACTCATTCATAAATCCTGTTCTGCTTCCTCTCACAACCTCTTGTGCGGCTCTTTCTGAGTGGATAGATGAAGTAGATGATTTGTGGACTGGACGTCGGTTGTTTAGGCTCTTTGCTCGGGTGTTTTTCTTAAAGGGAAATTCCACTTTTTTGTAACCAGGTTTTTAGAGTGTGAAGACACCGGAAAGTTTTGATGTTGCGACGATTGTTGCGTCGGTCATCGGTCAGGAAACAGGTTGGTGAGACTGCTGCACAGTTTGTTATATGTGTGATCAAAATGCATCCACTTAGAGCTCAAAAATGAACATGAACGTGTTAATGAAAAACTTGTAACTGTCATATCTTTGAGTTAATGAGGAATACAAACTTCACCTCTATGTTGTGCGATCTGTAAACGCGATTTTGCTTCAATTGTGGCTTTTTGTGAATGGGTGTGTATGCAGCTTTCAGCGCTGTGGATCAAGCCTCTAGTGGACACTTGAGGAACTGCAATTAATAGAACAGAAAGAGGAGGATAGCGAAAGAGGAGGTCAGCTACTGGCTGGTAAATAATGCAGATATCACACTATTATTGTTCATTTTTCAAAGTTAATAAAAAATACGGCGACTTGACTTGGCTAAGACGTCGACTGATTCTCCCAGAGAGTTTCTACATTGGCTGGAAGTCCGTTGGAGCCATCTTCTGGCCCTTAGATCGCTCTTTCAGGAACCAACGTTTGAGCTTCTCTTAGCTAAAGTCGTGTTTGTCCCGCCATCTTTGTTTCAAGAACAAAACTGTCTTTGTTTCGTGGCTGCGGGCTGAATGAATCTGCATGTGCAATTCTGCTGTAGAGCTTTTAAAGCTCCTGTAGGGCGTTTTCTGTGTGTGTTGATTTTGGCGCCCCCTGTGGACAAAGTGGAAACCATTTATTATTGCTGATTTTAACTCCCATATTTTTCGGGCGATAAGGCGCACCGGATTGTAAGGCGCACTGTGAATTAACATGTGTTTGCTCACAAATAAGGCGCACCGGATTGTAAGGCGCATTAAGCATTGGCGCATTGATTGGTTTATCGTTGCTAGCGCATACTCCAGGCCTGGGCTGCCGTACATAAATAGACTTCTAGTTTAGACATTGCAGTCAGGCAGTCTTGTAGACTGCTCAGGGATCCTGTTGCGGGGTCGATCAGGTAGTGACACAGCGTAACGTAGTGCTTCGAATATCCATTGAGCGGAGCAGCTTCGTTGCTTACCAAAGCCATACTTACACATTTCGACAGATTTTTTTAGCGCATTGTACCGCATAAAATCAGTCAGTAAGCACAACAAGTAATATCAATTTTCGAGAAAATTTCAGGATTTTAAGTGCACCTTATAGTCCGAAAAATACGGTAATCTTCCAGAAAGTGGTGTAAATCGATCACCCACTGTAAAAAATTGCGGTACCTCCCCCCTCACAGCAACCGCAGGTATTCAAGATTACCTGTGAGAAACTGTCGCTCTTCTCAGCAGTCGTTGAATTTGCATTTGTACGTCATAGCGACACGTTGCTGTTCATTTTAGTGTGTTCATCAAAAACTCCTTACAGGAGCTTTAACAAACAAGATGTGAGGATGTAAAAAAGTTCTCTGCAGCTCTCTCTCTCTCTCTCTCTCTCTCTCTCTCTCTCTCCATCCGTCCTGATTGGTATCTCCTCCGTCTGGTTTTGTAACCCGGTGTGATGAGACTGACAGATTGTGTCAGAAACACACAGAGCTTCCTGTTGGTATTGATTTTTTTCTTCTGTGGAGACCGTCCGGGGATGTTGGACTCCTGCTCTGTCATCGATTGTTAGAAGACAGAGAGAGTTGACTGTGGCGTGGGTCTCATGGGTCCAGTTCTCTGTTATTGGAGTAACTTTGATCAGGGTTTGATGGAAACTGCTCATGTAAGGAGGTGAGATACTGACAGCTGGATTCAGGTCCTCTGTCTGATTAATCCGAACATCCGATCAAATCATGGTCTCAAAATGAGGAAACTGCTGGAAAACGGAGCGTAGCACGGTTTAATACGACACTGAAGTGAACAGTTATGACCGGTTGCGGTAAGGTAAAGTGAGGTCAACATGGAAGTGTATTTTCATCACGTTTAGAGTCAATATTTCCAAGAAAGTCGACCACAGAGAACTCAAACATCGAGCATCAATAAATCTGGTCTTGAACCCGCTGGACGCTCACAGCGAAATACGGAGACAAACAGATGAATAAGATAACATCAAAACAAGAACCTCAGCTTCTCAGAGACACGAACAGTTCAGCAACAACCCTGAACGAAATCTACAAAAACAAGTACACACCTGCACACGGCCGGAAAAATGATTGAGTTCATTTTCATTTATCGTGCTGAATGATGATCGGTTAATTGATTTATCGATTAGGCCAACATACATTGAACATGTCAATGCTGAAAGTGCTGTCGTATCTGCAGGGAGCCCGAATATTCTTGAGTACTTAAACCAGGAACCTTCTCAAGAGTGTCAACCACGATCACCACAAACCCCCGTGAATAATCCTCCTCAGAAATGTGGCGCCTGTGTGTGTAATCTCCAATAATCTGGTTGATTTGGATCACTCTCAATAAATTCTTTTAAATTTAATCAAGTTTAAAGTTGGTCATTTTAAACCTGCCGCTCAAAACAAACACCTGAGAGCGGTTCTTAGCTCAGATTTCCGAGCTTTTAGCTATAATCTAATAATCAATAATCACAAACAGCGCAGGAAATGACTCCAATGTGCAAAAAGCCCGGTGATGATATCCGAGAGCAAATATCTCCTGATGCGTGAAAAAGTGAATCGAACTAAATAAAAGAAAACAAGTCTGAGCAGCTGGGATTGATGCTGATGTGGGCCGTGTCTCTGTTTAATCCTGAGCGGTGTGAGCAGGAAAGACAGGAGAAAAAGGTGAATTTTAACGAGTTCGGACTGATTCATCAGGTGGTTTAAAGGCTCTCCACAGTCTTTGATAGAAAATCGGACAATCTGAATGCAATCTCTCCAGTGAAGCAGCTTTCGGCCGTCGGGGAATACAAATAATAACACATTCGCAGATATCGAACGCTGAACCGCCGCCAAAGGTCTCTGAAAGAGGGCTCTTCATTTGCACACAGACTGTTTACGCTTCGCCAGCAGACCTTAAAGTGAATCTTTCACTCGTAGTCAGTTCGCCTACACCTCCGTTCAAAGTGCCCACATGCACGCCGCACAATCAGATGTCAGAGGAGGTCTGTTTGGAGACAGATGAGAGGGTTTGGAGCTGGTGGCAGCGATGTGTCGACAGACGGGATACTCCAGGAATGTTTCAGCTCTTACTGTAACACGGCGGGCGCCGGGCCAAAAGGAAAGCAAAGAGGAAGTTACAGATCGACAATTTGGCTGCTGCTTTTGCTGACTAACTATGAGTGTGTGTGTGTGTGTGTGTGTGTGTGTGTGTGTGCAGGCTGAACGCATCCATCACACGGCTGCTGTGTGTTTGCCCGACAGCGAGGCCGGAGCGTTTGAGTTACATGACGAGGGGCTTTTGGCGGCACGTCGCCACAGAAGGCAGCTCTTTGTGATTTAAGAGTGTGTGTGTGTGTGTGTGTGTGTGTGTGTGTGTGTGTGTGTGTGTGTGTGTGCATGTGTGTGTGTGTTATCTGACTCATGGCTTAGCGGGCTTCAGGAGAAGTGTGTCAGACTGGAAAACAACTGCAGTGTAATCCAGAAAGGTCTCAGGGGTGTTGTGAATGTGTGTGTGTGTGTGTGTGTGTGTGTGTGTGTGTGTGTGTGTGTGTGTGTGTGTGTGTGTGTGTGTGTGTGTGTGTGTGTGTGTGTGTGTGCGGGTAAGAGGTCTGTGGGGATGAGTGGGAGCTTTTATTGGCAAAGACATGACTAAATATCTCGCTTTACTGTAAGTGGGTGATGTGTCAAGATTAAGTCATGACCTCTCTCCCCCCTCGCTCGCTCTCTCTCTCTCTCTCTCTCTCTCTCTCTCGCTCCGTCTTTCTCTTAAATCCTCCAGGCTAAAAGCAGCATCTTCCGACTCTGATATCAGCCTGTACTTTCTGCTCGCTGACTCACACTGTTGTCGTGAGAGAGCAACAATGGCGGGTCGACCTCCGTCCCGTCACCCTGAACATCCATACGTCCGTCTCTCTGATATAAGCCCACAGTTCTGGCCTTCGTGTCCTCCTCTGTGCTCGCCGTCTGCGTGTTTGTGTTGAGTAAGAGGTGAAACTCTCCCCTCCCTCCTCTCTTCTCCTTAAGGCCTCTTTTCCAGTTAACTTCAAAAAACCACGGGCTGCGACGCGCTGCTATTTTTACCCCCGCTTCAAACCGGCCTGTTAAGATTGTTTATCTGTGTCCAGGGAGGAAAGCCTCTCGGCCAGGCCAGCCGCCGCAGAGCCGGGAGTGGACCGGAGCAGTGATCTGTTCCCGGAACTGAGCCCAAACAAAGCCAGATGTTTGAAATTCTCCAGAAGGAAAGCGTTTTTGTTTTGGATGGAAAACAGGGCGAGGAGCGACGTCAGCTTTGTTTGTGTTGTCGGGAACAGGAGCTTTGGAGGCTTATCCCATGATGTGGCTTTTCTTTCCAGAGAAATATCGACGGCCTGTTTACCCAAAAGATGATACCAGGACTGTTGTATCCTCTCTTCTTTCAGGTGCCTTTGCCCTTTTTTCTTGTGGACCACATGTCAGAGGACCAGACCCTCATAACATTAGTCATTCAGGGAGTTTGGCTCGTTCGGTTCGGATCAGGCTGCTCTGAACTTCGGTAAATTTAATATCCTCGTGGCTCAGTTGTTCAAAAGATTGAATCTGGATAAGAACCATCAGAACTTGGAAATCCACTTTTTACCATCCGGGGTCGGCTTACCCTGCCGGCTCATTTCTGTCCTCTTCTTTTACTCGCAGACAAATCAGAGTTCAGACACATTCGGACTGTTAGAGGAGGCCTTCTGTGCTGATCTGTCCTTCTGTTCATCGAGTCACAATGTTGGATATGTGTATTAAACCTTTCTTTATCTAACTGTAAGCATGTCAGTCAGAGGCGGAATAATGCTGAAATTAGGGTTTTAATGGACAACAGAAGAAGATTTTTACAGCTGCTTTAAACGCTCAATAAAAAACTGTGAAATCGCCAAATCGAGCTTTAACCTCAGCTCGACTTAACTCGGCACGAACTGAGTCGGTCTGAGTCAGATACGAGGATGAACATGACCTGCACGTCCTTCGAAACTCAAATGTTAGGAATCTCTTCAAAAATAAAACGTTTTTCTATCATCTCTCTGAAAATGATGTAGTTCATATGCCAAGCCAGTAAGTGGCGCTGTACAGGAAATGCACAAAAGACAGAAGAAGAGTACAGAGCATGTGTATAAAGGTTGTTTTGGCATCATAAAGAGTTCCTCTGTGTGTCACATGATCGTTTCCAGAGATGCAGATAGACATCCACACGGAGATGAAATGGTCGTCGTTTACAGATTTATTCAAAAAGTACCGTTTACAGTCACCTGAAACGCCGTTTCCATGTGGATGAAACGCCGAATCGTCTCTGATTGGCTGTGAGACGTCATCACACGCTCAAGCCAACCGCGGGCTGTCGGCTCTGTACATCCAATAGAACATTACAGAAGATTATCGCACTTCTGAATCTCTAACCCTAACCCAACAGGAATAACCAATCAGAGCCCAGCACTTCTATCCAATCAGAGGTGAAGAAGGGCGGAAAATATTGAAAAATACAGAAATATTTTACCGAACCTGTATCGCCCTCCCCAAGACACGCCCCCTCTGGCAGAGCAAGACGTCGGCCGGCAGAAGATCCTACGCTAGCTTCAAACAGGATCCACCATGTCAGATTGTTAGTGACTAGCGGCAGTAAACGCCAGCTCTGCCAGCGAGCGCCGTCTGCAGCTGCCTGGACAGCTACCGTGTTGACATGTCAGAGACTAATCAGAGTTATTTATGTAACATGAGCCACGATAAAAGGAGATAAAAATGACCTGTTCAACAAAAACTCGCCACTGCTCCAAGGATGACCCGATGTTTATTCCATTTAGATTCCTCGCTTGGTCACATTTCCTCTTTGTCTCCACCCTTTTTTCTGTCAGCTTGCCTTTTCTTCCCACCTTTGGCGTTGGGGCAAGCAGAAGTGTTTTTTTTTGCGTCCTTCTCCGCTGCTACGCTACTTTTAGCTGCTCAGAGCTCTGAGGAGGGCCATCCTACGGAAAAAAATGTTGCCCCCTACAGGCCTGGAAGCGCGAGACGTGATAGAGAGGAAAATCGATTTGAGGATTTTCATTTTTCTTTAACATCTAATAATCCGATTACAGTTTAAAATCGATGAACCGTGCAACCAGCATCCTCCTCTAATCAATCATCTCCGAGCTCAAACCCCAAACTCGTTTTGGGCGGCGTTTCCTGTCAGCTCATATTTGCCGAACAGCGCTGTCAGAAAGTGACTCAGCATGATTTGAATATCATGAAAAGGCCGGTCGATGTGGACGGGATGAGGATGATCAGACTTTGTCATTAAACCCTGGTTCGGCTGAGTCAGAGTGTGTGTTTCCGGCGTGTTTGATTGTACCTTTTATTGTGTGTTAGTTTACACCCTTTTTACTGTCAGTCAGCCGTTACTTCAAAGAAGAAGAAACAACGTGTGCTCTAGTTTTGTAACGCTTAACAAACACGCCGTCTTACACTCTGCGCTGTCATCTGGAGTCTTTTTGTTCCTATGACAGCAGTTAATTATAAGCCGGAGAAGCTTTAGAACCGCTCTGTGGAATATGGGTGAAGAAATATGCTAATGGAGTGAAATCCAGAAATACAGAGGCCGCTGTAAACTGAAACGTACACTGTCATTCTGAGTGAGTGTATCTGTCTGGGTGTGTGTGTGTGTGTGTGTGTGTGTGAGCCCCCACGCTGACTTACAGTGTCGTCATGTTACCCAGATAAGATTGATGCTCTCTGCTGCAGCCATCAGGAACGCTCCTATTAGCATAAGTCTGCACGCCGGGGCGCATGGCCGCCTCCCTCTGGGCTTCTTTTCTCCTCGACCTCCGCCTGAACCGCACCGCTGACGCACATTAACACACACACAGACACACACACACACACACTCAGAGCCCGGGGCTATACAGACGACTTCAGAACGAGCTGCTTTGTGCTAATGTCACAGATGAGAGAGGAACAGCGGTGGCCTGTCTCTGAGCGTGACATTTATCTACAAATCCAGACGATGGTTAACGGCGAGGATTCGCTCTTTAGCTGGATTCAACTGTGACCAGGAGAGATGACATCCACTGACTGAGAGAGTGGGGACTGTTTGTTGAGATGTGTTGAAAGAAACCGATGTTTCTGCTCTTACTGGCCAAACTGGAGCGCTATATTTACATTTAGGACATTTGAAAGACAGGTATTTGACAGCCAGACAGCCCTTTGACTGCAGATACACCATTACCTTCCCACCTACATACTTACGTACAGTGTTGTTTTTGGCAGGCATTTTAGATTTAGTTTTAGTCTTAGTCATTTTGACGAAATGCTTCTTCGTTTTAGTCCCATTTTAGTCATTTCTATCCTTGATAGTTTTCGTCTAGTTTTAGTCCGACGAAAACTTAAAAGGTTTTAGTCTAGTTTTAGTCGACGAAAAGGTGCGTTTTGAGGTTCGTGGTGTTCTTTCCCGACAGTTTGAAGCCGCAGCATGAGGAAGCTGTGGCTCCACAACTGTCGTCTGTCTCGTCTCCCCGTACAAGACATTGTGTTTTATTGTCACTTGGACCGGGTACCGCTGCTGTGCCTGCCGCCACGGTGTGTGTGTGTGTGCGCCTCGTCCACCTGCCGCTCTGTGTATGTGTATGAGTGTGTGCGCGCAGCTGTGCGCGAGCGAGGCTTTTGGTGCGCGTGTGATGGGGGCGTGACTGTTAGGACAAAAAAAAAAGCATGTTTTGAAACTTTGTTCGTCCACCTAATAACAATTTAGTCTCGTCTCGTTCTCGTCTGACGAAAATCAATACAATTTTCGTCACATTTTAGTCTTTACAGAGCTTTGGTGACGCTCGTCTTAGTCTCATTTTCGTCAAAGAAAAAAAAGGGGTCTGACGTCGTCATTTAAGTTTTCGTCCTGCCTGACGAAAACAACACTGCTTACATACAAAGTCAGATAAGGAACATGCTTCAAATTGTGGCTTTAAGGACTTTAAATTCTCCCCCGTTTAAAGAAAAAACACCTTGGCATGTAGTTCGCCTCACAAACAGATCCGCTGCGGTGGAAATTGGGGGTGAGACTTTAAACTCGTTTGGAAAAGGTTTACAGAAATCAATAAGCAGGCTTATTTGTAGCCGGTTAAGTCTCCCCCTGCTGGCCATGAGATAGAATGAATTAAATACTGTATAATGTTTCAGTGTTTACTGACAAGGCCTTTGAGGTGAGATAACAACAAAACGATTGTGTGTTTTAATAAGAGACAAGAATCGGCTTTGAGGACGCACGAGGAACCCGGGGGGGGGGGTTAATCGATAAGGACAGTTAAGCCATGACTACTCCGTGATTCACCGTCCGTCTATCAAGCATCTGCTCATGCACCGTCAGTCAGACAGCCAGCTCTTTATTTCCTGGAACAGATTCATCGAACACAGATGGCTCACATGGGATGGGATGGGGGGGGGGGTTCTTGACGGGAAGGATGGATCAGTATCAGGCTGGTGGTCCTGAGGTACCGGCTCAGTCAGACAGACTGGAGACGGGGAGAATCCCGAGGAGTCACAAAAGCAGAGAATGATGAATAGTTTTTATTACTCTTAAAAAAAAAACACTCGCAGGAACAGTTGAGAGGGTTTATTTCAGCGAACCTCCTTCAGGATATAAAGTTCAGCGATATCCACCGAAAACAAACACGAGAGGTACACAAGTCCAAGAACCTCCAGTTGTTGAGAAACAGTTTAATTTTGCCAAACTGGTTTGATGGAGCTGCTCGATTACACTCTTCAAATCCAATATCAACTTTAAATTACCTCGTCAGCTTTCCCAGCTGGATTTCCTTACAACAAAACCAGGACTGATCGCTGCTCCTGGTCTCAAGTATCCGGAGAGAGTTAAGCTAACGTGTGAACTTCTGATTTGTGTACCTCATAAACTTGTCTCTGCATGCTAGCATTGCTGCAGCAGTTTGTTTGTTTCTCTGATGTTACGTGGAGGTATTTTCCCACACAGCTTTGATGAAGGTTACGTCTGATTGTGCAGAAACATAAAAACAGGCTGTTTTCTCAAAAACGTTCGCGTTGAAGGTTTGTTTTTGGCTGCTTGACTTAGCCAGCTAATCACAACAGCTAACTTGATCATTCAACCATGTGTTAGTTTTACAGTTTGAGGTACCTGCAGGTAAACTCACGACAAACGTTGTTTTCTTCCACTTATCCGGGTCCGGGGCAGGGAAGCCCAGGCGGCCCTCATCCCAGCCACTTCCACGAGCTCCTCCTCCGGGGGGATTCCCAGGCGCTCCCAGGCCAGGCGAGAGATATAATCCCTCCACCTGGTCCTGGGCCGGCCACGAGGTCTCCTCCTGGTGGGACATGTCTGGAACACCTCTAACGGGAGGTGTTCCAGAAGGCGTCCTAACCAGATACCCGAGCCACCTCAGCTGACTCCTCTCGACGTGGAGGAGCAGCGGTTCTCCTCTGAGCGCCTCCCGAGTGTCCGAGCTCCTTACCCTATCTCTAAGGCTGAGCCCGGACACCCTGCGAAGGGAACGATCTCGTTCTTTCGGTCATTACCCAAAGTTCATGACCATAGGTGAGGATCGGCACGTAGATCGACCGGTAAATCGAGAGTCTCGCCTTACGGCTCAGCTCACCACGACTGATCGGTTAAGCGTCCACAATACTGATCTCCCACTACATCCTACCTTCACCTGTGAACAAGATAGGAGATACTTGAACTCCTCCACTTGAGGCAGGACCGCCCCTCCGACCCGGAGAAGGCAATCTTCCTTTTTCCGACTGAGGACCACGGCCTCCGACTTAGAGGTGCTGGTTCACATCCCAGCTGCTTCCCACTCGGGCGCAAACCGCCCCAGTAAGAGCTGAAGGCCACCGCTCGACGATGCTTTTTTTCCACACTCTTATCCTTTAAAACCACCACACTTTTGATGAGTCGGGGTTTCAACAGCAGCTGTGAGAAGTCGGTATCGTGATTATCACTGAAGCTCGTCACGCTCGGACAACAAAACCTCCGTTTTTACCAGCGTCTCGCCCACTCTCTCCGCTGCGCACAGATCTGATTCTCACCTGAAGGTGTGTAATGATGTCGCAGGAGCTTCAGACAGTGTGACTAATAGTTGTCGCTAAATGGCTTGAACATCCTGCGTGTTTATTGGATCGATGCGGCTCTAACTCCCCCCTCTCCATCCGCTTATCCGCCCTTTACCGCTCATAAATCTATAGTTTTTGGGAAGCGCGATGATTCAGGAGGGAAACATCTTTGACTCCCAAAGATGGCGTGTTATGAAAGAAACCTAATTATCAGCGCAGTTGGATTTTTTTTTTGCACCATGACTCAGCAAAACTGAGACCAAGGGACAAAAAATAAATCTTATATAAACTCGCAATCGTCATCATTTAACGTCACTTCTACCTCTCTGCTTCCAGGCACAGAGGCAGCACGGACGGACCGGTGGACGGACGGACGCAGCGACAGGGAGGATGACATCACCATCACCCGTGGGAGCCAGGGCCTGCCTTCAGTGCCAGCGGTGTGTAGATGTGTGTGTGTGTGTGTGTGTGTGTGTGTGGGAGCCTCTGTCTCTGCGTGTCACTTCCTGGGAGAGAATGGAGCAGGAAGCCGGAGTGAGAGCCGACAACAAGCGCTCGCCTCACCTCTACAAGGAAGCCTTTCTCCCCAGAGAGCAAAATGGAGGGATGTGTGTGTGTGTGTGTGTGTGTGTGTGTGTGTGTCCTGCATTCACACTGCAGAGGGGCTTCTGTTGGTTCAGGGTTTGTGTGGGCTCCTACTGTTTCTCTTTCTTTGAGTTCAGTCTGACTCTTTAAACAAACTCTGATCACTTTTTTCTTAAAGGCAGGGGTGTAAACAGACTCTTTAGGGACAGGGGCCCCCCTAACAGAGAGGGGGACTTTTACCAGCTAGGCCTTTATTTGTGATCCAGAAACAAAATAACCATTATTTTCTTTTTAGCTCCAAAACCAAAACCAGAGACAGGATAAATATTTTACTGTCTGATTCAAATGGATTAAAATTTAAAACACCTTTGTACGGTGGCTCTGAAGGTTAATGACACAAATTTTTCAAGAATCCATAAAATCATTTCATTCAATGTACCCCCCCTTAAAAAAATTACAAAATACAAGAATATTTTAATGCAAAAGAGAATTTAAAAAAAACTTAATTCTATTTTTAAAACCCTTAAAAATATTTTTGAAGAAACAAAAGTAAAAGCATTTTTTCAAAGATTCATTTTGCAGCAAATTGTTTTTCAGTCAGAAAATATTTTTGCATTATGTAAAATATTCTTTTTTAAAATGTATTTACATATCAAAAATATTTTTAAGTTTAAAAAAAATCTTGTTTTCCAATTAATTTATTTCCAGAATTTTTTTTTGTGATATTAAAACTTGTCCTTGTTTTAAATATTAATATTTCTGTGCTTTCATAGTTTCCAAAGTTTCCCTTTTTTCAAATTTGCTTTATTTTTAAATTATTATTTTATTGTAATTTTTGTGTTTTCAAACTGAACTCCATAAATCAAAACACCTGTGTACGGTGGCTCTAAAGGTTAATGACATAGTTTTTCAAGAATCCATAAAATACTTTATCATTTCATTTAATGCACCCCCCCAAAAAATTACAAAATACAAGAATATTTTAAAGCAAAAGAGAATTTAAAAAACTAAACTATATTATTAAAACCTTTCAAATATTTTCAAGACACAAAAATAAATGCATTTGATTATTTTAGAAAAAGGAAGAATTTTTAAACACAAATCTGTTCCTCTTTATTTTCAAAGATGCATTTTGCAGCAAATTGTTTTTCAGTCAGAAAAATCAGTTTAAAAAAAATTTTGTTTCCAATTTTTTTATTTCTGGAATATTCTTGTTATATCAAAACTTGTTCTTGTTTTAAAAATATTTCTTTATCATAGTTTCCAAAGTTTGCCCTTTTTTTTCAAATTTGCTTTATTTTTAAATTATTCTTTTATTGTAATTTTTGTGTTTTCAAAATAATTTTTATCATTTTAAGTTTTTTTTTGTTTCTTTATTTTTGATATTGACCCTTAGAGCCACAATACCCTTTGACCCAGCTTCTTACAATCTAGAATTGAATATTGAATATTAAAACTATGACTTTGTTTTATAATTAAAAAAAACAAATATATTTGGGGTTTAGTCACTTATCCCAGGATTAAATATTTACTGATTATGTCCATAATGAAGGAGAACTCAGTATGAAGTGCTCTCTAGCTGTATCCTGTAAAATGCTCCTAAACTTGATGTTCAGTCCAATCCTGAAGTTCTCCTTCCTCCTGCTGCGTCATAAATTAATGCTCTTAAATCTGCACCGGCTCTTATTCCTGTCTGCTCATCCTGACCTTTGACCTCTGTGACCTCAGTGCAGGAGAGATGAGCGCTCCCTCTTTAGTAGATACATGCTGTTACATCCCCTTACAACAGAAACTATTGAGCTTCTCAGTGTCATGTCGCCCTCTTGTGGCAGAAAGCAGAGTCACAGGCTTCAGGCTCTGTTTAATCACATGTGACAGCCTGGCAAAATATTATGTCATGACTTTAAGTGCATCTCAGTGTGAGGTACAATCTACTTCACTGGTTTGGATATGAGATGATGCTCAGCTTCCTCTCCTTCCTCTTGGGGGCGGGGCTTAAACTCCGAACAAAGACTCTCCCACCTGGACGCGTGGAAGGCCGCCCCCACTCACACCTCATCACCGCAGGTCATCTGACACTCTTTATTCAGACACCTGTAAGAGCCACAGGACAATGCTGCATTTACCGCAAGCCTTGTTGTCATGACGACCTGACCGGTTACATAAGAGTCGGGCGCTGTTTCCCACAAATGACAGCTTTCAGAGGTCTTTGTGCTGCGACACGAGACACCGAACACACAGTTAGTGCATTCCTGCAGCCGGAGACAGAGGTGCGAGGGCGGACAGAAAACAACACCGATGCTTTTATCTGAGATTTAATCCGGCGTCGAGGTGAAACCATCAGAGTTTTCTGTGAGAAAGCTGCGAGTGAAGACGGCTGGTGGGAAAAATGAGCCTCGGTGCAAAAAAAAAATCCGAACACTTTCCTGATTCAGTCTGAGAATTTTTTACTGTGATACTCATCATGTGTTAATCTTCTTAAATTATAAGAAGATTAAAGATAAGAGGGTTTTTAAATAGACATTCAGGGTGATTTTGAGAAGATGGGATTGAGCACATGTGCAGCTGAACAGTTATTGTCTCCTCTGAATGAAGCGCTGGCTCTAAACCTAAAAAAATGAAAGACACTTTAAGAGACAAAGGTGTTGAACGCAGTGTGGCACGTGTCTGTCTCCATCTACAGCGAAGTCCTCGGTCATGGTCACCTCACAGCAGATATAACGACACATTTTCGCACAAATGTTCGCTCCAACTGCTGCACTTTTTGTCAGATACCTGTCTTCACATGCAATAACTCCTCAAACAAGGGTGACTTAGCTAAAGTTTGATAACTTGTAATATCTCAGTTATTTGCTGAAATTTGCCGCATTTTGTAAAAAGGTAAAAAGCTAATTCTAAAGAGTGTTTTTCAGCATTAGTTCTCCTCGTTTTGGTTTTGTTTGTTTGAGATGTGACCGTCTTAACCTGCAGCAAAACTGAATATTGATGTTTTAAATGAAGTTTTTATCACTGAGAATCTTCAAAAATTTAAGATACTTCACCTGTGGAGTTATTAATTTACTTAAATTTGCTTTTAAAATCAGACTGAAGGGGTTTGAATTAAATTTTCACTTCATATTTATGTGAATTCGACTTTATGGGGGATCAAACTCTTGATTTTAAATACTTTCTGGAGGATTTTGTCACTAGAATTCCTTTAAGTAATTTTCAAAATCTGCCTTTTTAAAATGATTATAAGTCTTTAAAACATGAATTCTCCTACAAAAAAAAAGGAGTATATTTAGAATATGCAACATAAATAATCTGAACAATGACTGTTGGCGATAAATTGTCATCGATGGGTCGCGTGGGTCATGTGACCACCTTTACTTGCAGGTCAGGTCCTGTCAGTTGCATTCTCATAAAATCAGTTTCTGTTTGAGTTCGTTCTGCGCTCCAACAGATACAAATGCATCCATCTGTCGAGGCTTTCAACGGCAAGTCAGTGAGTTTTATTTATGTAGCACTTTTTATAGATAAATCACTTACAATCAAAAAAAATCAAAAAACTTTCAGTCGACTCTTTGCTGCGTAAGGTCAATGATAGTGCATGTCAGAGACGAGGGGCACTGGCCTGGAAAGAGCGGTCACCTCATGTTTTAAAACGGGTGTGAGGGACCATCAGGAGTTCGTGGTCTGATGACCTTAGTGAACGTGAGCGGGGAGGAGGGTCTCAGTAGCTCAGTGATGTACGAGGGAGCTTGATCATGGAGGGCTGTAAAAGCAAGAACTAAAATCTTCATATGAATCCTGAAATTAACTGGTAACCAGTGGAGGGAAGATAAAATTGGGATATGGTCCCGTTTCTTAGATCCAGTTACAAACCTTCCAGCTGCATTTTGAACAGTTTGAAAGCGATTTACAGCCTTTTTGTTAAAACACATAAAAAGAGCATTACAGTAGTCAACGCGAGATGAAACAAAGGCACGAATTATCATCTCCATTTCAGGTCTAGAAATCATGAACCTCAGTTTCTCTTCTGTCCTCCTCCTGCAGGAATCGCTGACTGTGAAGATGAAGCTGCGAGGGTTTTTTTAAATGAAGTACGTCTCGTGATTTTCTGTGTGAAAGAACTCCAGGTCTGGGTTTGCGCTTCCTCTCACACAGGCGTCAGTGTCATGTGCGGTTTGTCAGCCTCTTTTACTTTGAAGTCTGTTCGTTTTAAAGTCCTCTGTGCTGCTGGAGGCTCATTTTTTATCATACCAGTCGTGCACGTCGCCACGCTGCCACGACGACCACATCCATGTTTGAGACAGGAAGAGGGAATCACAAGTGATATGAGGAGGACAACACTACAGGGAGGATGTCAGAGGGAGAAATAACACTCCGAGTGTCAGGGTTGGGTTTATGACAAAGACACGATTTTACTGCTGATAATATTTCAGCTTTATTCTCAGAGTGAAATGAGTGTTTGCATGTTTTATTGATCTGCAGAGGGTGAGGTTGTTATCACACACTCATGAGCCGACCCGTTTTTCAGTTTGTCTCTCCTGGTTGGTTTTAGTCAGTCCTTTTTTAACAGCCTGACACAAAAACACAGTATGAGTTTGAATTGACCTCACAGGTTAAATATTGACGTTCAAACTCTCTAGGAGTAAGATGAAGTTTTGCATAATTAGGGGCCCGAGTGGCTTGTCTTTGTGTTCCGCTTTAAGAGCGCTTTGTCATGGTTTCGCGTTGATTCACCTGCATGTCACCTGCACACACAGTCGGCTATAGTTTCAAAATAAAGCGCATTGATAGTAAAAGGTGTCAGTGACTCCCTGCAGTTGGTTCACCTCACGCTGCAGCTGTGATCACACTCCAAACTCGTCTTCCCCCAGAAGCTGGTTTCACATGGTGGTTTAGATGTGTGTCTCTGTTGTCTAGCACCATTTGAAATCAGTGTTCTTGGGGACAGGAGGACAGCTCCGGCAGAGAGTGAGCAGCACAGGACCCCCCCTCCCTCCTCCTCTTCTTCCTCCACTAACAGATAACTGATTTCTCCTGGTGCTTAGAGCCAGCTGCAGCCTTCTAGCACCATTTGAAATCGGTTATAAAACTGTGGATCAATTCATTTAGGAGGCCTCAGCGGAACGAAGAAGGAGCTGGATCTTTGTCTTTGCTGGAGGAGATCAGTCAGAAATCTTAAACTGAGTATAAAACCAGCTTTGACTGCAAAGAGCATCATATGTGCAAGATTATCCACACTCCAAATAACTTTCTTTTTAATCCAAGAGCTTAAATTTTCTGCTTTTTACTTTGAGACTTCAAATCATGTTCAGTTTGAAATAGTTGTTTGTTTTGTGCAGATTGATCACAGCTTTATTGATCCCTGTGGTGTTTTGTGAATGTTGTTGCAGTTCCTACATACCACCACTAGAGGCTGATAGAAGTCACTGAGTAGCTCCACATGGCTTCCCTCTTAACCCTTTTTTATCAAGGCAGATGAGTCTTCTAAGAAAGCAGTCAAGTACGCAACAAGATGGCAGATGAAGCAACTAAAATCTGGACTATGAAGACTTAAGTGATCCTCTGTCTTCAACCCCAGATGTTTTATTCATTTTTTCACGTGTCACTCTTCCAGGTTTGCACCAGGTATATGATATAAAATGTCACCATCCTCCATCTGCTCCAAATCTTCAAGAATATTCCCTCAGTACCAACCCAAGTTGTGCAAAACTTGTGCAGGGGGCTGTTATGGTCCGTGGGGTTTTTGTTTGGTTTGTGGTGTGTTTTCTCATCATCGCCTCAAACTGGCGGATCTCTGCAGTCAACTGTGGATTCCCTGCAAACGACATAAATCTGATCCACCGCTCAGCTCCTGTTTGTGAAACAGGATATGAAATGAAATGGGTTAGTGCCAAACATGGAGGGTTACCAAATGAGAGAAATAATGATCGATCTCAGGTGAGAGGTTTAGATAAATTTATGCACTGAGGCTTTAACAAACAACTGATATCTACTTACAGTGGGCACAGAAAGTATTCAGACCCCTTTAAACTTTCCACTCTTTGTTTCATTAGAGCCATTTGCTAAAATCAAAAAAGTTCATTTTATTTGACCCCTACACACTCGGCCTTCACTATCAAGTGTCACTTGTCATGAAGTTACACTCGCAGCGGTGGAGTGCGCCTCAATTGAAATGGGAGGGTATAAACAAGACAGGCGGGTATGGGACGCCCTCCTCACTCCACCGGAAGACAGAAAGATCCATCACCATAGCAACACAAAGACGCGTCCTGTGCAAGGCAGCGTTTCGTTTCTTAGTAAATGGACATCATGTACAGTTCTGAGCCGCACCGGCTGCCTTGTTTCTTCATCCTCCCAGTAAAATCATAAACCCACAAACCATCATAGTGACAGGAGCTAAATTATACTTCTGATTGGACAAACTAGATGTACACTCAGATGATCCTACTGTGTTATCAAGTTCTCCTTTTATATTTCATATTGAGAATAAATCATTTGGTATTTTTGTGAAACTGCTTTGTGCTTTTGTAAAATACAATTTTGATGATTTTACAAATGTTTTGAGTTTTGATCAAATGTTTTGTTGTAATAAATGCTGAGGTGGTCTTTGAGCACATGCAAACCTCTATTATGTCAAAAATGGACATTTCATGTTCTGATGTGTAAAGTCTTTTCAATGTCAATAAAGGTTGTATTATCACAAATACATGTTTCATAAATTTTTGGATATTGATTTTGTTTTTTAACCCCACCATGCTGACCATGTACGGTATTTTCTTTCATTTTTCATGTAATACTGAACATAAATTTATTGAAAAATCATAGTTCTGTAGACTGTTAACTGCCTTTTTGTCATTTATTTTTAATTTATTGATTTATTTTCCTGACAATACTCTCTTGGACTGCACTAATAAATATTATCATAATGGCTCTCATTTCGTTATTGATAAGTTGTGTTATACTCAAGAATAATAAGTAACCATGGATTTTCATAAATAAACAATAAGCAGATAGGTAGAGTAATAGCTATAGGCCTACACACACAAGGTAGAATATCAAATTATTTATATATAAAACATTTAATCATTCAGTGTATGTTATATAAGTAATATTTCAATTAAAATGATAACTATAATAACACAAAACATCAACATATATGTGTTCATTTTCAATATAAATATCTTTTCCATGTTGCCTTTCTGTATATCTGTTATGCGAGCTCTATCTATAGATATATGTGTGTTTTTTCCCCTGTTGCTTTAGTGTTACATGCCCTGGGTGTTTGTGTGCTGCTTTCTCTTTCTCTCTCTCCCTGCAGTAGAGAGGTGTGGCAGGTGTGGCTGATCTGCTGATTAGTAGCGTTCCCTCCTCTGTCAGCGATCTTGTGTGGACCTGTTTGAACAAGAGTGTGTGACTCTGGTGTGGTTCAGTGGATGGACTGAGCAGGCTTTCAGTGGCAGTGGAGCCTGCAGTGCATTTGCTATTTTCCTTTGTTACCTTAGCTACTATTTGTGTTGTGTTGGTGTTTTTTTCTGCTTAATGCTTTTTAAAAGTTGGTTGTTTAACCTCAGAGAATAAACATTTCTGTTTAAATAATTACCTGGATGCCGTTTCTTAACCTTGGTTCTTTTTATGTAACTGTTGTCACTCCCTTCATCCCCTTACAGATCTTTTTGGTACGTAACATTTAATGACCCCTTTTCAGATGTCTGGACCATAGTACCACCTATAAGAGACGACCACCTGTTGCTTAGAAAACTATATCTAGGGTATTGTTGATGTCTTGCAGAAATCTCCTATCTTCATATTTACCTTTTTTTTGTTGGATACTTTGAATGAACAATAACCTTAGAGAGAATATCACAAATGAAAACATATGAATCAACTGTGCTGCACGATTAAGTTTTTTTTTTTTTTTCTCAAAGAAAAGCTTCAATTTCAACATGTCCAAACATCCCGACTCAGAGCCACAATCTCTCTGCTGTGAGACTAAAGTCTTCAAACCTGACGAGGATCACAGACTTTATCTTTGAGTCCAACAGGAACTTTGATTTCCAAGAAAAGACGATCAAATCAAAGTTCCTGTTTAATAGAAACTAAGACCAACTAAACACACCGACTTTCCTTCCCGCAGCGTCCTCCAGCCTCAGCTGAATCAAGGCTTCGAGTCTCTATGATCCACTACCGTATTGACCTGAATATAGGAGCACCCTGATGATAAAACCTTCCCCCACTGTTCAGACTCACTTTGAGGACTTTTTAAAGACCAAATCTAGTTTTTGTTTGAAGGAAAAATAATAATAATCAATTGGACACAGTGAATGAAACAAGCTGAGTTGATGTTTTTAACATGTTTTGGTTCATACTCCGTTATTGGACTTCACCCTGAATAGATGCTGATCTCACTTTTTCCAGACTCCAGTCAATACGGTTCAAATTCAAATTCAACTTTATTTATATGGCACTTTTCATACAAAAGGAGATGCAATTCAAAGTGCCTCACAGTAAAAACAACAATGAAGACAAAAACCCAACCCTTCCACCAACACCCATGGACCCACACGCACTCACCCACACACACAGCCGCACACAGTGTGAGAATTTAAGATAAAATTTAAAGACACATGACAAGACAAGAGGTTATTTTTACCTGACAGAGGATGACATGCAGGATAATGTTTTTGTTTTTGTTCAAGAATCTTTTCTTTGATTATATTTCACACATTTTACTTTGACTTTCAGGTCTCATTTATGGTTTAATAATTGTGTTTGTTCATCCAAACAGGAGGGAATTGATTATTGATGAGCACAAAGATGATATGAGAACAAAAACATGTAAAGAGAAGGAAAATAATGTCTAATAATATAAAATAAGGTCAATTTACCTCCAGTCAATATTTACAATCATTTCAGAAAATTAAAACGGATGAATAAAAATAATCAAGTGAAAGAATAAAGCTTCTGATTTTTGTTAAAACCCCAAACCCTGTCCTCCTCCTCCCTTCACCTCCATCTCTCCTCACTTCTCTTCCTCTCCCTTCAGTTTATATTTGGTCTCTAACGGTGCAAAGGAAAGAAAAAACCTTTGGGTTTAATCAGAACTTCTGACTGATCTACTCTCACACATGGTATCAACTCCTGCTGCAGAAATATGTGGGAATAAATCAACTCCACCTCTTTATATTTCCACTGGGTGGCGCTGCATCATGGTAAAAACAAAGTAATCCAATCAAAGTGTAAATTTATGATCATGTTTCCATCAACAAAACAAACCTGTTCAGACTGTTTGATCCCAGAATATGAGGGAAAAGATCAAATATCCAGAGTCCAGGTCCTGAGTTGATCTCAGAGCAGGTCAAAGTGCAGCTCCCAGAGTCCTCTCCGCCCGCTGTGATTGGTCAGTCAGTCTCTCAGTAACATGGCCCAGTCAGAGACTCACCTCACCCTCACTGCTGCTGCCTCCACCTCTCTGATCATCAGGAAATTCCTGATCCTCTTCTTAATCACTCTGACAGATGTTACTACAATCTGAGGAGAGAAAAAAAGACGATCAGTGTTTCCACTCTGAGACTCACTTCATCAGCTGGACTGAAGAACATCCAGTTTACAGACCAGCAGGTCTCAGTCCTGCTCAGACCAGAAGTGATGGTGTAAAGCAGCAGGTTTCCTCACAAATAAACCAACATCATCAAAATAAAGAAATCATTCCTGTCAAATGTGTTAAAGCTGATCGAACAAACCTGCTGTGAAAATAACAAGTATAAAGAACAGCTGTCTGTTTTCAAACTTAGAGGTCAAAATCAACAAGTTAGCAGAGAAATAAAGTCTGTGTTGAATACAGAGAACTATAAACTCCACTTCAGAGCAGAAACTGAACATTTCTGTTTCATTATGTCTCATTTCTACATCTGATCTGAAATATAGAGACGAGGAGACACTTTTTTCATCACTGACACTCTTACACTCCTGGTTTGATGATTTCTGTTCTCACAGCTTCACTAAAGAAATAATCCTCTGAGAGGGTCGAAGAGTCAGCAGGAAATACTGAATATCTGCTGAGATACTGTGTGGAGTGGAACAGGAGAGATCAGCACAGACTAACTCCAACTCTATACTGACCTCAGAGTCCTCAGTCTGTAGTCTGGACTCTCCTGAAGATCACACAGCAGCTCCACGTCTGAATACTGCAGATTGTTGTAACTCAGGTCAAGAGTTTTCAGATGGGAGGGGTTGGACTTCAGAGCTGAGGCCAGAGAAGAACAGCTGATCTTTGTCAAACTGCAGCTCTTCAACCTAAATAAAGAGGAAATAATGAGATTTTAGAGAAAAATGATCCAGTTTGAAACCTGATGTCTTAAATCTGTAGAGTTCAGGGGAAAGGTTTGGAAAGTATGAATCAAAGAAAAGTGACGCTCCAAAGAGCTGAACCAAACAGGAAGTCAGTTTGAAACAGTGAATTCAAAAAACACATTAAACAGTGAAATAAAAAACTCAGAGACTTTTTTACTGATTGTAGATACAGCTCAATATTTTCAGAAAATGTCAGCGACTTCAGGATGGATGGGAGATAAAGGATGTTCAGAATATTTTCACTTTGCTGAACCAAAAATATCACGTCTTTGAGAGGAAATATTTCAGTCTAAACACAGTAAGGCTTCAAAAGTGCAGATAAACCAGAAATTTCAGATTTTCACACAAAGATTCAAAAACAAATTCAAAGTAACAGAGCTGGACTTTCCTCAGTGTCAGAAACTAAACTCTGAGTTTTTTCTATTCCCTGATCTTGTCCTGAACTAAAGTTTGAATGGTTCTCGTCTGACAAATCTCCCCCTGCTTCTGTTTTCTGTCTGAATGTGCTTCTCACTGTGAACTCTACAAAGAGTTTTCTTCTTGGGTTCAGGTTTTAATTCACTGGAGCTCAGCAGTGATCTAACTGGAGTCAATCAAATAATCCACTGATGCAGAAAATCTACTCTGGACTGAAGGTGTTCAGTCTGGGTCAGTATTTCAGTCCTGAGTCAGCAGTTTAGTGTCATCATCACAAACAAATCATGATAATGTTTGAATGGAGGAAAAAATTCTCACTCTAGAGTCTCCAGTTTACAGTTTGGACTCTGCAGAAGGTCACACAGCAGCTTCACTCCTGAATCCTGCAGCTCGTTGACACTCAGGTCCAGATGTCTCAGATGGGAGGGGTTGGACTTCAGAGCTGAGACCAGAGAAGAACAGCTGATCTTTGACAACCTGCAGCGCCACAGTCTGAAAAAAGGAAAAAAATCATTGAACCTCTGAAGAAACTTTTCCTGTTTTTAATGATCCAATGTTCTTGAGCCCCTGAAGGACATTGAAGAAGAACTTTTTCAGAGTAGATCCTGAGAAAATCATCATCAACCAACAGATCATTGATCAGAGAGGTTTTTATGGACCAACTGGACAAGATGATGTTCATGTTCAACAAACTGAAGTGAAAACTGCCGAAAAATCTGGATCTGGTTTTGACATTTGAACACGACTGAGCAAAGAAGAAATTCAAGTTTTCAAGAGTTTCCAAATGAAATATCCAGAGTTGGATTAACTTTGTTCTTCAGGTTTCAATCTGCAGCTCATCATTTCTCTGACACTTCATTCATTCATTAGTGATCACATTAACTGTGGATCAGTTCAATATCAGCCTTTAGTCTGTGCTGCTCCTGCCCTCTACAAGCATGTGTAATATTTGTGGGACTGATTTTCTCCTGCTTCCTTTCTACATCCATCGTTCTCCTCAAAGTCAACTCTGAAATGTCGGATTTTTCTTCCTGTGTTGAAGTTTTACAACGACAAATTCAAACTGCTCGACCAAAGTTGATGGAAAAACCACAGAGAAAAATCTAAGGCAGCAGCTGTCACATCTTATTGTTAGATCAGGAGGAAATGGTGTCTCACATCAGAGTCTCCAGTCTGCAGTTTGGACTCTCCAGTCCTGCAGAGAGAAGCTTCACTCCTGAATCCTGCAGTTTGTTTCCGCCCAGGTTCAGATATCTCAGATGGGAGGGGTTGGACTTCAGAGCTGAGGCCACAACTTCACAGTGAGTCTCTGAGAGTTCACAGTATGAAAGTCTGTAACAACATAAATATCAAACAATATTTCATTAAAGGGTAATTTGATGTTTCTCTTCACCAAAAACAAACATGATCTTTGGTTTGACAGACGGCCTGTTTTTAACCAGACAGATACTAATATCAGGACCACAGCCATGAGAGAAGACAGGAAGTCAAAGTTTAGAAGAAAAAAAAAAAACTGTTCAGATGTTCAAGACAAATGACTCCATGACTTATTTTAGTCATTCTGTTCTCTAACAGTGTTGTCTTCATGTTAGTGCAGCTGGATCATCATGATTGTGTGAATTCTTGAGTTCTGGTTGGAGAAGGGGACTGAGAACCAGGTTTTTGGTCCTGGTATGTGATTGGTTAGTATCCAAAGTACCTCTTGGAGAATCAGTGCTGCTCTCAGTGTTTAATGTTGACATCCTGCTGTAATGTAAGTCTTTCCATAGACACTGACTGTTGACCAATCAGAGGACGACTCACTAAATCACAGTAGGAACTTCTCTGATTGGTTCAGATAAAATCATTTTTTAGCAGGTTAGAGCTGGTTTGACTCTGAACATTTGAAGAGTTGAAGATTTCTCCCTGTAACATTCCCTTCAGCAGCAGAAACAAGTTTATAAAGACTGATGAATCCAGAGAAACCTTTAAGAGACAGATACAAAGACCCACTGAACCTCTGTCTTTGGGCTCTGGTCATCTCTCTCTCTCTCTCTCTCTCGGCACATTATCGTCCAATACTTCATGATACTTAAACGATAAAAACAAAGTTAAACCTGAAGAGCTGTGGTCAAAGTTAGGGCTGAGGTTATTTGAACTCTAGGGGGCGTACGTTCTCATGACTCCTATAAAAATAACAGATTGAATTTTTCTAGTTTGTGTTTCATACAGAAAGAAACATTTGGAGTCAGAGGAAATAAAAGAGATTCATCTTTGAACGTGTTTTCTTCACTTTTTTAAATGTTTGCACTAAATCATGAAGTGAGGTATCAATAATGAGTCCTGATAATATCAACATGGAGGATCAATATGGGTACCTGTATTAATTCAACCTAATGACAGTCATGCTAGTTATAGTCCTTCAGACCTGGTTCAGTCTCACAGACTCAGACCTGGATCAAACCCCAGTCTGCTGCAGTGTTTGTTTAAAGGCTGTTTCAGCAGAAGGCAGCAGTCTGACCAATTTACATCAACATCTTAAACAGAGGCGTGCAGCCGAGTGGGAGAAATGTGACCGCTACAGCCCACCAACACCTCAACATTAGAGGAATCATCTTCACTCTGCATCACCATGACAACAAAGGGACACCATGGAAAACTGATGAAGATGAAGATGATGATGATGATGCAGTCACGCTGCTTCTCCTTAGAGACATGGTTTCCATATATACAGTGGAAGAGCACGGCTGTTTCCACATGCTGTGCGGTGTTATGAGGCAGACTAGTGTCAGAGAGAGAGAGAGAGAGAGAGAGAGAGAGAGAGAGAGAGAGAGAGAGAGAGAGAGAGAGACAGAGAGAGAGAGAGAGAGAGAGAGAGAGAGAGAGAGAGAGAGAGAGAGAGAGACATTAACATCCTATTTCCACCATTGTTTTCAGACACATGGAGCTGCTGTCCAAATAACTCCTGTGTTCTCATCATTCATATGTTCTAGTCCAGCAGATAATCTCCAGTGAGTGGTGGAAAATGATGTTAGTTTTCATGGTTGTATTGATGATGAATATTGAATGATGAACATGATGGTACAGAGACAGTTCTGCCACTGTGTAGAAAATGATCCAGTTCTATTTTCACCATCAATGCTGTCAACACCCTCATTTACAACAGATTCATCATTTCCAACCTGAAAACCAGCAGGAAGAAGCTGCAGACACCTTCTTCAAACTCAAGTTCACCACAACTGACTGAGATGTTGATCTGGACTGATACCATCATCAGAAGACCTCTGTGTGTCCTCAGATATGGTCGCTGATTTGTCCTGAAAGTTCGACTTTATTTATTACGGACTCGATTCAAAACAAAGAGGTCCTCCACAATTAGGACAAGTTCTCAGGGGTCCACAGGTAGACCTCATCCTGGGCTAACAGGACTTTAGACACCAGGATCATGTTTTTGATAAAGAAACCCCCTCCCTGATATTTGAGTGGATTTCTATTTGAAGAAGAACATCATCAGTAACGTGGACATTAGAAGAACTACAGGGATCATTTACACTATTCTGAGAATAAAACCTGGACTTACTCGGCCTTTCTGCAGTTCCTCACAGCTGGGATCAGTCTCTGTCGTCCCAGGTTTGATGTGTTATAGTTCTGTAAGTCCAACTCATCCAGAACCTCCTCTGACATCTGCAGCATGTAGGCCAGAGCAGAGCAGTGGATCTCTGAGAGTTCCTTCTTAAATCTGTTCTCTGACTTCAGGAACTCTTGAATCTCCTGATGAACTGACAGATCGTTCATCTCCATCAGACAGTGGAAGATGTTGATGCTTCTGTCAGGAGAGATATCATAACTGTTCATCTCCTTCAGGTTCTTGATGACTGTTTGGATCATTTCTTGACTGTTGTCTGTGTGACCCAGCAGACCTCCTAAGAGTCTCTGGTTTGACTCCAGAGAGAGTCCATGAAGGAAGCGAACAAACAGGTCCAGGTGACCGTTTTTACTGAGAAGGGATTTCTCCATGACACTCTTCAGGAAGACATCCAGAGGTGAGAAACAGACATCCAGGTTTTTAGAAGAACTGGAAACCATCTTTGAAGAAGACATTTTGTCTTTGTTGCCTCTTAGGAAAGTCTTCAGAACTTCTTTGTTCCTGTTTGTGAAACTGTGGATCATGTAGACTGCAGACAGAAACTCCTGAACGCTCAGATGAACGAAACAGTAAACAGTTTTCTGGAAGATCACACTCTCTCTTCTGAAGATCTCTGTACAAACTCCTGAGTACACCGAGGCCTCTGAGACATCCAGACCACACCGTTCCAGGTCTTCTTGGTAGAACATGATGTCTCCTTTCTTCAGATGTTCAAAGGCCAGCCTCCCCAGCTTCAGGAGGACTTCACTGTCAGCCTCAGTCAGCTCCTGAGGACTTGTCTCATGTCCTCCTTCATACTTCTGCTTCTTCCTCTTAGTCTGGACCAGCAGGAAGTGTGAGTACATGTCCGTCAGGGTCTTGGGCAGCTCTCCTCTCTGCTCTCTGCTCATCATGTCCTCCAGAACTGTCGCAGTGATCCAGCAGAAGACCGGGATCTGACACATGATGTGGAGGCTCCTGGAGGACTTGATGTGTGAGATGATTCTTCCGGACAGATCTTCATCTCTGAACCTCTTCCTGAAGTACTCCTCCTTCTGGGCGTCAGTGAAGCCTCGTACTTCTGTTACCCTGTCCACACGTGAAGGAGGGATCTGATTGGCTGCTGCAGGTCGAGAAGTCATCCAGATGAGAGCTGAGGGGAGCAGGTTCCCCTTGATGAGGTTTGCTAACAGAACGTTCAGTGAAGACTTCTGTGTGACGTCAGACACCACCTCAGAGTCTGTGAAATCCAGAGACAGTCTACTTTCATCCAGACCGTCAAAGATGAACAGAAGTTTACAGACAGCCAGCGTCTCTGCTGTGACCTTCTCTAGTGTTGGATGGAAAACATGGAGCAGACTCAGAAGACTGAAGCGCTCATCTCTGATCAGGTTCAGCTCCCTGAATGAAAGCAGGATCACCAGATTGAGGTCTTGGTTCTCCAAACCCTCTGCCCAGTCCAGAGTGAACTTCTGCACTGAGAAGGTTTTTCCAACACCAGCCACGCCGTTGGTCAGAACCACTCTGATGAGCTTCTTCTGTTGGTCAGGTAAGGTTTTAAAGATCTCATGACACCTGATGGGCGTGTCATGGAGGGTCTCCATCTTTGAAGCTGTCTCCAGCTGTCTCACCTCATGTTGGGTGTTCACCTCTTCACTCAGTCCCTCTGTGATGTAGAGCTCAGTGAAGATCCTGTTGAGGAGGGTTTGACTACTTCCTGTTTCATCACTTCCTTCATTCACACGTTCACATCTCCTCTTCAGACTGATCTTATGTTCATCTAAAACCTCCTGCAGACCACCATCTTCTGAAAGAGAAGAAAAATAAAATGAACCAAACTTCTCAACACTAAAACGTCTTTGTGAAAATCAGTCAGCTGAGTTTTCATCCACACAGACTTTAGAGGACAGATGTTCAGACTTACTTCGGTCAGAGCTGGACAGCTGCTCCTCCACAGAGTCAGATCTCTGTGTCTCTCTGTGGAAATAAAGAACATTTATTTTCTTTATCATTTCATGTTTGAAAGATACAGAATAAGAAACATTTATTAAACCAGAGTTTCTGACCTCACTCTTTTCTCTAACATAAAACAATCTCCTGTAAAATATTCAGCTGCTGCTGCCTCAAAGTGTGGAGACAGGAGAAAAAACTAAACTGTGATTTTTGAAGGTAGAGAGATTTTCTCTGACAGTTTAAAACATTTTTTCGACCAATCAGATCTAAAGGTCTAATAACAGACAGATGCTTTGAATGAGTTTTTATTTCTCAGGATTTATTTCTTCATTGGTCTTCTGGTATTTTGTGACCCACAGACTGTTTTCTGGGGTCTATACACCACAGTCCAAAGACTAACAGGCTCAAAACGTCCCAAACACAGGAACCAAATCAGAAAATACAGAGGTCAGAATCCTCTTCAAATGCTGTTTTATACCACCTTCATTTTTATCAACATTAGGAATAATAAGTAAATCTGTGCTCAGTGACTTTTTCTTTACTTTCTCCAGGTTGGAGGTTAAAGAGGAAAATCAGCGTTTTGAGAGCAGAGGAGAAAACAGAGGGGTCAGGATTTAAAGTTCTGTTTTTGAAATATCAGTTGTTGTTGTTTGTGAGTTTGGAGGGTGAAAAGTGTTTCTCTTACTGTGAATCTGAGGGTCCTGGTTCTTTACTGAACAACAGTGGACGATCTTTAGACCAGTCACTCTTCATAGACAAACAGTCGGACATAACAGACTTTGCTCTGTCCTCCTCTTCCTCAACACAATCATTCATCTTCTCCATCTTATGTTGTGCAAATTCATGGAAGATGAAACCAAGTGATACAACCTGAGGACAAAGTAGACAAACAGGTGAGATACAAACAGGAAGAGAGTGTTCAGAAATAAAAGAGGAATCAGAAAGGAAGTACAGAGTCTGAAAACAGCTTAATCCCCCTCTTTAAGAGTTATACAGGTTTAATATCCAAGTACTTCTGATGTCTCCCCACCCTTCAGGGCCTCTCTCTGATCCTTATCTGATTCATGGTCAAAACAAAATCAGCTGTGAGGTCCCTGAACTCTCATAAAAAAAATAAGGGGACTTGATTAAATTTAAACTGAGAGGCTAAAAAGATTCTTATTTATGTTTTTACCAAAAAGACAAGTCTAAACAAAGAGGAAGAAGAACTGCACGTACGCAGTTTCCTGTATGAAGAACTGATCCAGCTCTTTGTCTGCTCAGGTTTCTTTGTTTTACAGTTTTTAAGTGTGTTAGTCAGTAAATCATTTTCATTAACGGATGATACAGATAAAGAGTTTGACATTAAAACAAAAACAGAGTAAACACTCACCCTGTCTCCTCGTCCTCTCCTCTCTCTTCTTTTCTCAAAATGGAGTCTGTTTTTCAGCTCACATACTTTCACTTTGACCCTGACTGTTTAGAGACTGACAGTGTTGCTGAACAGGTTTTTATTTTTGCACACAGTGTGATTGTGTTGTTACTACACAAACTCCTCCTTCATCTCACTTTACAAAGATCACTTTCCAACATCATATTCAGTGAAGGAGCCAAATATGTTGATCTGATAACATAATATTTCGACTGTATTCTCTTTTAAGAAAACCTTTTTTTCTCAATGTGGTCCAAATACTCCGTCGAATACAGCTTATGCCATCATGGAGAAGTTTTGTGGGAATGATCTGTAAAGTCCTTTCCTCTTCTGGTTGTCACTTTCTTGTTTGTTGCATTAACCCCTATGTGCTTGTAAATATGTATTATTTTGTGTCTCTATCTTTTGTTTTGTAAATGTGTTGTACTGTATGTAGGAAAAGTCGCAGAATTTAAAGAAAATAACCTGTTGCGGGACATTTGGTGACTTTTACCATGGATATCCATGAGAAAGGCTACTCGAGGCAAAGTCACCGGCGTCCCTACACGGCGGCCATCTTACTCCAGTATACCACTCCGGTACACTCTTGACTGGCTGAAATCTTGATAGATTTACACATTGTTTTGTTTATTACAGACCTTAATAACTTGGCTATGAGTCTGGGTGTTTGGACGTATTAAAATGGCAGATTTACTTTGAGGAAAAAAAGACTTAATCATGACCAATCTGTTGTTTCACGGCTATTAGCGCACAAGGGCTAACTTTGAGTCGCTTCGTCGAGTTGTTAAGGCTGAGTGCACAATCGAGATTTTAATTAATAGTATGACAGCCTATTTTTTTATTTCATCTAATTTATTTATCTTTTGTCTAAGTGTCAGTCTTTGTGGATGTGCTCGTGTTTATCAGCTGTCTAATTTGCCTAACAGACTCGCTGTGAGTGAGACCAAGTACATATTACTAAGTCGACCCCATAATTTTACATCAGTTCAAGAGGCAGAAATGCTCTGTAGTTTCAACATAACTTAAGTTGCACATGATTTCCAAACTGTTTGGTTTGTTAAAAACATCTAAAATGCCAACAGGAGGCAGAGATTTACATTGAAAATAAAAATATATAAACATGAAACACACCACATTGACATCCTCACGATTAGGACAGAGTCTGAAATATTTTTTTGTGTAAAAAATCAGCTGTTAGTTAGTATTATTAAGATCCAGATCCACACTCCAGACCAGTTGGTGGCGGTAATGCACCATAACGTTGTTTGCCAACCGCCAAAGAACCAGGAATCAAGACGAGGAAGAAGAAACACTTCCTGTGTTCTCAGCTCTCATTGGTCGAGGCTTTCATTTCCGCCATTTTCAAAACTAGTGACGAGTTCATGCTAGCTGTAGCGTTGTTATTGTTGTCATTTTCGTTAACCCTTTCAGCAACTCGAGTTAAAAACCCTCAAATGGGTGAAACCGCTGAAGTCCAAACTCCGGTTTCAGAGAAAATTCCAGAGAAACCGAAGAAAAAGCCGAACTCCGGAGACTTAAAGAGGAAGATTTCAGCTGATGGAGAGAAGTCTTCATCCCTGTGGAATAACAGCAGGAGTCTGAGAAGGTCAGGTCGTGTTTTCTCTTCAGATTCCGACTATAACTGCTGCATTATCGTCGTTATTCACCACCGATAAGTCACGTAACGTTACAGCTGATGTGGGTCAACCACATGTACGCATGAAAGCAATGTGTTTACATGTGTATGTTTATGAATATGTTTCCTTTTAAATATCCGGTGTTTTAATACTGAGAAACAAAAAAAAAACTCGACTTGGAAAATTACCTCAAAATACCCCCGAAGACTTCCAATCCAGACATCCTTCTAATGCCATTTAAGTGTATCGTGATATTTGCTGTTGCATCATCTCGCCACTAGATGTCAGCAGAGGACCGTTAGAGACTGGAGCGGGTAAACCACTGAAACCTGTTTTTAACCCGTTTTCACTCGTGTGTTTGCCGGAGAAATCTACAAACTTTTTGTCCTTTTCTTGACCACTGCTCAAGCTGTGCAAACTACTAAAAAAGCAGAGTTTAAAAGTGAGAATAAAGGGCAGATTTGAGTTTGAGTAGGGGAGAGTGGGGTAAGTTGAGCCACCCTCTGTTGCTTGGAAACAGTTAAATAAATTGATCATGTGACCAAATATTTTGGACATGGGCATTAATAGACAGAGAGACTGAAGGTCCTTACACACCGGGGCAGACGTGAATACAGAACGCTAAATCACGAAATATTCAAATGCGAATTTTGACTATACAAATCAAGCCCGAGGCGATGTTGTGACTTTCCGGGGGGAAAAAGACGCATCCCGGGAAAGACTTTTCCTGGGGAAAGTCCCGCCTCTTCGCCTCCGATTGGCTTGAAAAGCTGGAAAGGTCATCACACGCTCAAGCCAAACGGTCAGCACTTATAGCCAATCAGAGGCGATAAGATAAGCACATAAAACTATGGTAACAACCGTTAGCTTACGTTAGCACAGATGAAAGTTAAAACAAAGACGTTTAGTAAACTGTTTAAGTACACAAACCATCGTCATATGTCGTCCTTCAGGTCGTTATCTTTGTAATATTTGTGTTTTTTTATCAAAAATCACTCTGTTCTCAGACACGTAAACAATCAGCCGGTCGGCCATGTTGAATATACAGGTGAATCTGACGTCACAACAACACGAAATCTGATTGTCTAACTAGTGTATCTGCAGATACACGAGTTAGAGACAAAACTATGATTACCTTGATGTAGTGATCCGAAATATGAAAAATGGCTCATCTTACCCCACTCTCCCTTATGTGAATTTCCACAGCTGAGGAGTCTGGGCTAGTCTCAGTCACCCTCATAGACGACCCAGTCAGGCTCATAGGGAGTCAGTAGTTTACAGATATAGACTGAGGCCATTCAAGGCTCTGCAAACAAGCAGTCAAATCTACAAATCAATTACATGTTTGCTTCTCCTGCTGTTTGTTAAACCCAGTCAGTAACATTTCAGGTCAGTTGCCGTCATTGAATGTTAAGCTTGTTGTTGCTTTCAGATCAGTTCATCTGGTCCCTCTTCTGTGACATTTGAGTGTTTGCTGGAGGGGAACGAAGGAGTAATGTTTACAGAAACCCCAAAATAAGTCTTTTAATGTGGGCATGTGAGGATCGTTCAAGACAAGCTTAGAGGAATTTAAGGATCCCTAAATATAACAGCAAATTCCTGCTCCAAATTTAGCAAATACAAAACTATTTGATGTTATTGGAGGTCGTAATGAGTCGGTTTGTTGGTGCATTTTTGTTTTGTGGATGGTCTCAAGGCGATACTTGTGTTTGTTTATTTCCAACTAGAACTTTTGTTTGAAACTTCAGTAAAGATGAGCAAAAAACGCGGCGCTTTACATACATTATTATTCTGAATCCAGTAAATGAAACCATTTTTTTTAACTGTATGCACGTAAGCAAGTGGCCATCATCAATGTGCTCTGTGGTAGAACTTATTCACATCAATAGATTGAGATGTACCCCGTCATCAGACAAGCAGCCAGTATACAACAACAGTAATCAGTATGTTTTTGGACGGTAAACTCCTGAGAATGTTTATATTGGACTCTTTGGAAAGGCTTTCCATGCTGCATGCCAGTTTGCCCCAGTCCTGTCCAGTGCACGACAGGCTCTGCAGACAAACATGGAAAAACATCACCCAACGTTTGACCTCCATCGCAAAGTTTATGGAAAGAAACATTAACTCTGAGTGAGAGAAAATAAGGTTTGATTTCCCAAGTGAGGTTGGCATTAAAATACTCGACTGGCAGTGGAATTTTTCATGCTGCCAAACACGTGCCGATTCGGCTGAGGCTGATCCAAAGCTCTTGAACCCTGCGCTGAAAGGTTATTGTCCATGTAAAGCACCAAGGTTGAAACATTATGTCTGGGTTTTATTCATGTTCTGTGAATGGAGTTTGTGTCACAGACGTGAACGTGTATTCGGTAAACGTCACGCAACACTAAAATGATGAAGAAATCGCAGGTTTTTCTTTATCAGCTGCAGTTTTACTGACCTTCAAATGACGCTAACTGAGGAGTGTCAGTTTGAACCTCATTAAATTCCCTGATTGAGCAATGTTAAAAAAAAACACACACCTGAAGCGACTTCTCACGACCAATCACATTTATCTATAACAGGTTAATAACATTAATAGGCATAAAAAGAGAGGCCTATTCTCTTAGAGGTGACACTGATATGAGTCCATGTTACTGAATTTATGAACCCTAAAGAGGGTTTTAGCTTCCACGTCCGGCCCTGTTGCTCTGGTGTGTGAGTCTCCTTGTTTATGATCCCCATAGTATCACAGTGGTAAAGATAAGGAGGGGATGTTTACGCAGGAGGGGTTGTGTGAGATGATTCAGTTCCAGAGTTGCCCAGTTTTAGCAAATAAAGGCAGGGCTAACCGGGATGCTAATCCACTGACTCATGAGCCTCTACAGATTACAGCAGGTTCAGGACTAGAAAAGACCTTTGTCCCCCCCGGCTGGAGGCACAAATGAACATCGATCAGGTGTTCATGACAGAGTCACACACGCAGAGGGTATCTGCTTTCAAAACAGAGTATGTGTGGGAAACACGACATCGGATAGGCCGACCTCCAGTGAGTCAGTTTGTACAAAGAAGCAGCTGATATTTACACCCTGACTAAGATGGCTTCAGTATCAATGTATGCATACTGTACATCACACGTAAAAAAGGTAAAAAAGCAGGTATTATCGCCGCTGTGAGGAGCTCTGATTGTTCTCAGTCAACTGTTTCTTACTAACATGTTCAGTGAGAGGTCGGCGGAGAGAACGGTTCTTGTTTTGTGCAAATAAAGTGACAATTATTTACTTTTTTTTACTTAAATTTTATTTGCATTATTTAAACATAACAGAAAAAAAGGCATACGGTCATTCAAAAGAAGAATCTAAATAAAAACAAACAAACAAAAAACATGGTGTCATTCACAGAGAAGACAATAAAATTGTCCATGGAGGCTCCATCAAAGCTGTCCGTTTTTCTAATTAATGTGAATAGATTCATATTTGATCCATTTTTCCCACTTTCGGGTGTTTATTCTTGCTGGAGTCGTAGAGCGTGTTTTAGTTTCTCCATTTCATAAAGTTCTTCCACCGTGTCCAGGCAGTTTTTCTGATTGGGTTGAAATTCCTCGTGATGGCCTTCTCTGACGCTGCAAGAAGTATTTCAGTCAAGTATCTGTCTTTGTATGTTTTCCTGCGTAAGATTACCCAGGTACAACATCGAAGGTCATGGGTCATATTTTTCTTAAGGTCCTTTCACACCATGACCGTTTTTTTCGTGTGATTATTTCGAACGTCAATATTTTTTTCTCGAACCCGTATCCTGTCAATACAAGCGTTCACATCAGCGACGTTTTCCCGTCCTGCGATATTGCGCCATTTATTTTTTTCCAGATAACGGTCGATTTTTTTAAAGTTACTCGCATACTGTTTGTCCACTTCTGACTGATCAGATTTCGTGTTGTTGTGACGTCTGATTCACCAGTATATCCAACATGTGACGATGGTCTGCTGCTCACCAGACTTTGATAAAACAGCGAGAACTGGTCTTTTAACTTGATTTCTGTATGCACACTGAAACAATCAGTCTGTTTTGCTCTCCTTGGAGATCTGGCGTAATCTCTTTATTAAAATAGTCTCTGGCCTGTAGTCTTGTTTGTCCAAATCGTATTCTCTTCTCAGTTTTAGAAAGCTTTTGTCTTTTCCCTTTTCAGTAATTGTGTTTCTTTTCCCATTGCTCGAACCTGTGGTTCAAATCCCCTGGTTTAAAATTTTCGTCGTATGCCACCCATCTCAAAATCTTTATTTCTTTTTCCAGGTTGAACCAGATTTCCAAATAATTGACTTTTTTAATGGTAAAAATCCACAAATAGAGGATCAGACTTTTTATGCATCGCGGTACGAACTCCCCCAGCAGGAGGGGTAAGCAAGGGAGCGCTTTATCTGACTGTCTGTGTTTGTTTACATCCCCGTCGTAGAGCATTATATAATCATGGCAGCTGTAACGACAAGACAGCAACCCCAGCTAGTCCCTTTTTTTTCAGTCTGAACACTTGTAATGATGTTCCCGTTGGCTGTGATGGATAAACAGTGCGGTAGGATGTGGTATGTATGTGCTTGTGTCTGCATTAACTCCAGCGATGTTTTACTCTTTGCGTTTCTTTCGTGACCGCCTGATGACCTCTCCCCTTGATGAGCTAACTTCCTCTAACCTCTTCCACTGTTGCAAATATTATTGCCTCTTTTGGCTCCGCTCACCAAAGCACATTTGTTTAGTTTCAACAGAGATATTAAGTCAATGAGCGGAAGACTGGTTATGTTTAATTGCTGCGGGCTCTCATCCACTGTCAGATTCCCAGCATGCCTTTCAACATGAGTGTGAGAAACTGGCTACACCTACAGCTAAAGCCTGATGATATAACAGTCGTCTGATGGACTCCCTGACTGGCTCCGGGGTCAATGCTTGTCATATTTTCAGCCACATGAAGCCCAGTGACCGCCCTCCTGTCTGGAAGTCTCTGACTTACGTGCAGCCTGGATCTGTGTCTTACTGTAGCGGAGGCTGTCATCAGGTTACACAACAGGAGTCCACATCGGGCTCAGATTTTGGTAATATATGGAAAGCTAGGAAGTTGTGCACATGAATCAAATGAATTTAAAGGTCGCTGCTGAAACTGTTCTGCACTTTTCTTTTTGATCGCTGCAAAACGCTACGTCATTAACAATCCCCGTTCACATCCGGGTCAGCTTCAGAGGGAATTTCAGTTGTCTTATTAAGACACCAGGGGTGCACCGATCACAATTTTCTGGCCAATCACCGATCTGTAAAAAGCTTGACCTGCTGATACCGATTTATTTTTTACAACCGACAACATTCACCTTTGATGCTCCGATCTTATTTTAATGAAAAAACATTCAACAATACTTTTGGAACTGCACATGTGGTAGTTCCCTCAAATAGAAATGAAAAGTTTCGAATATTGGTGTCCAAACTACTAAATTCTATCAGTTCTTTTAGACTTTTATTTTCCACATTATAAAAATTAACAATTGTGCATCAAAATAAAATGCACAGCAGTTTTTTGCTTTTACAAATAAAGGAAATCACGAGGTTTGAGGAAGTTTGTAAGATAAAAATCCACAGGACAAACTAACAATAAAACTTAAACCACCAATAAACTGTCCTGAGTTTTAGGTTTCCTTGTAGTGAGTTCAACATGTTTAAATGATCATGCTCCGACCGTGACCTGGTGGGCGGGCCTGTCATTCCGGCGAAGCAAAAAGCTACAGCGGCTGATTTTCAGACCTTTGCTGAGCTAGATAAAATCTGTGAATAAAATCAGTTTCAGATGTACGGATCAGCCGATCACAGATCCTCCAAAATTGAGGAAATCAGCGCCGATCAGTCGGTCGGCTGATTTATAGGTGCATGTTTCTAAAACCCTTTTATAAAAATACCTGCAGATGAATAATAACAAATAAAAAGGCTGCAGTATGACCGCCTTTTTACGTCACACCCCTCGCCGATGCTGCATTAGGATTTTCATGATATTCAGACGTTGTCGTCATTAAGCTCCTTCCTCTTTATTATCCGAGACACTCCAAAGAAAGAGCGTGTGCTTCGTTTATGTCCTGGTTCCTGATAGATTTTTTTTATACACAAAGGTTGCATCACTTCAGATTGAACACACCCTAGAGAGTTTCTCAGCAACATAAATTTAATCCCACGACAACAACAGAAGAGATGACGACATACAGTCAACAGTTTCCTTTTAAAGTTAGTCATTTTTTACGGCTCGTAGGGGGAGTTTAAATTCACAGCAACTGGATGAAGATAACTTCCTATCCGGTCATCAGAATTGCAGAATACCGCAGAGAGGGAGCGGCAAACCCACAATCTCAAAGTCCTGTGATCGTCACCTCGCACAGAGAAATCAGTGTGGTTAAAACTCCTTCAAACTTTGACGTCAGGCGGTGTAGTCTACCTCCTGGTGCGGTCGCAGAAAAACCGGCGCTCTGCAAACTCCAGGTGGTCAAGAGCACATTGAGCTGTAGGGACTTAACTCAGCCCCAGCAACACCTGCAGTGACCTTTGACCCCTGGCTGCATTCAGGACACCCAGGGAGCTCCTCTCTCTCTCCTCTCTTTAGCTGCTGTTGTTTTTCTCTCAGCACATGCTGTTTATCCAGAACACCTTACAGTATCATCAGCGCGTACATGTCTAACCTGGGTGGTCTCAGCGCCCGGGTCTGTGGGTGTGACCCGCTGAGCGCCCTAGGACCCGTCTGCTCACACCTTTTGGTTTTCATGCGATCCTCTTTTCATGAAACGTGTCCTTAAAGTTTCTCTGTAGCAGCAGCTGATCGAGTCCTGAAATACTGGGTGGTTGCAGCCTCTCAGGGTTAGACTCCGTCATACCGGTTTCATTCCTGACGCAGATCGATGCAGCAATACGTGGTGTGTTGAAACTTTTGATGATGCAAAGCTTCTTAAAAGCAGGTTTGTAACATGTTTTCGAGGACAGAGGAGACGCACACAAAGTCAATTTGCATGTTCAGCAGCTCTTATCTGAATATTATTTCACAACCTGTTTGTATATCAGGACTGACTTCATTAATGCTCGTAAAGCAGATCTTCCTTTATATCGTGAGCAGATTTTCACTCATAGAAATCTGGATTTAGAGAGATAAAATAGTAAAACCGCAACATTTTGACTTTTGACTTCACAGTCATGTACTTCAGTTTCATCATCGTATATCCACGAAGAATGTAACATCAGCTCGACTGATCCAGCAGATCAGGACAGGCTTTACATCTGGGAAGCTGCAAAGCTTTAATAAATAACAAAACCATCTGAGTCACTTAAAGCTTCTGTGAAGAAATTTTAGTTTGTGCCAGTTTTGGCGCCCCCTGTGGACAAATCAGTCTTTGCTTATCTTAAAGGGAAATTCTGGCGTAGAATTAATGTAGGGTCAAAGACACCGTAACACCGAGTTAGACACCCCAACAGCACCTAACTTCATCAACAGGACATATAGGGTCACAGCCATAGAACTAGACACCAAACATCTTTTTAACTTTGACTCATTTCTTTAGCAAAGAGACTAAACACAACTCACCTACTCTCTTCCAGCAGCCGCTTGTTTGTAGCGAGACCTCAGGCCAGTCCATTATGGACTACAGCGGGGTCACGCAGCTCAAGGAAGAACATTTATGATCATTACTTTATCATTTCCTTGAAGTAATAATCACCATATTAATCATCTTGCTCTGCAGACGTGGTCGTTCTTCTGTCTTAGCGTCTCTGTCTGATTGTATTTCCATGAAGAAATGATCATAAATGTTCTTCCTGGAGCTGTGTCGCCCCGCTGTAGTCCATAATGGACTGTCCTGAGGTCTCGCTACAAACAAGCGGCTGCTGGAAGAGAGTAGGTGAGTTGTGTTTAGTCTATGTACTAAAGAAATTAGTCAAAGTTAAAAAGATATTTGGTGTCTAGTACTATGTCTGGGACCCTGAACCATTTTTGTGTAACAGTCCAGTACAAGTTTAGCACCAGTATTAAATTTGTAGTTCGGCCTTTTATTAAACCAGGACTAATAAACAGTGAATCGGTCATAGCCATAGTAAACAGCCATAGTCCCACAAAATACACTTAATAGCAACAAATAACTGTGATCTATTGGAAGATATAGAGTAGTTAGTTAGTTAAATTTTCCATTTATTAAAGTATAATTATTATGTAAGTCAGAAAAGTCTCACGTTATTATGTGTTTTTGATATTGTCGCTCTAAACTTTGAAAGACTGGCGATGCTTCCCTCAGAATCTTGCAGATGTTCGGTTTCTCTCGGCGGACTGTTCGAGTGACTCATGACTCTCTCAGCTCAGGTCCTGACCCGGCGTTATGCCGGGATTAGAGTAGCTGTGATGCTGCAGCTGCCTGTAGGTGGACAGTTGCCGTGTCACTGGAGAAAGGCCAACTGGAGCAACAGTAGCGGAGCAGCAGTATGACAGGAATGACTCGGCCTTACCAGCAGCTCTGACCCGACACACGAACACAACAAGTGTTTCTGGGCAGCTCCGCATTCTCCGGATGCTGATGCCTTTTTAGGTCCCGCCATCTGGGGCCCCCCAAGACATTAAATGTGTGATATTATCAACTGCTCTGACACCATTTATGATCATGTGTGAGTCTCTGATTGGATTATGTAAGCTGCGCTCTGCAGGAGGGTTTGATTCATCGCTCTGTCACGTCTGCTGAGTGTGATACACCGACGCTGCGTGAAGCTTCTCTTAAACATCCTCCACAGCGTCTCAACATTTCATCTTTTGTTTGCATTTTCATGAGTTCAAGTTTGAGGGCAGGAGGATATGGGAAGTAAAATCACACCGCAGTTATTGTCTCAGATTTTAAATCACCGATATGATTCATGATTTGTTTTAACCGAAACCGTTTCAACGATTAACTGGAATTGTGTTGGGTCTCTGTAACTCTGTACTTTTTTGGTAAATGCACATCAGCTGCAAATATTGATCATCGATCTCATGAACTGCTTACAAAAAACAGATATCAGACTGGATTAATATGTTTAAATGTCTTTCAAAAGTCCAATTTAATCATCTGAAAAAACAATACTTGTTAATCCTTTATACCAAAATAAATCTGCCTTCACTATTTAAAATGGTGTTATGCTTCTTTCATTTAGTTTATACTCATTTAGCGTTTGCTTTAACTCTCAAAGTTCAAAGACCAGTTCAGGTCCGAATGAGATGTTTACAAGTGCATCGTGCAGCAGACTGTCATCTTTGCATGTATTTCAGTTGTAGACGGATACATCCATTCATGTACTTAGTATTGTTTTATTAAGTCAGGCCTGTGATGTTGCAGGTTTTAGGCGCCCATCATACCCACAAATGAAAACATCTGTGATAAACCAATATCTGTCTTTTATTTTGTTTTTTTGAATTCCATCTTTATAGCATTTCTGTGAAAGTCAGCCTGTTTCCCCTCTGTCTGAGATGTCTCCACATTTTAAAACTATAAAACATCTCTACACACGGACAGAGTTGGGTTCCCTCTCTCCGCAGTCATCGTCTGACTTTTGTAATCCGCTCGCCTGGTTTCATAAGTCGCACACTCGGTTATCCTTGTACGGCAGCGCTGAGACACACTTTCATTGAGCATTTCATCAGTGTGAAATAGTGCTTCAATAAAAATCCAATTTATTGTTGTTATAAGTCAGATCTGAGGAGCCGCTTTGAAGTCTTTCCTCCGGCTGTGTAACCATCCGTGCTCTGAGCGGGATGTGTTGTGTAATCGTCCTCAGTGTGGCCTTCTCCGGCCCTTCAGAGTCACACAGGTTGAAGATGAGTTGTTTGACATGAGAAGGATTAAGGGTATGCACGGCTGGTTTTTGAGGGGAGTGGACAATCCCACCGTGGAGTCCCAAAAAAGGGCAAAGCTGTCCCCCCGAGAGAAAATCCCAACAAAAGGGCCGTTTGGGCTGAGTCCAAGTCTTTAGGCACCAGGAAGGTGTGAAGGAAATGACTCCTCCTCCAGGTCTCACAGGAGTATTTGGGTGGCTCAGAGGTTGATAAGGTTCCTTTGAGGACCGGGAGGATCCTTATCTGTCAGTCCTGGTCTGAGGTGGAGGACTCTGAGGCGGCACCATGCTGAGGCTGTGGTAGGTAACGGGGTGAATGTTTTCTCAGGACACAGCTCTTCCCTGACTCACTCGTTCCCATTATGCATGCTTTGTCATCTGCTATACTCACTCTTCCGCTGGGACTCCAGGTCAGAGTGGACTCCATGGTGGTTTACATAAATCTGGTGCTTCTTAGTTTCCCTCACGGTTGATTCACAGAGGTGGATTTTGCAGGATTACTCTTCTAGGTGCAAAACCGAGAATTTTGCACACTCATCGGTGGTCCATGCAACAACAGGCCTTGCTTGTGCGGCTGAGCGTGCGTTACACTAATATAAAGTCACCCTCAACTCTGCTGTTGTTTTTGTTCAGGTCCATACGGAGAGGAAGCTCCTTCACCTTCCTCACACCCGGACCACAATGGGACTTCAGTCTGGTGAGTTCAGACCTCTTCAGTCCCACTTTACTGATGACAAAAGTCCACTTTTCCTCAAACTGAAGCTCTGTTTTTTTATTAAAATCATGAACTTTGCAAAATGAAAAGAAAAAACAAGGAAGCAGAGTCATAGTTGAAGTTTTCCACAATGTTGGTTTTCTTGAATATGTAATCCAAACAGACTGAACAACGAGTTAGACATTGCCATCGAGAGATAAATGTTAAAAAATAAAGACCGCTTGTTTCTCTAGTTCAATCAATCAATCAGTCTTTATTTCTACAGCACTTTTCATACAAAGTGCTTTACATAGAAAAAGGGGGAAAAAAAAGAAACAAAGAAAACCCAAATCTACCCCAGCCCAACCCCTCATTCCCACCCCCTGATCTGAATGCAACAGAAACAGAATTAAAATGCATAAATTTGAAAAAGGCTGGATTTAGTGGAAACAGGAATGTGCGCGCTGAGGAAACTCAAGATAAGGAAACACTGGAGGTTTAGGTCAAAATCTAAAAACAAAGTAACAGAATGAAATTTAAGAAATAATAAATAAAATGAAATAAAATAAAAACAACAGTAAAAGATACTAAAATAAGAGCACCGGAAAAGCTCAATAAAAGACGATCCTGTCATTAAAACTAGACAGAGATAAATGCTAAAACACTTCAACAAAGTTAATGAGATAAAATTTAGTTTGTGCTCCTTCACCAACTTTAGTAACGACCGCAGGATAGCAATACAGAGAGCCACGCCCCCAACCAAAACGCCACTCTATAGCCACAAATAATGCTCAGAACAGCACCTAACTTCATCAACAGGACAAATAGGGTCACAGACATAGTACTAGACACCAAACATCTTTTTAACTTTGACTCATTTCTTTAGCAAAGAGACTAAACACAACTCACCTACTCTCTTCCAGCAGACGCTTGTTTGTAGCGAGACCTCAGGCCAGTCCATTACGGACTACAGCGGGGTGCCGCAGCTCAAGGAAGAACATTTATGATCATTTCTTTATGGAAATACAATCAGACCGAGACGCTAAGACAGAAGAACTACCGTGTCTGTAAAATGATTAATATGATGATTATTACTTCAAGGAAATGATAAAGAAATGATCATTAGTCAAAGCTAAATCCCACTTTATTATCATCAACGTTAGAACAAAGGTACCAAAGAGGAGAAGCTTGGATGCAAGTTGGTGTATTTGATTATATTCAAAGTGAAGTAGACGAAGCAGAACTCGTCGTGCTTCAGCTTGTTCGCCGCTTAAACTTCGTTCATGACTAATCCAGATGAAAAGTCCGTCTGATATTTTATCACCAGCTCACCTCTTCACGAGCGCACGCAAGAAATTAATCCCTTTAGAGGACGATCTGATCTGAACACAAGACAGGGTTTACACACACGTACACACCCTGCAGCTCACAGAGCCGTCTGTGCAGGCATATGAAACAGGTAACTACAATAAACAACACATCTAAAATAAACACACACTCCACTTTAATGCTCATGCAACACCTGCTGCTCCTCTCCACCTGTCCTCTCTGCACCCGCTGAAGCTGTAGAAGACTGAACCAAGTTTACAAGATGGCAAAGGTCGTGCTTATAAATACTATAGCTGCATGGATGTGGTGACACTTTGAGGATTTTCATACTTTATGCCGAACATGTTGTATGATTGGTCAAATCTGTTCTGCCCCTGCATTCATCAATTCTCAAGGATTGGAAACTTATTAAAAGTAAACCCAGAGTGTCTTTAGCATATTTACACCCTCAAGCCTCTATTGCATTAGTTTTAATTTCCTTTTCTCTGAAATAAAAATTAATAAAGAAAAACAACGTGTGAGGTGGTCCAAAAGCAAAGACAGCGGTGCCGAGCAGCGAATAATTGACATTCCTGCTTCATACACACTCAGCTGCACTTGTATTTTGTTTGCATTTCTTTCGGCACATTTACACGGTCTGCACCGCCTCCTCGCTGGCCTCTGTCGTGTCGTGCAGACTTGGACCTCGATCAAGCAGCTCTTCTCATCATAACCCCGTATTTGGGTTTTAAATCACGCCTCGCAGTTTTCAACAAAGTCTCGGAAACGACGGCTCTGTTTTTTGTCACGGCGGTGAAGCGGCTTCTTGTTGGCCCACAGGCACAGTCACCCAGATTAAACACCCTGACAAAAACTAAACCATAGAAAACACGGGTGCTCAGGTTTCTGGGTTTGTTTATTTTATTTCCTCTGAAATCTACAACTTTAAGGTCGCTGTAATGTTTTCCTGGGCAGGAATACTGAGAGTGTGCACTGAAAGGACTGACAAACCTGTGATCAGCTTTTTACCTGAGGCGATGAGATTTCAAAAGTTGACGTAGCTCCTTGTTTTTCTGCAGAAATCCTCCTCTCTTACTTTGGAAGCCGCTCCCGTGTCGAACAGAGATATATTTCCAAAGAGCTCTGCACCTCCTGCCAACAGTTTTACACAGAGCATTGTCTCAATTATCTAAAACTCTCTTTCTCTCCAAAATTTCGTTTGTTCTTCGTTTGTTTTTGTGACCTCAGTACGTGTCGACTTTCCCTCCCGACAGGATTACTTCTACTCTTCATGCGAAACAGAAAACAAGCTCTTAAAGATGGCCTCCTCAGCTGACAATTGATTACAAGAAAAATGGCAATATTGTGTTTATTGTATTAAACATAACCTGCCTGTTTAAACTGGAGGTTTTAGAGTCTTTAATGCATCGTATAAAATAAGCTTTGAAAGGTGCAGGACAGTTGTCTGCTTGACATATTACCCTTTAATTACTTTATTACTCTTTAATTTCATTCAGCGACATCCAGAGTGACGTTAATCTGAGAATTAGAGCACAAACAAGAACCTGGATGGGAGAGAACAACATGTATTAAGGCCACGACCGCCTGGAGTCTAATTGGATACAGGTGCGGACATGCAGAGCTGGAGACAAAGCTGTTTCTATTTCTTTTATTTTCGCTGATGTCATCATTTCCACGGCAACTAATCACTGGCTAATGAGTGATTAGTAATCCTATTTTACCTCATTATTACCGTCATTAGAGCTTTTTGCCACCAACACTAATATCATTAAAGTGCAAAGTCTAAAACTTTCCAAAGAGCCGCTCTCTGTGATAGTTAGAGCTGATCTGCGTAGACCACAAAAATTCGAAATGTTCTGTTGAATTTGAGTTTTAAAAACCGACACCCTCCAAAAACTGAATCATTCAACATCATGTGCCAGACTGAACCGTTTACATGGACAAACTGGAGCAAGAAGAGAGACTAAGATGGAAAAAACATAAAACAAAAAGCCAAAGTGTCGCTCTGCAGACGTCCCCCGGTGGACCCTTACACTCGTTTTCTTCTGTCTAGATCTTTGATAATAGATCTGTCCATTATCCTGAAGTCTGACTAATTAACCTAGATAAGCAATTTAGGGTTGATTGAATTGTGGAGCACATGCTCCACAGCTCACACGTCAGGCTTCAACTCAAAAGTGAAGGTTATAAATGTACAGAGAAGGTCAGGTAGTTAAGAAAATGTCAAAAGAAGAAGAAACAAAGACAACTGAGCTGGATCGTACAAACTAAAAGTAGAAGAAGAGCAGAGCTGGATTGTTTAAACTTAAAGTAGAAAGACAACTGAATTAGACTGACAAACCAAAAGTAGAAGAAGAGCAGAGTTACATGGTACAAATCAAAAGTAGAAGAACGGAGTTGGATCATATAAACAAAAAGTACAAGAAGAGCAAATCTGAATGGTATAAACTAAAAAGAGAAGAAGAACTTCGTTGGGTCACACAAACTAAAAGTAGAAGAAGAACTGAGTTAGATTGTACAAACATAAAGTTAAAGAAGAGCAGAGTTGGATCATGTAAACTAAAAGTAGAAGGAAAAAGTAAAACTAAGAGTTGAATCCTACAAACTAAAAGCAGAAAAAGAACTTACTTGGATAATACAAACAAAGTACAAGAGGAGCAGAGTTGAATTGTACAAACTAAAAGTAGAAGAAGAGCACAGCCAGATTGTATAAACTAAAAGTAGAAGAAGAACTGAGTTGGATAGCACAAACAAAAGATCGTGCAAACTTAAAGTTAAAGAAGAGCATAGTTGGATCATGTAAACTAAAAGTAGAAGAAGAGCAGAGTTAGGTTGTACAAATAAAAGGTACAAGAAGAGCAGAGTTGGATCATATAAACTAAAAGTAGAAGAAGAGCAGAGTTGGATTGTACATTCTAAAAGTAAAAGAAGAGCAAAATTAGATTGTACAAACAAAAGATATAAGAAGAGCAGAGTTGGATCGTATAAACTTAAAGTAGAGGAAGAACTGAGTTGGATCGTACTAACAAAAAGTAGAAGAAGAGCAGAGTTGGATTGTATAAACTAAAAGTACAGAACTGTCAAGTTTTTATGTTTCCACTGATCGACATGTAAGATGTTGGCCACTAGCTAACGTGTTTGTCGATTGTTTTGGTGCATGCTGTCATGTGTTTATCAGAATGGTGATGTTTTGAAATGAAGCCTAAAGCTGCTGATATACCTTATATGGAGCAGTGCTTGTAAACTGGGAAAAGTCCATTAAAATCCCTTAATCGAGCATTAACTGAATCTTGACCTACCTGTGCATGTAAATGTTGATTTAGGCGACCTGAGGGTTGTTATAGAATGTGTGTCTGCTTTGTTGTTTGTGCAGCATCATTAAAAAAAAAAGGAACGACCATCCAACAGCCTGGCCTCCATACTCGACCTCCAGAGCACTCACCTGCTTTGATCCTCATACCTGAGCATTAGCAGAGCTGTCATCAGAGCGAGCGCTGTAAACGCTGCTCTGAATTCCAGGTCAGCTCCCAGCAGCGGGTCTCTATCTCTATCCGATACTTCGCTGAGGACTGTGATGACTGTTTTAAGTGGCTCTGTCATGACTGAACAAGGTCCGCTCGTGTAGCCAAGAACCAAACGCCGGATAAATGGAAATCCAGCCAGCTCTGATTTCTTATCCCCCTCCCTCACGGAGGAACATAATGGCCTACAAACCTCTGCTGCCTCTAACAGACTGGCCCTCATTGTGGTTTACAGTCGGGCTGATTAGAAACAGAAAAGAGCGAACAGATTAGACAGAGAGCGGCCTGACAAGCATGGAGGCAGTCCAGGACTTTTACAGCTGCCTGAAACACAATCCATGTCTGATCTGACGGCAGAGCAGGAGAAATAAAAGCAGAGTTAGAGGGAGAGAGAGGAGGCCGACGGCTCTTTATCTCGTGCCAGGCTTTGATTCACAAACGTGGCACGCTTAGCTCATCCACTAAAACCATGTGCGCCTCGTTAGCTGCCCCCTTTCCCCCCTTTTTTTCGGACTGTCTTTTAAAAATCCACCAAACAGCCAGCGATAAACGAATCCTGGAAGTGTCTTCGTCTCGTTGCCTCTCTTATCTCAACTCTGCCACTTAAGGCTGCGAGCTTCTGCCAAGGCTTTGAATAAAGTTTAGCCAGGTCCGAGGGCTTTGAAGTGGCGGGGGCGGGGGTTTAGTGAGGCGCGCGGCGGCCCTGAGGCGAACCTTGGCGAGCATTCCCCAGGCGCTCGGTGCATTCCCTCAGACTACATCAGGTACGAGGCCTTTGGGGGCTTTCTGTCACAGCGGGAATGTGAGTCAGGTTTCCAGCCCAGTGCCAAGGTGGCGCACATCAAACCAGACTGGTGTTTGGTAGGAATGTGAAGGTAATTAACGGCGGCCGGAGTCAGATTCACCGTCTCTTCATGCAACAAGTTCAGGCGTACCGAGATGTCAGCCTTCGGAGTGGCCTGTCTGATAAGCAGCATTCCAGCTTTAATCAGACGCTGTGATTTAATACAAGGCGCGTCGCTTCTTTTCACGCAAACATTCATAATTGTTGTGGGAAGGTTTTTCCCATATCAACAGCAATTCATCCTCGAACCGAGACTGACTTCTTCGACCGCCGACCGTCTGAAGATTCCTCGGCATTCCTCCGAGAGCGGGATTTAAATCACCCAACCTCTGATAAGTCTTAATGCGTCCAAGGTGCGGCTCACACCGGATCATTCCTGCGCGGATTCATCCCACTTTGAAGTTCCTCTGCAGCTGTTCGGCGTCCTGGATTCATGCCAGTTAATAGTTGATAACACGTGTGTAAGAAAATGAAATTTTTTACCTGTTTTTACAAGCTCCCTGTGATGTTCAACAGGCTCCTGACAGTAAATCTAATCTAATGAAAGTATGCTGTAATGCTGCAGTCATTGCCCTCAGCCCATCAGTTTGGGATCCACGTGTTAAAAGCATGCAGTTTCCTGCCCTATAAATATATTATCAGTGAAAGTGTAGCTCCAAAGCACACATGCAGAGTGAAGAGACGCCAAATTCAACAAAAATCAAGTCTGAAAGTCGTTCCTTTGTCAGATTTCGTTGTAAAAACCAACTTGGCCTGGCCCTGAGCCCTTGGATCAAGGATCTGAGTTTAATGCTGACGGCTTTAGCAGAAATATGGACTTATCCTGCAAAAACTGAAAAAGCAGAATCTGGATCGACTTCTGCTGTGACACCTCATCAATCAGGCGCTCGTCCACAAATCAAAAAGTATCAGTTTTAGGTTTTTAGTGATGAAGTGTGGAATATTTACCTCAAAGTCCTCTGTTAAAGATGAGCATACTGTCTTTGTAACTGATGCGTTTTGGAGTCTGTGCAGGTTTCATGTAGTCCATGACCTAAACCAACAAAATGTCACATGTAGGTGAGTGTTGTAGGCCGCTAAAGTCCGTTCAAGCTTTGATGTCAGACCTGGACCAAAGCCTGTGATAAATTCACATCATCCTGTACTCGACGCAAAGGCCTGCAAGCGAAGCCGATGAACGAACTCAAAAAGTAACAGCAAGGACAAAAAGACGATTAACTGAAGAATAATCAACATTTTTAAGATGCAGCTTTAACGCTGCGTTCCAGTTGTTCTCAGAAGTCGGGATTTCTGAGCTTGTGTACTGGAACGCCGTCAACTCAGGTGTAACATCATTCCCAGCTCCGACTTCCGGGGTAACTTGAACGCAGCATAACATATTACACACAGATTTGGTCGCCATGGTTTCCTGTAAACAAACGAGGAGGAGGAGGACACTGGTGATATGACGAGCAAGGACATCGCACTGTCGGCGGCCATTTCGGTGCAAATTAACACTAAGATCCCATGTGACACCGTTAATATAGTTTACAGTTTCTCAGGAATTATACAGTGTATCTCTATGGGATAAAAAGTGTTGAAAAGTTTACCCTTTTGACGATCTATTGAGGGTTTTCACGCATTTCTACACCTGCCACAAGGTTTACAATCCAGCCACAAAAACAGGTGTTTGATCAGAGACATTTGATGGTAAATCTGCAATGAAAACGTGATTATTGATCAGATTGTTGTGATAAAAAAATGACTGCCATTGCTAAATACCGCTAATGTCTTTCGGGTTTGACGAGCTGTTTTGATGACGTCTTTTTCTGTGAAACTTTCGACCAATGACATGGTCTCATATTCTTCTTCTATTGTCCTCTTGACGGTAGTGTCCAATAAGAGTCAAGGAAGTTCCCTGCTTGTCTGTAAAATCAGAAATAATGGTCCTAAATGTTTGGAAACAAGCAAAGAAGAGATTCTGAGCAGAATGATGTGGTCCTCTGTCTCATCCCAGGAGCGGCAGAAACAACTGTAAATAGTCAAAAACGCCTGAAGAATGAGTGTAAATATGTCAACAGTTTCTGTTGTGTGTTTGTTCCAATCCCAATATTTCCTCTCCTGATAGTCAAGACTTGAGAGAATGATGTTCAGGTGAGAAAAGGCTCGGTCACTGAGGATTTATGGGACCAATTTCTGTTTTTGTTTTTTGTTAGACTTTGATGGTTCTGAATCTACTGTCACATTCATTTTACATCATTTTTGCTCCATAAACTGAGAGCTGAGGTTGTCCTGAAAAAAAAGATGTGTTTATATTTGCTGTGTTTGAAAGGATCAAGTTGATAGTAAATTATAGCTGGGAGTTCTGAGGGTTAAAGGTTGTTAGCGATCGTTCTGCGTCATAATAACTCCATAAACAGCGACAGTCAAAGTTAAAATGATTCTAACCTGAAGCAGAGTTCCTATCTGCTCCCAGTCTGGTCTCAAATCTTGGTGCATGTGCGCTCAGCTCATGTTTTACTGTCATTTACATGTGACTCAGTCAAAGCAGCACAATAGTGGGAGGGGGGAGGGTTGGGTTTTACTCCACCCAGCTTGTTGTAACACCCCCACCCCCTCCAGAAACACTTTTCTCTCTCAGTTTAATTCAATACACACTTTTTCACAAGTCCAAACCTCAGAGTGTCTCAGTTTGAGTTTTTTTTTCTATCGCTCTCTTTCTTCCTCCGTCCACCTTTTCCCGCCTGTACAGTCAATATTGATCTTCCTCTCAACAGTCAGACATTTCCTAAACTTTATTTCTTATCTAATCCTGTTCTGGGTCAGAAGGAGTTTGTCAGGTCCGAGGATTTGATGTCGTGGTTATACGAGAGGCCGAAAACAGAAACCGTCCATCTTGGTCTGAAAGTGTTGAGACTTGTGCGGCTGATCGTGTGATTTTGTGTTCTTATTGTCGGCGTTCATCATCGGGCTTTTACGTAATCTGTCTTCACGGATGAGTAATAAGTGACCAGCCCCAGGTCGCAGCCGTTCGTACAGCCTCGCCGCTGTAACGAGCGGAGAAGGAGGCCGCGCTTGTTGAGTCATTGTGTTTACGTTGAACCCAGCCCACCTTTTGAACAAGTCGCTGCTTGGAGTGTGTTATTCCATCCCCGAGCTGCTGACGGAGGGGTTTCCAGAGGCGGCAGGAACAGGACGGCTCATTCTCTTCCCCGTCTTGTCTGTTTTTGCGCAGAGATTACTCCCGTGTCGTTGTTTTAATCTTTTGTGTAAGCGTTGAGCTTAAAGCAATATTGAACTTGGAGGGAGCTCTCTCACTTAGCACGCACACCTCAGGGACGGCGAGCTGCAGACTTCGGCTGACCTGCTGTGTCTGCAGCTGCCGTTCAGGATTTTCATAACCTAGTCTTAAAGTTATTTGTCTTCACTCACTCCAACATCGTCCAATCAGCAATGTGTGAGAAGTCGATGTTCTGCCAAAAGCCGGTCAAAAACAAGAGTGAGCCTTTAATATTCCAACCTCGCTGACCGGATCCTGTTTAAGCTTTTGGTCTTCGCTTCAATTTCATTTCATTCTCTGCAGAGTCGAAGTGACCCGACACGATCTTTGACTAAACTCACGCCATTCAGTGCAAACAGTCGCCAAAAAGCACCTGGGAGTTTGTTTAAAGTTGTTTGTAACTCTTAAAGTTTTACGAATCCTGCAAAACAAACAGGAAACCCTCTACACACACACACACACACACACAAACTGACTCACACACTCACACACAGCTCAGTCATTCATCGTCAGCCACCCCTGACAATTACGTGTCCATTTTGGCCCTCCTCACCTCGCCTCGCCTCGCCGGTCAATCAGGTCTCGACGTCCTGTGAGTCTGGCATGCACGCTTAATGGACCGCAGTGAAGGAGCCCCCGGGGGGTCCCAGGGGCCACCACAGCTCGTCAGGCCTTTAACAACCCTCCTCACCCTCCACAGACCAGACTGCTGTTCTCACCTGCTAACTGACCGCCTGCCTGACACTCAACATGCAGGTGTTAAAGCGTCCTGCTGCCTAATTAACCCTTTCCTGTTCCCCGCAGGACCTCCAGCAGAGTCTATTGTGGATTTACAACAGTGAGCATAATTAGCCTGCGGTACGAGAGGGGAGAGGAGAGGTTGTAAATTGCTCTGCATGGTTGTAAACTGCTCCTCTCAGACAGGGATGTGTACTACGGTGAATTGTCAAGAATTATGTCGAGAATTCGATGCGTTTGCTCTGACAACGCCAATCGGATTTCATTTTTTCACAACTCAGATTTCCACTTTAGATTGAAATAAAGGACATAAAGTATGTTCACACGGACGTGTTTAAGTGACGCTAACATCCTGCATGTTTATCTTTCCACAGAAACGAAAGCGGAGAGAGAAGGATGACAGCGACGCCGTCAGCCTCTGCAGCTTCGACTTTAAGGTAAAACATCGTCATCGTAAAATAGGCAGCAAACAGTTTTTTTTTTTAAACTTCTTTTTCACAAACCTACAAAAACAAGGCGGCGCATCTTTGGCCCAACAAGAAAAGGAATAAAAATAGAAATCACAGCAGCTTCAGGCCACGCGTCGTTGCTATGGCAACATAAACACCATGTAAACTAGGTCCCATATCTGAGTCTGCGCTTCATCGGCGTATTCGTCTCATCAAAGTGAGTCAGCCTATCAGCGGAGGAGATCTGGATAAAGCCTGTGTTTGTTCGGAGAGGATCCCGCTGAGGTCTGCTGTTTGTTACTCCAGAGCAGGTTCTTCAGTTTTACAGATCGGAGCAGCAGGACTGGCCCGGTTGGAAAATGTTCCTCATTTGGTGCGTGGGTGTTTTTTGTTTCTTTTCTAATGATCGCTCCCACATAGAGACGCACAAACGTGTGTGTTTTCCTCAGAGCCAGCCGCCTTTTGGTGTCACGATCATTTCGACACTCTCCCAGGCGGAAACTGTCCCCCAGGTTTGTTCCTCTTTGGCCGAAATACCCCAAACGGTCCATAATGGACCTGAGGCCTCAGTTCTTGTCCTTCAGGCTGTTTTTGTCCTGCGCCCACATGAGAGGGATTAGCAGAGACCTACAGCCTGGACTCCTGTAACCAGTCGGATCAGTTGCTGTGATTTTAACTAAACAAAGCTCAAACAGAGCTGCGCGGAGTCCCCGGGGCCACTCCTTGATTCATATCGCAGCAGGGCCCGGTGTTCTGCTCCGACTTTATTTTCTTTACTAATTGAGGCTCTTCCAGTGCAGACTAATCCCTGCACACTGTGTTCACAGAGAGAGGCAGTTAGAGAAGAGGAATCCTGTTTTAACCATTTAGCTGCGGGTTTAGAGTCCACATGGAGGCCGGGTCTAAGGTAGCTGGGTTTGATGAACAGTCCGAGTCCAAGACGAGAGGCTCAAAGCAGAAGAAAAACTCTTGAACTCTGCAGCCCCGCTATCGAGCGATTGTGACTGAAGATCGAGGAGAGCGGGGCGATAAACCGAAATTTACTGATACTGAAATTTACGTCAATAACTGACGACATTTTGCCCGTATCAGTATATTCAATCAGGGCTGCACAATACTGGAAAAAACTAACATTGCAGTTAAAAAATAGAGGAATCTTCACCAGATGACCTGAATATCACTTTCTGATGAAATCTTGAGGACAGTTAATCTGCACTGATCTCACCTCTTTTTGTGAATGTTAGTAGAACGGCTTCTGTCTGTCTTAGAGATATTCTTAGTTCTTATTGTTCTGGGACGTTATTGTGGCAAAAAATGAACACAGAACACGTGTTTGTTTGGTCGACATCATCCTTCTTGTAACGGAAATAATTCCAGATAACCAACGTTGCTTTTCTTTTCGTCAACAAGTCTTCATCTTAGTGGTTTTCTCTTGTTCGTTTCTCATTTTGCAATCGTTGTTGTCGTGCCGAGAAATGCATGCACCTCGCGAAAACGCACACCGCTTACAGTGGAGTGGTCCACCGAAATGTACGATTTGAAACCCGTACAGTTCTTATTTGTGGGGCTAAACATTGAAGAGTAATTCTCGGTGGTCATGCGTTTCTCGGCTCAACACCGGCAGCGTCAGCGACTCACTCCATGTGCAGGGGCGTGGTTTTGATTGACGGCTGGTATCTGAGTAAAGAACGAATGTGATTGGTGGATCGCTGTACAGCACATGCAGCGTCACATGCAGTGTATCTCAGTCAGCTACCCTTGAAACTAGATGAGTTCATTCACCTCCAACACTGCAGGCTCTGCAATGTGACTATCGCACACACGTACATGGCGATGACGATGCTCAAACGATGTGTGTAGGTAGGCTATGGTCTCATGTCACTTTAAGACGCTGTCCTACGTCAGAGACGTGACTCCACCCCATCCAGTCTGTAATAAAGAGGGAAAGACGTGATATTGATTTTGATATTGATTTGAGCCCATATCACCCAGCCCTAAGACTGAGTCTGCTGTTATTCAGTCTAATTAAAGCAAACCCTTCATTCATTTTGTATTGATAGCAGACGCTTTATTGCATCCTGGGACTCCCAGCATCCTCTACGTGGCGGCCATTATGACAAAATTTTGCACTTGAATCAAACGGTTGGCGGGCGTCTCTCTGGGCCTGTATCGTCGTATCACTGATAATAGAGCTGCGGGATCATCCCGTCCTCGCTCAGACCGTCCTCCTCTCTGCGTGGGTTTAATAGAGTCAGTCCAGGAACAAAGACCTGCTAACCACCCGGCTCACCGCAGGCCCGGTCCTGCCTCAGATCACCCCGAGCGCCTTTTATCATGTTGTCAAAACACGATTTTGCAGCGTAAATGACGCACACGCTGTTTGAGGTTTCATCACTGGAGCTGCAGCGCGACTCTGAGTTCTGTGAAGATCTCTGAAACCTCTCTGTACTTTTTCACAGGAGGGAAAATAGACCGATGCCTGATGAATCGGAGACTCTCTATTTACTCCTCAGATGATGTTTTCATGTTTGTGCGTCGAAGCCGAGGCTCTATCTGCAGATCTGCGCGGCGTTCTGGCGGTTTCACTCTGACTCTTAGTTACCTCGCTGTTTGTTAGCAACCAGGTCTGCTGTGGGCGTGTGCACACCTACAAAAACTGAAGGAGAAGGTGTATGAGTAACCCGAGGACGTTGGTCTGGTTTGTGTACTGTGGTTTTCATTGTCCCTTCAGGCTGTTGTGGGATTACATCACCGTCTGCATCTTCATCTCCGTTTAATCGTAGCTTCAGAGGAGCGGAGGTATTTATAGCTCTCTGCCCGCAGAGCAGAAACATGGCAGATTAATCGTGGTTAGGATCGGTCGGTCACGCCCCAACATGGAGCCGGATTTAGAAGCCGACTCCAAACCCGAGTATCAACATCTGTACTCTTAACTTATACTGCTGCTTTGATTTGGTGGACGCAGGCTCATCAAACTGCTTAATGAGCCTGTGAATCAAGTGAAATTTGATGAGATCTGAACCCAAATGAACATCTACAGTCCACCAAAGAGCTCGTTATGTAAATGTGACGGTTAAACTGGTTGGTTTCAGGTCTAATTAGCACCTAAATTAGGTTTATATGAAAGCCGCCGAAGCCGGGGTTACCAGGTCAGACCTGCTTTATGACTCTGTCCTCACCGCCTGAGTCAGAACCGTGTAAATGAGGATCTGCTTCAAGGATGCTAATGTCAACAACTCTGTTTATGACGCACTGAAGCCTTTTACAGTTTCATTAACGCTTCAAATAACTAACCAGGTTCAAACGATCCAATAAGGAGACTTTAACGTCTCACACAGAGAGAGTTTTATTTGAATAAAACCTCATTTCACTCCATCGCGGCTCCTCCCTGCTCATTAAGTCTATCCCTGTGAGACGGTTCATCTCTTCATGCGTGCACGAATGTGTCAGTTTGTGTTATTACGTAACGAAGTTCACGCCGCCTGTATTCACCGTGTCAGCGTCCTGATGCGCCGGCGTCCATACGTGATGTTAAAGTTTGGAGTTCTATAAAGTGCGGAGTCGGATAAACTGTTAGGACTGTTTTGAAGAAAGTCAGACGGAGAGAAACCGGCTCACAGAGACTGAGCTGTCACAATGTCAGATGTTTCTGATCAGCGGACGCCATGACAAATACCGATAAAGTTTGAAGACACCCTTAAGTAAAGATTTGCACTTTACATTCGACTGTTTTCTGTTGTTTCTAGACTTGCTGTCACGTGCACTTGAGCTCAGATTTATCAGTGAGAGGGTTTCAAGAGTTTTTTCGTACTTTGCGTTGAATTTAGTTATTTATTTCAAAGGAAAAAGCTCTTTATCAAACTTCTGTGTCTCTAAAATCTGAATATGAAATATGAGCTGTTCAGTCCAGTTCTGGTCCTCATCAGTAGAGGGCGACAGAGCCTCCTCCTCCTCCTCCTCCTCCTCCTCCTTCCTCTCCTTGTGTTTCTCTGCTGCAGGCTCCAAGCTTCCTCGGAGCTGATATCCGTCTCTGCTTGTCCTCCTCTCACTGTTTCTGTTTCTGCTGCTGCTGATGTGAAGGTTACGCTGAGCTCAGGCCTCCAGGCTCAGTCCTTTCCTGGCACGGCACAGGTTAGACAGCGGTGAAACTCCGCCTGTCAACACATTACTCATCAAACTCAAGAGCACAAATGGCCCGCTGGTGTTCATGTGTGTAAATCACGGCTGTGCAGCTGCAGCGTGGCCGGGCAGGCTGAGCCATGTTGGGTTGAGTCTTTATAGACGTACGGCTGATTCAGCTCGAGGTCTCCCCATGCGGAGTGAGTAACAACCCGACTGCACACGCTGTCTGTCTGCTGCTGCACGCACAGACTACACACAGACGGACAGATCTATTTTATTAGATCCTCTCTGACTCCTCAGTCTGCATACTTGATCGCTCTGCTGTCTTATCCTCGCCTCAAAGTCAAATCCTGAGTCCTGAAATCTTTCATTTCGTGCCCTCAGTGCACCGAGTTTCAGGAGATACGAGGTGATGTAACCCGGACTCGGGGTCCTGTTGGTCTGCAGCAGATGACACCCCCCCCTCACCGCTCTGTCAACAAACCCCAAAGAACAAGGTGTCAACATCCATCCACCTCCATCAGCATCTGTGTTGAGTCACGCACAGACACACACAGCAGCGGCATGAACTCCGTGTCCTGTTTCACACCTCTGTGTTGACCCAGGAGGACGGAGCAGAGCCGTGACCGGGCTTGTCCATTTGCCCAGAACACACACACACACACACACACACACACACAATGTGACACCCTTCACTTTATCCCTCCATCAGACCTTACACCTCCACCCTGTGCATTTGTGCACCAGCTGCAGGGGTGTGCAGAATCTGTGTCTTCAGGTGTGCTCAGTCATCCGGCCGTGTGTGCACCTCGCCGCCGCCGCCAGCATTTTGTCCGTTTGTGATCCGTTTCTGAAAACGACAAGTACAGTCTGCACACTTTCACCGAACATGTTTAAGTCACACTGCTGAGAGAGCGCATGAAGGAGAGAGAGAGCGCTCTCTCTCCTTCATCATCTCTCTCCACATCTTCGGTCTAAAATCCACCAAATCCAGATTTTCTACGTTTGTGTTTTCGACCTCCGACTTTCGACCACAGAGCTCCTCGCTGTCCTCACTGAAACTGGTGAAACTTTCCCCTCTGCATGAGACCAATCAACATATGGGGGAGCAGTCGCACCCAGCCCCCCAGTCGTACCCAGTGGACAGGTTTCAGTTCAAACATCTGCCTCAGTGTGCCTCTATTGATATTCTAATTGATCAGCAACCCCCGGGTCAGCTGATGAGACTGATAACAGGCTGAGAGTGTTTCTCCACAGAGCAGAGAGCACTTAAAATAATCATCCAACACGGAATCAACACACACTTCTGACTTTGGAGTTTGTTCATTCAAATCAAACAGACTAATATCTTCGTACGACCATTAAAGCCTGAAACCAGCTCCGGCGGAGGAACTTATAAACTGTTTTTAATTCGATCTTTAGAGAGTTCAGGTCTCAACAAAACATGTTTTTCCTCAATTAAATAAAAGTCTGGTGTTTGCAGAAACTTGAAGTTAGGAGAAAAGAGTTAAAGTTAGTTCAACAATGCAGCGAAATGAAGCTTTTAAATGTTTAAAACTTACAATCCTTCCTTCGCCTGTGCTCGATTAATATATTTTTGTCTGTTTAAGACCTTAAAAATTTCTAAAAAAGTCTTAAATCCTGATTTTAAAAGCGCACAGTAACCCTGTCTAAATGTTGACACTGTTCAATATTTCCTTCGTTTGTAGAAAAATGTGTAATATCATGTTTTCAGGCGATTATCAAGCGTGAAAAGCACTTTTAGGACTATTGATAGTCGTGAAAAAGTCAATTAAGAGAGTTAAATAGTGATGTGCAGTTAATTCATACAGTAATTAAAAGAGCTGCTGAACAAAAATAAAACATAAAGCTTAAATAAAACATTTTTGTGTTAAGGCTGCTTCTCTTAAACTCACTGATAATCGACTTAAACTTAAAATATATCGTTAAAGTTCAAACCTGTTTTAAGTTCTTTGAGCTCATTATGAGAAAAGTGGTTTTAGTTTACACTGAGGAGTTTAAATCAGATTTAAATCAGATTAAATACAGTTTTGACTGCTGCTCACACTTCTTTATTTTTGTTTCATACAGCTGAGGTATGAAACATCTACAATCTCTGATCTATGATGTGCAACGATCATTTAAGGTCTATTATCTATTCATGATTAAAAAACAGAGATACTCATATCCATGTTTATGTACTTTTACAGTATTTACCTGATATCTCTGAGCTGCATCCTTTCCTGAAACAAGGAAACAGAGTGAGCAACATTTCTGCCGGTTAATTTGTCCTTTTTATGACTTCAGAAGAATTTTTATCTGCAGAGTTCAATTAAAACATTGTTTACAAATCAGTTCAGCAGATAAAGCCAAAGTCGAATGTCATGATACAAAGGATAAGGTAAAGAAACAGTGAAAATCCTGATTTATTCACATGAAAGTGCATGTTGGGACATTAATGGAGAGCACACTTGAGGTTCATCTTTATGAAAACGTCTAAATTTGCTCTGACTTTCTCCTGACTGGATCTCTGAGAAAAACCCTCATGGTCTCACGTCAGACTCCCTCATTCGCCCTCATCGGCTCTGTTTGTGTAAACGTAGTTGAGCAGAAAGCGTTCCCCATGATCTCTCCGTTTCTCACTACTGTTTTCAGCTCACTGAGCCTGCGGGCAGCTTCTCCTCACTTCTCAGTAAACCTCCCCGTCTTCAGGCTCAGCTCCTCCCTCTCTCCCCCGGTCTGTCTGTCCTCCTCATATAAAGCCCTCCTCCCTCAGAGCAGCTCAGACCAAAGTTCGGACAGAGTGTGTGAGAGCAGCAGCAGCAGCGGCAGAGAGCCCCGTCCCATGAGGGCAGAAGAAGAAGAAGACCTTCAGGGAGTGTATTTATTTATTTAGGGGGTTTTTACTCTCACACAGACTCTTTATCTTGATCAGTTTTTTTCTCTGTGGATTACTCGGAGCTGACTCGCCCAGGATTAAAAACAGGATTTTGTGTTTTGACTGAAAGCTATGGTGGCTTACAATGAACTGGGTAGCTCGGTGGTGCCTATCAAACGGACTCTGCAACTGATAGACAACCAGAACCACGCCAACAAAGACTTAGAGGTGAGACGCTGAAAAACACTCTCTGTATGTTTGTGCACCTTTGAGTTAATGTTTGACCGGCGCTCATTCAGGTGAAGTCATATCTGTGAGTGAGTGAGTGAGTGAATCAGCACCTAACCCTGTTTTCATGTGTGGGCCTGAGACTTTGGACTTTGCTCCTCAGTGTCTTGAAGACGTTGCCTAACCTGACAAAGTTAATCATTAGGATTGAGCTGCACCTTTAGAGGTTGTAAGGAGTAAGCGGACCCCCCTCAGAGGTGTGTATCCCCCCCCCTGTCTGATCTTAAATATGCATCCCAGCAGGCGGCTCTCAGCCTCAGCGGGATATGGAGAGTCGGTTTCCAACTGAGTCAACATCCCTGCTTCCTTTTTTCTTAAAGATTCCTTTACTTCAGACCTCTGATATTCAAAGATAAGCCAGGGCTATCACTGATGCATGCTGGGAGCAGTCCTCCGTGTGCACACAGGTGTAAAACCCACCACTTCAGCCTCTTCCTTCCTCTTTGGTGAGGGGATTTTAGGAAAGTGTGTTTTCATTGACGGTCACCAAGTTTCCCCATGTCAGCTTTAGGGGTCACATCTGTGGTCTGAGCGGGGTTCATCAAAGAGGAGAGGTCCTGATATTTATGAGCTTGTCATCCCGGGTTAGACGGTCTCACATCTGTACAGTATCCGAGTCTGGAGAGTCATTGTTCCCCTGATAAAAGTCGAACCAAAGCAGCCGCACAAACCCCGGATCTGCCCGGTTTCCTGAAGTGAGGCGGACTCAGTTAGACTCTGCTGAGTCTGCAGGTCAAACAACCAGGAATAGCAACTTTCCCCGTCTGATACACAAAGAGAGGCACGGCGGCTTTGTGTTATTCTTGGTCCGCCTCGAATGGGACAGGAAGGGCACAGAGTCTCGCCGGAGACACCCTCTCTACTGTCACTCCTGCCTTTGACTTTATTTCTTTGTCTATTTACACCAAAAGGTCACTAATCACAGTCTGGCAGGTCAGAAAAAACTGCTGCACTTGCCGGCCTCAACCACTAGAGGGCTTACAAAGTTCTCAAGCCTGTCTGTCTGACTCTTCTGGTCCAACGTGGAAACCGGGACCACAGCAGACCGTGACTCGACCGCAGCCGCGTCAGCTCGCACCAGACTGAGCGGATCTGTTCAACAGCTGTGTCCGCAGAGCGCCGGAGCCTCAATGGCTGCTCTGTTTCCACAGAAGTGCTGCGCCAAGGCAAAAGCCTGGTCTGGCCTGAGTCAGTGAAAACAGCAGCAGCAGCAGCAGCTTTTAGCAAAGCGCTCATTAGTGTGAGGGTTTGAAAACGCAAACTTTGGAGATACTAATTAGAGCCTCGTCTGTCTGAGAGAGGAGTTTCTGAGAGTCTTCCCTCTTTGATTCCTGCAGCCTGTTGTTGTTGTTGGCACAGAGCCGAGCACCTCTCTGCTTTCTCCCTGCCTCGGGGCCGGGTGAGGGGAGGAGACAAGGAGGGGGGGGCACCTGGCCCAGGTGTGGTGCAGCTCTCACGCGAGGCCTGTTGAAGAGCCTGTCTCGACTCGCCGCGATAAACACGGCCGTGCACCCCCTGCGACGCCGCACTGTGTAAACACTGCAGAGGGGGACGGATTCATTGTCTGTTTACAACTGCCGCCCCCCCTCCCCGGACTCCCAGCGGTGGTCTGTTTCACTCAAGAGTCCTGACACACTGCCACACTGTCCCTGCTGCTGTTTGTCTCTCTGGGAACAGAGATCAGGAAGCGTTTATCTCCCTCTCAAGAGGAGCTGGAGCTCTCGTCAGGCCAGAGAGTAGCAGGGGAGGGGTGTCGAACAGCTGAGAGAAGGGTCTCGTGCATTCCTGGCATTCCCCCAGACCCCCTTCCCCTTCCAGATCAGCGGTTAGAGAGGGTCTTTGTGCTCGGTGGGCTGGCCTGGCTCGAGTCTCCTCACATGATGGAGCCAACAGCTGCTGGAGCTGCTGGAGCTGCTGGAGCGGCGTCCTCTCCCCGTCCGCCAGTCTGTCTGCCTGCGGCTCGACCTCGGCTCCAGCAGCTCCGATCGACTCCCCTCAAAAACAGGGAGCGCAGTCCATAATGAGGATTTATGACTCGACTCGATGTGTTTAATCACAAGGCGGTCACAAGAGAGAGTCTGGACTCGCCGCTGAGGTCGGCTGAGGCACCGCCGATCGATTTGTTCTGTGTCTAACAAAAGACAAACTTCCCCGACTGATCCCGTCTTCCCTCTCTCTCTCTCTCCTGCAGGAACCCAGCAACAAGCGTGTCCGTCCTCTCGGCAGGGTGACGTCGCTAGCCAACCTCATTTCTCCGGGGAAGAATGGGGCCGTCCGGCGCTTCGGCCAAACCATCCAGGTAAGCCCGGCAGACACCTCCTGACTGCTCTGCATGTTGCACCAAAAACTCCAGCTGCATCACTCTCTGACATCCGGGGCTCCCTCTTTCCCATCAGGCCTCCTTCAGGGGTGATGGAAAGTCGCCGGGCGTGCCCCAGAAGCCTTGCAGCAAGGCAGCGGCCCCAACACCGCCCAAAAGGAGGAACAGCACGCTGTGGTCGGACATGCTGGACGTCCACCACAAGGGGACTTTCTCCACCCAAGAGATCAAGAGGCAGGAGGTGAGAATCAAAAACACAAACACTTGAAAACTATCAGAGTCAAAGTTTGAGCAAAGTCAGAACCCAGACAGTGAGAAGGTCAACCCGTCTACCTCGCACTTTCACATAATCCTGCAACATTTGTGTCAAATACTCGCAAAGCCATCCAAGGCTCATTTCCCAGTCGGTGTGAGATCACATCCACCTGACAAGCCAACAAAGCCGCGCTCTCCTGCCCCACTTGTCCTGCATGTGTCAGACATCTTAGCCAACCGTCGAAACCAATCAAGTCCAAGTTTGAAACCAAAGTCCAGAGGAGCCAGGGTTGATCTCAGACGTTTGGCTCCTTTAGACTGAGTCTAATCGCTGCAGTAATGACTTCCTGATTCATGCGTTTAGCTAAAGAAGTATCCCCCCCTCTTTCTCTCTCTCTCTCTTTAGGCCATATTTGAGCTGTCTCGTGGAGAGCAGGACCTGATTGAGGACCTCCAGCTTGCACGCAAGGTTTGTACTTTTAAATCTCCGGGGCAGAGGGAGTACATATAAAGCAAACAGATTAAATCAAAGTCTGGCAGGGGTTTGATGGAGGCAGGCCAGCAGCTATAAAAAGCCAGGAGTAACTCCTCCTCGGAGAGTTATTCTTAGCATCCCCCTCCTCTGTTGTTATCTGACCGCCTTGGCTCTGCTCCCGTACACAGGCGTACCACGACCCCATGCTGAAGCTCTCCATCATGTCTGAAGAGGAGCTCACTCACATCTTCGGCAACCTGGACGCCTACATCCCCCTGCATGAAGACCTCCTCGCCCAGCTCTCCAAAGCCACAGGACCTGACGGGACTGTGGGACAGATCGGACAGATCGTCGTGAGTTGGGTGAGTCTCCTTTCCTCGTCCTTCAACCTCTTTGGTTTTGTTCAAACTCCTCTGAGTTTTCAAGAAAAGACGAGTGTTATTAAAAGTCTTCTTCTTCTTCTTCTCCTGCAGCTGCCCAGGCTTGACGCCTACAAGGACTACTGCAGCAACCAGCTGGCAGCCAAAGCCCTGCTGGACCAGAAGAAGCAGGACCCACGTGTGCAGGACTTCCTGCAGCGCTGCCTGGAGTCGCCCTTCAGCAGAAAGCTGGACCTGTGGAGCTTCTTGGACATCCCACGCTCCCGTCTGGTCAAGTACCCGCTGCTGCTGAAAGAGATCCTGAAACACACTCCGGCAGAACACCCGGACGCAGCGAGTCTGGAGGAAGCTGTAAGTCCAGAATCCGTACCCGTTTATTGTAGAGTTCGGAAACGGGGCTCGAGTTAACGATCGGGCTCTCTTTGTTCAGATCACCATCATCCAGGGCGTGCTGTCAGACATCAACATGAAGAAGGGAGAGTCTGAGTGCCAGTACTACATCGACAAGCTGGAGTACCTGGACGACAGGCAGAGAGACCCTCACATCGAGCAGTGCAAGAGCCTGCTGTGCCACGGCGAGCTGAGAAACAAGAGCGGCACGGTGAGCAAACAGACCCATAAAAGGCCGGCCTGCGATACTTCCTGCAGGACCTCCGTGAGCTCTGATAAGGCGGTTATGTAACACATCAGCGCTCCGGTTTTTCATGCTTTCTTCTCGTCTCCCTCCAGAAGCTGCACGTGTTCCTGTTCACCGAGCTGCTGGTTCTCAGCCGCCCTGTAACCAGGAACGAGCGCCACTGCTTCCAGGTTTACCGACAGCCGATCCCAGTGCAGGATCTGGTGTTGGAGGACCTGCAGGACGGAGACGTCAGAATGGGCGGCTCCTTCAGAGGGGCTTTCGGCAACGCAGACAAAGGTGAGGAGCGTGTCAGAGCTGATGGAGAAATAATGGCGACACTCTGAGCCGCAGGAGTGAAGTCGCTCGTCCGTCATTTCACTAACTCCTCCTTTGTCTTCTCTCTCTGCAGCCAAGAACATCTTCCGTGTGCGTTCCCAAGACCCGAGTCAGGCGCAGTCCCACACGCTGCAGGTCAACGACGTCTTCCACAAGCAGCAGTGGCTCAACTGCCTCCGCAGCGCCATCTCCGTCCACCGGCCCCTCAGCGAGCCCTCCACGCCCTCCCCGCCCGCCAGCGACACCCGCTTTAAACGCCGCCCCTCCTCCGTCTCCGCCATCATCCACATGGAGGAAGCGGACGAGAACTGCCCGCAGCGGGCCTCCAAGTCCGCCCCCACCTCGCCGTGTAACAGCACCACCCCAAGTCCCCCCTCCACGTCCCCTTCATCCCGCTCCTCCATGTCCTCCCTGTCGACGACGTCCTCATCTTCTTCGTCGTCGTTGTCCCCGCTGCTCTCCTCGTCCACATCACACAAAACCAAAAAGGACAAGAAGTCTCTGTGTTCGTTAGGGAAGAGGAAAGAGACGATGGTGTGAGGCGAGCGGAGAGGAGGAAACAGACTCCTGAGCGGACTTTTTGTTGTACAGAAACAGACGAGGAGGATCCTGGGACTTGTATTTATGTGTGTCTGCGTGTGTGCGTATTATTACAACAGTGTTCTGTGTTACTGTCCTCTTTGGCAGCTATTTACCTTACCCCTCCATCCAAAGTGCATCCCACTGAGAGACAGTATTTTCCGGAGAGACGTGCACGGCTTCCACCTGCTCTGAAAAGGGAAGCTCAGCAGAAGCAAAACGGGGATGTGTTGATTTCTTGAAGATAGAGGAGGTGCATTCAATCCTGTTTACTATAAATTTGATATTTAAGCATTATTTTAGACCTTACGTGGGGCCTGATGAAAGTTTTACATTTTTATATTCTGAAATTTATCGTAGTATTTTTCTAGGTATCATAAAGCAGCACTGTTTTAGCTTTTTTTTAGGTGAAATGTTTGAAAAATTGAGCATGTTTTTGAGCAGTAAAGGAAGAAAAGAATCCCCAGAAATCAGGATCAGGTCTACGACACGAGGATACAAATCTATCTGTTAGAGATTGTAATCAGAAGACGTCTTATTTTTATACATTCCTTTGGTGACAGATGTTAAAGATCAGGACACTATTTTTTATTTCTTTGCATTAACTGCAGTCGGAGGCATTAATTTAAATCCACGAACTGAAGAGATTTCAGTTTTTCTCTGTTAGAACAAAGACATCATGGTAATCATCTGATGTTCAAATCATGTCAGAGAAGAGGAGTTTTGTTTTGAAACAAAATTTTGATCTGAGCCATGTTGGTTTTCGAAAAAAAAAGCTGACTTTTCAGAATAATTCACTTTTCAGTGTAGCATCTTGCATGGAGCTTTAGTTGTGGACACTGCATGCACCAGTAGAGGCTGCAGGATGTATTTACGAGTCCTGAATGACGGGACGGATGAACAGTGTAAAGACTGTGAGAAGATGATAAGAGGAAGTTGTTGAAGGATGATGAGAAATGAGAAAAGATGGAAGAAGAACTGAAAGAGATTGTTAGAGCACGATGTTTGACTCCATCAACTGTTGAAGTTGGTGCGATGTTCAGGTTGATGACAGATGGTAAAAATCAAGTGAGAGTTATCGATGGAAAAAGTATGTGCCGAAAAGGAGACGAAGAAAGTTTTTGTAAGTGTGTAAAAGAAGTTTTTGTCGTAGAGATGGAAAAAGAAAAAGAAGACAAAAGGGGCAACATGTTTGCCGTTAACTGTATGTAATTAAAAGAACAATAAAGATCTGTGTAAGATTTGAAACTGAAACTTTGCCTCTGCATCTTCTCTTTTTTCTAAGGGCCTTTTTTCATAAGGGCCTGTGTCCACTAACAGCTGTGTACCGATTTTTTCAACAGCCATCTGCAAAATTTTACATGGACTAAAGTAGCGTTTCTCAAACCCAAAGCAACTGGTGAGAGATACCTTTAAATCGCATCAGTGACTTTGTAAATAAAAGGTTTTAGTGTGCACAGGCCCTTATCCTTTCAGACAGAAAAAAACAAAAACAAAGTTCAGTTTTTTTGGCGACACTTGTGCAAGTCTGCTCATTTTAAAACTTTTCCTTCACTAATTTTTTACATTACATATTAACATGCATTATAGGGCTGGGGGTGATATGCTTTTCTCCCAATTATTTATTTTTATTTTTTTATTATTTGGATGCCAAATTGATTCAAGTTGCAATTCTATGATATTGTCAATTTTCTCGATATTCAGTCTGTATTTTTAACACCAGTGAAACAGATAAATGATTATCATTGTCTACTGACTATTCCAGGAACCATTTTATTTTATTTTTAGGGCGCACCTGATTATAAGGCACACCATCAATGAATGCATCTATTTGCGTCTATTTTCATACATCAGGTGCACCGGATTATAAAGCACATTAAGCCAAACAAAACAGTCAGATAAGTCAAACTCATTCAATAACTCCGCGAGGCTACAGTAGCTGTAGCGCTCCGACAAGCTGATAGGATTTTCAGTGCGCCTTATGGTGCGGAAAATACAGTTTGTCAGTTTTTTTAAGATTTGTTCTTAAATTTGAAAAAAAAAAGATTTTTGAACATAAAAATCGATTTAAAAATTGTAAAACAAAAAAACGCGATACTTATATGAATCGATTTTTTCTTGCACCCAGAGCGCATTAAATATGAAACTGTTCTTTTGGTTCGTACTGTGAAGCTAGCCGCCTGTTTTTTATGCGAACCTAATCAGGTGTCCAGTTTTCATTTGAAACCAAACCAACACTCACCTGTTTTTTTTTTGTGCTAACATCCAGACAGTTTCGATTCTCATTCAGCTGATAAACAAAACTGTAACCTGAGTTATTGACACCACCTCTCTCACATGTAAGCTAACAGTCTGTCGGTCTTTAAACTACAACTTAACACACATGCACAAGTTTCTCTCTAGACCCATTAATCCAGACTTTATGCTCATCCAAGCTAACAGGCTGACACTCTTTGCTAAGCTAAGCACACAACCTCCCAGTTTCAGTGCAAACCAAGCTAACGAGCTCTCTATGCTAAACAGGCGATCAGTTTTTATGCTAAACGAAGCTAAACAGGGTTTCTGTTTTTATGCTAAAATCTTTACAGCTGATCTTTTTTTCATTCTGAACTAAACCGACCAGCTGCCGTGTGTTGTCTTGCTAAACTATGTTTACACTGAGCGTTTCCATTGCAAACTAAGCTAACAGGCCCTCAGTCTTAATGCTAAACTAAGCTAACAGGCCCTCAGTCTTAATGCTAAACTAAGCTAACAGGCTGAAAGTTTTAGGAACATCCCAGTCTGTGTCTTATTTAATGATTGTAAATGCTAAACTCTAACAGGCTGCTGAAAAAAAAAAACAATATAACCTGCAGCATGAAATGAACTTGAAATATACTAAATTAGATAACTTGCTTAAAGTTTATCTTCATATTTCATTTAAAATTTGTTTTGTAAACTCTGCAGGGTGGCTCTGGTTATGAACTATCATCTTAAACTTAACTCTTACTTGAAGACAGTGGAGGTAAATATTCATAAATAATCAGTTTTCTGGACTTTTAAGGTGACTGAGGTTTGGAGAACTTTGATGTGTTGCACAGTTTTAGGGCTGAACGAATAGGACAGATCATCACTTACGACCACTCAAAGAAAGATCTTCAAAGTTTCGAAACGATGAGGAAAATTTAATGCAAGATTTCAGTGTTATAATCGTCACAAGTGGATCTTTGTTCTAATGCTCATCCAAGAGCCTCTCCAAAGAGTTAAGTTGTTCTTTAATCGGCCTTAAAATAGACGCTGCAGCCCTCCGCTCCATGACTCACATGACACTGAGTAGAGGAGTGTCCCATGGAGGCGGGAGGAGATACCTTATTCTGATTTACGACGGTGCTTAACTCTTAACCAAACATTCATTTCCATGTAGGTGCCAAGAGAAACATTTCTAGAGAAGGATTTGTTTTTTCAAACTGCGACATCTCTGCCCGCTCCCTGTTTGACCAAACGTATCTGTCCACAGAGTTTTTATGGAGGGAAACACCTCGGTTTGTCAGCTCTGAGATTTCCATTTGGACCTGACAAATGGTACACAAGAGCCTGGAGGATGTTTGACAGGATTTAAAGCTCATTTTGGTCATGACGCCAGAAAAATTAAAGGGGATGCAAAACAAAGAAAGCCAGCTTTATTTCAGTCATCTATGTGAGATTTTTAACTGGGAAACATTAAATCTATGCAGAGCTTCTACCCTTTAATTTGTCTTTGTCTGGCAGACTAAGACGCTGGTTGTTATTTTTATTAAATAATCATGTCTGCCTCTTAGAAAATGAGAACATTCTCCCAACGTTCGCTCATGCTCTTCTCACAGACGCCCATTTACTTTAACAGATACTAAACGTGTACCAGCTGAGAAGTTCCTGGAGTGAGTTTCTGGACAGTTAAGTCAACAAAACGAGCCACTAAGAAATAAAGTCTTATACAGAAACTACAACAGATCAGAGCTGAACTGAAAAGTAAACAGGAGATGGTGATTTAGTCTGTTTGTGTAAACTACTGAAAGCTCCTGTCAGGAACTTTTATTATTTAACATTTATCTATAATATAAAATACTATTATCATGCTGAAATATGACATTTGTATCATACTATACTGTGATATGATTTTCATACGATACTATGATATTTTTATCATTCTATACTATGATATTCATACTATGAAATGACATATTCATCATACTGCACCTTGACATTTTTTATCATGTTATACCATAATATTAATATCATACGATACTATGAGAGTTTTATCATACAAAAATATGAATTTTTTCTTCATGACTAATTTTGAAATGTTTAACAGACTATATTATGATATTTTTATCATAATATACTATGATGTTCTATAATACTTGATGGTTTTTTTAAACATACTGTACAACAACATTTTTATCTTACTATACTATGATATTTTTATTATATACTACTATGACATTTTAGATTCAAACATTTTCCTCGTTTGGTTCAGACCTTAAAGAAAATGATTATTTTTGCTGCGACCAGTAAAAAGATTTATGAAGTACAAATGAGACGAAAAGCTTCATTTTGGTTTGCCTTTCATCCAGAAGCTGAGAGTGTTGGAGGCGTCTGCTGAAACAAAGTGTTGATGAGAGAGTAAATGAAGTGGCTGAGGTTGATTATTAGACGCCACACACGCTCATAAACCCACCAGCTGCTGTTACATAAGAAAGCGGCTCTTTCTGGAGATCTTTTCTTTATAAAACAAACACATGCAGCGGGAGAACTTTCTCTCAAAGCTTCACTAAGAAGAAGAAGAAGAAGCACAGACAGTATTGAGATTGCCAGGAACTTCTCTCAGCAGCTCGTCCGTGTGAAAGAGTTAGTGACGGGCACAGACAGCTGAGCCTCCTGATAGTGATCTGTCATCGCCACATCCGCTCACACTCTTCTACCTCCGCTAAAAACACTCTGAAACACTCCCTGAGAGCTGAAATCTGCGGTCTGAGCTTCCCTGTGGTCACATTTAGAGGAAGAGAGTCACTGTGAGGGATCAGATAAACCAGAGGAAGTAAAAAACTTCCCTGACCGGTCTGACTCAAAGTTTCAGCTTACAGAAATGTGGAAGTGAGGCCTCGGTCTGGACACGAGCTAATGTGACAATGAGCTGAGAGAGCAGGATTCAGATCAGGGTGAAGATGACACAAAGTCGGAGTTACCTGTTATTATCCCAAAGAGTAAAAATTCACTTTACCTATCCAAAACTGGGCAGATTGGTCCTTTAAAACAGTCTAAGACAAAACTATTTTGGAGGAAATTTTTGGAGGAAAAAATCCACTGCTCACTTATCAACCAATTCTTTACACCTAATTTTGACATTTTTAACAGACTACACTATGACATTTTTATCATCCTATCCAATGATTTTTAAACATACAATAAAATGATATTTTTATCATGTCATATGATACTAAAATATTTTTATCATACTATACTATGATATTTTTTATCATACTTTACTATGACATTTTTTAACAATAACATATTTGTCATACTATACTATAAAAATTTTTATCACACTATATGATGACATATTCATTATACTATACTATGACATTTTTATTAACTTAATTATGATTTTTTTTCACACTAAAATTTGAATTTTTTGTCATACTATACTATGACATTTTTTTTAAAACTAAAATAAGATCTTTTTCATACTAAAAAATATATTTTTTAACATATTATACGATGACATTTATCATACTATACTACGACATTTTTATCATACAAAAATAGGAATTTTATCTTCACAACTAAATTTGAAATTTTTAACGGACTATACTATAACATTTTTATCATACTATACTGTGACACTTTTGCAAACAAAAATATGACATTTTTATTATGTTAAACTATGACATGTTTATCATACTACGCTATGATATTTTTTTCATACAATACAATGCCTTTTTTCATACTAAAATGTCGACATCTTTTATCATACTATGATATGACATTTTTACTCATACTTTATTATGACATTTTTTATTATGCAATAATATGACATTCTTATCATACTACACTATGATGTTTTTTATGACACTATCCAATGACATATTCAACAGACTACACTGACATTTTAATCATACTATTCTATCATTTTTTATCATACTTACTATGATATTTTTATCATACTATGATATTTTGTATCATACTTTATGATGACATATTTATCATACTACACCTTGACATTTTTATTATACCAT